GCTTCGAACATCACTGTAGTCCTCCTTGACCTTGGACCACCGAAACCTTTATGCCAAAGATAGACACTGTCTCTAGGATTAGTTTAATAGTTTGGGCAACCAGATCGTAGTTGTCAGTGCCCAAACTTGCCTGGCCCGGCCCTGGGGATTTTTTAGGCCCGGCCCCATTTATTATTTGGCATTTGTGCGTGAAATTTTGAGTCTCAAAAGGTATCTTTAAAACAATTCTTATCGTAAGCAAGTCAGCAAATGAATTAGCAACATGTCAATATATTGATTGTGTTGACTTCAACCACTTCTTACTTCAACGTTACAGAATTATGATTTTGCAATCTTTTTTGGAGGCGAAATTATTTATCACCACTTCGAAATCAAAGGCATTCAATCATTCTTTTGACCTCAGATAATTATTTATTATTTTCATCTGTAAAATGGCCCCTCATTTGGCGGAACAGAAATGGGCAGACTGAGAAACATCCGCAGTGCCATCTCGAAGTTTAGATACGCACACGTGAGACCATTAATATGTATATATGTAGAATTTTCAGGATATCCAAGGGTCCTAGTTTAATAAGGTCTTTTCCAACTTTGTTAAACGACGACATAGTAGTGCCCAGACTTTGAACTTCGTTTAAAAATGTAGGGCAGCAAAACCCGCATGGGTACCAAATTTGCGTTATTTTACCTTACGCGCTGTAAAGTTTGAAAATTGAACTATTTAAGAATTTTTTAAAAATTATTTTGATTTATTCTTCGAACTATCCTTTTCACCGAAGGACCTGGTATGCATCTGCATTGTGTACAAATAGATGCAATAGCTCCAGATTTTTTAATGTCTTCGGTGATGCAAAATCTACCCGGTACGTTTCTTTATTTGGTCAGCAAAAATATCGAAATCGAAGTTGGGCTTATCATTTTGACTGCACAATTTCCTGCTTTAGTAATTTAGCAAAATCAAGCATGTCCTGTTTTCGCCCTGTGATAATGTGATATAGGGTCTTACACAAAATTTTCAGGGTAGCGACGAATGGTCGACAAACGTTTCGTCGAAACCTGATTAGTCGACAAAACAGATATGTGGTCGGCAGAAAATTGGTCGAAACAGCGTATGCGTCGAACACGTCATACTGGTCTCCAATTTAAAGTGGTCGACAACATATTAGTCGACCAACCTTACAAGTTTTAAGTAATCCTTGCATGGGAAGATGTATAATTTTATTACTACTTATCCAGAAATTCTGCCAAAAGATAGCATTACATCGATAAGTGAAAATTGCAGTCGCATAAATTAAAAATATTACCATATTTGATCCAAATTAACATTTTTCTATCAAGGTATGTGGACTTAGAATTGATACGCCGCGCTTGTTTCTCCCAGATTTTTGCAACATGCACAATTCCGCACATCTATCAAATACACAAAGTTTTAGTTCAAAACTCGGGCCGATAAGAAAAAAAAACATCGTTTTTAATTTTAAAATAATTACTTAAAACAACTCCATTTCCCATAACAGAATAACGCGTTATGCAGGAAGACTGCAAATCAATAGATTTCGATGTGGATATGGAATAATTTTATTTATTTTGAAGTTAAAAAATCGATGACCGAGTTTTTTAATTGAACTAAAAGTTATTTATTTAATACATATAAATATGTGTGAAATTGTACATGTTGCAAAAAATCTGGGAGAAACACGCCTGGCGAACCCATTGCTACCGAAATCGTGTAGAAAAATATTTTGTCGACGAGCTGAGATTGGCGACTAGTTGGTTGTCGACCAATATGATGTTGACGAGACAGTTTGTCGGCCACCCACTTGTCCGGAGCCCCAGATTTTCAGCTTAAATTCTACCTTTTATTCCAAGGTAGGTACATAACCATTGTTAACTATTGTTCTTTTATGATCGACAATGTGATGCCATATGGTGCCTTTGTAGATTCGACATTGAAACCCAATGTGGCTGCTCAAAATCTTCGAAGCAATTAAGCACTTGTGATATTTAGCGAACTTGTTCGTACAATAATTTTAGTGGACACAATTACCCGATCCCTTCTGGAGATTACACCTGCCCTAGCTTTTTTAGTGTTTTCGGAGAGGTAAAAAAGGTTATGATGCATTTTTTACTTGGTCAGCCCAAGTAAGAATGCATAGATTGGGCTTATAATTTTCACGCCATAATTTCTCCATTTTAATAATTTGAAAGAATCAAGGATAAATTATTTTAGGCTCACAAAAGAGTAGCAATAATGAAAACCGGAATCTCGAGGGCCACAAAAAATTTAATTTTCTTAATATTTGCATAGTTGATAGAGGTGGGTTTTGTGAGTGCAACGATACCAATACTTTGCTTCAACTCTGCCCCTTCTCCCGGGGGGAGGGGCCAAAGTCGCAAAAATTGGAAACGGGGCAGCGGATTTCAAGATGCTGGGTAAAGATATCGAGATGCTACTTGCGCCAAAAGATTCGTAATTTTTTTCTCTACAACCCGAATCAAGCATTTATGGAAATTCGAAAAACGAAATTTCGAAAAATAACTTAATAAAATAACGAAAAATTGTTGATGAAAATTTGAAGTCTCACAACACCCCATAAATTGGGTATCGTTGGAAAGGTCTCGGCGAGTGGATTAAGATTATATATACTTTTTGGGGTCTGGGACCACCCCCTGAAGTTTAGAAGGCAAAGTACGAAAATCTGCGTCTGTCCAGTCCAGAATTTAACACAGCAGTGGATTGGGAGCTAACACGGAAGCACGAATGGGAGAAACTCAAAAATATTCTTCTGGCCCTATGTTCGCAGGGGGTTGTCCCAGACCCCACAAAGCATATATATTCTTAATCCACTCGCCGAGGCCTTTCCAACGCTACCTCATTTATGGGGTGTTGTGAGACTTGAAATTTTCATCAAAAATTTTTCCAAGTTATATTTCGAAATTTCGTTTTTCGAATTTCCATAAATGCTCGATTCGGGTTGTAGAGAAAAAAATTAGGAAACTTTTAGTGAAAGTATCATTTCGATATCTTTATCCATCATGGAGAAATCCGCTGCCCCGTTTCCAATTTTTGCGACTTTGGCCCCTACCCCCGGGGGAAGGGGCGGAGTTGAAGCAAAGTATTGGTATCGTTGCACTCACAAAACCCACCTCTATCAACTATGCAAATATTAAGAAAATTAAATTTTTTTGTGGCCCTCGAGATTCCGGTTATCATTATTGCTACTCAAAAGCGAAAAGAGTTTTTTTGTAACTATGTTTTAATTTTAGGGTGATTATTGTGTGTTTCTGTTCGATATTGGCACGCTATGAAATTGCTCAAAATCTTCGAAACGTTTAAATAATTTTCCGTGAAATTTTGTAGTGGACACCAGGGCCCGGCCCCCTTCGGGGCCCGGCACTGGGGAAAACCCCCACCTGGCAGCCCCTCGTAAGGGCCCTGGTAGTTGTACTTGGACTGCTACACTACATCAAACATCGTGCATTTTTTTCTCGTGCAAAAAGTGAAAAATTATTGCCGCGCGCGTGTAGCTAAACTCTTCCTACTTTTGACCTAGTGACGTCAAGTAAAAACGGTCATCACCAATGATAGGCACTAAATGTATGTACAAACCGCAACTGACCTTTTAATTTTATGTTGACCAGTTCAAAAACTACGCTCTACTATCACTTCTTATGGTAAGACTATGTATAAACAATTGATCAGTAGTACATTAAAGGCTAATTGTATTTAGTAGCACAACTAGTTCTCAATACGAACGAGAAAGTAACAAATGATAATTTCGAGAAATTCGTGAACCTAGACTTTCTTCCAGCGAGTTGCCAATTATTGCGAATATATTCTTTATTGGCAGAAGCTTAGCGTAAAATGTCTGGCATCGCGGTGATGCAAAGCCACCATCTCCTGTTACAATGATGAGGGGACGAGATATTTAAAAGATAAGGCCAGAAATCTTGTTTTTCACTTTTAGCAGCGCCTCACATAAGGAAGCTTTTTTAAAGTTATTTTATTTCATGGATTTTAGGTGATTCATATTGTCAGACAATTAAGTCCACTTGTCAAAATTGTTAAACTATTCTTCTCTGACCAGCTAGTGCGTGTCTAAATGTTTTATACCAGAAATTTCTTAAACACAACTACTATTATTTTTAGTAAATTGTTACATTGGCTGCTAATAGCAACCAGCTACATTGCAATTTTGATGAAGAATGCTTAGCAACATGAATAGTTTCAGATGCCTCCATCAAAACTCTTTCAGTTTTGAACCGATCTTAATCGGATTTGTTTTAAATGATGCATAACCGATTTGTACACAATAAAATCAGGTTTTATGCATATATTCCTTTGACATAAGTGTCTCAAATTTTGATTGTAAAGTTTCAAATTGAAATTTGGGGGCTCAAAATGCAACTTTTCTACCAGGAAAGCTGTAAAACATCATCTCCTCATTCTCGTCTGCACGATTGCTCTTTACACCTTCTGCGTAGGATTAACCGTTTTGGCTCTAGCCTTGTCTACAGTTTCAAAGGGTGTATACGAAAGCATACTTAGGCTTCGCCGTAACCATGGTGACGTTTTTTTTGCGGGCACCCATAGTTACTTTTGCCTCACCTAAGAAAAATAGTTACTTAAAGTTAAAGCAATAAATGTAATGTAGTAGCGGAAACCACATCAAAGAAGCATATCAAACCCACATACTTACGAGAGATTGTAAAATGAAACTTACTTGCATTATTATCACGGGCATAAAGTTACATGTTTAGCATACACAAAAGTAAACTGACAAAGTCAGTTAAAAATTATGGAAGTATTAGATAGTCGTCGTGAAAGCCCACCACTAACTTAAACGACACAGGATGAGTTGCTCATCCAGCCACCCAGCAACTTGCTCATTTAAAAGTTTGGAATAAATTACTGCCAGAGTAACCTAACAGGGTAGTCCACACTGGTTTTCGAAATTATTGAAACGCTGAAAGAGGAAGAAAATGACAGCCCAGGCTGCGCTTTGTATGCTTTTATTTTCAATGTATCAAGAATATAACAAAAGTTAACAAGTCTTTCAATCCTAAATCACATCGTTATCTCATCCAGATCCACAAGGTACAATAACGCACTATAAATGCGTGTAACTATTAATGTATCTTCACAACCTTACGCTTAATTACATCGGTAACAATTAAAACTCTTGTAAACATTGTTACATAATCACAAAACAGTTATGTATGTCTCCCTGCTAATTATCTTTGTTCAGTGAGCAATACTTGTTTTCCTCGTGCGTCGGAAATCTGTCAGATGAGAACCTCTCCAGGTACGCAGGAGGGACAAGTATTACCATCTTCGATCGTATTAGTAGACACTGACATTTTCAGTTTATCGTCACTACTTGCTTTCTCCTTCCACTTCCTGTCATCTTCAATACTTAATCCATTCTGCTGTAGATTCATCACAATAAACTCATCTCCACCACTCACACTAGTACGAGCAAACGTGGTATCTCCTTCCCTCCTCGTAACAGTATTGCCAATGTCACCACATGTATTATCCTCCTCGTCTCTGCAGTTCGTGTCAAGAACCTTGTGCTTCTCTTTTTTCCCCTTACACGACTGTAGATTAGAGGAGAAAGCGTCATTGCTGCAGAATATGAGGACTGGCAAAAGGAGGACGTAGCAGTAGAAGAGTGAGACCAAGATGTAGAACGAGTTCGATCTGCAACACAAGTCAGGAGATAGTTTAATTTATTAAAATTGTGCATGATTGCCAATTTGTCACCACCAACCTGACTCCATCCTCACAGTCCAATTCGGGATGCTGCATAAATCTATCGTATCTCGCTTGTAAAGTTGTATTCTTATAAATCGACACGCCCACACCGAAGGGGACCCATAGGAGGACGAAAACCATGGAATTGATATATATAAATCGTATCCGACGGACTCGTCTCTGCATCCGAAGACACGGCACCTGAATGATGGACATGTGTACAACGGACGAAACATAATAATTTAAGCTTGCCTTTCACTTGGCCCACACAACTGAACTATAACTACATTTATTTTAATTTTATAAATTCCAATGGATCAGAGCGCATTAAATGCAAGAGAGAAAGCTACCGCTATGTAAAGAGCATCATCTAAATATTAAAATGCACTCTTGTGAAAACGTGGGGGACGGAGTAAATATTTACGTAAGTGCAACAGGTATGCACATATCCATGTTGATATACGGATGCAATAATGCCTAAATATAATACCGAAAACCAGAAAATTCTGAGATCATGGCATGGCTTGATGGATGAATTTACTGTGTAATCCGAGATGTAAACGGAGAAGAGTATGTAATCCTTCAGGGAAAGTTCAAGTGGGTTTAGGTTTCGCTTGCATTTTTTATTCCACGAACTATTCTTGCGTAAGCAATTGTCGAGCAGGTGTACATAGTCTTACCATAAGAAGTGATAGTAGAGCGTAGTTTTTGAACCGGTCAACATAAAATTAAAAGGTCAATTGCGGTTTGTGCATACATTCAGTGCCTATCATTGGTGTTCACCGCTTTTACTTGACATTACTAGGTCAAAAGTTAGAGAAGCTTAGCTACACGCGCGCGGCAATAATTTTTCACTTTTTGCACGAGAAAAAAATGCACAATGTTTGATGTAGTGTAGCAGTCCAAGTACAACTACGATCTGGTTGCCAAAACTATTAAAGTAATCCTAGACACAGTGTCTATCTTTGGTATAAAGGTTTCGGTGGTCCAAGGTCAAGAAAGACTACAGTGATGTCCGAAGCTTTAAATACCAGAATAGCACAAAATCTCTATCTGACGCCGGAGATTTGGTCCAAATAAATGACCTTTCAACTTTACAATTCAGATGAGCACTAAAAAATGATCCTAAGATGTAGGTCTTTTAGATTAGAAACCGTCACATGCTACAGATTTCCCAAGTTTAAGCAAGGGTCAAAAACTCGACCTCTCTCCCCAAACGGTACGGTGAAAAAACCAAAAAAAAATAACCCGTTTACCGATGATAATTTCTTTACGACAGAAACATATTTCAACAAAAAAACTAACACGCTTTATGTCAAATATTCTAAGGGTTAGCTGATTACAAAATAAAGGTCAAAATGTTATCTTATCAAGCTCCATTCATGGTTTTGGTTGGAATCGGCGGAATAGAGCAAAAACAGCCCAATTTCCTTGATTAAGGAGAGGAGATAGTTAAAAAAAATATTTGATAAACGTCCTGATGAAACTGGAGCACTCCCTCAACTAGTCCATATCGGATGTAAACCCTCCGACCTTTGTGAAGGCGTCTACAGTAGCATTTACAGCGAAATTCGTTAAAAACCGGATTAAAATCAATATTTCTGACTTCATTTGCACTTTAGGTTTAACGTTGGAATTTTCGAACCGCAGACAACTTCACCACCAAATATTGATTAAAATTGGGGAAAAGGTCTGTTCTGAGCCCCATATAACTGTCGGGGTCAAAAAAAAATTTCTGACCCGGGAATGATACACTTTGTCCATTAATTTCGTGCGTATTTTTGATGGTGCTTTCATCATCAATTTTTCGTGGTAACAGGAGAAATATATTTTCAAGTTTAATACATGTTTTCTACTTGAAATTTAACTGGCTTTTCAATGGAATAAAAATAAATTTGAAATTCCTTAAAACTAACCTAATATAGTCGTCTACTCTACTATCACTTTTTAAGTTGAGACTATGTAGTGTGCCATGAATGAATATATCATACTTGCCAACGCAAAATTACCTATTGCAATTGTGTAGATACGTTTGTGTAATTAGACTTTGTACACGAAAAGCAAACATATGCGGATGATTTAAATCAAAGAAAATTACCTAAATTAAATTAGTAACCTAATGTATAATATCAATACACCTTACTCACCGTAAAATGAAAGAAATGCTTCAAAGTTGCTCGAATCCGATAGAGCTCTGTAAACCAATAGGAAATTCTTATTGCGTATTATTCTTATTAAGCATAATACGAATGAGTCTAGAAACATGCATGAAAACACATCTGTGTGGCAAAAGGAGATGGAGAAAGTTCAAGGGTGAAGAAAACTGCTTAGTTAAATAATCAGATTAAATCATTAACCAGCGTCACATCTCACCGAACATCATATAAACCGGGATCGCCACGTGGAAGATCAAAGACCTCATCACCTCGTACATAAGCCCAGCACAGAAATAGTCACCGGGTGGAGCTTTCATACAAACGTAGTGAACTGTTTGGTCCGAGTGGGTGTGGTGCACGAGGACGGTGACAAATAAAGATGGGATTGCGCCTATAAGAGAAAGTATCCAAATTCCTCCAATTAAGCGCCCCACCAAAAGTTTTCCCTCCACGCCAGCACCGGACGGGTCCACTTTTCTGACGCGTTCGTAGCTGATGCTTAGGACGGAGAGAGAAATCAGGCTAATACCAACATCTACAAGATATAGACGACAAATTCGGTGTATTAGGGTGATTAGTGATACCTTGTAATTACATTACGCAATATATAGTCGTGTATTGAACACATTATCGCTGTCTACAAATCGTTACCAGTCATTCGCCACGTGGTTGGTTTTATCTGATTCATCGTTTTTTTTTACTTTTACATAACTCATGATTTGGTACTCACTCCTAAAATACGAGAAGACCGAGCAAATCCACAAATTCTGCAAGACGACGTCCAACCCACTAATATAAACGGCACCCAGTCCTGCCGAAATTATAGAGACGAAGGCAAGATTGGCAATTAAAGCGTTCAGTGGCCTGCGCATACCAAAAGAACAATTACAATTACTCAATTACAGACAAATTAGATTAGTCGTAAGCTTAAACCTGATGACAGATTTTGTAAAGATGGTGTAAAGGAGGAAGCTATTCAGAAAGATTGTTGCCAAAGCCAGCGTCGTGCCAAGAAGGGATGTAATAGTGTGTCTCAGATTGTTACTTTCCATTGTGGAATTTATTTGTGAAACTGACGAGCAGTAGACGAGTCCACCTGTTATTGCGTGAATAGATAGAAAATTGTGCGAAAATTGTCAGATTTGTCAAAAATTCCAATTTTAAATCACACTTTCTTTGTCAATACCTGCTGAATTATTTATGTTCAACATAATGGTATTGGAATTATGAGCATGTGAAAGAACACCACCTGCTTCTGTCGTCAGAACAAAATGAGATTCTTCCCAGGGTTTCCGGTTCCTGCTTCTTTGATCTTTATATCGAACAGTAAAATGATCCCAGTTGTTGAAGAGGAAGGAAAGTGAGACACGTCCAACTCGGTGCGCGTCTTTATTGCGAATGTTCATGATCCACACACACACTTGGGAGCATTAGATATCTGATGGGACTTTCTCCACGGTGCTTGAACCGCTGCCATTATCGTCGCGTAACTCCATACAATGTTCATGGTCGCCCAAATCTGAGACTTGTGTACTTTTACTACACACTTCCGTTTTAGTCGTTTTCGCAAAGTTTCTCCTGCACCTGTATCCTCAAGCGTGGCGTGCATTATGACACAATCGAGTGGGGCAATGTTTAGTTTTCGTTGACATTTTCAAAGAAAAAAAACATTTCTATTTGTGGATTTTTATTTGTTTAAACCCTAATTTGCAATTCCCTAAGGATAACAATTCTTTGATCGAATGTATGTATTCGCTCTCCATGGGTTGCAACCCAGGGTGCATAAACTTTTTTGTTGTCCGTGGTTCCTAAGGAGAAACCACGGACAACAAAAAAGTTTATGCACCCTGGTTGAAACCAATCTCTTCCCTTCCTTGTGCTAAAGAAGGAAATAAAATTATGGAATCGAGTTTTCTTTGACAATTTTATAAAGAATAATTCTTCAATGAACAATTCAATTGCTGGGTCTCGTTTGGTTTCACATGGAAGTACGAATGCTCCAGAATGTCTTCTTTCACATATAGTTTTATGTGGCACACACTCCTGACTGAAAGATAAAACTTTATGGCTAAACTTACTAATTACAAGAAATCATAAATATTATATTATGAAAGCCTTAGATTTACTTTGGGGCTTTATACCTCGTAATACAGAAAGTTGTCCATTAGAGAAAAGTAATCATTAAACTCAAAACTCACTCTCGTCACACATCCCAGTTCCTTTATTCTACTGAGACTTTTTTTATAAATCCATGTACAATGTACAATTTCAGTTTACAGACAGCAAATCCTGGACCACTAAAAGTATACATAAAGCTTCCATTTCACTCATCCTCAGCCTCCTTCAGTACATAATAGGTACATACTTACAAACGGTACCTTGCTGTCCTTTCACTAATTGTAACCTAGGCCATTCTCCTATACTCTCTGTAAAATTTACACTGCAAATCCACATCCCATTCACCCAAAAAGTTTGAGGAGTCTCACCCCACTTTCAGAATCAGTTTTGAGTGGAAGCTCACTCGGACGAGATTTCAACTTTCACATCATCTCATCCCGACTTGCGTTTTGTTGTCTCACTTTACTCACTTTGAAGTGTGTGTGTGTGTGCCTGAATCAATTTATTGCATCCTGTTTCAACCACTACTAAGCACTACCTTAATTACACACAACATGCCGCGTCGGCATCATTTCCACATCAGTTGTAGGGCCACTACTTCCATCGTCATCATCTTTTGTTCTTTCATCCTTTCATGCCAATTTGCTTCTGCTCAACAACCACGACAAAGTCAACAGAGACAAAAGAGCCAGGTAATAAAGTAAATCCACAAAACGTCAGAATTATTATGCTTCCATTGCCAAGAATTGAAATTTGACCAATATTAGCCAAGACTGCTTCAAAACCCGGGATCGTCCTCTTCCTGGGACGTGTACAATGCAAATAACGATTTCCTGTTGCGGGATCCAATTATTGACGACTTTTCATCGCAATTGCCGATAACCATTGTGAAATCCACGTCAATTTCGTCATCCTCCTCCAAAACAAATGGGGCAGAAATTCAGACGAAAAGCAATCTTCCTTCGCCAACTAGTAATGGGACACCACTGCGGAAAAACAGTGATGACGTTAATCAAATGCTGGGAACGTTGGAAGATGATTTGATCCAGGTAGAATTGCTTATCAAAAATTGTAAAAATTATTGTGCAACCAGCTAGTCCAATAATTAAAATTAGTAACTAATAATTCTAATTATTGAATTATAAATATGTAGATGATCAATGAAGAAAACGTAAAACTGGAAAAATTTATCAATCATAAAATTCAAAGTTTTGAAGAAAAATTGAAAGTATATGAAAATTCTACCTTACTTGGAGACAAGCAGTTTGCAGATTTATACGTCAGACTTGAAACACTGAGCGAGGTAAACTGATACATTATTGATATTACTTAACTTTGTTTGATTTCATGAAATCGTTTCATCCGATACGCACATAAATTATGTATGTATGTGCATCCCTGAACTCATATATACCTACGTACATACAGCTACATATTTTCCTAGGTTCAGGAAAACAATTCCATGCAAACATTACGCAGAAGCGATTCTACAGAATTTCTCCCACACGGTTTTAAAGACGACGAAGACGACCAAACGCAGCTAGCAATGGAATTTGCAAACTGGCTAAACAGCTTTATACAGGAATATGACACGTATAAAATATTTACCCCGATTGCCAACTCAATTCAAGCATTTCGAAATTCTAAGAAACGAGTGAGTCCTCCAAGTTCTTATTGATTTTGGTATTGATTATTTGCTACAGTCAACTTTTGATAAATATGTATTTCCATGCAGTCCTTTCAACTAGAAAATCGGATGCAGAGAAGATCGTCCGAATCGGGTAAAACAGGCAATTTATGATGATTAAAGATTCCCAATATTGTTTGAAGTTTAACAATTATTTATTATGCAGAATGTGGAGGAATCGTGTTAGGCGACGCTGGCGAAATTGCATTCTCTCCCCCAGAAGATGACGAGTTTTACCCATCGAGATGTATCTGGACACTTCGTGTCACATCGCATCAGCAAATAGCCTTTAATCTTATAGAAGACAACTTCCCCTCGGGCGGACGAGACACTTATCTCGCCATACACACTTTGACCTCCATCCCCAAACTGTATTTTGGATTCTTTTCATTTAAAGATGCAGGGAACCCGGGCATAAAAGGGCCTGTTGTTTTGTAAGTGGAAATTATGTGTTATCTGTATGTATGTAATGCATAAAATAATCCTTCCCACTTATCCTGTAGACGCCACAATGACAAATCCGACACAATCGTTGACGGTCCAGTAGTTTTCATCACTTTAGTCTCATCCATGGATAAAATTGCGCCCAGTTTCAAGCTCAAATTTGAATCTATCGGGCTGAAAATACCGATTGATTCCGTTAGCCCTGTGAAATATAACCACTTTCACTACACTGATCTTGATGGTGTAATTGACTACCCAAAAACTTCCTGGTCGTGGCTGTTTGGCACAGGAAAGTGGTACAGAGGACCGGAAATTGCGACCTTTACCATTTCACCTCAACAAAAAGAGAAAATCAACTCCATTAATATTTTCGTGGATGATATTAGCATTCGTAAATCACTGTTTTGGGGCGATTGTGACCAAGACTCGTTAACTTTTTTCAACGCTGCAAACTCTCGTGTGAAGAAATATGGAACAATTTCTGGTAAAGTGGCTGACAAAAAGGGGTAAGGATAAAATTATACGTACAGTGTCGGACAGATGTCTACGTCCACATAGTCGCGTCAATTTCATTTTCAAATTGTCACTGAACTACTGAACCAATTTTCATCATTGATATATCAAATTCTCACAAATTTAACGTAATTTCATAAAACATATGAGTTATTTCTGAAAATTCTGGGAAAACTGAGAATCATAGTGCAGAGCGAGAGAGGATGAAATTTGAGCGGACAAAAGTCTACGTCCACTTCACTTTAATTGTTAACAACAAAAATCTCTCCAATTTATAAAATCAGGTAACTTAATAAATCTATTAATAACATATGCCGCATTAATTTTTAAATAATTTTCTTCCAGAAAAATATGATGGCGTCGACACGCAAGGAAATTCCTATCGCTATTCGAGATCTTGTCATTCAGGACTGGAAGGGTGGACAAAAAGGGGGGCTGTCGCAGAGACAAATAGGGACCAAGTATAAATTAGCAAGGACAACCATCCAGACAATCATTAAGAACTTTAGAGCTAATGGTTCAGTCCAAAACAAGGTCAGAAGTGGTCGAAAACCGATTTTGGCTCACCGAGAAGTACGCCACGTGCTCAACAAAGTCAACGTTACACCCTCACTTAGTGCTCCAAAGCTATCTACCGAGATCAAGGAGATGTTCGGCAAACAGGTTAGTCCTATGACCATCCAAAGAACACTGAATAAGGGAAATTTGAAATCCCACAGAGCAGTCCGGAAGCCTCTTATTGTACCGAGGAATGCAACCAAACGAGTGAAGTTTGCCAGAGACCACATTTCCAAGCCACAAACATTCTGGGACATATTTTATGGACTGACGAGTCAAAGTTCAATGTCTTTGGGTCAGATGGGCGTCGTAGAGTGTGGAGATATCCAAAAGAAGCTTTGAATCCAAAAAATCTCAACCCCACAGTTAAGCACGGCGGCGGGTCGGTAATGGTGTGGGGATGCATGGCTTCAAGTGGGGCAGGAAAAATGGAATTTATTGACGGAATTATGGACCAATACAAGTACCAGGGAATACTTGACCGTAATATCCAGGAATCTGTTCGAAAACTTGGACTTGGACGACGATTTGCCTTCCAACAAGACAACGATCCGAAACACTCTGCCAAGTCCACCATGGAATACTTCAAGAAAAAAAAATTCCGAAGCTAGAATGGCCTCCCCAATCTCCAGACTTGAATCCCATTGAGCATCTGTGCGACCACATTGAAAGAGAAATAAGAAAACAATCTTTTTCAGGAATTCCGGGCCTTAAATCCAGAATTCGTGAAGTTTGGGAAACCATTTCTGAAGATGTGACCAAGAATTTGGTAAACTCAATGACTCGACGCCTTGAAGCCGTCCTTAAAGCGAACGGAGGCCCAACCAAATATTAAAAATTAATTGTTATAACATTCCTTATAAATTACAGTTTTTTTTGTATGTTTTCTCTGACTGGACGTTGACTTTTGTCCATCCAATTGTTTTCATTTTGAATTAAAATACATCTCTGGCCTAAAATAAATTTTTTAGCGGAAAACTAATAATGTGCTATGAAATTACGTTAAATTTGTGAGAATTTGATATATCAATGATGAAAATTGGTTCAGTAGTTCAGTGACAATTTGAAAATGAAATTGACGCGACTATGTGGACGTAGACATCTGTCCGACACTGTACAAAGCTCATCTTAAAATGCAATAGTGATGCAACCACTTGTACATATAAACGAATGGTTTTTCAGACTTGATCGATATTGCGGAGATTTTAAGGAATCCGACCAAATAACGAGTAAGGATGGTGAACCGATTATTGTCGTGTTTAAGACTGATCTAATTGTTGGAGGACATGGTTTCGAGTTCAGTTGGGAAACCACTTAACCATATTAAATGCATACATATGTTTATTATGAGATTCATTATGCCATGACTGACAATTATTCTACAGATGTGTTTAAAATCTAGATACATACTGATAAGCTGCAAATAAAGTGATTACTTTTGGGCAATTAAAAAATTCTGGCAAAGTTATAAAACTTTTGGCAGGTGCATAGTTCTAACCTGAATCATATAAAGGACTCCATCACATTTTTGTCCATTTGTCAAGTTTATGTTTTGGGTTCAAGGCCATCTTGCTGGAAAAGGGTCCTTCGAGAAGTGCCATATTTTCCAAGAAAAGGTTCTCTTGGAAAATCTGTCTCTTTCTCATGCTGGAGTGTTGATCTTTTATTTACTTCAATTTATTTTTGGTACAAGAGAATCCTTTCTGGAATTTAAGGTTTTCCATGAACCTTTATGGGTCGCGTGATTCAGCACCTGTAAACTCATCTTGCTTTTCACATGCATTGTTATGCCAGATGAAAGAAAAAGGATGTAATATTGAGTTCAATGCTTTAAAATCTACACTTGCAGTGAAAAACATTACGTTTATATTGCTTATATTTTTCTTTTACGATTGGCTGGCCCATCCGTTAACCTCACAAATCCAGCAGGGCATACAAACCGAAGTCTTTTACCTGTATAACCTTTTCTAATCCCAAGGAACAGTTGACAATGTCATCCCTCTCGCACACAGATCTGGAAGATTCTCATTTTCATTGCGACTATTGAGACCACGAAAGGACTCATTTTAAATACGTTGCAAAAATGTTCCCAGTTTCGAGATACAAACCAATTTCAAATAGCCAAGTTATTATTCTTTCGCTAAATTTTCTCTTCTTTTTTACGACTACTTCTGGACAACAGCGAGGATTGGATGGGAGTCAGAATGTACAGGTATGCATGAAGACTAATTTTAACTTAAACGTAAAAGTCTGGTCCCAAAATAACCTCTGATGATTACAAATCAGCTCCCAAGACGTGCCCCCATCCTTGACTACAAGCCACAGGGACAAGATATCATTCCAGTGTTACCTTCCTCGCCCTCTGGCATTGGCACTGGCGGGGTGTACCGTTCCTTCATCCAATTCGACAGAACTTTAGAACCTCTGCAAAATGACCCCTCCTCGCCAAACGCTCGTGAGGAGCAGAATGACTGCTGGGTGGACGATGGCACTGTGGAAAAGTTTAAGCTCAGATTACGACAGGTTAAATAGTTTTTTGTAATGTTAAAAATGATGTTTTTCTATTATAAAATTAGATACCACTTGATTTTTGCAGCGCCTTCAGCAAAATCGTGAATACATGGAAGCAGTGATTGACCTCAAATTCAACCAGTTGGAAAATCGTTTTATATCGATTCAAGAAAATTCTCTTTTGGCTGAAAAAATTTTACTGCTTAACGAGACCGTAACCAATTTGGAAGATAGCAATCTCATCGTGGAATTCAAAACAACGATGGTAAATTAAAAATTTAAATAACATTTAAAGATTCTTGATTGACAAAATTTATATTTATTCCAGAGCATTGATAATAATTTGGTGGAAGATCGCATGGACAATAATAATCGATCCCAAGAGGACAACGCTTTACTCCATTTCTTCAGTGTGGTGAATTCTCTTGACTTGCCGAAAACATGGTCATGGCCATCGCTCAGTTCGGTACACCCATGGATTGAAAGATTGTTGGAATACAACACATTTGTATCCAGTAATCCAGAGGTATGGATTGGGTAGAATTTATGATAGATAACAATAACATGTACAATTGGTCAGGAAATATTAAGCGCATGCCATTAATTTACAGTTTAATCTCATAACTATACACGACATTTCAAATGACACGGCGGAGATACCTAAAAATTTAATAACATCCTCAGGTCCACATTTTGCTTACTTCATTCAAATCATGAAATTTTGAAGTTTTTCAAAATATTTTGCTAATAATTTGATAGAATGTGGTGGTGCAGCCATAACCATGACTGAAGGAACCTTCTCCTTTCAACCGAATGACAATTCTGATAACTTTACTCTCTCTGGGGGCACATGCATATGGAGAATAGCACCAACAAATTCGCAATCTGTCGCCATTAGATTTGAACAAGATTCATTCCTAAGAAAACATCGCGATGCAAATGTGTCCCTCGTCCCTTCGGATGTCTGGACTTGGTCACCAATTCAATACGGAAAGAATTATGATCGGAACACCATTAAAAAAAATTGCGATTGGGAATGGAATTGTCATTCTTACAATGATGGCCCCTCCTCTACCTTCCTGAAAACAGATCGGGTCGTCCGTATTTTAAATGAAAGCTCGAAACTGAAGAGATTGTAAATGTTTGATATTAAAAAATATCTAATTGTCAAATTTTGTGATCATTTGTTTTATCCTCAGATTTCACCATGATCGGGAACAATACAAGTTTGACGAGAAAAATGTCTACATAATTTTGAATTTTGATCCCAGTAAGGGAACGCCACCCGCGTTTTCACTTCAATTCAAGGGAAGATCCTGTATGTTTTGCTATGGAGCAGAACACGATATCAAACCTAAAACACAAATGCATGGGAAATTGGATAATGATATTTATGAAATAATGGATATTTATGTAACCATGTTTGGAGTGGTGTCCATCTTTCAAGACAGCATTAATTGGATGGGTGAACGGCTTTTACAGTTTTTGTAGTTTTTGCGGCGAATCAATTTAATTCAATGCTCGGTCTCACGAAAATTCTACAAGTATCAAAACATGAAATACGTTCATGCAGATGTAACGTACAATTTCCCAAAGACTGATCCTGAGGCTATCAAATACAAAATACAATTATTGAATAGACATGTATATTGTGTGCTTTTCTCGTATGTTTCTACTTCAATAAACCTCTGTTATATGTACATAAATAGGTACGTATTTTCTCTTCGTTCGTGTCAATTATAACAATCACATTGTCCGTCAATTATTTAGTTAGTAAAAAGAAATCTTAAGAACACCCAAGACACTTGTAGGTATATGATACTTATGACGTATGTACCTGAAGAAAAATTATGCCATTATCTAACTGTTAGATAATGGCGTATTTTTCTCTTCAGGTACATATGTTGATATGTTAGATTCTAACATAACGCGTGTTTCAAATAAATATACATATTAATTTATGCATATTCGATTTCGTACGTGTGACTTCTAGAATAGAAGAACAGCAACGTGCTGACACCGAATAAAATAAACCTACAGTGCAGACTTCATTTAGTCCGAGTCAGGGTCAGACTCCCATTTTAAATTTTTGTCCGATAACCCAAGAATTATTATCAACGACCCCGATTATATCTATCTTACTGTCTTCTCGGCATACATGTTTCTATACACCTGGCATATTTAATATTCTTAATCATCATCAACTCTCACATTTATCCAGTTTTTTATGTCAACTTCAAAAGCAGAATGGGTCACCTTGTTAAACCACCTGCTCCCAAATTTCGTAACTCTCACAAGTCACAACTCATCTATTGTGTTTAAGAACGGAAGGACGGACGGATGTACATGACGGTTCCATAAACGCTGACTCAGGCTAAAAACCTACCAATCAATCAATCAATACGGACTAATTTACAAATGGTTTAAAACCCCGTGTCCAATTGACAATCTGTGTCAGAACTTTATTCGAAACCGAGTTTCACTTATCAATACCTCGTTATCATACGGTAAAACTGTACAGTCTTCAAATTCCAATTTATTTAACCTTGCACTTTAATATTTCAATATTTCAGAAAATCGCCAATTACCATGTCTTACTTTCTTCAAATATTCTGTGTAATCACACTGATTTTTGCCACTGCCTCAAAAAACGGCATTCAAGCCCAAACTGAGGAATGTCTCCCAATTCCGAAGGACTGCTCATTCTACACTCGCTGTCTCGAGGCAAACGTTCCATGTGGTCCGAATGGCTACGCTCTCGAATATGGCAACAAATTCTGTAACAAGTTTTTAGAAAATATTTCAAAATTTACCTCAGATGGACAAACCTGGTTATTTAATACGATGACCTGTCTGCAAGGTGTCCTCGTTCCGATTGCCAATAAAGAAGTTATTATGAATTGTAGTGCGATTGAAACCTTTGCATTGAGTTCGCATCCGGCCTGCTATGTTGACTCTCCTCCAGGCATTTGTTTTTTGCCAATTTCTGATAAAATTGAACTACTAAGAATAATTGGCATTTCGACATCGGCGCAAGTATTGGAACAAGTCATCACCGTCCTCGAGATGTGCAGTTCTTCGGAGTTTCAGGACATTGTGGATGCATTACAGATTTCTGACCTTGATTTGTACCTGAGAATTCTTCTAATTATCAGTGGCTAACCAGGTTCACTTTCACTAATGTCAGAACTCCTGGTTTGTTCACACTCCAACAATAACCATTTGTAGTATATTGTAGAAATATATGTATATATTTATATTATTACGAGCAGCATCATTGAAAATCAAAAATTTTAACTAACTTTTATTCTACTATATTCGACACTGTAAAAATCTGATAATAAACTGAGAAAAATGATAAGCATATACATGGAGGTGTTCTTACATAAATGAAAGGACTGGTTTTTCCACTCGCTTTCTACATTTCATAAATTGTTCAAATTTTGTTATTTACTATATTTTATGGAAAATTCAGTAAGCTGCCTGGAACAGAAACGAAATTAGGTAAGTTATCTATGTTCGTTCCAAAATGAGAGAAAAAAATGCACAACTCAGAAGCTAGTTTTTAATGAATCAACATTCAGTTTTAGAAATTGCATCAATATTATTAAAATTTGGTTACTGTTTCAAGTAATTGTTGTCATCCTTCAAGTAATATACATAATTATTTAGTATTTAATTCTGATTTCTGTTATTCACATTTAGCTGCAATAACAATTAGTATCAATATCAATTTGCCTCAAATGGTTTGGGTAATGAAAGTCTCATTATGGTGTTACAGTCTCACTCTGCCTCATAGTCACAGCACTAAATATCCATGAGTGAAATAAGCTTGTTGTTCGTTTCTCCTTTGTTCATCATGCGTGTTATAAGCATGTATGAATGAACAATTATCACCTGAACTTTACCAAGGTTTATAGTGATCTAGACTACAAGTGTCATCATTATCTCCCTGATGCAATCTAATTTTAGGAGTTTTAATCAAATCTGAATTAATTTCATAAAAAAAATGTATTTTACTGCAACACAGCAGCTTGGGAAACGTGAGACCCTGACGAAGACGAGATCGGGGCGAGGCAAGGGTACGAACTCCACGTGATACTTTCACTCTGCACAACACGTTCAAGTTGTGACTCGCAACTTGTCAGTCGATTTATGTTGCGTGCGAGTTCTCCAATTTTAAGTGACTGCAATTAATTGATAGTAAAAAAAAATATATTTAATGGTCATGTTTTGACCAAGTCTAACCGACTCTTCCTTCCTTCCTACGTAGCTAACATAGTTAAAATTATCACAGAATATGGAGGAAAAAGAGAACGGCGACTTCCGGCATTCACCAGTTGCCGGTGTCGACACTGCTGAAACTAAACTTACAAATGAAAAAGATGTACAAAATTACGAGGACTCCTCCCCACATATTCTCACAGAAGACCTTGTCACCACTCCGAAAGTCAAAAAAGAGATTACGACTGAAATAAACAATGACCACATTGACGAATCATCTCAAGAGATAAAGACTGAACCTCCCGAGCTTAGCAGTGGGGACAGAAAACTACTAAACTTAGTAGTTGTCAATACTAACATCGATGTCAAACAGGAAACGGACACTGACGCCAAAATCAAAACTGAAAAGTCTACGCCGAAAAATAAGCTAAAAAATTACGGGCGTACTCGCGTCGAAGTAGTAAGAAAAATTACACGGATTATTTTTTGCCAACTTTGCTACGCTCAAATACCATCCGTCTCGAAATTCAGGATCCACTTGGATCGAGAACACAACATCCAGGTCAAAGGCCCCCCTCGAATCGTTGATAGTGATGATTGGTAAGATAACATGCTATAAAAATCATATCTTACTTTTACGTATAATAACTTGATCCATTTCTCTTTAGTGACAACGAGTTGACGATGAAGAATGCATCCGATGCATTGCGACGTGCCGAGAACACCCCCCGCACCACGGTAGTCCTCTCTGATTCTGATGATGATGACGACGATAAGTCATCCGATGATTCAGAATCTTCGGAGGATTCCGATTCTGATGACCAAGAGCAAGAATCAAAACCAGCAGAATCACAAGTCTCGACGGAGGAGTCTTATTTGAAACTAAAAACACGTCTCATGAAAAGAATGATGCGACGGGAGACAAGATCAAAACTTCGGATAGAAAAATTGCTCGCCAAACTCGGGAAGAATCAGACAAAGTACACCCAGTGTAATATTTGCTGGATTGAGCAACTCGAGACTGACAAACATGAACCTCTACGAGTAGAACATAAGAGGCAACATACAGATGGGGAGTTCAAATTGTGTCAATTTTGTGGAATGAGCTTTTTATATGAATATTACTTGGAGAAGCATTTGGAAGATTTGAGGTGAGTGGTTATTATGAATGATTCACATTTTTCTATTTGGGCCATTCATTATACAAGTTAATTAATCATTAAATATCTGCATAGCGTCCCCACCGTTCCTTCCACCATGTCCCCACTTGAAGCTGAAGATCTCCTCCATGAGACTCATTCTTGTCCTGATTCTGGTTGTGGTGAGATTTTTGCCAACAGAAAATGTCTACTTTTCCATCGGACAAACACTCACGATCATTATCACCGATGCCCAACTTGCGAAAAAGTTTACATTCTGTACTCTGACATGAGAAAGTGAGTTGGAATTGAATAATTCATATATTTTTTCGAATCTTGTCAATCAGTAAACTATTTTTTATTTAAACTGTAATATTTTCGTTTCAGGCACATACAACGCGTCCACAATTATGAGAATCGTCTCCTGCCTTGTCCAGTTCCACAATGTGACAAGTCGTTTCGTAATCGTCGTGGAATTTCATCCCATATGACTCATGCTCATACAGTTGAGGAAAAAGAAAAATACTTTACAAGTACTATCGGACAACCAAACAACAAAATTGATAAGACTGAGTCAGACAAAAACGCTAATAATGACGAGGAAGACGACGACAAGAGTAATGTTGTCGCCACCTCTTTGCCACCAGAAATAAGTGTCCGTCACAATTTACCTCAGCCGTTCTGGAGCAGGAGAAATGCAAAATTAGTGAAAATTCGAGACCTTATCAGGAAAAATAGATTGCATGGGTAAAAATTGTGTAAAATATGAACTATAATTTAAAGGTTATGTTTAAATTTTTTAACTTGTATCAACATGCATTGAATTTTTAGACCCAGACGAAAATTCAAGTCCATCTCAGCACGACCATCACTTGCTCCACTGCCCTCGCAAAAACAGCGTTCACTGAATACATCCAATAATTTTCTAACAAATAAACCATTTCTTCTACCGGTCAGACAGACGCCCATAAGTGTGAACCAACAACCCAGTGTGAAGTGTAAACCAAAAACTAAATCGGCTAATATCATCACAAAACTTGGAGGCTTTGATCTCCGTTACAAAGGTGCAAAGTACAGAAAATCGCTCTTGTCCGTGCCACCGAAACAAAATGTGAATTTCAATGACAAACGTAGAAGTATTCCTTCCCACCGAACATTCTCGATGCTTTGTTCACTGTGTACACGAGGATTCCGGTAATTAACGTTACGTTAATAACGCAAATGAAGTTCATGAATAATATAATAAGTAAGTTGCATTTATTACTTTACTGGCAGAACTAGGACAGATCGCGATGCTCACATGGGTTCCACACATCACCTTGATTTCACTCAAGAAAAACCATACATTTGTCCTATTACTGATTGCGATAAACGGAACTACGTTAATGGGCCAACGTTACTCCGACACATTCGAAGTTGTCATCCACCTTCGGTAGATGAAGAACTCTTTCGGCATAGTATAGAAGAGGACAAATTAGCAGAAGCTGCAAATCCTTCATCGACTCTTAAGTGTTCAGATTTAGCCGCTAATGAATGTCAGACAAATAACATGATGGGCCGTAAAGGTAAAATCGCTGCAAAAATGAAACTTGAAAAAGACTTCTGCGACCAGCAAGAAAAAGAAAAGAAAGTTCGGAAAAGACAAAAACAAATATCGCCAGGTCACTTAGGTCCCACAAACAGAAACCTTACTCATTCATCAGGTCCAACTCCTGCTCGGCGTCGCCAATTCCCCCGACGTGTTTTGGGTCGTAGTTCCGAAAAGCACGGTCCGGAAGCTATAACCATTCGAGAAGTTTTGGCGAAATTTAAACTCAAAACTGGATATTACTGCCCGGAATGTCCAGTCCCCAAAGGAAAGTCGTTTGCATCTACGTGGAACGTTCATCGACATCTTGAAGTACTCCACCCAACTTCAACGTTTCTCTTATGCCCTGGCTCGATTAAGGACAAGAATATTGGTGGTGATGGAATTTTTTCGACAAAAATAATCGAGGAGGAAGATGAAGAGAGTGAAGAAGAGGTCGCTGGACCCTCAAGACCTGTCGAGGAAGATGAAGAAATTGAGGACGCTGCTAACATTAAAATGAGCAATGTTAAGCCTAAGCCCCAACCGAGGAGGACACCATCATCCACCTCTACTGGAAATCCCCTCCTTCCATTTAAACTACCCAATGGCAAATATTACTGTCCAGAATGCAATTCAGATCCATCATCTCAGCCAAAGTATTCACGACCTTTTGAACTATTACGGCATGTTAGTGATTGTCATCCAGGTTCATCTCTTTTGACACCTAAAAAATCATCCAGAGAAATAAAACCTGTGATTAAACGAACGAGCATTAAGAAAACTAAATTGACAGAAATCAAAAACAACAAGAAGCAAGAATCAGGCGTAATCAAAACTTTTGACTGTCCATCTTCTTCTCCTGTCGCAGGACAGAACAGTTCTTTGACGTTGTCAAACCACATGGAGGAACCCACCACCACAACTTTTCCTTGCCCTTTGTGTTTCAAAATATTTAAAGCGTGCATGTCACGTCGAGCACACATGAGGTGGTGTAAACTACGTAAACAGAAATTGTTACCACAGGTGGGAAAACTTTTTTCAAAGTATACAAAGTCCACTAATACCAAGACTTTCTGTGCCCTCTGCTCCAAAAAATTCATGTCATCCCGTGCTCTTGCAGCCCATAAGGGATGGAAACATTCATCGGCAAAGAGTTTGTCGAACACTGACTGTTCTGAATTTGGTAGAGAAATTGACCCAGCCATATGCAATATGCCGAAAGCAAAATCTGGTCCCAGCAGTTCATCATCAACAGCCACCAAGCCGCCTCTGATCAAGCTTAACATCACGAATAGTGATTCTCAAGGTGCTAATATTGACCCCTCCATTATTTTACACGACTCCAACGCTACTCCACAAACCTGCAGCGAACGAATTGCTTCCATCGGTACAGGAAACCACACCACAAGGGTGAAGACTAGGCCAAAAAGAAAATGTGTCAAATATTAAATCTCAATTATTCACGCTGGTCATATGTAAAATTTTCCACTGCTTATCTCACCATTTTGCCTTATTTATTAGAAAATATTAGAGATAAATTTCAATAGCCATATTGGCTTGTCTATTAGCTTATGAATTTTATATTTCATATTTGTATTTCTTAAGATGACAAATCATTTGTAACGGACAATTTATTTATGAAACTTGAAAGTCAAATAAATATTTATTGATTAATAAGTAAAACAACTGAATTAATTGACAAAATATATTAATCTCGTCATCATTTCTCACAAGTACTTACATGCGCTACAATCATTGCATTATTTTTACATGCATGGTCTCAATTGGCTGATTAGTTGTTTATGTATGTAGAACGAGTGCCTTCGTCTCCCGCATATTGCAATTCTTTCGTGCTTATTATTTAAATAAATAATGCATTTTTGTCTCATATCACTGATTAATTCGGTCTCATCTTTTGACCAAATACGACAATCATTGTGACAAATTGGTCTCGCTGGAAGTTACTTGGTCTATCATTTCATTGGACCCTACTATCACATCTCGCAACCCATGATTTGATTGGGTTATACATAACTCATCCTCAATCAACTTTGATAAAATTCCTTCACTGACAATGAAATGCTTTATTTATAACTGATTTCATCATACATATCTTAAATATCAATTTAATCAATAAAATAATTTATCACCGATTGTATAACACTTATGTATCTATTATCTATGTCATTATAAAAAGAATTGGAAAATATTTAGTTTTATAAATCTTGCACAAAACAAAACCAATCCAAAATTCTATTGTTTTGAGTTCTTATACATACTTCAAAATGCATATTCTTGCTAAATCAGCAATCAGTTGGGTTCTCCTGTTTATCTGCGCCGTGGGAAATGTGACATCTCAAGACGTCGTGCTAGAAGGAATTGCCCTCTCCGATTGGGGAGTTTGGGGAGGTATCACGAACATGACAAAATTACTAAATATATTACGGGTGCATATTCTTGCACATATATTTATCAAAAAAATTACCTGACTCTCACATTCTCTTCAGAAATGGAGCTGTGCCCTCCTGGAAGCTTTGTTTATGGAATGCGACTCAAAGTACACCAGGATCAAGGAGCATTTGAGGTGAATATTAACTTCAATACTTCACTTGAATTAATAGTAATGCGAGATTTTGAATAAATAGGATGATACTGCACTCAACGGGATAGAGCTTTTGTGCATTTCTGGCGCAGCGAGTAAACAGCGGAACAACACGGCGTCATTAACCCGACAAGATTTTGGAACCGTTAGCTCTAGCGTTGGTCATAAAGGGGATTTTGGTCTGTTTGTAGAGTGTCCAGATCCATGGTTTGTTAATGGATTTCAATTCAGATCAGAACGACCAGATCTGATCGGACCATTGGGCGATGATACTGCGGGAAATAATATCCGACTAATTTGTAATGATGTTGATTTTACCGTGTTGGAAGGATATGGAACCGGTTGGGGCGACTGGACAGCGGAACTGAAATGTCCAAGGGGGCTAAGGATTTGTGGAATTCAGACAAGAGTGGAAGGCCCAAATGGTAAAAATTTCTAAACCATTCCGTCAGAAATGGTTAAAAATAATACTTTTTGCATAGGAGATGACGACACTACTTTGAATGATCTCAACATGGGATGTTGCACAGTGGGTTAAACTATCACCAAGTTCATTACTTCTGTATTACTTATCCTTGAAATATGCATCATACGTATCTGTAAAGAAATTATTACAGCAGTAATAAAATACGAACCACGTCATAGCATCAATTAAAAACTTGTACAATTTAATAAATAGGGATCGATTCAAACGTGTCAGACTGAGCCAAACAGATTTCTATAAATCTACAAATATTACAAGAAAATATAAATCCTTTGCATATGTATGTACTTTGGTGGGTAGACTGGCCCGAAAGCCAGTCTGCGGCGGTAGATCATTAAAGTCTAATTGCCGGCATATGTTTGCATATGTTTATCACCAAACCCTTCCGTATTTAATTTAGTTAATATCCAATGATTCCACGTCCTCTTAATGGATAATTCAATTTTGTTTCTTGAATTTTTCATCAAAATTTTACATGCAGCATTTTCACCTTTTACCTTTAGATCCATGCCTTTTACGCTGATCTTCTCTAATTTTCCAACATTGTTACGCTATGTATCTTGAACCCACAAATATGCTTGCTTTAAAAAATGCCAAATTTTCCAGTAGCAGGAAGTTACATATTTATGCATATCATATTTCGAGGCAAGTGAACTTTAGCTGGTACTTCCATATATACATATGTAGTTACATAATAGTCCATGTTAATGTTAATGTTAATTCAAACATGTACATACACACATGTGTCCCAAAAATGAGAGTACAATTTTTGTTCTTAACCAACTTTATTGGAAATACATTTTGGGTTGGGTCATTCCATTGGGTTGGAATGAATCATAGCAGAGAAGCATACACTTGAGATAAAGAGAGACTTCTATTCTCATTTTCTCACTCAATCGAGTGTCCCGTTTAATCCCCAAGTGAAAGAATGATCCTGATTCAGTAAATACGTAGCAAGATTAAATCAAATACGTAGGTGAAAGTTGACTTCTGGGCATATAGCCATAAAGTTCAGTAATTCGTTATTTCTCAAAATTAAACTTTGCAAATAATATGCGTGGTTGCATGGTTGGTGATTTCGACATGCTGAATCTTTCCGTTATAAAAAAATGTGCATGCACACAAATTTAATTAAAGTATACATATATTTGCTAATTACACAAGAATGTCTTTTATAATCTCAATCAATCAATCAATCGGTTTCTTCATTTACGAAAATGTCCCCCACAGCCCACATCGTTACATGTTTTTCGCATAGAGTGTTGTATTTCATATCTATTTACATATTTCTCTAAATTCCAAATCCATACACTTTCAATCACTGTAAAAGGAAAGCGAAAATTCGCCCACGTAGTCGCCTGACTTTCGCCCCCGATCGTCACAATTCATTATAAAATTGATCAAATTCTCATCCTTGGCACTCTTACAGCTCGCTACTCGTGGAAAATAAATATATCTTTGATTTCTTATTATTATTTGTCAAAGAGAACGTCTGGTTGTGGTTTTTGATTGGCGGTTTTTAGCAATTGATGTGGTTTCATTTGATCTTTTATCCGTTTCTTGACTCCAAGATTAGAACTCCTCAGTCGGGATCATCAGTCATGAGTCATGGCCAAAATCTTTAACAAATATCCAGAGGCTGAGACCAACCAGGGAAATAAGTAAAGCAGAAAACTCATCCATTTCATGACAAGGATTAAAATCCAGAATTGTATGAGAAAGTCAATACACACATAGTATTTAATGTCAAATTAACAATATCTCTCGCTCTCTCCACGCCAATTCCATACACGTGTGGTGGCAATGTTTGATTAGCCTTGAGGAATTCAAAAAGTTCTATTACGTGGATTTTCCTCAGCTCAAGTATAAAAGGAGAGGTTCCATGTCTCACCAAATTACTTTCTTTTTGCATTATCCCCGAGAAACAGGGTGCTCCCGTTGCCCTTGATATTGCAAAAGAGAGAGTCATATTTTTCTGGGGGAGGTGTCACAGCGCCACAGCGACTATTTAACACCTAAATACTATCAAGATACCCTGCATAATGCATTATCCCGCATTTACTTTACTATTTGGTAAGTCCAGAAATCAGTCTTATCTCAACTTGCCCCCACAGTTACCAAGCACTAAATAGTTAATATCTTTAGGTTTGGTCTTTGTGACCCTTGGGCTAGCTGTAACGTCCTCCTTGGCATTGTCAGACCAGGAACTAAACCTCGGGATTGATGGGCTGCGTTGTGATTCGTGTGGGATGGAATGTTCTACCGTTTGTGGTTCCAGAGCGTTTCGTACCTGTTGCTTCAACTACATAAAGAAGAAACGAAGCGGTGGGAGTGACGAGGACAGGATGAGAGGCAGCAGAGGAGGTGGAGGCAAGTTGAGACGGGGCAGTGGTAGCAACGGATATTGGGTGACTGCTGGGGAGTACTTCGAACCACAAATGCAGGTTGAAGGACCTTGGGCGTGGTTCTACCCACAACAACCACCAATGCATCAACCCCCCACTTCCGGAGGTGATGATGTTGAACATGGTAGAAATAGTAGGACAACGGTGTAATAAATATTTAAGAAAATGGCAATCAGCTATATACATACATACAAAATGGGAAAATAGAAAAATAAGTTGTTTTGAGAGGGGGAGATTGAGACGCTAGAAATTATCCCAACAGTAAAAGTTGGATGACTTAATTTACAATGGACTTTCTTCTCTGTAAAACTAGTATTTTATTTATTTTGTCAGCTACTTGTTATGTATTTAATTAAATTGTGCTAAATATGTCATGACAAATATTATACTCTGACTTATGTAAATATTTAGCTCGTTATCATCAATATGATCAATATGAAATTGCAATACACTTAAACTGTATTATTTAGAAGTGAAGAATACAAAATTTTTAATATGTGTATTTTTATTTTGCTTAAAGAAGTGACACATTTGATGGTCTCATATATAATATTCTCCTTTTGTGACATCGTACCGTCATATATAAACCATTTGTGAAATATATGTGATTTTTTTTGGAAATGACGATGGGAAATTTCAAGTACTGTTGTATTTTTCTAAATTTGTTTTTATTTATTTATAAGCAGATCACCTCCACTTACTAGTTAGTTATGCGTTAAATAACCAATTGTAAACTCTGCTTATCTTCTCATACGATAAACAAATCCGCTCAAAATCCAACAAAGACTTATCCAAACCAATAGCACGACAAATCCCGGATAAACAAGCGGGTGGGTAATTCCCCACCCACGGGTCACAATACTCCTGATACTCTCGGCAGGCTTGGTAATTGCTATTTTGAAAGAATAATTCCATTAGTTAATCATGTTAAATAAATAAAAATCTAATATGTGTAAAAAAAAATTACGAAGATATCCCGTCACTAATTTCGCCCATGGTTCAATCCCCTCTCTAGGCGTAGATCCCGACGAAACCATCGTTGGCAGATAGACAAATAGTGACCATACGAGGACTTCTATCTCATGATCGCACATAACTCCAAATAGAAAACCTGCAACAAAAATTTGCATCTTTTTTATATAATCTTCCACTAATCCACTTGATTCGGTCTTATCTAAGTACCAAAAGACAGTCCACAAATTCCTGTTAGTATTCCCAGCGCAAAACAGAGAATAAGGGAACCCTGAACTTTAAAGTTGAACACAAAAATGAGCGTCGCTAGACAGAGGATGAGTTCTATAATCATCAGGAGCCCTTCGAAAATAAGTTTAACTTAATAAAGTTGACAAAATTATGTAAAATTGAGTTTAAGTTTCTTTAAAATCTTAAATTACCTTCGGTAACCAGAAGGGAGATAACGACATGGAAATAATCGACTCCTGCGACCCTGAAACATTATTTTTATTTATTTAATAGAGCAAATTGTAAACCCCACGACGAATATTTTACATGGTTCTGTCCAATGTCCCAGATTTTTTGTCCCAAATATATGTCACAGCCACGGTCATCGGGAGAAGGAACATGATTCTACGAGAGAAAATTTGAAATGTAATAAATATTTAAAATATTTCGATGCCAATAAAAAATTCACAATAATATTTGCGGGGGCTGCATGTATTCCGCATTTCTAGAATCGAGGCTCCCATAAATGGCATTGTACTGTGACCGAGGAAATATTCATTTTCATTATTTGCCCAAAACCAAGATACATATTAAATACATATTTAAATAGCGAACTGGAACCTTTAACGGAGTATCCATCAGTCTGCTATCACCGCCACAATCCTCCACCAACCCTTTGGCGAAAGCCAGATAGTTCTTGAAAATATTATTGAGCAGAAAGACGTTCATCAAATAATCTGTGTCAACCAAAAAGCGAGACACATTTGACATCACACTTTGAATATTTATCACTATGCAATCTAAATATTTCCACTCATTCACCTGAAAAGTCCATATGAAAATTAATTGTGGATCCAACTAACGTCTCATTATCCGCGTAGTTTCTATGCAGTGCTCTATTTTTCATGTGGGTTGTAAAATTATCCGGAAATTCCATAAACCCTTTGACAGCTCCGCTTTTTACGCTTTCAAATGCCTCATCCGCCGTTTCAAAGTTGTCCTAAACATAATTTTACACTACGATAAGTTGTTTAATTGATACTAAATAACTCTGAATTGCCAACCCATAAAATATTGTTTCCAAATCTATTCATATAATCGCAGCTCAGTCCTTCTTTAAAGCATCCTGGTTCTCTATCGGCACAATAGCTCGTCCGATTTTCAAAATCTCCATTGACCACTCCCTTTCGTTTTGACATGAATTAAAATGAATTCAAATTAGATTAAACTTAAAATTTATTAATGAAAAAAATCATTAACAAACCATCCGCTTATTAATCGGCTCCCTGCCTACTATGTAATTAAAAAGCACCGTTTGAAACGTGGGCATGATTAGGAGACCAACTACAAATCTGAGGTTACAGAATAAAATAAATAAATTTCCTTTCCTTTGCGTATGCACATATTTATTTAAATTTATAAATACTCATATAAATATAACTCACATCGGATTTCGAAACAGTGTCAAAAAATTTCTCCTCACGAGCGAAAAAACCTTGTCAGATTGTCGTGCAAATGAATTGTTCACGGTTTCGATGACGGACTGACGACGCCGGATGGACTGGGATCGATTTCTTTGTTGCATCACAATATTGTCATCATCGGGAGAACGGGGCTTGAATTTAAGTCCGACTACAGCATTACTTGCTCCATTTTTTCCATTGCTTGATTGACCAGAAATTTGTTGTTGTGTGTAAAATGACATTTCCTGAATTGCTTCGGACACTTCATCAGTTGGTTTCTTGACTTCGTTTCGACACAATTTTAGCACAATGTCTTCAAGGAGATCGGCTTGATGTTCCTCGAGCAGGTCTGGGCGTAAATAGTGGAGTTGATATGTACATAAATGTACGTAGATACATAATTTTTCATATGCTTAAATACCAATTACCTTTTGGAGCTTGCTCGACGAGAAGTTTTCCATTTCTCATCAATCCCACCTTAAAAATTTTGCACCCATTTGGTTTTAACCATTTCATTTATAGAGAATAAAGACAAAGATCGTGTTTTTGTACCGTGTGGCTATTTTTAGCCTCGTCAATGTAATGTGTCGTGATAATTACGGTAGTGCGTCTTCTGGACACGAGGTCGACTAAATATGTCCAGATGCTATTCAAATTTCAATTTCAATTTATCCAAATGCTTGCAGGATATATTTTTAACTTAGGAATTTTAAATACATCAATTTTAGTATTTTGCATGCCCTGATAAATAGATATGTACATACATATAGTACGTACATAAACAAATAAATCAATAAAAATAATTCCCACGTACTTTTCTCTCAATAATGGATCCACGCCCACCTAAAATAACGTACGGGTAAAAATCTTATGATTCAAAATATTAATGTGAGCATATTAATGGTAGAGGTGCATAAGCCTGATTAAGTGCACTTACTGTAGGTTCGTCTGTTCGGATCGGACCGGAAATTGAAGAAATTCAAATTAAAATGGCAAAACTCATTATATTTGAGTTTGAATCAGATATGTGTTGTCTGTTGTCATATTTGATCAGGCAAACAAATTTTAAATCAAATTTCATGCAGAGAGATATGTTCGTAAATTTTTACTACTCATCAGAACAATGGTAAAGTGCACGCAAATTTTATTTCCATTGTGTTTGAATAGTCACTATCAAAAATTGTGGTAGCAGTATTTTTAATGTAACAATTTTGCTTACCTAGGATGACTAAGGCTGGACTAAAGAATGAATTATGTGTTATTTGCATACGTTACGCTATCATTTGTATATTATATTTTCATACCTATGAATCAAAGAAACAGCGAGTGATACTCTCCTTTGCTGTCCTCCACTAATTATTTTTAGGCAATTTTTGTTAAATCCCTGGTTTTAAAGATGAGCTTTGATGTAATTTACCTCAGAGAATCAATCCTCCTGGTGCAATCTGGTAAATCTAAAAAACTCATTAAAAAATCCATACGTGCAGTCACATCGGATTTGGTCATTCCATAAATTCCTCCAAAGTAATTCAAGATTCTAAAAGAAACTTAAACTTAATTTTACATAATTTTCCAAAATTTATTAAGTTCAACTTATTTACTCTTCGATTGTGAACTTTTGATATAAAGCGATATCCTGCAAAAGGTTAATTTTAAAATGACGTACATACATAATTATGAGTAAAAATGAGATTGACCATTGTAATTACCTGTGGCATGTACCCAATAGTCTTCCCTGGAATTCCCGATTCCTTTGATCCTGGCCTAGCTCCATACACCCAGATATCCCCCGAGTCCAATTTTTTCAAACCAACGATAGAAGACAAAATTGTGGTCTTACTAAACTCCGATAAAAACCGTATTTAATTTATGTGATTAATTCATTTTCATGCACTAAAAATGAAAGATGCAGATATTTCAGTACCCGCATCCACTAGCACCAAGGAGTCCATAGCTTTGCAAATAAATTTAAAACATTCAGCTTTTTGTACGTAATTAAATACAGTTTATTTTACAACACCTACATTGTTCCTCTAGGTACCTATGCATTATTGAAGAAATGCTTTTAAACGTTTGGAAACTATGAAACGATTTTAAATAATGTTTACGTACTGTCATGTTAAGATTTTCTAAAATGGGTGGTCCTCTCCCGTAGGTTTTGCATGCATTTTTCACTTGTACAGCTATAGGTCTTTCTGGGGTCAGATTTTTCTTGATGCTTTCCAATGTCGCTTGATCGTCTACTTGCGATATAGCGTTCTCTTCAAGCCTGCCAACCAATACAAAAGCAAAATATTGTCCCATGAAATTGTTGCAAGTCTCGTGAAAAAACTTTTTATTTTTTAATACCCCAACTGTGTGCTGGAGAATCCCATTTCTTAGCAATTTAGTTAAGCAAAAGAAATTCGGAAAAAAAATCAAATCAAAAACGATCTGCTCCAATGAAGCCGTAAATGAAACTGAACACCGAGTTTGTGGAATGAAACATAATTGAATCATTAATTATATTTATCCAATCCTTGAACTAGACAAGCTACTCATAAGCAGAGTTATAGGATGTAATTTAAAATGTTGTTACTAAAATAACTTTGATTTAAAATACGATAAAAATTCCCACGGTCAAAATGAACGATTGATGCCAGTGCTCCAGCCCCATCATCATTATTTTATCCTGTGCGATGTACGGCTCATGAAACAATAATCTATAAAACTGAGTAATACCTATCCGTTCTTCTGAAGATTTTAAAATGTGGTAATCATCCGAACATGTACAGCCATGGTGCTAATTAAGGATATTATGCTCTTTGTAAAACTCCATTCATCCAATAAATTGTGATGATCAAAATATACTGATATCATCATTAATAAGAAAATTTTTCTGTTCTGCTTTTAAGTGACTCTGATCATACACATGCAATGGTGTGAAGTGTAACACTCCGATTACACTGCCCTGCAAAAGTCTTCGCCAAACATTGACGCAGTGATAACTCAAACAATTGGTGACATAATAATTTGAAATTTTGCACAGTTATAGTCAATCGCATTTCTGATGAGATAGGACTCCAAATTCTGAACATTGATGACCAGGTCAAAGGTTATGATCTTTTGACCTCAAACCTCAAAAGTGACCTACCTCAAGGAATTTTTTTCCTTGGTGTTTTTATTTTCATAAAGTTGGCACAACTCATCCTGAACATTTTGATATGTTTATCACCTCTGCGCGATTTTCTTTACGCCCACGAGAATTTTTGGAAAAATGTAGTTTTGACTAGTTTTTAAGTTTTCCCCCATAAGCTCAATGTTATAACTTTTCAAAACTACATTTTTCCAAAAATTCTCGTGAGCGTAAAAAAAATCGCACAGAGGTGATAAACATATCAAAATGTTCAGGATGAGTTGTGCCAACTTTATAAAAATAAAAACACCAAGGAAAAAAATTCCTTGAGGTAGGTCACTTTTGAGGTTTGAGGTCAAAAGATCATAACCTTTGACCTGGTCATCAATGTTCAGAATTTGGAGTCCTATCTCATCAGAAATGCGATTGACTATAACTGTGCAAAATTTCAAATTGTTATGTCACCAATTGTTTGAGTTATCACTGCGTCAATGTTTGGCGAAGACTTTTACAGGGCAGTGTATGTTGAACTTTTGGAATTACGAAGTTCAAGTCAATCCAGCAACGTTTGTTGAGGTAGTTTGTGCACTGGTTGGAATTTGCCAAAATATTTTAGGCTGATTTTGTAATAATTTTTATCAGGCGGAGAAAGCAAACATCACTTTCATTCTATGTATTCTCCTCACATTAATTTTCACTCTGATTTCTCACTACGAGTATGAAGGCCGTAGGCCTTCATATTAGTATAGCTTGATCAGTGATGCAAAATAGTCATAAATTAATGACGACATAAAAGATTTCACAGATTTCATATACGTTTATTCTCCTTAATCATTAGGGATGACACTTTTATTTTTTTAACTACTTTAAATTTATAAAGAAATGAATATATGTATAAAATAAAATCAAAATAGAATGGAAAAACTTATTTGCCTTCCAGTCCTGAAGCGTTGGTATGTCGAGACAAAATAATGCCATACAATCGTATACGTCCAGTATATCGAGTGGCTATCAAAATTACCAACGAATTAGGAATGAAAGGTAAATTGTGTGCATATGTAAGTTTTCCCATTGTATTATATTATTGCTGAATTCATGCATACATTCAATTTTTATATAAATTTACAGAAGATTAAAAAATAAAAATTGCATATGTACTCGTATGTATTCGAATACATACGAGTACATATGCAATTTTTATTTTTTAATCTTCTGTAAATTTATATAAAAATTGAATGTATGCATGAATTCAGCAATAATATAATACAATGGGAAAACTTACATATGCACACAATTTACCTTTCATTCCTAATTCGTTGGTAATTTTGATAGCCACTCGATATACTGGACGTATACGATTGTATGGCATTATTTTGTCTCGACATACCAACGCTTCAGGACTGGAAGGCAAATAAGTTTTTCCATTCTATTTTGATTTTATTTTATACATATATTCATTTCTTTATAAATTTAAAGTAGTTAAAAAAATAAAAGTGTCATCCCTAATGATTAAGGAGAATAAACGTATATGAAATCTGTGAAATCTTTTATGTCGTCATTAATTTATGACTATTTTGCATCACTGATCAAGCTATACTAATATGAAGGCCTACGGCCTTCATACTCGTAGTGAGAAATCAGAGTGAAAATTAATGTGAGGAGAATACATAGAATGAAAGTGATGTTTGCTTTCTCCGCCTGATAAAAATTATTACAAAATCAGCCTAAAATATTTTGGCAAATTCCAACCAGTGCACAAACTACCTCAACAAACGTTGCTGGATTGACTTGAACTTCGTAATTCCAAAAGTTCAACATAATCGGAGTGTTACACTTCACACCATTGCATTGTCAGCTTAAAGTACAAAAAAAAAACATTACACTGTTCAAAAAATATGTGCATATCATTGTGTATTTTTATGGGTCAGTTATAGGCAAAGTTTGAGACTTGAACTTAAATTAAAGAAATATAAATTGATCATGTTGTTAATTTTTGAACTTGAACTTAAAATTTTTAAACTAATGATGAAGTTCAAGATCAGAGTCGAGCCTTGTGCACACGTATAAGTATATGGATATGAGGAAGTAATACCCACATGTACACACATGCACATGTACTCGCAGGTAGTGGTAATACGTATTGCTGTACATTAACATTATTTACAAATGGATCATTTTATCGTTATGTATGATATAAAGATTTATGACAATTATTCATTCCATTATCAAATGCTATACATACCTTTTGGCTCAAGTGCATAAATTTTTTGCTCAATATTATATACATATGTAGCTACTATGCACATTATATTTTCAAACAGAAAACAACGTAATGCTGAAAAACAGTGCTGAAATATTTAGTGCATGAATGCACATAATTGGAGAATATTGGTAAACGTCATGCACATTTTTATTAAATGCTTATCCAAAATCATGAGCAGACAAAATCATCACCTTGAAATAGGCCGGATTAAGCTGAAGAAAGTGAGCTGTGAATGTCATATTGGTGTAATACCATTTATTGCTCTGATAAATTAAATTTATTTACAATCGTTTTTAATGTGTTTGCCATTTTTCGCAAATTATCGAATCCTAACATCCGCACAACCTCGGAAGGTTTCCTGCGGACCGCATCCGAGTCCACTCGTCCCATTGCCGCAGTCACCGTATTGATTTCCTAATGACAATCAAAATTTCATTTCATAATCACATTCCAAGAATGCCAATTAGTAATGCGAACAGCTTCTCACCTCCTCTGTAATTCCATTGAAGGATGCAATGCTCACACGTAACACCGCTTGGGAGGGTGGCCTGGGTCCTGATTTAGCACAAGATTTCGAATTCAGTATAATTTATAATCATGTATTACGTCTTCCCATCTATAATTACTTCATACTTGAGCTTGTTAAAAATATACATACCTGTAGAATCCAGGTCCTTGGGTCACATACAATTTAGTTCCTCCCGACGTAAGCTGGAGCAAGTGATTATTGAAGCAGGCCTGGTTCTCCGTCGCCGGATTGGTGCAAAGCCTCCATTCCATCGCGCCGAGGTGGGCCGCGTTCAAATCTATCTCGATGTCGATATTCTATTTAAATTAGGTCAAAGTATCGAATTTTAAAATTATAAAAATCTATCAAAATTGTGCCATAGATTTCACTCAAAGTATAACAATTACCTGTCCGCGGGTATAATCCCCAACGATAATTCCTCGGTACCACCTTCCATTAACTTCATTGTCTCGTGGAGTACTTTGGGCCTGAGGATCACCACAGACGCCACAGTTGCTCCCAGGGTCGTCAACCTGATGGATGGCGCCGCAATAGAGTTCGTTGTCGTTGTAATTGGCTGGAGGATTTTGGTTCGAGAACTCTGGAACTCTCCAAATTGAGGAACGATTTGGGGGCTTCATCATCTTACCGTGAGCGTCGACATGGTCAAACTCACCCACCCAGACGGAGACAAGGAGGAGGGACAAAAGCAGTGACTTGAACATGATTTTTGGTATGTATTTAGGTCTGGACGCCGAAAAGGTTGGGAATGAGTTTTGTGGTGGCTCATCTCCAGTATTTGTACCATTTTATTGGCGATTAATCAATTGATGATAAACACTGTCGTATCAATTTAGTAATTAAAACATGCTCATGCTAAGTGGTAACAACAAACCACTTCAAATTTATTCGATTATTTATTGATAGTCATTTGTCTCCAGTTGCATTCATTTAACGGGAGATTTGTGGTCGTTATCGATTGTGCCATACTATGGAAAAGGCGTGATGAGTAGTGCAAACTGCAAATTAATTAACTTAATATTTTAGATGTGTAAATTACCAAGCTCAATGTAGGTGTAATTATGGGTTCAAGTGTTCGTGAACACTCACACCATCACCATTTATCAATCATTATTGCGTGATCTGTCACATTCCAGCGTACAATTCGATACAGCGTTCCAATTGAATTTGTTAAGTAACGTCGGAAGATAAGATTGAAAAATTCCATTTTGTAACGATGTAATTCCCATTCAATTCAATTGTCAATCACTCGGGGTGAAAGTGTTAAATTTGTCAGAGTCAACACGTAACATGGACTTCAGACATGTCTAAATACGCATTTACATAGAACATAATGCATAACTATCAATTATACAATCACTCTCTTAAATTAACGCATACAAAATTGCATACGTTGACAATTACCTCGAACAATACATAATTTCGAACACTTTGGATTTCCCCTTGACCAAATATCTTGGTATTTGACCCTGTCAAGACGCTAAAATTGATCTTCCCCTTCAGGTTAGTGATGTATATGCTGTGACTTCAGGACATATGTACATACATACTCACATATGACATACGTACATATTTATCTGCCATAATATTTAGTTTCATACGTAACTATTTAAAACTTTTTTTGGCTTCATGAAAAGAACTTTGAACATATATTATTTTGAAATTAAAAACTTACGTATTGTAAAAGATATATAAATATAACTTATATAAATCCGTCTACTAATAATATGTATGTAAATTCATAACAGTATTGCATAAGTATTGCATTTAGAGCAAATCTTGTATGAACCCGATCACTAGGGCGTTTAATAGCAGAGTCGTCAAAAGTAGGGTTAGAAATCTGAAATTCTTGCAAAATATGCTAAACATATCTGACTACCTCTCCCCAAAATTTCATAAGTTTTCATTGGAAAATAAATTTCCTACACCACTTCAAATTGAGGAAATCGGGAAACGAGTTTTTGTAAGTCCAAAAATTCGAGTGACAACGACTCGAAGTAGACTTGACTGCATTTCAACGGAGAAGGGGGTGGGCGTGAAAAATTGAGACATACATAAAAAAGTATGCAGAATCCGAAAATGTCAACCTAAAATACGCACCATGAGAAAAAACCACCATATAGGCCCCTCGAAAGTTAATAACGATCGAATCATTTTTTGAAAATTATTCATCCACGTCCGTGCCTGATGCCGCCATGAAGTCAAAGATTAATACAAACTATTTGTATCATATTAAAGCCCATAAATTGCGGGTCAAAGCGTATTCAAAGAAATTTCCAGCGAAGCATACGAAACGTCAAGAAAAAATGGTAAACGCAAGACCTACCAAGCCGTGCAACAAAATGTCACCAAAATAATTGGTCACTGACGACGAGTCCTACATCCTTAAAAACGTGACAGAAACTTCGGGAAGGGAATTTTTTCATGGGAAATATATCTCTCAACTGAAAACCGAACAGAAATTAAAATATTTTTCGAAATTTCTCAAAAAATCTGAGGTTTGGCTGGCGTTCGGTCAATTTGGGCATGTTTCGGACCCCTCAGTTCATATGGGCTATGAGGACGCACAGGTTTGTTTTCGGAAATGTGTGATAGACCGTCTGATTCCTTTCATCAAGGTGTATCATAAAATACAAAATGCAATTTTTTGGACCGACCTTGGGCTAATCCACAATGCAATAACTATCAAGGAAAAAACCGAGAAAAAAATCATTTTGATGCTGGAAAATGAAAATCCCACATACATCCATTATCTTCGCTCAATTAAAAAAATTTGGGCTATATGTGAGAAGACATACTCCCAGCTTTGTGAAACAGTCGATACTTAAAGAAAATTTTGGTTACGGAGGGAGAAAATTAACAATGAAGTTGCAAAGTCTTCCGGAAAAGAATTAATGGCGGGCGCGACGAAAAAGACTAAATACAAAGTGGGTAATTGATTAAGGTCTCCTTTCTTCGTGGATACCTAATGTCAGTAATGTTTATAATAACCACCAAACATTTGAGATTTTAAACATCATTTTTGACCATTTTGAACATAAATTTCCAAGTGATCGGGTTCATATAAGATTTGCTCTACATACATCCATACATACTACTAACAACTGAGGATACTCACAATTATCACAAGTGTCGTATCGTTACGTGACTCATTACATTTACCCGTCTTTTACCGTGAGGAAACCTTTCTTTTCCGAAGTTTGATAAACTCGTTTGCAATAATGTTTCGCAAATTAGAAAACAAGGACTTGTCTGTGGAGTACACTGCTGACGTCTCGCAAACCGAATTCCCATGGGAAAAGTTTGTACCTAAAGTTATGTCGGATGCGACCTTTGGGACCAGATTGTGAGTATCATAATTACATTATAATATTGAAGAAGTAAAGATTTTATCGGAGAATATGGAAACGTCGAGACTTATAACATTTTTATGACATTGAGAAGCGTACAAGGAAAATCTTGAAAGTTACACACATTAACACCGTCTCAAGAACGAACTGTTGCATTTATTTAGATTTTTATGCCACGAACTAATTATCTGTCGTGATTAATGAGACTTGATAGATTGTGTAGATGTCTACATAGTAAGTTTAGTCTCGGATAGGATTTTAAACTCAACACAATTCATTCCATATTAATAATTATTTGATATACTTATTTTAAGAATTCGTGTATGTACTTCCTGAAATTAGGGTATATAGGTAAATGATCTTTTGAAATTCAGTAAAAATTTTGTGAACAAATCGAATTATTAGCATTACATTTTTATATGACATGAGTTTGACTCATATGTAGTTAAATAGCTACTGATAAAATTGCATTTCCTGTTTCATGAGGAAAGCCTTCTACTTTGGGTCCAATATGTGTACCTTGATCTGTACACCTCGAAATGGAAATGCAATTTATCAGCTCGAGATATTTTTATAAGGTGTAGTTCATTAGTCGTGAGACGATTTAAAAGTGGGTTTATTTCGAAAGAGAAATAAGTAGAATTGTTTGTAACTTGCGCCTCATATAACAGGTAAAGTTTATTGGAAAAACTAGTTTATTGTTTGGTCTGTAGTTTGCAATTAAAAGCAGTTAAATATAAATATTATGCATCTACCTAATCCTAAGTCTGGAAAAATCCAGGCAATAATACGTATGCAGATACATAATACTATTATATATTATATTATGATATTGAATAAGTAAAGATTTTATCGCTGGATATGGGAACCTCGAGAATTACATAAGTGGTATTGGCATTTATATACAACGATTTACATACAGCATTGGGCAGCCTACAGTACTCAAGGAAACCCACTTAACACCGTCTTAGAAACGAAAAGCACTTACTTAGATTATCGTGCCACAAACTAATTAAAAGTCGTCGCCAATGAGATTTCGTACACTGTAATAATTTTTAGTGATTTTGCCCCAAGATTTCCATCTCGACAAAATTTATCCTTAATTTTTGCATCGTTCCACCTACAATTACATGAGCTTGTTAAAATTACCTGTCTCCAATATTGGGCTAAATCTATTTAGTGTCAAGCTCAATCCACAAACATACAGGTGACATGGGAAGTATTTAATCCAAGAGTACATACATATGTGGAGCAGGTCAATATTTTTGTATAAATATAACCTTTATCATACTAATACATATGCATGTAAATACATACATATTGACATAAGCACATTGTCATAGGCCAGAAAAGAAAGTGATTCCACATCAAAACAATGATAATCATTACTTTTGTTTGTACTTATGTAGTTGTTAAATATACAAAAATCAGTACGTCATCGTTAACAATGTTTCTTCTTCCTCAATTCAACTAATTCCGACCAAAAAATGTCCATTCAGCAAGAAGCCAACGAATGAGAAAAATAAGTAAATTACTGGATTCATTAATGAAAATTGCTGGACCTTTATGTAAATCTAATGGAGGAAAAAAGTTGTGGGAAATAACCAAAGGAAGTTATTAAACCTTATTTTTTGTCTACGACACGAAAGTGTCGCAGATCAAGGGACTATTTCCTCTGGAAAATTCAGCATATTCTCCATGATGTACTTATTATGTAATATTCGTGATATTACAAAATAGCATTATCATCTTAGGAACTCGAGAAAATATTAATACATAGATTTCTAGTACATATATCTACATAAATACGTATCTACATACATACATATGTAAAATACCGCATGCAACCAATGTACCCAAACCCATCGACTTGTTTCTAGAATTTGACCTTTCACCACAAACTATCTGACTTCAAGCAAATGAAACACATACCAAAACCTTCATCTACCTCAATAATATGTACAATATCAAATGCATAATGACCACTAACATGATATGCAAAATAAAGAAATTTCACATAATGCTAAAAAGTCCTCACGACCCAAATGTATCAATTTACCTCTACACGCAAAAAATATGTACTGATTGCATTAAGCTAAAAACCCGTATAAATTTGACAAGGAAATCCCATCTCCTCACATAGATAACTTCGTTAGCTAAACCCTACTTTGCTTAGCTCACGCCATGCATATATCCTCCATGACGTGTTATGTGTGCATATGGCTACATAAATGCTGCTCATTAACAAACAGACCACATTATAATAAGAAGTACAAAAAACCAGCCAAACAAGAGTATGTACGACACGATGAGAACCAAACCAATCCGACGTTTGGAGTTGTTTAATAAATATTCCCTTCCACGTACTGTTTACAATAGCAATTTCGCCATCATCAGTGAAGCTGGAAGCTGCATGCCGACTGCGGTGCGGTCATCTGCTGTTGCTCTCGAGGAATCAAAGTTTGTCTTCAAATTGACAGATTAAATATTTTAGACGTTGATTAATTGCATTTTTTGCAGCGAGAAACACACAATCCTGTGAAAGATGGGTATTCTGTGGTTTGTTGTGATCTGCATCTTATCTCTGATTATTTGGGGCTTGCTCCTCTACCCAAGACAAACCTACATCAGTTTAGTCACACTTCCCCGAGATGCATTGTAAGATACAAGATTTGTCACGTGCATATGTGCATGCAGCTAATATGGAAATTGGTTCTTAATAATGTCATAATTGTTCTCAATGTTGCAGTGGAATGTACAAATACGCCACCACCATGTTATTCTCCCTCTACTGCAAGAGGAACAACATGACGGCATCAAAATATTTTGACATGGTTGTGACGAAGAAAAGAATGCAGACCTGCTTCATGTACGAGGATGAAGTTTGGACGTTTAAACGAGTGCAAGAAGAGAGTCTCAAAATTGCAAAATACTTCAAAAATGCTGGTTACAAGAAGGGCGATGTTGTTGGATTATTTATGGAAAGCCGGCCAGAATATGTTTGCATTTGGTTGGGGCTTGGCAGGGTTGGTGCAAATTTCGAAAACAAAATATTGCATGTTTTTTTGCTAAAAAATCGAATATTTTTACAGCTCGGGGTCGCCACCAGTCTACTAAACTACAATTTGAGACTCGACTCGTTATCACATTGCATAAAGATCTCGAACGTAAAAGGTCTCATTTTTGGAACAGAATTGACCGGAGGTAAATTTACAATAGATGACGCATTATGAAATAATGACATAAAAATGACCATATATTTTTTACTTAGCTATCCAAGAATTGGTCGATTCTGGAAATAACAATGACCTACATTTATACTCAATGGAGGACAGATCTCCACCAAAGAAACGACTAACTCAGTCTCATGTCAATCTAACCCAGGAACTGAACTTGATTGATAAAACTGATCTAGACAAGGAATATTTCGGCCAGGTGAATAATAATGATGTTGCATTCTACATTTTTACGTCAGGCACAACAGGGCTTGCGAAAGCTGCAAAGATGAAGTATAGTCGTTTGTTCACCTTTGGTGCCGTTGTCCAGGTAAGGTTAGATGTGCTCTATATATTTACTGCGATATAAAATATCGTACATGCATATGAAACATATGTATTGTTTCACAGCCTCTGTGCCTAAATCCTGCTAAGGACATTCTGCTCACTGCAATTCCGTTGTATCACGTTCAAGGCGGAATACTGGGTGTGACATGTGCCCTATTTCACGGCGTACCTCAAGTCATCATTAGAAAGTTTTCAGCATCCAACTTTTGGAAGCAGTGTATTAAATATGATGCGACTTATTGTCAATATTTGGGCGAAATTATGAGGTAAATTGAACTAGATATTAAATGCGTGAATATATTGCTGTATGCAAAGTTTACATATGAATCTGACCCAGATATCTCTATAATCAACCCGAAAAGCCAGAGGATAGGATGCACAAAGTAAAAGTATTGTATGGGAATGGAGCAAATCCTGCAATTTGGGAGAAATTTGTCAAAAGGTTCGGGGTCAAAATTATTGAAATGTACGGCAGCACCGAAGGGAACTGCAGTATAAGTAAGTTCAACCATTTTCATTCGTGGAATTTAAATTGCACACCACATTTCATTCAATCTCGTCATCATGCAAATCCAGTGAATCTGGAAGGTCACATCGGCGCAGTGGGATATCTGCCGAATCTTTTATACTCCGTCCTACCAGTCTTCCTTGGTCGAGTGGATCATACTACCGGGGAGATGGTCAGAGATTCTACAACTGGTCGAATTCAACATGTTGAGCATGGTACGAAAATTTTACCCCAGACCTAGATTTAATTAGTCAAATCATATATGTATTAGGGGAACTAATATATTAATAATATTTAATAATATATTAGGGGAGGCAGGGGAATTGCTTGGCAAAATTGTGATGTCGAATCCCTTCAGGGAATTTGAAGGGTGAGGGCATAATATGTACAAGGAGAAGTTTCTTAGCATTTCTTACATATTTCCTCTATTCTTATTAATTATTATACGCCCTCATTTTTTAGGTACACGGATGAACAAGCTACACGAAAAAAGATTGTAGATAGCGTGAGAAGAAAGGGAGATCGGTGGTTTAGGACCGGTAATATAGGTCGAATTTACACCATTTGAATTTTTTGAATAATTCTGTACCATCGATACAGGCGATATTCTCATGAGAGATGAATTTGGCTACTTTTACTTCAAGGACAGAACAGGGGATACTTTTAAATGGAAAGGTATTGGTTTAACTAATTTAATTCAATTATTACAAATAGTTACGTCGTCTCTTTTCACAGGAGAAAACGTATCCACGGCAGAAGTAGAACAAGTCATCGCCAAAGCGTCCGGTTATAAAGGGGTCGCTGTTTACGGGGTTGAAGTTCCAGGGACGGATGGAAAATGCGGCATGGCCACGGTATCCGACCCCAGTGGCAAGTTGGACATTGGAAAACTATCCGACACCGTGTTAAATTATTTGCCCCCGTATGCTCGACCAGTTTTTATGCGGATTTGTGGAAAAGATTTAGAAATGACGGGTATACAATAAAATTAGATTTATGGTTTTATTATGGGTCTAATTTTTATTTATTTCCCAGGTACTTTCAAATTACTAAAGGTGCAGTTACAGAAGGAAGGATTTGACCCGAATATTGTAACCGATGCGTTGTACATTTTACAGAAAGAGGGGTACATTGCATTTAACCATATTTTATACAAGGGAATAATAGAAGGAAGTGTTAGAGTTTAATTCGTAAAAATTCTAACTGCACATAAAGAATAAAATTAAACAAAAATTGAACTTGTTGAGGAAGGTTGTGAAGACTAATTGATTTCTCGATTACACAAGCATTCCATGCAAAATTTCCTCTGACGATATTGTGCTTACACAAGGGTTACGAAATGGAGTAAATAGTTATCAATTATTAACAAACACCTGCCATCTGCTCCAACATGGTGTCAGGTCGGAAGAAAAATTCCATTTGTTCAATTTCATATTTATCATTCAGCACCATGACGGTCGTACCAATCAGTTCGACTTTTCCTCCAGTAGGCTTCATGGTACGAATTGTCTTGTTCCGCATGGGACACTGGACTTCGCCCTCCATTCGACCCCAATGTCTCCATTTAAACACCACTTTTGGTGGTGGCGTATATACTTCAAGCACTTCGAGAGCAAACCCGTTTTTCATTGCTTTCCGGAATACTTGGTGTGATTCGGTGGGGTCAGGAACCAGGGAGGCTGCGTAATACTCACTTTCGCCAATAAAGAAATTGTACGCACCAATCTTGGCCACATCGCCTAATCCCTTGAATTCACCTCCGTTCATGGAAACTCTGAATTTTCCAGTGTCGACGGTCCGCCATTGAGAGACGTCCGTCTTATGAGATAGTTCCTTCTCCCAATTTTTTATCAGATTTGTTATAATAGCCTCCAATGAGTGGGGTGGGTGGATCTTAGTCCGTTCTAAAAATATGAAAACAAATGATTAACTATATTCTAAGATAAATTGTCACTTTGTAACGTTCCACGAATTTAATTTACCTGAAAGATACAGATTATTCACTAGTGTATAATCAGGCGGATTTCCATGCAACCATGAAATCCCTTCAAGATCATCTTCAACAACAGAGTTCATGTTTTTAAGAAAATTTGGTAGTTTTTCGTAATCCATCTCGTAGTTAGTTAGGAAACAATCCTAGTAAGGATATAAGTTTATGAGATGATGGAAACCCCAAATTGAAGACTCTGCCGACGGGAGAACGTGTCGCCTTTTATAGTGGAAGGATTGTATATAATTTGACTGATTAAATCTAGGTTAGGGATATAATTTTCATACACACATACTTAAATGAAACAGGACAAACGAGATACTTACTATTAGAATTAAAGAAGTTAAGGTGAGTGTGTTATTTTTCAGTATATTATGTGATGCATGTATACTTATGAATGTCATGTACATAGATATATACGTAAACATGGTAGTATGGCGTGTCTGATAATGACTTAATCTTCCGAAGGTGACAATGTTCGTGGTTGGTACAGAATAGGATCATTTTTTAACTTCAAAACTTGGCTATATTCAGAAAAAATATGAAACTAACAATGGCGGAAAAGTGAATTATAAAATTATGATACAGCCAAATATATTTACGAATACCAATTATTGTGATTTTTCATACCATTGTTTAATATTTTTATCAACTAAAGCACGCATAATTTTTAACATGTTGTATTCTGTTTTCGATATTCTGTATTATACACAGACCAGACATATTAAGCATGACTACGTACATATATGCTCATATTTTTTTTAGCTTAAACAAGTGCATTCGTTACGCAGAGGATGGGGACACGGGATTATGGTCTTGATTAGTGTGGTGCCGAAAAATGGCAAATAAGTAACATCTAAATAAATAAATCTGAGGATGAGTGATTCATTCACTTGCACAATTTGCATATGAAAATAAAAATTGTTGTACAATATTGAGAACGCATAATTCGAAAAGAGTTTTAATAAATATTATTGATGTTTTATTAAAAATAAACATAAACTCGAATTCGTTCATCCAATCTAAAGCTAGAGTTGGTACTTAAATACGTGTGTATCAATTTTATTAAGCTTACTATTCTTATGTGATGCAGCATTATATTTATTTTACTAAAAGGATCGAAGCCTAATCTGTAATTAACTTTACTATTACCAGCTTAGAACACAAATTGTATACATTTCTGAATTTTATTTAGTAGAATTTATATTATTATTCCATTCTTACTTTTCTGCTACATTGTGCTTGGGAAAAACATTCCCGTCATCACTACCGATCGTTACTCTCAGGTTTTCCTCCAATTCTATTACAAACTCTCTGACAACGTAGCATTGATAAATTGGAATCGAAATTAGTAATCCTTCAAGGCACATGTAAATGAATGCGACACTAGGATTAGTAAATACTAATACTACAAAATTTATAAATATATCCACGCAAGCGATGGATAGAAACATGCAACTTGTATATAACCACGGCTTGCAGAAAGAAGGGCGTCCCTATAAATGGAATAAAGTGAGATATACATATGTATGCATTAATTCAAGCATTTGGAAACTGTGAACAACAAATTCGAGATTTTCTTACGTACATATGTAATTCCATACAACAACAATGCAGAGCAGAATAGCAGCAGTGTCTCGGTCACAATTGCAAAAATTAGAAATCCCCCTGTGCTGCCTAAAATTAAAAATTTACGTGATTATGTAATAATCCATTAAACAAAGCACTTCAAAAAATCAAATATTAACGAAATATGATCACACACAATCACAGCTCGTACTTTGAAATCACAAGTAATGAAGATATCCAACTTTTGATTAATAATTTAATCTAACAGTAAATATATATGTAGATACATACTCAGTCTTTGATGTCCGGACTCATCGTCCGGACTTTCATTATAGGCTCCTGGTGAAGGCACCTTTCCTATTTTCCAAAGGTGATACATCAGAAGAAATGCGTAGACGATCTAAAAACAGGTCAATAAAAAATAAAGTTATTTGTCTTATTGTTTTTACTAAGGGTGTTTTTTCTTGCGTACGATTTGAAGAATTGCAATTAGTCGTGCCCATGTTGATAAACTGCAACATCATGTCTCCATTGTTTTAGTTTTTAAATGCTAAAAACTTAGGACTTATGTAGAACCTTAAAAGTGGTATAAATATTTAGCAGTGTTCAAATTAGTTGTGCCCCCTCAAAATTTGTACTCGTACAAGCCTGGCGATAGGTTGACAAACGAATGAAAGATACTAAAGCTGTATCCATAGTCCGTGATTTGTTCATGATTTCGTCATGATTTCATGGTTTCTCGCATCCATACTCCATAACTTTCAAAAAATTATTTTATTCCGATTTTCTGATTGGTCGATATTTTAATTGTTATGGTGATTAACATGCTGAAATCATGAACCCGTGAAAGCATCACCAAATCATGAACAAATCACGGACTATGGATGCAGCTTAATATTTAGTGATGGACATCAAAATTCCAGAATAAAATTTATGTCATCTTTAGGTCGTCACTCATGAATAATGTAGAATATAGAAAACGTTTTCCGTTGCCAATACAACATGGTGAAATTTCTGCAAAATCTGGCTAAAAAACGCTAGAAAGACTGGAAAAGTGGAAACTTTTGAAATAATGTCATTCTTGGAAAGATACGAATTTTTTATCATATCAAGTACAAAATCAACGCTAAGCAATCCTTATCTTGTATCTTTATCATCCGACCGAGAGAGTATGCACGCACACTTATGCACATAATGCTCCTTGTATTTTGTGTCCTTTTTGACCATTCTATTTAACAGTGCCGTTTGGATGTAGATTTTTGTGTAGAAGCACTAGATGATGGAATAGATAGCTCCGTTTGAGACACTTTTTCTATTAATGCTTAAAAGTACGTATCCTTGAGTAAGTCACAATATTTATATGAAAATATAAACAAGGCCCCAAAAAATGGGAAATCTTAGTGAGTCAGCGCAAACGCAGCTAATAAATAAAATTAGATTGAATAATTTTTGCATCACCGCTCTCGGTGTAATTATTACTTAGTGGAAGCATTAATTAATCATTTAGAATAATTTCCCCCCAAAAGATCCGGTGATTTCATCAGAATAGGAATTCATAGGATATCCAAATTCACATATCGAAATTGTTAATTTTCGACTCTTTCTAAACTTAAAATTCGCAGTTCACAATTACTATTATTATTTTAGCCATTATATTTGATATCGATTAATTTAACAAACTTCTCGTTCACTGGTAAAAACGTCACCTTGTAATCTCAATTAATTCAAAGAATTCATGCATATGCAAAACTATAGTGGAATCAGTAAAAATAATACCGAGAGCGGTGATGCAAAAATTATTCAATCTAATTTTATTTATTAGCTGCGTTTGCGCTGACTCACTAAGATTTCCCATTTTTTGGGCCCTTGTTTATTTAAAACTTGTAATTAGTTGTCAATGACATTATTTTTACTGCACCACCGCCATTATTATCTGCACCCTGAATATTTTTATTAAATTTTTGAATTTCAAACTTGAATAACTACGTTGTTTCTCAACCGATTTAGGTCATTTCGGTGCTTAAAATGTCCGGAATGACTTGGACTAAAACATTTTCAATAAGCGAACATGCTAAGATACACCACTCGTGAAGCATGATAAGAAATGTGTTTCCTAGGGAAAATTTTTGAACATTTTGGTCCATAATCCGTGTAAAAATCAAAAATTCGCCAGGTCGACTAGCACATCGTTTCTACATTGTCTAACAATGATCTGTGCAAAATGTCATCAAAATCGGTTAAGAAATGACCGAGAAATTGATTTATGTCACTTTTTTTGGGTGGGGTAAATGCATACTTAGGAATTTTTTTCGTTGTCAGGTATTTGCCTCACTAAGAAAAAAGGAGTATAAATGTTACTAATTGCCCTAGTAGCTCAGAGGTCAGAGCACTTGACATGAATTCAAGGGAGCCGTGGTTCGATTCCCGGCTGGGTAACAATTTTTGGCATTATTCGGGATTTACGTATTTGATTTCTAAATAAATTTGGTTTCCACAAGGATAGAAGTAGTGTTAAAATCAAAACAAATTCCTAGTTCGGAATAAAAAAGAACTTTCCATCGTAGGCCAAAAGTGAACTTTCTTTGGTAGGCAACAGTTCGTTACCACCGTAAAAGAAAGTAGAAATTCACAGAAAAAGGCCACAGACAAATATCAGTAAAAGTCCCTATAATGTTACTAATTGCCCTAGTAGCTCAGAGGTCAGAGCACTTGACATGAATTCAAGGGAGCCGTGGTTCGATTCCCGGCTGGGTAACAATTTTTGGCATTATTCGGGATTTACGTATTTGATTTCTAAATAAGTATAAATATCGTTTGATCAAAATCTTTGCATGTACATATTTACATATCATTTTCACAAGGACAAGGTGAATGCTCACTGACGCACTGCTTATATATATCAATCGAATTTTCAATTTAATTCACTCCTATCAATGTAAATATGCATAATGCAAAAACTTGCAAAATATTTTGCAATACTTATGTATCCAACATGAGATTCTTATTTCTTAGAATCATAAATCTTGTATTATTCTAGCTTTAATACTCAATGCTACACTTATTGTCACTATATTCTGGGATGGATCAGCTATTCAGATAATTTATTTTTTCTACTAATTCAAATTTTAAATGCACATACATATATTTATAACATGCATATACAAATTACATACAAACTAATTCAATAAATATACACAAAAACAACGAATCCAGAAACTTGGGGTTTTCAGGGTTTAATTAATTTAAAAATTAATCTCGCTCTTGATCACTAAAGAAGACACATCTCCTTATTGTCCTTCAAGGATTGGTTGCTTCCTTATAAAAAATTTGTTGGGGGAGGTAATGCCCAACGGATTTTTGAGTTAGACTTGTACCATTTTTTGCGATATTTTGATCCTTGCCTTCGGTTTCATTTTCCAGCTCAATTATAAATTTTCGAACAATATTAAACTTAAATGCTATAATAAAGAATGCAAAGACAAAAGCAAGAACAAAAAAGTAAAAATTACGATCCAGATGGATAGAGAAAAAGTAAAATGCAATGCATAAAACGACATAATAACTCAGTAAAATAAAATAATTGACGTATAACCAAGGTTTGCAAAAGTCGGGATCTCTCTGTTTGCAAAAATGAAAAAATTGAGTTAATTTGTTGTCAGCAATGATCCATGATAGTGCATAAATTAGAATGCGTAGTACCATACCTTAATTTTTCCGTATAACAACATTCCAGAGACCCCCAGCATCAATAATTCTCCCAAAATTATTAAAACTGTTCCGAGTGGAGATATAATTTCTAATTGAAATGGAATTAATTAATAAATGTCAATTTCATATGCATTTGATTGGTTAGATTATTATGTGACTTAATTTACTACCATTGTTTTCGTCTTCTTTCCGGTGGGTAGACTTGTATCTTAACTCAAGCAAATATAAACATACCGGGTATGTGAACAAATAGAGTATCTGAAAATTAACAGTGGGTTATTTTAACCATAATTAAGTACATATTTAGCAATATGTGTATGAATTTATTACTGTATTTGACACCGCAATGATTTCTGTTCCTGTTCCAACCATACAAAGTCCAAGACAGCAGCGCTTTCCCATCTTTGCAAATTACTTTAATTTAGAAGCAAAAGTAAAATAAAATCAAACCTGTAGCTTTCTTCGTGCAACAAGGACGATTAATTGTCTATAAGTGAAACTAAATATGTATGTACATATCAACAAAGTATGAACGTACGTATGAATTTCACTCGAGATTTCGACTCCGTCAGCACTTCCTTCATGAATAAGGCATCGGAATTGCAAAATAATTTCCAAGAATGCTAAATTTATAAATCAAGTGCAACAAGGATCAGATACAAAACCAATACCAAGCAGGTGGGCAAATTAGCATATTTGTGGTCTCAAAGGATAAAAGGGACCTTCATAAATAAATACTTCAGAAATTATAGAATAAAAGCCACCAAATGTAAGAATTATTTTGGCCACGTAACAAATTGATAATTTATATGATATACCATGGGTATGTTCGAGCAGTCATTTCATCTCTTGTTAATTTCCAAGTCTCCTGGACAAAAAAATGAACTTTACTTCACACTCGTAGATCTGACCAAAGTATGGACTCATATGGATGCATCCGTTTGAGAATGATAAATTATGCATGACGGATAATTTAAATTGGCGTGCATGCTCCAGTGGGGGTTAAACTTTGTTGATGAAGTTATATTATTCTACATTTTGTGCTTAATATATGCAACTATATAATTTCACAACATAGTTATGAGCCGCCTCACAAAAAATATGACCAATTTAAATTACAAGTTCGTAACAGTGAAACCTAGAATGCGTTTTTCATTCCTTAATTAACGAGCTATAATAAAATTATGTGGTAATAATAAAGTATGAAAATACCAATAAAATTTCCTAAAATATAAAATTTTGTAAAGTTTGTATGGTTTTCTTCCATATTACACATATCACGATTTGCAAAATACGCCAATATCTCACTATTAAGCGTTTTTTCTCATTGTTGACATCGGTAGATAAGTACATGTGACTTCCGGTGTTGAAATTTAATTATCGTTCTTGATTCATATTTCAAATAAGTCCCAGTTTTACTGTACCTCATTATCAGTTTACGATGAGTATTTAATTTAGCTGTGTATCATGCATGCATAACAGTCTAAGATTTGGCTTTCAGTAAAATTATAACGTACTATAAAAGCAAAACCCAATATCATACGTATCAAACAAGCTTGTTCCTCGTAACAAAATATTCGTAGCCGTCAAAACTCCTTTTAAAATTTGATTTGTGAAAATTTCAAATTTTACATTACAAACAAAATGCAATTCTTTTCCATTTCGACATGCCTGTGTATCATAGGCCTTTGCATTTCCCTTGTAAGTTATTGACTTTTATGTCTAAACATTTATCAAATTTTCAGTTACGACTGGGCTACAAATAAAATTTTTCATATTCTGCAGTCCACTCAAATGACACCAACCTGCCGCGGAATGGCCATACATGTATGATCGTGAATATCTATATATATCTATGTATATGTATATCTTATGATCGGGTGACAGATGACCCCAGAAGAGATGGACGGATTGATGACCTGCATGAGCGAAATGGCACCTGACGTGACCGTGCAAGAAGGTTTTCGTTTTATTTCAATCCTAGACTAATTTTTTAACCAGAACCGCAAAACTCTTAACAATCAAGAGCAAGATTTTTTTAATCAAGCATTTAACTAAACATTTAAGATGCCGCAAAAATGGGTGCAGCAGTTCCGAAGAACGAAATGGCTGTGAGCGCATAATTTGCAAGTATCTATTTGGTCATTTGTTAAAAAATACTAGATTAACCACTATTTTCCCCTTTTACAGTGTCTCGGGAAGTGCATAATGTCCAAGGAAGGGCTGGTAAGGGACTTTTTTTTTACAATAGACTCTACTAACACAGGTAACATTCGTTAGTAATACTTTTCCTCAGCTTGATGATAAAGGAATGCCGTCCAAAGATTTAATGATGGCGAAAATCAACGCCTCCATGCCAGACTCAGTTATTGTTGAGATGGACACTGCTGCAGCGAAGTGTGTCGATAATCATGGTTGGTTTTAGATAAGGTTACGACTTATCCTAATTTTTCAAATAGTAGAATATTTATGAAATTAGGAAAGATCGTGAATCCAAACGATGCCACGTGCCAGAGTTACCATGAACTGACCCAGTGCATGACGATTGCTCTTATTGAGGTACGAAAGTGGTTAGAAAACATCTCGTTTCTTGGTAATTGGTAAATTGCTGATCAGCTAATACGTCTCACAATTTTCTTATATTCCTAGTTGTGCAAAAAACCGTGACGCTGTGCAGCATCACTGTAGAGATACAAATGTTGACAAACCAAAAGTCCTCTGAAATGCATATGGTCGGATTTCAACGTAATTTAAAACTTGCAAAATTATTGATCTTTTATTATGGATTTGGCAAATAAATAAATGCAAAATAAAATGTAATGCCTTAAATTAAAAAAATACATTTATTATCATGCCCAAGTAAGAATATTTATGACGTAGTTTATTTTGGAGTATTTATTCACATTTCATATACATAAATGGTTGCAAAGGTATGTAGTTGTTCTACGAAATTAATTTAATTCACAATTTTGGACTTTACTTAATTACATAGTGATTGTGAGTGTAAGAAATCCAAGTAATAAAAAAACCATTATAAATTTCATGGGTTTTCACTGGGTATCATTTTTATTTATAATATTTCCCTGAAAAATCCATGTGCCATTGTATGAACAACTTTTAATTTATACGAGATTTAATATGTTTTGTTTGCACATATGCACATAAATACAATAAAATACAGATTTGATTTTTATGTTTAAATTAATTATAATATTTTGTATAATTACGTTATTTATATATATTTTGTCTGATTTTGAAATTGCGAGTTTGAAAAGGAAAATCATTGACAATATTAGCTTAACACATAAAGTAGAAATAATGCACAAAATTTGAGTGTGATTAGATTTCAAAGCTATACAAATAAGTATTTGTACGCAAATTCAAAAGGGTGCTTTTCAAACGTTAATTACGTGAAAATCCTGAGTGTGTCAGACTCTCCTCGTTTTGGGAACAATAGTCCTTCACATTTGGATGCCTCCTCCTCGCCGATGGTATCATTGAGTAAAGCGACAAAGTCTTTGCGGGTTGCAGTTTTGTTTAATAGTCCATCTCGTTTCAGTCTCGCCATCAGCTAATAAAATATCAGACATTACAAGAAATTGCATAATTAGATTTCACAATCACTTGTAAAAGTAAATTAAAATTGGAAAGCGTCTTATTTCCTCACCTGTTGAAATGTCCAGACGCCAAAGTACAACGGAGTGTTGTCGCATAGGTCGTTGAAAGTAGTTTCGATGTAGGCGTTCATGTTTCCGTGGAGGGTCTTTAGCTGGGCTCCAGTGAGAGTCGTGTCTGGAACATATTTCTCAATTGTTTCCTTTATCAAGTCTTCTGAGACGAGGCGTTTGTTATACAAAGCTTTTCCACGGCCTTGCATTATGGGATGGTCAGGGCCCCACGAATTCCGATTGCCTTGTTCTACTTGTCGGACTCTTTTTTTAGGAGGCTGTCCCTCCTCATCCGATGATGATGTAGCTTCGAGCCGCTGGTTGTTTTTCCGGGTGGGTGCTTCTGCTCGTTGAGAAGTAATTGTGACATGCGGTTCTGCAATCTGTGATGGATTTCGGCTGGATGAAGAAACCGCTGGTGGTTGTTTTTCAGTGGCTTTCCCACGACTTTTCGCCTGAGGTTGGCCCCATGTAAAGCGTTTACGTCGGGCTCCTTGTGACGACAATCCCTCATCCGAGGACGACTGGTTTCGACTGCTGGATGCTCGGTTTGGAGAAGGAATTTCAGGTTGATGTTCTTCAGTTGATTGTCTATTTCGTGATGAAATTTGTGTTGGGTGTCTTTGACTGGATTGTCCCATATTTGTCGAATTTTTCTCATGAGTTTGTTGCTGAGTTTCGGATCGACTGGATGGTCTTTTACGGGAAACAATAACTTCTTCAGGCTGTTTTGTTGGAGCGGATGGTGCAACAATTTCCTGTTCTACAATTGATACAATTGATACAATTGGTACAATTGATGCCCTTAAAGCAGATGTAGGCTGACTTGGTTGGTGTTGTCGTTTCGACGAAGCGACTGGTTGTTGTCCTGTGGATGACCTTGGTGCTAGTGAGACAACTTCCAGCGGATCTCGTCGAAGTGATGATCTTGCGGAAGTGGTGGACGTCCGAGATACAACTAATTGCCCTTGTCTCGACGACCTCAAAGGTGGGACAACTTCAGGTTCACCTCGGTCGTGTGACTTTCGTATTGGAGAGACAACTTCAGGTTCTTGCCGAATGGATGGCCTTCGTACAGGCGAGATAACCTGTTGTCGAGTGGATGACCTTCGTATTGGAGAGACAACTTCAGGTTCTTCTTGCCGAATGGATGGCCTTCCTACAGGCGAGATAGACTCAGGATCTTGTCGAATGGATGACCTTCGTACAGGCGAGATAACCTGTTGTCGAGTGGATGACCTTCGAACTGGAGAGACAACTTCAGGTTCTTGCAGAATGGATGGCCTTCGTACAGGCGAGATAACTTGTCGAGTGGATGACGTTCGCACCGGTGAGGCTTCATGTTCTTGTCGACTTCGACTGGATGCTTGTTTTGGAGTGGATGGTGTTGGTAGTGGGCCAACTACAACAGGTTCTTGATGATCCAAAGGTGAAACAACTACTTCAACAAGTTCTGTTGGAGTTGGTGATTGTGCTTCCGTCGATACTGCATCAAAATGTGGACCTTTAGGGTCTTGTCGAATGGATGACCTTCGTACTGGTGAAATAACTTGCTGTCGAGTGGATGACCTTCGCACTGGTGAAATAATTTGCTGTCGAGTGGATGACCTTCGCACTGGTGAAATAATTTGCTGTCGAGTGGATGACCTTCGCACTGGTGAAATAATTTGCTGTCGAGTGGACCTTCGCACTGGTGGGACAGCCTCAGGATCTTGTCGAATGGATGATCTTCGTACTGGTGAGACTTCAGGTTCTTGCCAACTTCGAGTGGGCGCTCGTTTTGGAGTGGACGGAGTTGATGGTTCTTGATGATCCAAAGCTGAAACAACTACTTCAGCATCTTCTGTTGGAGCTGGTGATGATGCATCTTCCGTCGATACTGCTTCAGAATGTAGAGTTTCAGGGGGTGGTTGTGTTGTTAAGGTCACATCAAGTTCTGGGTGTGTAGCAACAGATGAAGGTCGTGGTATTGGAGAAATACTTGAAGAGTGTACTTCTTCATCATGTGAGGCAGAATCATCCGCGACTCCGGGATCTTGATTCACTTCCGATTGCGAAGATGGTGTTGCCGAAATTTCTTGGACACGTTGTGAGAGGGGAAGGTCGACAACTTCGCCTTGTTTTGAATTATTTGGTTGTGACAAATGTTGAGACAGAATATCCCCGTAAACAGACTGAGATTGAGATTGGTAGGAGACAAGAGATTGAGCAGTAACAGAGTTATTTTCTCTTGTCCGAGTCAGTACGGATGTCCGTCGAATTGGGCGCCAGGTAGGTTGGGTTAAAGGAGTTGGTTCGAAATCCGGCGACGAAACCACGTTGTTAATGTGATTGCTTTAATTATAAAATATCAGAAATTAGTTTTTACAACAAAAAAATTAATAATTATTATTAATAAGAAAATAAGATTACGATAATGTTCCTATGCGTGCAATTTTAGGCTTTCCTCTAGTCCGCTTGGTTTTAGAAGGCGAGTCATCGTGCAATTGTTGCGATGCTGACACCGAGGGCTTCTTTCTGCCCATTACCGACAAACTTGACCTGGCTGGCTCCGTTTCTGAAGGCTGAGGGAGAGCAGACAGCTCCTTATCCAGTGGCCGAGAGGGCACACGTTTGTTATTGCGATTCCAATCTCGTTTGGCAATGGGGGTCCACTCATCGTCTTCATTATCATCATCTTCTTCGTCATTCAGTGTCTGCACTCGACCACGAAAAAAATTCGTTCTGGTGGACTGACGGCCACGTGAAGCAGGCAACTGTCAAAGAAAAAAATACCTAATTACGGTGCGGTGCGGTTATTTATTTCTACAAATAATACCTCAACACTCGACTTCTTCTTCTTGCCGTAAGTCTTCTTGGGCATTGCCGGCTCTTCTGTTGGGGGAGAAATGGGGACGGGTGATTTTGGAATGTTTAATGTATTTTTTTGTTTTCCAAATTTTGCCACAAAATCGTTCATATTAATCTTCTTTCTGATCTCAGCCCTCTCTAGTGATTCGTCAAATGACGAGTGGAGCGGATCTCGTCCAGGACCAGGTTTAGGTTTGCTTACTGCCACCTTCTTTTTGCCACGTTTCGGTGGAGGAGGTAGCATTTGTTTCACCACTCGTCTTGATTTCGCCAAAACTTGTGCCACTTTTCGTTGATCTACTCTCACATTCTCCGAGTCGAAATCGTGATCTGAGGGGGAGGGGATTCTGGAGTCGTCACTGCTGCTGTCACTTTTTCCCGTCGTGGTGGACGACTTTTTCGGTCGTTTCTTTCTAAGCTCGGCAAATCGCATAGGATCGATCTGTAAATGAAGGCCAACAAGGGTATTGAGTTTTCCCCAATTAAAATAGAAAAACCGTACACACATGAAATGACAATAAATAAATAAAATCTCACAATTCTCTTCCTCCTCTTCCCAAGTACGACGCTTTCTTCTCCATCTGTCCTAAAATAGGCACTTGGGGGAGATGGTGGCAAGCTATCGTCCGAGTCTGCCAATGATTCCTCGGATGATGACATCTTGATAACCTATTTAATTTTGAACTAAAGAAAAGACACAATGTATGTATTTACCATTACCAGTAATTCCTAACTTCTCCTATTTCAAATAACAGGTAACTAAAAACTTACCAATAAACTCGTCAGTGATAAAAATTGATTGATGAATTCTTGATTACAATTGACGAGGACGGAGGCTCGAAAATTTCTACTAGAAATTATTTGTTGGATGAATGAAGGAGGAAATACTTTTACCGGTCAACGGAGAGAGAAGTTCCCTCCTCCAGCTCGTTTCCATGCATTTACAACTTTCTCACTGCCCAAAGCGAGACCCGTCGAGTCGTCTCATCAACTCTCATCTCGCTCACTCGTCTCATATTTCTCAATTTGCCTCCGACAATGAAATAATGAACTTTCATACTCGTGGATTGTGTCGTTTCGTTTCGTTTCGTTAGCCTTTGTGATACTAGGATTATCAACAATATTGTTGAAAACCATATGTAAATATATTGAAATGGTTCCGCATCTGCGTTTTAAACATAAATGGCATATACACTTTGCCAAAATGCCTTTAGCAAAATTCGTACATGTACGAAATTTACAACGTGCACGTTGTAAATTTGGCACTCAATTACAGGTAATACTGAATTTACATGTGAATGGTACACCGCAGATGTTGGCATTCAGTTTTCGTACATATTTGCATAAACTATCCACCACACCCAATTTATTTATTTTACTTTATTAATCCCAAGTTCAGGCTCACGAGCAAAAACTGCAACACGCACTAGCAAAATGTTGCGCTTTAATTTTGATTATTATTATCAGCCCCTTCTCCTTATTCTTGGCGTCACAAGAATTCAGCAAGTATCCACATCCGACAAAAACATGCAAGAATTTATCCTCTATACAGAAAAATACCCCGCCTCGCAATATTGTAACCGTGCAACTTGTGAATCTCGTAGTTTCAACGGAAATTTAAAAGACCTCACCCAATTGTGGGGTCGAGCCGCGCACAATACGGTTAAGAGTTGGTGTAGCGCGACACAAGGAATGTAATTTTTAACATAGATAACTGTGAATTTTGTAACCTTTCTTCGGATCAAAATGGACTAAAAGCATTTTTTTCGTATACGTTTCAGGTGGCTTTTCTTCTCTGATACAAACTTCTCTCCAAACAGTTCTTACAGCGGCTTTGTAAAGACATCTCGTCCGGACAGTGACCGAACTAGGTCTAGCGTGATGCAATGTGTTAATCTACCGAAAAATCAAGGGATTCGCTCCATCCGACATTTTGCACATGCAAATCTCTCCATCCCTGCCATGACCTTATTCACCCTAGATTATGACTCTGGCACACTTCAGAAGGAGTTTTTCATCGACGGGGAGGCCGTTTCCCTACCAGCACCGATGACTTTTGCAGCGTATGCCTTCTCAGGATTTGAACCTTGGACTATTTTCGATCAAGTGAATTTTCGTGGTAGCACAACTTGTCTAAATCTACCTCGGGATTTTGATCCGAAACAAAATTCCGACGTGGCGCTACTTTCAGCTGGAATAAATGTGGACATCATCCTCGGATCGGCGCGGCTAGGTTGCAGTGGGGATGAAGATTACAATCTGTATCCGCTAAATTCGACAACAGCCGTGCTCAATTTGGGCGACTCGTTAACTTTGTTCTTTGGTATAATTTTTATATAAAGTTTAAAATTCTCAAAATTTATCTACTTAAATCTCAATCTTTCTATTCTGTGAACAGAACATGGAAGCAGAAATCAGCAATCTCAGCCGGACGCAGTGAACGAGACGATTATTATCGACGAACTTCCTAACGACGACATCTTCCCACCACCAGCATTCATTGTCACCGTTCGTGACATGGGAAGCGGAAATAATAATTCGACATCTCAGATTTACTTTTCGGGGTTGGAACTTGTCCTACCCGATGTGTACAATGTGACCAGCTTTCTTCCCATCAATCCTAAACGTAATGTGACCATGGAGGGGCATTGGGAACTATGTTCTGATCTGGATTTTACGGGAATTTGTACTTGTCTTTTGGCAAATAACACAAACATAGCTATTCTCGAGCCTGACATAATTTTTATGTCGGCAAGGTTTGGTTGTTCTGTTTCCAAAGAAGTTGGGAAAGGTGGCGGATCAAGGCTAATACTGCAACAATACACATCTTTTCTAATTTTTGTCATTATAACAATTTTTTACTAAATGAATATGGATCACATTATTTATTTTGTATGTAGTCGATCTAGCAATAAAGCGACTAAAAGTTATAATACGAAATGTGACGAAATACAACACTTATGTACGTCATGCTGTTTGCATGCCGACGTAATTAAATATCAGATACGAAGTCAATTTGACGAAATTTTAGACCCACTCAAATCGAATCGAAGGGGTATAAGAAAATTGCTACACGAACTGTTAGATTTTTGTTCACATAGATAGAAAGACTTGGTCTATTTTTGTATTTCTGTCCGATTGAAGTGTGAGTCATAGGGCTATACATATGCAACCACTAGAAGTGTTCAGCAGAATTTTAGTTTATCACATTTGTACGTTACGTAATAATACAAGGAGTAATTAAAAGAAATTCTATTTCACCATTCTATATACAAAATATTTCAAAATTACATTCCTACACAATAATTTAAATATTACTTTACAATTTCATCCTTGCTACAACTTCCCTTCCTCCTCTTTCTCATCTCATTTATAACATAGAGCGTCACACAAATGACCGTAACTACGATGATTAAAATAACCGCAATAAATATGACCAAGTCAGGAACGGTAATAAAACTGTCGTCAACTTTCACCAATTTGGGATACATTGTTTTCACGAATGGTTCATTGTCATACTCGATTGGTATGCAGTAGGCTTGCTGCTCTCCGTATTGGACAAGATGTTGATATTTCGTTCGTAATTCGGTCGACCAATTGACTCGGTGTTGCACTATATCCGTGTACTTTAACCCGGATAAATGTTCAGGGGATGTAACAGTGGCGTCGATTTCTCCCTGGTACTGCAAGGATAAAAATGTGGTTTAAAAATCGAATTTTTCTTGTCTGTTAAGTTACACCTATAATTCTCGTACTTGATAAACGTCGTTGATTCCCATAAATTCAAGAATCTCTTTCTGTGAGTGATAACTCCCACAAGAATTGACCTCATCTATTCTTGGCCAGTAGAGAAGGAACGCTTGGCACATCTCTTCTCTCGGAGATCTTCCACCCAACGTGATACCACCTCTTCTCCAATTTGAGTCGTACATACATTCGATGGTCAGATGGTCACCAGGCAAAATTTTTACTGGTGTGCGAAGCCGTCGATTATTTTGATAATTAAAATCAAAGTGGTCATCTTTAGCTAGCATGGGCAGCTCGTAATTTCCTCGGTAATGGCGGAGTTTCAATCGACGCCCTAAAGATGAAGTTATATAATCATGTGAGTATGATTTGTAGAACTTTAGACTAGTTGTTAAGAATACAATTATAAATTACCAGATAAATGCGAGTGAAGAAGGTAAGTAAAAATATTAATCCCATCTTTCGGAAGATTTTTTGTGCAATCCATGGGACAATGAGAACTAACGACGAAATTGGTCGCATTCGGTGGCACTGTCAGCGAGAAAGTTTTGTTGGTCATGAAACCGAGTTGTAATTGTCCAATCTCTGTTGGCCTGCGGTATGCAATATAAATACGTTCATTATAACGCGGTCATTATCATGCAAAATTCAAAAATTCTGAGAATGTAGCCCACGTACCTCAGTTCAGGTGTATGGTAAATGTTAAATCCCGCCCTAATGTTAAGGTCACTTCTTCGTTCTTCGTTATTGAAATGTACTTCCGTCATAAAATATTCTGTCGCTCCATCGTCCCGACCAAGTGGGAGACCTAGATTGTCAAATTATGTTGGAAAAGTTTGAAAAGTTTACCTAGCTTGTAATACTTACCGAGATTGTCCGGGAAAAGGGTGATCTGCATCAAACACGAGGACATTATGCATTTATACATCTCATAGATTTGAAATTTCTTAAAAAATAAGCAACTTATTTCTATTTCGAAACTAACCTGTCCACCAATCGTCCATTGGAATTCAAACGTTCCGCAGTTCTCGTATGGAAATCGGACTGGAGAGTAATTGCAGTCATACCCATCGCCAAGATATGGGGCGAAAAACTCGTCTGGATTTGTACCGGGTGGTGCAGTACATCTGTACAGGTCGGCATGATGAAGATGTCGTTTATTCTCGGGGAGATCAATGTACATTCCAAACTGTTTTGAGAAACGTAAAAAATTAGCAGTGAAATATTTCTTCAATCTTAAAACTAGTTGGCGTCACGTACCCCAACCATGTGATGTTTACTCGTGACATTGGGACCCTTAAAAAATGAGCACATGTACACCGTGTCATTACTCGAAACTTGGACAGTTTTCTCTATCTTCCAAACTTCATATCTGATTTAGTTTTACACAAAATATATTAAACTTGCCGAAAAAAGCTAAGAAACGGTATGCCGGTTCTAAATAATGTCTCACTTTTTCTCCAACTCTTCCGGCGTGGGAGTCTCGACGTCTGGATCCAGAAAATTTACAGAGATGATGCCCCTGTCATTTTTGTGGTAGGATAACCTCTGCGTAATCATATCGTACTCTCCCAACGCCCAAATTAGCCGGAGCGTGTCCACCGTAATTTCCACGTCCTCGTCATCCCCGGTGTTTAAGAGACGAGATATTTTGGCAGAAAAGTGGGTTCTGTTGATCCATCCAGACAGCAATTTCCAATCTTGACTTGCATCTAATTCTGGCTCCACGTTTCCAACCCCGTGGCGATCCTATGTAAAATAGTAATTAAATATGTATGATTCCTAAATATAAGGAAAAACGTGTCCAAAAATATGTGTATATCTACCTCATAACTGAACCCAGTTGGCCCGAAATTTTTTATTATTATGATGTCAGAACCTATTCGAAATTAAACGCTACGTAAGTTATAACAAGCAAAATGTAATTTTAAGAAGACTGCGATTTTTTATGTCAACCGTACCGTCCATTGCACCATTAACCGATATTCCAAATCCAATATAGGAATTGCGTCCCGAGTATCGAGCCACAATCTTGAAAACTATTTCTTTCGTATCGTCTAGAACTGTCCAAGACACTCCATAGTCTGGAGTTATTTGCATGTGACGATCTACTTTTTCAGGGTTCGATTCTACTTCTTCCTGACAAAATATTACTTGTATGAGACTAAAAGCTAGCAAATAATTAATCCAAAACCTATTCATTTTGTGCTTGAAAATTGTGGGGTTTCAGAAATATGACGGTAAAAAATATTGAGAAGGCAATTAATTTGCGATTAATTTGCGATACTAATTTTAAATAGGGTCGTGTGGTAGAGTTCCAAGTAAATGGATGTGATTTCAACTTTCTTATTAAATATATAGTGCACTAAACTAAAAATCACGAGCATGAAACGTCAGTGTATCATTTGTGAGCATCTGTCTGCTTCCATTTAATCCTATCTCAACAAATTCTATCCATTCTTTGAAATTATTTATGTAGAATCCAGGCGTTTCTGGTCCCTCCTTTGTCCCGATTCGAGTCATCGCTTCAGAATCGGAATTATCATATTTAGAGCAAAGTATTTGCACCACATTTCTCATGAGCTGCATTTATGATGATTCAAATAATTCGGTATTCTATCGAAAACTAGAGATGTACATATTTATTTGCCAATTTCGAGAATAGATCAATAGAAATGATAAATTATGCAACTTGATGATAAACGATTTCTGCAAGCTTCTAACCCCATCAAATCCCACAAATTGATAAATTAATATTCAGAATTCACACGTAACTAATTTTCATCGTTTCACTTAAAAATTCATATCCAACGAGACATAAAATTCTGTTGACGCATATTTGTCAAGTGATTCCATTGAACCCAGATACATATGATTTTTTCTCGGAAGGATCACGTTTTTAACCGTTGCATAATAAGTATTTCGTCTCATGACCAAATTAACTATTCATGAAAGATGGATAAATACATACATACATACGTTTTGGTACGACCAGGACCACGACATCTTATCTGGCTTGCCAAATGTTGGAACTTTAGGTTTCAAACAAAGTACATATTCCACGATTCATAGATACATAGAAACCAAACCCCATCACGGGTCATGTGTGCTGTTCATAAATAATCCTACGAATCTGCATTATTGCATTGTTATTTGACGTTGTTGTAACTTTACATCCATCGATATTTTTAAGCAGATTTCGCATTCTAAAATATTTATGATGATTCGTTCTACTATATCAGCACAAGTTTTATGACACTTCTGTTTTTCATGTCAACCGGCACAAAACCGTGTGTGCCTTGGTACATTTATCAACTTTGACTTTAATTTTATGCCATTAAGAATTTATCTTGACACCTTGGAAATTCGTTTCTCGACGAGTTCTACCTCCTAATCTTAATCACAAAATACATAATTTTAATAGTACTATGATTTCTTCTATCACTGCAAAAATTAGCCACCTTAATCTTAAAAGCCTGTCACTAGGAAATTCGCAATATGGAAGACAAATATTTGCAGCTTTTGCCGGTATGTTATTTCCTTTCTAAGATGTACCGTATTTACAAATTTTTTATTACTACGTATTTAAATTCAGCCAATATGGGGGCATTTTCCTTTGGGACTGCCTGGTCATACACGGCCACGGCCCTTCCCTCCATGAAACGTGACCCCTACAACGACTTTAACATCACGAGACATAGTGAATCCCTCATCACGGCGCTTCTTTTTCTCGGCTGCATCATTGCATCTCCCCTCAACGGATACTGCCTGGAAAAATTTGGCAGACGCGGTGCCATGATGCTAACCAACATACCGTGTGTTTTAGCCTGGATAATTATCGGAGTTTCAAGCAATGTTAATATTATTTACGTTGCAAGAATCCTTACGGGTATGCACATGAATGAATTATCATGAATTTTGAGGTATGCATTTTAAACCCATTTCCATATTTTTTTTAGGAATCTGTTCTGCTAGCTATGGCTCCGCTGCGCCACTTTACGTCTCGGAGATCTCGAGCCCAAAAATTCGTGGAAGATTAGTTTGCACTTTTGATACGATGATTGCAGCCGGAATGGTTTTCATGTTAGCGCAAATTATAATGCGACGATTCTTTTGTGACAAATTCATAGAAATTCTTAATTTTTGTAGAAATATTGTCGGGTCTTTTACATCATGGCGGGTTCAGGCCTTTGTATGCGGTTGTGTTCCGGTAGTTGCTCATGTTATGCTTCTCATGAGTAAAGAATCCCCCAGATACTATCTCGCCGTTGATAACTACAAGGAAGCCAAGGCAACGTTGGAATGGTTCAATCCAACGGCGTCTAATGAGCACATAACGAAACAAGTTGACGAGGTCAGTTCTTGAAAGTTTTTGCATCATTTTGTACAAAAATGGTGAAAAATTCCATTTTTGCAGATTGCTGAATGTGCAGAACAAGACCGTTACAACAACACCTTCTACGGGTGGCGCACAATATTGGGACGCGACGTCTACAAACCAATTCTAATCGGAATTATGCTCATGTTTTTTCACTTAATGTCAGGAAATTACCCAATTTTAGCATATGGCATGACCAGTGTCGGGATCGACACCAATATTGATGTCACTCCAAACTATTTAGGAATTACTCTAATGAACTTGGCACAATTTGTGAGTCAATAAGTGTTAATAACTTCAATACCAATTAGTAATTTCACTTAAAAAATTTTGAAAATATTTTATTTCCAGATATTTTCATTTATCCCGGTATTTTTTGTGGACGTCATTGGTCGTCGACCCCTTCTCATAATTTCTGAATTGGTTATGGCAGTGACACTTTCTTGCCTTGGATTTATGCTCATTTTTGATCACCAAAACCCATTAGAAGGCACATTTTCTACCATTTCACTAATAATATACGAAGTATTCTACGCCCTCGGGATCGGTATGCTGCTAATTTTCCTTTTTGTCTAAATTTTATGACTCAATTAACATTTATCAAAAATTTTTCTTAGGACCAATACCGTGGTTGCTAATGGGAGAACTTGTCTCGTCCAAGCGGCCAGGAATTTCACTCGCAATTATCACTAGTTTCTACAGAGCGTTAGGTTGTCTAGAATTGTATTATTTTCTTAGCATAGCAGACTATATTGGACATGGGGGCATGTACCTATTTTTTGCAGGTTGTTGTTTTCTAGGTGGGATTTGTTGTTACCTAATTATTCCCGATACTACGGAGTTAAAGTTGGAAGAGATTAAAGATAAAGTTTAGAAAATGAGTAATCCTAACTCAAATTTTTCTACCTTTTTACCTGTCTGTGAAATATCTATACTACACGTTATCATGTAAATATATGTATTAAGTATTTAGTCATCATTATAATCAGAGTTTCATTGTTGACATTTCCGATTGATTGTACAAAAGTCAAATTTTGGAAACAGCACGCTTCCAGGTTTTGTCGATACTGTGCGAAGGTTAAAGGGCATAAAATTTGGTTCACGAAGAACCCGTTTAACACATCTAACTCCAATTTGCATTATGCGAGAATTTTTATATTACACACAGCATAAACTAATTAATGTGTTAATATACTGTTACATTTGAATTACCTGAGAATGCACATTATACGGTTGAATAGTTTAGTCTAAGCAGGGCGTTATTCTTATAAAAAGCAGCACGTAATTTGGAGTGTAAATATATGTATGGATATATTAAATACATTATTCCAGGCAATTGGTAAGTAACGAGTAATTGATTCGACGCGTTGTAGCATGTGTAACTCAAGTATTTTCAAAAACACTTGTACATTAAGAGGATAACCTATTTTGTAAATAAAGGTGTGCATTTGTTTATTGACATTATTGGTGTACATTTCTCGTAGCTGTCAAGAATTTGGACTCAACATTCCTGATTTATACATTGGTATTGTCACACATACCTTATTGTTATACAAATAAATGCATGCACAATATATACATAGATGCATTGCTTAGGGTTGCTGTTAATTTTGCATTATTTAGATTTATCGCACTCAACACAATCAGGAGAATTAGTTGACTCTTTCTCAACATGTATCACCACAATTGTATACTTTTCAAAAAACCAACCAAAAATACAAAATAATTTCCCCGTCATTCATTCCACTGGCGCCACAAAAATTTCTACCCATCACGTAAGAAGGCGACTACATTGCGTCGCTTATTTCTTTTCATATCCCGAAGACAGAAATATCACATTGCACCCAAGTGGTCATTTACTTTTCTCGGTGTTGCAAAAAATTGGTGTTAGTCATTACACAGGTCCTTTATCGACATCAAGTGATGTCGACCGTCGAAGCGAGTTGTACCTGTTGGAACCCCACTTTCTGATTTGCATATCAAAGTTATCATTACACGAATTGCTCGAAGAAGTGTCCGCTCCCACCTTTCTCCCACATCATTTATCAACGACGTATATTCTCCAACTTTCATCTCATCAAGACGAAATCCAAAGTGTGTTTTACATCTGTAAAGTGTGTCAAATTGGGACATTTTTGGCTCTGCAAATTCCAAATGATGGGTGTCCCTCGTTCACAAAAGAAACATTTCATTTCCATGAAAACAGAATCACATTTAACGGAAAATTGATTTACGAATTAGTCTTTTTTCGATCCTCCGACTTAAGTACGCACCGATATAATTTTGTATCCAAAAAATCCGATCCTCAAATATCTCCATTTTACTATCAAAAATACCCTGATGGATATAAAGTAGGGTTGGACAGAACCATCGCTATGTTGATTCAGGGGAAAATGGATGTGCTGCAGGGGAACGAAATATTTGAAAAATTGGACTTGATAGGCTACAAAGTTGCCAATACTTCTCAAGAAGTTTATCAAGTATTGCCAACCCTTTGGTATCGATTTGTCAGAGAAAACCGAGAACTCCAAACCGATTTTGTGGTAGATGAAGCGAAAACGTTTAATTTAATTACTTGCGACAGTGTGACAAAACTTGAGAAGAAGGAGACTCGATATTTCATCGCATTGTTTAATCCTTTTAAAAACCGGGTGTGGGCACTCATGGGGTCTTGTCTTTTTGTCATCACGGCACTCACGGCAAGTTTCCGACACAAGGATACGAGGCGTAATTACTTTCTTCATCATTTTGCAAGTGCTATACAAACAAACTTTTTCGCACTACTTGAAAATGGTCCAGACTTCAAGTTGAAGTGTAGAAGTTGTAATTATGACAACGCATCGATACTAATGTCCATTACGTATGTTTTATTTGGAGGTTGGTTAATGTACATCTTTTTCATGAACACCTTATTCAAGGCGGTTTTGACCTGCGATGAAATTGTGGTGGATCCCGTGATAGTTTCGAAATACAAGAAAATCACAGAGTTGGTTAATTTTTCAATTACGACACCATTATTTAACGGAAGTTACAATACGATCCCAACTGAAGGAATTGGGGCTACGCCGTTTGGCGTAGAATTAAATTCGCTCCTTACAGTTGTCAATAGGACGATCCAATTTATGCATTCGCCACAGATTTCACACTTCTTACTAAAGGATAATCGCCTTAATTCGAATAATGCAGGTTATCATCCCGACTACATCGACGGGTTTCTGAACTTTATTTCAAACTGTAATAAAACAGCGTTTATTGAGGAAAACACCAAAGTCAACACATATTTGAAAGCGTTTAACGAAAGAAAGGAAAAGGAAGGGAAATCGAAAATTATTTTTATGAAAGGCGATGATAAATTTTATGCTGCGAAATCAGGATGGATTTTGCAACGTTTTAGCCGAGTTTATTCAGGCTATTTGAAAACAATATACAATCATTGTATCATTCGGGAATTTATGAAATTTATCATAACTGGCATTTCTCGAATAAGAGTACGTTGCCAGGTAGTAATAAGGATCACACTAAGAAAGGTTTTCTGGATAATGTTATAAAACCTGTAGGATTTACGGTCCAGATTATATCACTTCTTGGAATTTTGATGATATCTTTTGGAATTTCTTGGTCTTTATTCTGCGTAGAATTTATTCGTACGAGGATGAAGTTTGAGAAAGGTTAGGCGTGTTTATATATGCTTCACTCCTTGGTAACTTGCGCCATAGTCAAATTATAATGTTGGTGGAAGTTACCGATGTGTGAAGTATAAACGCATCTTCATATTTGTATGTATATGCTTATCATTTTTCTCAGTTTATTTTCAGATTGTAACATTGTCCAATAGTAGAATAAAAATTTGTCAGGATTTTTGATTTCTAATAATTCATATGCATATATTTCTACTGCATACTACAGATGGTTATTTGTTTGGATGGACCGTCAACAAATCAAAAGTTATGATATTATTAGTGAACCTGGTTAGCCACTGATAATTAGAAGGATTCTCAGGTACAAATCAAGGTCAGAAATCTTTAATGCATCCACAATGTCCTGGAAGTCCGAAGAGCTGCACATCTCGATGACAGGGACTACTTGTTCCAATGCTTGCGTCGAAATTCCAATTATTCTCAGTAGTTCAATTTTATCCGAAATTGGCAAAGAGCAAACGCCCGGAGGAGAGTTGACATAGCAGACCGGATGCGAATTGAATGCAGTTGTTTCAATCGTACTACAATTCGCAACAACTTCTTTGTTGGCAATCGGAACGAGGACATCTTGCAGACAGGTCATCGTATTAAACAACCAGGTTTGTCCCTCTGAGGTAAATTTTGAAACATTCTCCAAAAACTTGTTACAGAATTTGTCGCCATATCCACGATTTGTAGCCATTCGGACCGCATGGAACGTTTGCCTCGAGACAGCGAGTGTAGAATGAGCAGTCCTTCGGAATTGGGAGACATTCCTCAGTTTCCTGAGCTTGAATGCCGTTTTTTGAGGCAGTGACAAAAATAAGTAATTACACAGAATATTTTAAGAAAGCAAGACATTGGTGATCTTTTTGGTGAAATAAATTTATTTGGTTAAATAAATTGGAATTTGCAAGTTTTGCGGTATGATAGCGAGGTATTTGGTAAAGGAAAATTTGGTTTCGAATAAAGTTCTGAGGAAGATTGTCCATCGGACACGGGTTTTAAACCATTTTATAAATTAGTCAGCATTGATTGATCGATTGATAGGTTTTTTTATTCGGTGTCAGCACATTGCTGTTTTTTTATTTTAGACGTCATACGTACAAAATCGAATATGGATTAGTTAATTTGGATATTTATTTGTAACACGTTTTATGTTATTTTTACCTCATGTGTGTCATATACGTAAGTAACATATGCATACGTAAGTATCTTGGGTGTTCTTATTGTTCAAACCAAATTTGAAGATTTCTTCTTGTTAGCTAATTGACAAACAATGTGATTTTTATAATTGACACAAACGAGGAAAAAATACGTACATATAACAGGTTTATTGAAGTAGGAATATCGGCATGAAAAAATTACACAATATGATTGTGTTTTATATTTGATAGCCTCAGTCTTGGTTGTGACATTGTACATATGAACGCACCTGTTTAATCTTTTGATAATCGTAAAGTTCTTGTGAAGCGGAGCGTTTTGAATATGCAAAATACATCGACGAAATACATTTTTATGAAAATAAATACATAGCTATTCACTTTGGTATTATTCGGAAATTGTACATAAATCTAAAATATACGTCATCAAGTATGCTTATGATGTATGTAAAGCTGGTTTTAAAATGTGTATATGTGTACATATAGTACTAGTGACTAGGGTTAATACATAATCATAATAGTAAAACAAATAATTAATAAGATATTCAATTGCATAAATAATAAAAAAATTTATTTACCATTGCATAAGAAAAATATTGTATACAAAACTTTTTCATCAATACTTGTGCTTTAAATGAAATATGTATGTATGATATTAAAATTCCTTTTGATGTTTATTTTTTTCGTAAATAAGCCAAACTTTATAAAAATTAAACTATCTTTGACCTTTAATATCTTAAAGTATGGATTTTGTCAATCCTGGTTCTCAGATTTGTTTGTACCAACCTTTCCATACACATGTAGCCATATGTACATAGTTTAATCAGTACAAAATAATTAGTAAACATCGTCACATTATATACTTTCCTGACGGTAGCTTTTTACCTCCTTTGATTTTATGAGATTTGCACACCGCCCTAAATTCTGTCTCCGTGTCCATTAATCCCATCCGCATTTTTACCTTATCTCTCGCTTTGAATCCACACATTGGATGAAAAGCTCTATCACAATCTTTTTCATAGCACATTATCGCCACACCGTTTTTCGTGTGACACACCATACAAGTTAAGTTCCATCGAAATTCCGGAATTTTTTCAACATGGATGGGTTCCATTAGCTTGTCATCGCCTAAGCTTGCCTCTGTTATCCACCATTTGCATAATAAATGAGCCCAGGGACACTTTTCCCATTTAGTCATCACAAGCTTAAACAATTTCCCTTTCTTCTTCATATGCTGGGGTTGTGGTTTTGATACCGGTTTAAGTGCTCCGCCTAGTTTCATGCAAAATAGACATTTTAAATTAGCAGTGTCTAAGCCTTCCCGACATGGATTGCATTTCCAAGACCATTTCTCCGTATCTTCTGGAATATCCTGAATTCCGTAACACACACTGTGTACGCAAATTCCACATTCGGGATTGTCGCAATAGACCATAATGTTGCCATACTCATCAAGTACACTTCCACAAACGGAACATGGCGTGGTGTCAAGTTGTGGTTCGGCATTCAATTCTTTCTTAATTACGCCTTCGGAGTCAGGACCTTGTTTCATTATCACATGGGATTCGTCATCAATAATAATTTCGTCGTCATGGTCAGATGATGAATTTCCGTTTCTTTCAACACTTGTGTCTCTGGCCAACCGCCGTTTCTTCGAGGGTCGATTTATTGTGGGTGTCATTTCATTAGAGGTTTCGAGCACCATATTTTGGGTACTGGTTTTTGGGGGTGGCCTTCTACCACTGTGGGTTTCTGGGGCAGCAACAGTTTCTGTTGATGATGAACGCCCTTCCGTTACATCACGTGACTGACTAAAACTTTTATATTCAATTTCAATCTCCTCAGTCTCGGGGCTGTTCATCTGTGTAGTATCATGGTTATCTGTTGCAGAGCTTCGTGCAGCCTCGTCATCATAAGCATTAACACAGGGGTCCTCCAAATTTATAAGTCGTGAGAGCGTGTCTTCCCCTAAAAGTACAAATTAATTTCTAATCACTAATTATTAAACCTATCAGTACAGCTTTGCTCAGCCCGAACCAGGATTGATTAGTAAACCCATGTTTGTCAGAATGTTATACTATTTTTCACCAATTTTTGCATTAACTAACGTCAGTTGGAAGTATTACTTGGTACCAAATACCACGAACAGTGGAGGCTGTTTCTATAAAAATTTCGAAGTTTAACCCTCCAAAATTCGAATCCTAAGTTATTTTTTGACTCCTCACTAAATTTTAGCTAAATATATAAACTTTTAGAAATCGGTATGGGTACCCCTTAGTGCCCCACTGGTGAGTTTTTGTTCGTCTTTGACTTCATATAATTTCATGAGAAGCCATTAAGTATCACCGTTCCGAATTTCAGCTTTTATGCGACAAGTTCTGAAAATCGGTATGGGTCACCCCAACGGGTCCCGGAATATGAAAATTTTATCAATTTCACTTCATATTCTTCTATTAGGGGCCATAAGCAGCCTTTATATCAAATTTCAGCTCGATTGGATGATTTTGAAAAATCGGTATGGGTCACCCCCTCGGGTACCTCTGGTTGACAAATTTTCCAATTTCACTTCATATTCTTTCATTAGGAGCCATTAGCAACCTCTGTACCAAATTTGAGCTTTCTACGACAATTTTGCAACTTTGGTGCATAATACCCCACCCACTCCGATGACCCCCACCGGTCCAAAACTTTTCTGATCGAACCCATCTTCGAACTCGGTCGTTGCATTGCCCAGATACATGTCTGTACCAAATTTGGTAAAAATCGGTCAACTCGCTCGAGAGTAATCCAAAGACAGACGGACGGACAGACGGACGGGCATGACAATTACATAAGCCCTGGTTCGGGCTAAAAATGCAAAGCTTCACATTTACAAATATGTACATGTACTAACCAAAGTCTTGTTCCACCCAGCGACAAACTTCTTCCTTCCATCTTTCCAGGTTCCGATACCTTTGAATCAATTGTTCCATTTCTAGTCGCAATTCTGCGATTTCTGTATCGTGAGAATTTAGCCTGCTAATCAACTTTCCATCTCTTGTGTTAGATGAGGTGGGGTGCGGATTATTATTGTGGCGACTGTTTTCCATAATTCTGAATATTTATTGATCTCGTAATTGTATTTGAAATCGGAGTTAAATCTGTTTCTTAATATTTTATGCCTAAAAGTATTTTGGTGAAGTGTGCTCTTAATATTATTTAGTTGAAACTAAATATGTACCGTTATCGCACAAAACGATATCTTTTATCATACATAAATGCATATCTATGTATATGCTCAGTCCAAATATATCAGTTATCTAATAGAACTAACCTTGGATATGGTTTTGAAGATATGAAAGTGAGTTCAGAAATAGGTGCAGCATACATAATACTAAAAAAAACGAATGCCATCTCGTACAACACGCAAAATAATTTAAACTAAAGTAAGCTGATCAAATTGTATGTATACAAACATTGCGTAACAAAAAAAGTGCATATACAACTTGCATGCAGTCTCATTGAAGGCCATGGTTTACCTCCTTACTGGTGCTGCCTCAACAAAATGGATTGGATTAAAATGTAGCAAATAAACAATCAATAAACTATATATGAATCTATGTAAATTATGTTTTTACTTACTTATAATGAAACTTATTACGTTTACTTACAGTATGTCACTTTATTGTAGATGCAAGGCATGCATGCATTATATAAATCACAAATACTTCACAACGGGATAATATTTCAAATTCGTTTTTAGACCAATTATTAGCAATATTTCATACTACATGTGTGCAAAATTTCAAATGAATTGGGATAAAACTGATGAAGTAGTAGATATTTAAATGTCAAAAAGTTGCAAATTGCACGCCACAAAATTGTAGATGCAGCTGAGTTTAATTACGATAACGACCCAGTCTTTCAGTTTACATACAAATTTTGTTCGGGAATGTTTATTTTGGGTAAGAACATTCGTTTGTATTGCCAATGGAAAATATTTCGTAGAAATTATATTCTAAAATGGTACATAGCAACGAGGTCAATCTAGAATTTCGGGCGGAAAATGTCGCGAGTTATAAAAAAGGGTTAAGCTGTGGGAAATTTTTCGGAAAACATGAAATTTCACAAAATATTGTCCAAAAAATGAAAATGGATCGAAACTCTTGTGAACCTTCACGAGCGGGGTCAAAACCGCAGTATATCACCATGTGATGACACCGAAATTATAAGAACGGTGAGCATGGTCCTCCTCTGTTCACGCTAAAAATTGCGAGACGTGTTCAAAGTGACCTTTGCACTGATGTCCACCTATAATCTATTATAAATAGGCAGATATTAGCTGAATTATCGGGAAATTTGGCAAAATAAACACCATAGTTTTGAATGAGAAGCCCCAAGTAATCTTTAGATTTAGTAAGGCAAAACTCAGGATGTCCGCTTGTGACAGGAAAAAATTTTGCTTCCTGGATGAGGCCGAAATTCAACTCTCTGGTTCAGATGGAGTGACCAGAGTGTGGTAGAAGCAAGACGAAAGTGCGAACAATTGATTTATGGGGATAATTGTTAAAAATAGAGGTGTCAAGGAAATTTTGGCTGTGGGCACATTTAGTATGCGGTGTGAAACTTTCGAATTCTTGCCGGAATGCAATGGTTTGAGGCAGTTTCCGTTAAAACGGGATAGTAACATTGAAATGTGTCGTTGACATCATGACAAACACGGCTAATCTTGATTTGCTAAAAATAAATCTTTGTCGTTTTCAAACAAAAGCGGAAGTTGGTCAGCGATTTTTCTTCCAACATGGTGAGTAGTATACAAATATTTAAAAAATCTTCTCGAAATGCTTCGAGGGTAATGGAATAAAGGTGTTGGGTTGGGTTTTTCAATCCCCTGACCTCATTCCGATCTAGCATTTATGGGGGACCCTGAAGCTTCCTGTGGCAGAACGGAAACCGACAAATGCAGCTTCCCCGAAAACCAAAGTCACGAAAGAGTGGTGTAAGATCGACCAAAGGGTCACTGACTGATTGGTAGATTCGAGGTTAAGACGAATTCAAGCCGGTGTTGCCGCTGAAAGTAGGCCGGCAACATATTGAATGGGCTATTCATCTGTATCTACAATTTTGTGGCGTGCAATTTGCACCTTTTTGATATTTAAATATCTATAACTTCATCAGTTTTAGCCCAATTCATTTGAAATTTTTCACAAATGTAGTATGAAATATTGCTAATAATTGGTCCAAAAACGAATTTGAAATATTAACCCGTTGTGAAGTATTTGTAATTCATATAATGCATGCATGCGTTGCATCTACAATAAAGTGACATACTGTATGTCATGAAAAACTCTTGCGCATTGTTGCAGGTGCAAAGTTCATCTTTAGAATGAGCCATTTTAAACAAAGAATACTGATGCGCAATCATATTTATTTTTACATCACTCATCACATCAACTCACGTCTAATCCAGCCGAGGTATTGCTTCATGTCCTTGGTTTCCAGAGCTAAAGTATGACACTGTCATGCATGCATTTATATAGCAAGTTGTCTTATATCAGCAGGTTTATTTCATTAAGAAAATTTGTAGTTTTATTTGTTAATTACTGACGGAAAATGGATATCGAACCAGGTGTCCTTTTGTGTCACGAGTTTGACTTGCTTTCATCCATTGAAGACCCCACCAATTTAGACTTTGACTTTGACACCACACCCGCAAGTGATTTGTTCTCAGCCTGTCATGGATTTTGGGTTGATCAAAAGTCTGGAAATATATTTCTTCGTTTGGAACCAGCAGATGAAAACGATAAAGCGCGTTTTTGTAAAACCGATATCAAATTTATATTTCAAAATTGCATAAGAATTTTAATACTAGCCATACAAGAAGAAGCGCAACCAAATTATTGTAAATTTATACCAAGTGCTATCAAGGCAGGTTCTAAAGATAATTTTGTACTAAACTATTTCATGGAAATTAATATCAAATTTTGTCTCTCAGGACCATGACGGTTTCTTGAAAACAATGCTGTGTGCTCATTCACTCACTAAACAATTTCTACAAAAATATGTGACAAACCAATTTGGGGTTGTACACCGGGGACAAAACCATGAGGATGAACGCGACAATATTTTACGCACAAAAATTTTATCTGGAACTGTAATACTTAATTTTCATAATCGAGCCAATACTGCATTTACCAACATTACTGTACGTTTTGTAGATTCATCTCACCTATAAGACGAATGATTCCTATATAAAGTTCAATTTTGGCGATGTAGATACGACATTAGCTCTGGAAACAAGGCAACCCACCGAGGACGGTTTTCCACAATTTCTTATACTAGTCAAGAATGCAAAATCATTAGAAATTTTTAATGCTGGTATGTATTTATGCAAAACTGCAAATAAATAAGAAGCACAATTTTTTGCGCAATGTTAAGAAACCATATAATTTAATTTACAGAACCCCCTTTAATCAACGTTACCTCCCGATTGCTAGAGATAACAAAACTGATTGCCACATTTAATCAACTCCAATGGGAGCGCATATATTTGGAGGAGAGGAAAAATTCTCTCCAAATGTACTTGGATAATCTTCCCTTCGAAGATATGATTCCACGTCATGCCAACTACATTAAGAGGACTGAAGAAGACATTGTAATCTATTTAATGCAGTTCCGGCAGCAATGGAAACACATGCATCCTGGTCGACGAGAAAATATGGTTCAAAATGAGTGGAAAGTAAATAATTTGCATCTTACGAGCAAGTCAAAAATTATGTAATTCCCTTCAAATAACTAGTTTTGGACTCATTTCTCAGAGAATTTTAACTCAATGTGGGCTGCAATACAAGGAACATCATCTACTGTCTGGCGAAAAGGATAGAATGCTACAACAAATTCGAGATATTCACCGTGAAACGGACAAATATATAGTTAATACAATTTCAAAACGGTACAACGTCTTGGACACTAAAGTTAAGTTACTTATCCCACCATTATTGGATATGGATACCAACGCTCTGAACAAAATGAAAAAATTATGTTGCAACGGTTGGGCGCAACGTGAAGTTGATTCAGTAAAAAATGTAATCATTGGTTTTGAAGACGTGGGTAGCAACTGTATATTTGTTGATTTTTATATACATATGAAGAGTCATTTTATAAATGAACATATTTTGTGCGTGATAAAATAGAACGGGATTCCATTTGACGCACATCCAATGATTCAAAATCTTGACATCTCCTTCGGCGGAGTATTCTTAAACCCAAATATCTCCATCAATTATAATAATCCAGAGCCGGATGAGACAATGGGAAAAAATCCTATTTTAGTAAGTCTGAAATCACTGCTGGATTTAAACCAAGACGTGCCCCAACCAACAAGTGAAATCAAATTGGGTAAAGATTTTGACATGATGCCATATTTTTATGAAGAAATGGGAAGCCTTGCACCACTTTTAAAAAAAGGTGATAGTTAATTATTTAATATATATCACATATTGAACTTACCCATAATTGCATTATGTCGATATACATATGCAGGAAACGCAAGAATTTCTAATAATACTCTAAACTCAACGGCACGGAAACTGAAGAAAAGGAACAAATTGCTCAAAATTTATATCAGACATAAGAAATCGTTGAACTTTTCTAAATTTCTAAGTACTGTTTTGTCTTGGATTTAAAGTATATCTTCAGATATTTTTTTATGTAGGTTCGTTGTATATTTCAATTTAAATATATGTCGTTATGCTCAGAATTTGGCATCGAGCCATGATTTCGTTAAGAAAATTATTTCCCGTAATTGTTAAAAAATCGAAAAATGAATAACGTGAAAGTTTTAAAATAATGAACCTGAGAACAACTTGTTCTTTTTTCTGGTCTTATGACACAAAAGCTTTTAAAAATCAATATTCTTACTAGATGAATCCCCCCAATAAAGCTCAAAACTTGATTTATTTCCATTTAACTTCAAGCTTTTTTCTTATTCCCACTGCTTTTATTTTTATTTTTTGGCGTCGATGACGAAGATGCATTAGCATTCTTGTTCCCAAGTTCGCCCAATATTGTGAGTGCCACAGCGAACTGAGCTGCATAATAGGTCACCATAACTATCTCTTGATGATAAGGAATCGTGCTGTAAAACTTGTTTATAGAGAGGACAGAATCCGACACCATGAACGACAATGGGGCAATAAATCCCCAAAAGTTAATCCAGCCAGAACATCCCTCCTGCAAGTCAGTCATAACGTCAAAAAGCCATCATTACTTAATCACCATTTAATCGCCCCTATACCTTCACAAATATTGACCCAGCCAACCAAACGCGACCCAGTAAAAGCGGAGAATATAAACTGAAATAAAAAAATTATGACTTAAATTAATTGGAAATTTACATTAATTTTGTTTTCAGCTCGCAAATAATTAATGGGTATTAAATAAATAAGTGGACTAAATTTTCCTCTAACCTGACTGCTGTGGCAAGTGGGAGTGGTTGAGCCATGACGCCAGGTCGTATCAGAAACAAAACTGGATAGCAGAATATTAAATAAAATGCGAATATGCACACAAAATTTGTGTCAAGAATAATATTTTGCAAATTTTGTTCCTTACCAACTCCAACAATAAAGAGAAATACGGTTCCCAACCCACGATGCAACGGGGCTAGTCCGAATGCTCGGATGAACAAAATCTGAGTTCAAGCATGAAATGTCCCATTACACATTAATAGTTAATACCTTTGACCCCTGTTGTATGAAAATACCTGCGCTGCTCCAAAGGCAATCACGCCATGAAGGAAATATTCCGGCCATACTAAACATGCATCGCCCAAGCAGGAAAAAAGTAACCCAAAAAATATCGTCTGATTAAAGGTGGATCTAAACGTTGAGGTAGAAATCTCACTTCCTGCGTCACATTTTAAAATTTTTCATACTTAAGGAATGGAATACATACTTTCGCTTATCTGCAGTTTTGTGAAGCTTGACAAACAAAGCTAAACTCAGAATGGGCAAACATTTCACCACCGTCGACCAAACTGAGGGTATGTGCTCTGGGATGAAAAGGGTGAAGTACAATCCAATCGTTCCTAAGAATGGGACAAGCTTCATCTGTCCCAATAAGGGTGAAATATTTACATTTTATAAACCACACTCCAACCATAATACAAAAATACTTTGTCACAACAATTGACCTACCATGCTGGACATGACACACCCACTTCCGCACTTGGATGACATACTTGGTAATTGTTAATTTTTTTTACTAAGCAAATAAGTTATTAAACCGATCCAAATGAACTGTCACACGTCCAATTCACCTCGCTCAACAGGAATCACTTCACTTTTACACATCAATAAAAAATTCATGATAGGCAAAAGCCAAATCATGCTTAATTAAATTTAACAGAGATTAGATAAATTATATGATGTACATAGAGACTGAACTCAAGATTCAATATGCATACATTCATACATAGGAAAACCTCTTTTTTAATCAGCTGCTTAATTTGACTTTGTTGGTGTTGTTACGTAATATGTAGCATTATAAATAAGTATTTCTGCAAATTCAGTATAACCTAAGTACAACCACTCTCAAGTATGCCAATATTTTATGCAATACTATAATATGCATGCTATGATTAAGTACTTATTCTACTCGTTGCAATTTATATAACACTATGAGTCACTGTGCTATTAAAATCCCCAATGATACCTTAAAAGTATGTTGTCCAGGCCAGTTGATGCATCCTACAATCTATTGTTCCATTTACTTCAGAAATGTCACCTATGTACATCTGAAGCAGACAAACGTCCAGGGTAATTTTACTTATATGGCAACAGAATTAGTCGGGTGCAGTGCATTGCATATTGCATCTTATAAATTATTCAGTCAACACGAACTGTGTATATTAAATCGACTTGTTGTTCGTATTGCATTTATGAAAGCTATTATTGTCATGTACATAGATACATATTGCTACAGATTATAAGCTTAATTTCTAAATATTCTAATAGTCAGGATGACAAATATAAAGGTTCCCATTAGCATAACACTTTCACAAATTAAGGAACAGAACCGCTATTTGTTAGATGGCCATATTTTTTTGATGCGGTACAGTCATATGCACATTGCAAACCAACACCTTTCCATTAAAATCATTGCATTTTTTTGTCAGCAATTATGAGATTTGAAATGCAATTCTGCTCGATTTTCTTGATCTTTATTTTTCTATTGATAACTTTTACTTGTGGTCAATTCCAAATTCGTCCCACATACAGAGACAAGCATCGCCTACCCAAATACCAATTAAGTGAGTATACCGATAGTACTTTCGGCAGATAATTTATTTGGTGAGTACTTCTGTATAACGACGCAACTGTCGATTTAATCTTACTCTAGCTAGAATTCCATTAAAAACCGACTCATTCACGGTCAGTGGACATTCGTCTGGGGCAGCGGCAGCGACACATTTCTACTTGTCTTATTATGCCGCAAATTCGGATGGAATTGCACTTTTCTCATCCAGTGAGTGAAGTATTTACTTATTATGCATATATATAAATACACACAACGATATAATTGTAGATATATAATTCTAGTCCACTTTCTTTGTGGTGGGGGCAGCTTGGTCACTCTTATCCCATGTCTACGTGGCTGGGGGAACTCGACCGATTCAATTCGATTAGCACATCTTTTCGCCAATGCAAATCTTATCGAGCCATTAGATCATATGAGGCATAAACGACACTACATTTTTCACGGAAATGCAGATCCAGTCATACATTTTGGTAACATGTACACCTAACTAAATCAAACTACATACATAAATATATATTAAGATCACAATCTAGTTTCACTACAAAATTTGCACCTTCTTTTAGACAGTGGTGTCAAAGTGTTTGAATTTTTCGACAATTTTAGCGATAATGTCAGATTCAAGTGTTACAACGCTGCCCATTCTTTGGTAAAAATTAGAAATTAATTTTTAACGTACTTTGTACCAAATACTTATCATTTACACATAGCCCACAAAAACTTGTGGCATTTCGTGCGGTGGAATACCATCCAACCCAGGCACAGGGTGCAGTAAGTGCGATTTTTCTGCGATATATGATGGACTGAACTATTTATATGGAGGAAATCTGGTGGAACCGACAAGTACGTACATATATACAAATTAATCTAAACTATATAAAGCAGGCGAGTGTATCGCTGCTGGGTCGGTGGCTTATTTGAGAAGTTAGCCTCTCCTCTTCTCTCTCCACTCTGCGAGAGAACAGAAGAGGGCCTCTCCGAGAGGGTAACTTCACTAACGTAGGGGTAACGGGCTTATCGACGGGCCTATTTTGCACGTCAATTGACGGGCTTCTACACTAGTACTAAATTAATTCATACTTGGGCACAACAATTTACTTTAAAGTATTTCCTGACAGCTACGACTTGTCGCCCCAAGTACAACAAGGACGGTCTTACTTTCGCTGACCAAGTAAAAATTAATATCTGCTAAATAACTGAATCCTATTTATTACATAACAATTATTTCTCAAGTCCGAGTTTATGTCGCCGCTGACATTGAGAACTGCGTCCCTGTTGCCAGACGCCGTCCTTTATACACCTCCGCAGTGTCGTGTAAATTCGTCCCTGTGCACTTTGCACATTGCATTCCATGGTTGTCGACATTCAATGTGAGATTATTCTACTCTTTTCACTTTGTTGAATTCTATCTGAAACTTGTTGCATCCAGACAAAATGACGGGATGGACTATCTAAAGTGTTCTGGATACATGGAGATGGCTGACTCAAACAATTTTATCGTTTTGTTCCCTCAAGTGAGACAATCCCCACTGGATGCGATCACGCTATTCCACTGCTGGGATTTGTACGGATATACGGGGCCACTTTATGGTTAGAAGTGTTTGAATTTGGAAAGTAGAGTGTATTTTTATTAGTATAGAACGAATTAAGGATGCTATAAATTAATTTATGTTGCATAAATTATGCATCAAATATTTTACAGGGACAAGACTTGGCAGTCAAAACCAAGTTATTGCACGAATGGTGGGACGAATTTTAGGAATTGATGTAAGTCTAAATCCAATCAGTATCAAGCCAGGAGCCGAAGATAGTGATTATTTTAATTAACTCGAATATAAAGTTAATTTATATTTGGTAATTAACAGATAATGTAAAATAATAATATAAAATTATTAATTTTATATGAATTATAGTTTATCGAATAATTTTCTGAAGATTTTCTGATTTCATTATTCAAATAATATTCATTTACATATTCAAGCTACTTAAGCTTTCGATAAACTAATCCTAAGACTTCGCTAAGCTAAAACTTACATCATCAGGAATATTGTGAAAAATATTTTATATGAATCTATGTATTGTAATTATTTACGGTGTGCACGATTTGCATAATCAATTTTATACCCACACAGCATCTAAACTAAACTTTAACAGACAAGAGGGCGGTAATTGTATAATTTAAGATTGCACTATAATACGATCCCTTCATACTTTTTGTGCAGGTAAAAAATTTAAATCCAAATAATCCTCCATCAATCCCAAAAATTCGAACTGCTTTCAACTTTCTCTTCAAGTATCTGAAATCTCTACTCCGATACAAATTAGAGTTCCAGTTTCTCCAAACTTCCACCCCGTTTTCATGCACAGAAATAATCATGGGTAAAATTAGCTCAATCACGGCTACGATAAGGACAGAAATAGATGGAAAAAATAAGTACAGAGGCATTGGAATTATGTGATACATTTTTATCGATATAAAATTAAACATAACTGCATCCGAGGCGGAAATCAATATACAAATTATTGCTATAATAGAGCAAAGATCGTACGCTGTGGCGAACAGAATTTGCAAGGACTTGTATCAAAATAGGATCCGATCAGATATTTGTCTTGAAAATAGTGTAAATTTGTGACGCATTTTGTACAAGTGTGAAATGCAAGTTAATCCAAGTTGTGTTGCTAATGTTAAAATGCAAACAACGAATACCATCGAATAACAGGCCTGCAGTACCATGAATAGTTGAGTAAATCTTAAAATTAATAAGAATAACTTGATCCAGATATTTAAATTGATAAGATTTCCTGGGAACGTTAAGAATTTTGCAAGCATGTAGTATGGATCCAGTTGAAAATATATCCACGTAAGGATCAGAAGATAGGGATAAGTGGATGCGGACAATACAGCAATATTTAAAAACATTCCACTATAATCAAACTTAATCTGGGGTTTAGTTTTTGTGCTCGACTTGCTTCTAGGGGTTCCAGTCCCGGGATTTTATTCCCGGGAATTCCCGGGAAACGGGATCCCGAAATCCCGGGATTTGAAGAACTGTGTGGGCGGAGAGAAGATGTCGCCGTGGGCTCGGTAGGGGAATATGGGCGAGTCTCATCGAGTACCGGACGTCAGGGTCCTTGGGGGACGGATGCGACACGCTTCTGATCACGGGACACCTTCACTGGCCACAGGGGGGTAGCCGGATGGGAGCTACGACGCACGGGGAGGAGGATGAATTGTCTCTCGCTTGGCAATTAGAAATACTGTCTTGTTTTTTACTCCGATTTCCACTTATGCACCGTTTCTATACTAAACTGCACCTGGCACGATTCAATGTACGAATTTTTATGACAAATGACCCGAATAAACTGTTCAATAACGGTATACTTCGTAATTTTCACTTGACAAGAGTTTCAGAATCTTTACTACTCACATTAGCAATTACAAAAATGAATTTTAGGAACTTAATTTAGGTCGTAGAATTTATTTTAAAGATGGCAGCCACGCAGACGGCGTGGTGCAGGGAAAAATGTGGAGAGAAGAGTGGAGGTGTTCACGCTGGGAACACTCGGGCCGGTCTGTCTGAAGACGGAGAGAGATCCTTCTTTTTACAGTCGTACTCGGCCACGGTGGCTTCCGTGTGCCGAGTGGTAGGCTCGTCGGGTGGGGGATATACAATCCCTACAACTGAAATCCCGGGATTTCGGGATTTTTCAATTTGTCATTCAGAATTGAAAATTACTTATAATTTAAAATTTTAATAGCGGTTTTAAATAATTATCGGTTATATGATTAGTAAGAAAAAGCTTCGATGATCATAACCAATCAAAATTGATCCTGAACTCGAAAATATAAATTTTAAACAATATTAGTGGCCACATTTAATGTACTCGTACGTTTATCCAAATTTCATAATTTGCAAGTAACATTTATAATACAAGATGGAACTTAAAATTTTCTAATCTCGATGTCAGATTATAACTTGAAGGAACAAATAAACCTTATTTTCGGTATAATTATAGAATCTGAAATCAGTTATGATCAAAAATGCTAAGATGTTAGAAGTGATTTCGAATTTTAGTCGATGAATTTAAGGCTGTATGAAAGGCTTTTTGAACGTGGTAGCTCATATACATATGTACTTATTTAAACTTGAAATTTTTGAATTACCAACCTCCATGTCCAATTGAAGTTTTTCAATATTAATGTTAATGCAGGTTAGGCCAATTAATATTGATATTTGATAAACGTAAATTTATGCATTTCGGATTAACATGCTGACAAATCCTTGATTAATTATTTAAGTTTTCTGGAATGAAATTATTAAACTCTTTCTTCACACCTCTCCAAAATAGTGAATTTTAACTAAATTGGGCTTCCACAATACATCGAATTTTTAAATTTGCCATAGTAGGCAAAACAATATAATTACTATTAGTAGACATCTCTGCGGTTTTCGAGGATAATACTTGATTTATTGAAAAATTGCTAGCTTTCAGTGACCCACAGTCATCTTCATCAGGCATGTACAAAGATTTTGGAAATCACAATCATTGCTTATTTTTTAAAAATATGATAATCTGTTATACATTTTGCTACTTGGTTACTGGACGTAATTTATAAAAAATTTAATAGTGTTGCGCACCATATCGGGTTGATGTTAATGCCTTTGGAAACGTTCATTTTGTTGTCCATTTTCTTTATGTAGAGGGATTCTTTAAATTTGCGAAAGAATTTCCGGTGTTCAGGAACTATGAGACGGAAGGATGTTGTTTCTAATTCGTGATTGTTTTAATATAATTACTAATTTGTATTGCTACAGTACATAAATATGTATGTATTTTCAAAATATTATTTTGTGTAGGCCAGAAAATGGCATACTTTAAGTACTTCTGCAGGCACAGATCCCAAAAACACAGAAGTAGGTATTATAAATAGTGCTCGGCACGAGACGAGACGAGACGAGATTGCCTTGTCTCGTCTCGTCTCGAAAGTGACTCGAGACGAAGTGATCGAGACGAGACGAGATGACGATTTTGTCATCTCGTCTCGTCTCGGTCGAGACGAGACGAGATGTCTCGACATTCATCCATGTTTTTTAAAATATGTTTTGTATTCTTCAGATAATTACAAAATACAAATACACAAACTGCAAATATTTAGAATATTAATAATTGGCCTTGTATTCCTTATATAGTAAACTACATACTAGTAGTTTACACAAAAAAATAAAGGATAAATCTTAATCGTAAGCTAGCAACGGGACGACAAAATTTTACGACGCTTCCATTGAGTCATTTCACGTCAATTTTCGTTAGTACGTAAACACGTAAACTTACTAACCTTACGAGCTTTTGACAAAACGTACCAATATCTCTTGTATATGATTTTTACCCAGTAAGTCAAATTTTTGGTTCGTAAGCTGATCTTCGCAGGCTTATGAATGTAGTTACGAGCTTACGAAGGCTAACATGAAATACCTGAATGACTCGTAACCGTCATAGCTTATGTTACTACATATACATAGAATACTTGGGATATGGATACGAAGGAATCGTTACCCGCAGTATATACAATTTATAATTGGAGTTATATAGTTAGTGTCATATTTGAGTGTCTTTTACGTAAAAATCAGGATATTTGCAAACTGATTAAAGTTTTGATCATAATTATTCGTTTTATCTATTGTCACCAATTTTTTAAGGATACTGCATTTCCCAAAGCTGCTCGCTCCTTGCAGAAGGCTAGAGGACGGAGAATTTGCTGCTAAATTTCTAAATTTTTGATGTATCGAGACGTCTCGTCTCGACCGAGATTTGTCGAGACGAGATGGCGCTGGTCTCGTCTCGATCTCGTCTCGTCCCGAAATCTTTCGAGACGAAAAAGTTGGTCTCGTCTCATTTCGTATCTCGTCTCGTCTCGAAATTTTCGAGATAGTCTCGTCTCGCGCCGAGCACTAATTATAAATATGCTCAGTCTCGGTACTTTTGAAAGCCATGTACCTTTTTGTACACCCAAATTTGACTTGACCCAAGTTATAAGGTAATATTTAAATTTCGGGAAAAATTCCCGGGATTTCCCGGGATTTTTCACGGCTAAAACCGGGATTCCCGATTCCCGGGATTTTAAAAATCGTCCGGGATTGGGATCCCTACTTGCTTCCTGTCGAATTGCCTGCAACAAGTTAAGTTTTGTACGAATACATTAAAAACATTATGCATACCTATGTCAGAAAAATCTTAACTCACCCTTTTTCAAAAAATCATGCACATCGATAAGCGCGTTAAGAGTCGATACCGCACTTTGTGAAAAAAATAAAGCGACTAATTCAAAGGAAATGGTAAATGTGGCCAGTACAAGGTAAATCATGATTAGTATAAAATTGAATAACGGAAAAGCGTAACTGCTTAAAATTTGCAACAATAGGAAATAAAGTAGGATTAAAATTATGGCAAACAAATTAAGAATTATGACTGTCCAAGGAATCAATTTACGTGACATTTTATTAAAACATAACCGTTTTTTTAAAGGGTCCCACTCTAAAGGGCACAACCATAAATAGTGGAAAGCTTTTGTTAAATTAACCAAAGCTTTCCAAGTTAAAGGAGTAACAGTGACAATTTTCATTTTGCCAATTAATTGCCAATCTTGATAACTTCTTCAATTGACTCAAGTAGAAAATTTTGTCAGTAAGTAGGGAAGCTATTTTAGCAACGCTGTCCCTTTGTCTAAAATATGCCAACCATAATTTTTCGGTTTGATTTGTCAGCATAAACTCTGCATGAGTAGTGCACTGTACATAAATATATTTTAAGGGTTGGGATGAAAATTATATTAACCTTGGCATGAAGGCCAACACGTCGGTCACGCTCTTAGGTTATATAGTCATATAAATAATAATAGTAGTTGGCATTTTGGCAATAATTTTATTAAGCAAGGGATGAAACTGAAGCGACTTATTGCTATTATTTTTGTTCGTCTGTCGAGCAAGATAACTAGGCTAACTCGAGGGCAAAACTTTATTGCTTCAGTCCAAGCTTTCAATCCATGATATTTCGCCTCCGATTTACGAATGTTCGACACTTTATCCTGGTAACCTCAAAAAACGGCCAAAATTTCGAATTGTCGTGTTTGGACCCCAACAATGCATATCCAAAAGGACGTTACATGTCACCCTACTGATCTTGCATTCCAATACATTAAAAATTATATTCAGTGCAGGAATTTTCTTTCCTTGGCTTCCGCTACTTTATGATATCCAGGTTCCGAAGAAAGAACTGAAGAAAAAATAATATTCTAAAATAAAGGACGATAATTTAATCAACGAATTGATGAGAGGGACTGGTAAAGCTTATTCAACTAAACACATTATGTGCATAAATATACATACTTGTTTGCCATGTTAGAAACTTTCTTGCAAAAGAAATACCTGAATTATTTTGATATGCGTCCATTTTGTTGTTAAATTACGACTTATAAGATATTTTTGCATATATTACATATACGAGCATAAAAATATCAATGAAGCATAGAGCCTCAAAGAAATCTTGATTTTGACTGTGTGCAGTGCATTGAAGGTTGTGACTTGTGAGACAAAGATTCTTTCTTATTGCATGCTTGTAGTAACATTGGCCTGCTTTCTCCAATAAAAATCAAGTACATATGTATGAATCATGGTATGAATGAATGAACTATGAAGGCAGCAAACGAAAGATGATTTTGTTCCTTACGAGACACACTCATTAGCAGCTGTTAAACATTAAACGTTAATATTAATTTCTTAATTTTATAACGTAGTGTTACTTTTCTGGAAGAGTAGATTACTTCAAAAGGTTTGGATTGCTTGTATACACTTCGAAGTTTTATGGACGAGGGATATTTTATTTATCAACTCCGTTTGATTTCACGTTTCTATTAAATTGTATTTGGTCATCCACTGTACACTTATCCTTAAGAAAAGTAAGTGATTAAACACTTAAAATTTAATTTGCTGACTACAAATACCATGTTAATGGTTGTTCTTTTATACAAATGCAAATTTAGAATGGCACACTCTTCTGATAATGATACGCTCAATTTATCAAACTTACTGGAATGCAGCATATGCCTAGATTTGTGTTCCGGGCACATTCGGCAATGTAAAAACGGTCACAATATCTGCGCATCACACATTCTCAAAAAGTGTCCAATTTGCCGAATTTCCTATCAAGAAGGATCTTGTCGTAATATACTTGCCGAAAATCTCGTTGCCATCGAAAGGAATAGACTCGCACAAGCAGAACTACCCAGAATTCAGAATCCGACGGATAATTCGGTAGCGTCGGCGTCACCATTTGTTGCTCCTCCTCCCGTTCTGGAAACACCGACCAACATTTCTCAACATGTTCAAATCAGAAATGGTAACGTCGCTTGTCCGTATTCGGGTGATGGATGTCGCCATCAGAACGTTCCTAATTTGGTCGGACGACATAAAATTGGTTGTCATTTCAGGTTAGAGGAAGGATTTATAAAATGTCTATATTCACATATGTCGAAATTCAAATCTTGATCGGGTTCCTAATAAATTAATCTGATTCTTGTTAGACCCATTTCCTGCTGCCTTAAGACTGATGGATGTAACAATGCTCGAATCCCATTCGGCCAGTATATTCAGCATTTAATAGATATTCATGGAGTGAAGTCTTATGAAGGAGGTTCTACCTGGAACAATTACATTGTGAAGAGTAGTTCCAGCAAGCGGAAATTGGTTACATGTAAGTTCGTTGAGTATAAAACTTGATAAGAAATTGTATTGAATTGAACATTTGTAATAATTTATTACGCTGTTATGCAATCGTAGCTGGGTCCACCAGCCTCTTTATATTAGTGACTGACAGCAAAACCTTCCTTATACGAGCGATAGAAAGAGATGACCAGATTTATGTATGGGTCGCATATCATGGATTACCACAAGATGGGAAAAAGTACAAGGCAAAGATCGAATTCGATTTTCCAAATGCCAATGGGAACTATGAAAGTGACGACAATTCCGAGGATGAAGATAAAAGCAGTGATGATTACCATGATTCGTCTGACGACGAAGATTATGAGGATGTAAGCTCGGAGGATGAGGGTGAAAGCTCGAATGATGAGAGTGATGATGATGGTGGAGATGTAAGCATTATCATACTATTTATAATTTTCAATAACCTATAACCATAGCTGTTATGCACATATAAAAACTTTGTGATTTTTCAATTATCAGGCCGATTTTGTATTTTCTGGGACAGTCCGAACCACAACTCGGATGAATTTTGAGGAAGTCGAAAATTCTGGAAATTATTTTCGTATGTCGGTGGGGGACGTGGAGAATAATTTGGCAGTTGAGGCAATCACACACAAAAAGTATGTGGAAAGTTGGGCGATTAATGTGACTGTTAAGCGCACATAGAACCTACCTCATTTCTTAATATTACTCGTCAAACAAATTAATTATACATAAATATATACTTATATTTATGTGTGGATACATATGCGAGTATATCACATACATATGTACACTCGTTTGGATTACTTAGGATTAGGTATTTTGATGCTCAAATACACTACTCATTTTGCAGATGATTACTTTTTCACGTAACAATTCATTTTATTCGTCTGGTTGGTCTGGTAAAGTATCATACAAATCAATGATTTATAACTATCTACGACTTATCATATTAGCGTTGCTATCTGAGTTTTTTAATGTGCCAACATTTGTACTTTCTAACTTGTAACGAATAAAATTTGTAACCTAACTTAAAAAAGTATCCTATATCAAATTTGAACTCCGCATAATTTTGCTGTACTATCGAAATTATGCATACAAATCAAGTATAATGTCTCTTGATAAATACATATGTATGTAACACCTTCCTATCTTAAGCACAGCCCGCCTTAGGAATACCTAAGTACGTCAAATGATCATTTGTATTATAGCTTGGACCAAGGGAATTGGAACAGGCAGGATCTTCGTATAGATTGGGATTGCAAAAAATGTCAGAATTATTTGGTGCTCGCCAATATTCGTTCCCACTATGCACATAACCTTCACTATTAAGAAAGATGTGTGAAAATATGTCAGCCTTATTCACAACTCGAATTACAGAACTATTTTGTGAATTCATCCACGAAGCGAATCCAATGTTTCCGACGCGTGGAGAACCATACTTAAAAAGCGAAAGAGTTGAATTGGATCCAAATTCTGTGCTGTTTTTCAACATTGCGAATGTCAGTTCCGCCATGGCTGCACCTATGACACATTAAAAAATCCCTAATTTGAGCAAATCGAATTGTAAAGTACAATGCAAACATATGTGACAAGGGATAATTTTCTAAATCTTAAAAACCACATATATGTAAATAAACCAACCCAAGCTGTGTCCAGTAATGACAACATTATATCCAGGATGGGCTGCAAGTTGGTTACGCAAATTCGGAAGAACCATTGTTTCATACTGGGACTGAGCAGCTAACAAGAATCCCTGAGAAACTTGCACATTTGTCCCTCCCGTCAACGCCAATGGGACCAAGACCACGCTAACAGCATCTTCTAAAAAATTTTGAGCCTGATAACTACCACGGAAGGCAATTATAATTTCACTTCTTGGATTGTTCACAATGGTCAAGCCCCGAGTTTGTTGAACAGTGTCCTGCAATATCCAAAATTATGCATTTATATATTCAGGAAATTAATCAATTATTTTTTGTCATACCTCGTAAACTTGGATAACTGTATTATCAGTTCCACCCGAATCGACACATTTTTGACCACAGGTCCAAGTCTGGACTTGAGCGAGAGGGCAATAAATTCCAAAGGAGTAATATAATGTACGTACAGTGTCCCCAACGGTCGGTAGAGTCATAAAGTTTGTGGTAGAAATTGGAGTCAAGTTATCAAAAACGTTCAAATTGAGAAATTGGAGAAGGTTCAGGGTTAAAATGGCAAAAATCTGTGCAATAGTTGGAAGAGTAGGAAGTGGAGGAAGTAAAAGTTGAGAATGAATCAAGGGAACGAGTAGAAGTCCCATTCCCAGGAAAATATAAAAATTTTTACGGAACAGAACCATCGTTCAGAAATTTCAGAAATTTGTTTACTTGTGTTAACGTACAAGAATGTGTAATGTGTATGAATGATAACAGCCCGAAAGCAATTCTATTTATGGTAATTTCCGAGTTCAATTTACATGACCTTTTTTTGATCATTCCAATATCCGACATCTGAAAAAAATCCATGCTAAATACATTACATTCTTGGTTTTTATATAACTTAATTTTATACAACCGTAACACGTAATTTGTTACTTTAAGATAAATGTCAGGATGACGACCGGGGTTAACATCATGTTTTCAGCACAGGTCGTGCAATTGAACTCGGGACTAGTTACATAATTTTATTATAAGAAGATATCATTCATGAAAAAGACTCGAGTTCTTAATTTTAATAATTTGTATGAGTAGCGCTGTAAAAAAATTATGCGTGGTCACAACCCCATGCGAATATTAGTTTGCATACATTATGAAAGTATGTAAATAAATACATATTGGTTCCTGAATTGATTAATTGTAACTGCATGTAATTTTTCCGCAAGACAGATTCAACTTTTACGTATAGCAAAACCACTGGAATATTATCAATACATATTAATATTATCTGAAATAGTGTCGCTGACGTAAATGTTACGCACATATGTACCGATTAGCGATATGTATGTACATACATATGATACATATCGACGTTTCATGCGTTCTTTATTATGTATTCAAATATGCTTGCTTGCGTAAGCATCTTATCGTTATTATATTCTAAAGCCCCTCAATAACTGTAACTTGAAATTATCCCAGTTGAGATGGATGGCTTCATCTTTCATCCTCATTTGACTCATACAATAAAAGAAATTGAGCACTTAGCCAATAAAATCTAAAGCGGATATCTTGGTGCCACATCAGACAAGTTGTACGTATGTAGATTCAAGAGTGAACAACGAAGCGATTATGATGGGTACAATGAGTACGAATAATGTCAGCCGTGTAAGGAAATTAAGCATAATTATTTAGGGTAGAATTAACAGATCGTATGGATGACATTTTTGAAGTGATTTATTCACACTAGCTTTCAGGGTTCAACTGCCCCCTTCTTCAGGTGTAAAATTGTACATGCAAATTATAGGAATAATTTCATGAAAGATAATATTTTCAAAATCAGACGAGATGAAAAGTTGTTGACATCACTGGGGTCGCTGGGTAACCGGGATTGCAGTTGGGCGTATGAGCGTTGGTGCTAGGGGCAGGAGTAGTGATGTCCAAATCGGGTTTATTTCCATACCTGAGTCTCGATTTAATTTATTTCTAGTGTTTCTGATTAGTAGTCCCTCTTTGAATTTCCGGTGGAAATATCGCTCCTCCCGATGAATAAGAGTTTATTTATATTTATAATTTATATTCATAATTATTTATATTTTAGTCTTAATTTATTTACTAGATGTGACGACAATTCTTCTAAATATACATAGATACAGAATATTGTTCAGGTGTATTGAATTATTCAATACTCCCTTTCTTTCAGCCTATAAAATACATATTTACATATGTACATAATTTATAATTTATATCCACACCACCTCCACTCTTCTGCTCTTGTCCTTATTGCATCGGTTCAATCACTAATGCCTGTCTATTAATCCTAGCCCTCTTTTTCCGGTTCGGATCTTTCGGGTCATGGATTTTAACATGTTGTTTCAAACTATTTTTTGTCTTGAACTTTTTATCACAAGTTGGACATTGGTAGGATAACGTACCAGAATGGATTTCCTCATGTTTTAGGAGGAACTGCTTACAGGCGAACGTTTTACCACATATTTTACAGGCACAGGGGAGCTGTGCCTGGTGATTTATGCGGTGTCGTTTCAACGATGCCGGGTAACTAAAGCTTTTTCCACAGGTTTCACAAGTAAAGTTTTTACTGCTAGAATGTTTCAACATGTGTTGCGCCAAGGACGACACGCTTTGGTTGACAAGCCCACAAATTTCGCACTTGTGCCCTACATAGGAATCGTTGTGGGTAGCTTGATGTTTCCTCAAATTGTTTGTACTGGCGAATTTGCCACCGCAGATGTCACACACGACGCGTGTGTCCATATGGGATAATGCGACATGATCTTTAAGTTTTAACGAGTTGGGGTATACCGATTGGCAGATGGTGCATTGAAAGGGCTGTTCAAAATTTTTATGAAGTTCCTCATGGGTTTGAGTTTCCTCTAACGTTGGAAAGTTTAAGGCGCAGAAACTGCAGTATAATTCAGAGTGTAATAGGTTGGTGTGTTTCCTGAGAGAGGTATACGTAGAAAACTTCTTGGGACAAGAAATACACGGAATATTTTGAGATGGTTGGAAAATTTCTTTTTGACAGCTCTTACTCGTGTGAGAACGAAGGGTTTTATATTTTCGGAATTTCTTGGGACACTTGACACAGTGGAAGGGGAGAGGGTCATCTGTTGAAAAGGTAGCAAAAATTAATACAAATGAATTTAACTTTTTTATTGAAAATGTATTATATTATTCTTCCTACTTTCATGAACTCCGAGTTGATGCCCCTTCAAAGTGGTTTCTGCCATAAAGGAGGCGGGGCATAAGCGACATTGTAATTTTTTTATGGAAGTCTGCCCCCGATTTTTCCTAACCCTTTGATAGTCTGCATCACTTCCGTCAGATAAATCATCGTCCGAGAAATCTGAATCTGAAGCGTTATCCTCCTCCTCTTCATCTCCAGTTTCTCTGTAATCGTCATCTTTATCAGAGGGATATTTGTTATCTTCATCTAAATTAATAGCAGCGTCAGCATCTTGGTACTCTTGTTTTGGAATACTGTTTATTTCCCGTTTTACAGTGACACGGGGAGAGGAGCGTCGGATTTGTGAATTTCCAGCTTCAGAGTCCGAAAGAAGAGATTCAGATTTGATAGGATGGGGATCTATACTATTTTGAGAACTGTCCAGTGAAAGTGGGCAATTGTTCATTTTGTGAAGTTTAAGGCTCTTTAACTGCCTAAGTTTTTTTGGACACTTGTCACAATGATATGGGAGAGGGTCAACTGCAACAGATAGGCATTGATTAATTAGTCCTAGTCCCAAGTTAAATAGTAACTGTGAGTAATTAAATGTAATTTGATAGATTTTTTTTTACATTCATGTATACTTCTCCTGTGCCCGTTCAAAGCCAATTCAGATCCAAAGGCCAATGCGGGACAAAGGGCACACCGAAATCTTTTGACTTTTATTGGTTTTCTCTTCCTCCAGGTTCGCTTACGGCCATGATTAGTATGATAATCTTCTTCACCGTTTTCATTATCAGATACAAAAGTTTGCGACTGTTCGACAACTTTTTGCTTGTTGTCTTCCTCCTTTGATAAAATAACCCAATCTTGCTCATCGAATAAATCAACTTCTTCTTGATCGAAATTAACGTAAATTTTCTCTTCCTCTTCCTTAATTTCCAATTGTTCGTTGTCAACTTCATTTGAAAGTTTTCGTTTCACAGCTCGGCTTGAATGTTGGACTGGTTTTGTATCGTTGTCAGAATAATTCATCAAGGATTCCAAATTTAGTAAATTTTTAAACCGGTCAATCCCGACGTTAATGTCAGCACTTCCTTCGCGAAGCACTAAATCAATATAAAAATACGGTGTTATATAATTTGTTCCCTTACTTAATATGTACTTAATTAGTAACCAAAATTATTAAAACTTACATTTAGAAATTTCTCGCTCAAAATTTTCCCCGAAATCTTTAATCTCATTCTGCGTTACCTTGTCCAACATGTCTTTTTGCAATACCTCCAATCTTGCAAGTAATTGATTAAAGAGACGAAAGGTAAAATCAATATCTCGAACAACTTGGACACATTTCTGACAATAATCTGCATCTTTCATGACTTGACGGAGTGGATCGTTGGCAGGAATTCGAAAGAGGCAGGAAATTGATTCAACGCAGCGGAGTGACCATGTTTCTAGAATTTTTATATCTCCACCCACTCCACCAAGGGGTCTCCTCCCATCACCGTCGTCATCCCCACATAAGTAACATCCTTCCCCAGTTTCCCCTTGTTCATCGTTTAATGTCTCCATTTCTCAGTCCTGCTACTTTCTACAAGCTAAAAAACAAACAAAATTAGACCAACCAGAATTTTCATGACACATTATGCTTTTTTCTCAGGAGGATCACTTGCGACGGATAAACAGTAGATACATAAATAAAAAAAGATTGATTGATTTATGAATTACTAAGATTATAGGAATTTATTAAATTTTACAATTCTTACCAGGTTTAATTTTCAAAACACGTGTTTCTTGCAATACGACAGACAAGATTTTTTAGCAATTCCCTCGTCTTTTTTTGCTCGTTTGTTGCATACATATGACATATGTAATGTATGTGTGTGAATGAACTCGAACATAAACAGATCTACTTTGTTCCTGAGTGACTGTATTTTTCATGCAGTTTTGCATTTTACATAATGTCATAATTAATACCAATCTACTATCGGAAATGCGTAAGAAAGTGATTAGACGGTCCAATTTAGATCTCATCGTCACTTTCTGACTGTTGACTGTGTAGTTAATTTAATATTAGTATTACATGATTTATGCTCTTTAATTTTTCATGAGTATAATTTCGATCGAACATGATTTAAGTAATTACATTACAATTACAAGCAAAGTTGATGCCTATTATATTAACAGAAGAACTTAAGCAGGACAGTGAAAGGACCGAGACCTGCTATGCATAAATTATGCGGTGCAATTAAATACAAATTAACCAAAACAATTGAGATTAATTTTAACTAATGACCTAATTATGAACAATTATTCATTTTATTAAATAGACTACTACACATTGTCCAAATTGATGACCTTGACTTAGAAATTCAACATGGGTAGTTAGTATACTATACTGTAATAATCAAAATCATATTCCGAAATCGTCTTTCATATGCATTGAAATCAAAAAAATAATCACTGAGCTAATTTCAAAGAATTATTGCATTTTGGCAGCGTTGGCGATGTTGCAGGTGTTGCAATAAACTGCAAAAGTACAAGTCCATAAGTCAGACAAGTGCTGAAACTCTGTCGGAATAAATGAAATGTCAGACATTTTGGAAAAATATAGATTCTATTTTAATTCAAATGAATGTGCTACCCACCATTCCAATAAATGAATAGCTAATCGTAAAAAACTTGTGTGCACGCAACCCAATACATCCTTGGGATTCTTTTATCAAAGCAGTAATTTCGCAACTTGACCAATGTCCTCGATTCGGATTAAAATGACTTCCGGCCACTACCAAAGTTTGAGACACCTTATCCATCTGTTTGAAATGTAATATTTTTAAATCATGGATGCAGTGTAGGTATTAATAGGTTGCATTATTTCATTTGACTTCCGAGTGTCCTAACTTTTTGCTGTGACTCTGCCGCCACAAAGAAAACTGTCACATCAGCAAAAAATATTGAAATGTATGCGATATCCATCCAATGGAAATTTCCAGTGGAAACTTTTCCCGCAATATAGACACAGAAGCACATGTTTTGTACAAAGAATGTAACGAGAAGAAATCCACAGAAATTGCTAATGGTTTCTAGTCTTGCCTTTGTCCTTAAGAAATTGTCAATGCGTTCCTAGCAAACGTAAACATGGAATATTCATACAAAACTAATGTGCGCTTCCTCATTTAACTTTTTTTTAAATAAACTCATACCGTTAAGTTATGTTCCACCCTCTTGTTGAGAAGACTTAAATTTTCAACTTCCTCATATGCAGCCAAACTTGTCAATAATACAACGACTCGACAAAGTCCGAATAAAATGTTGGCGAATTGATTGCTGAGAATGCCAACAACTGTAGCAACCTGAAGATCTAAATCTAACTCAGTGAAACTTGAAAAATTTTTTGGTACGACCAAGAAAAATGTATTTGCAGCAACGCCCGTAAAATAATGCAGGGCATCCTCAGTTACTGTTCCAAATTGTTGAATTTGCAGGAGCACAATCACCAAAATTTGCAATAGGACTACCGACACTATACCGCCAACCTAGCACATGCACAATAATTAAATTATTATGCGACACCAAAAAATTATGGGTAGGAATACCTTAATTATGAGAGATTTTGTCCAGATCCACTTTTTATGAGCAGTTTCAAGTTGAATAAGACTTTTGATGTCAATCTGCCTTAATTTTATATAATATTTTTTAACTATTGTCAATTGTGCTTACAAAATACCTAGTTGAAAAAATATAAAAAAGAGAAGTGTATGTTTTAAACCTTAGCCAGACGAGATTCATGAACATGAATGCAGAAGTGATGGCACCCTGATACAAAACGACGTCAAAGACTTGACCAGGATCAGTCTTAAAGTTTGTGTACGCGTAATAGCTCCAAAGCGTTAACATATTCACTACTGCAACAATAATGTAAATTGTTCCGCATAAAACCTAATAAATTAATGAATCCATTGCATTTTACTTCTTACCATTAAAAAATTATTATTTACTTATTATGAATAAGATAAGTATGAATATCAGTAAATTTCTCTGCATACCTTTTGTACCAGAAATGATTTAAATTTTGCCGTGTGTACAACCTCTCCATCTTCTCCAACAATGTCTATTGTTTCCTTGATCAAAAACGGCGAAAGTAAAGTCCAGAAACAGAAATTGAAGTAAATTCTAAAAAACGAATAACAATAATGGGTAGAAATTTTATGCATTTTACACATCATGTGTAGAGTTGGAGCCTGTTAATATCTAGAACTCAAGTTGTAAGCATTTATGTCTTATCCATATCATTACCCTTACTCCACACCAGGCGAAACTTTTTTCTCATAAAATCGTGTGGTATTCTCATACACATCAAGGTCTTGTGCCTGTTGCGTGTCAAATTCTAAAACTCATTCCGATAATGCATATACATACCTACGACATATGTTGACTGTCAAATATGGCGATAGCGACGGGTTAATTTTGGTGTATGATCAATGTTCACTCCAGATAATTACAGGGCTAATAGGAAATGGCATAAATGACAATAATTGTTCCATGTCATTATTTTTTAAACGAATATGCACTCATTTCTGGATAAACATATCTTTGGTGAAGTCATATCGGTTGGGTTTCTGCATATTCAGAATAGTCATAGAAGGCTTAATTTGAGACAGATGAAATTGGAAATCCTCTGCCATAGTGACCAACATATTTATTTATGCCATTGGCGGCGGAAGTAGTGGGACATGGGGATATTACTCCCACAGAGAAAAATCGTCCCTCCTCCTCTTATCCCACAAAACTAATGTCCCCCTATGTCCCTCCAACTTCTGCTGCCACTGTATGTTGCGGGTGGTACCAAGGCGCAAGAGTGCATCAGATTTACCAAAATTATCGTTGTCCGTGGTTTCTCCTAAGGGGGTGGTGCCGGGATGAAAATTTTTATTCAAAAATTAAAAGTTGGAGAATTGCATGCACTTTTGCAATGGATTTGGGTGGTTGTCATGGCAAAATTGCATGCAATTCCCCAACTTTTAATTTTTGAATACAAATTTTCATCCTGGCACCACCCCCTTAGGAGAAACCACGGACAACAAAAAAGTTTATGCACCCTGGGTGCTAATATTATAATTGATAAAGAACTTAACCTTATCTTTCGTAAGATGAATCCGCCATACATACATATGAACTTATCCTTTGGTCCTGTCTCACTTTTTTCAACAAACATAACTAAAATAACTTCGCTAATATGAATGCTTTGGGTTTTATACACTGCATACATAATAGATTTCGCTTGAACAAAATTCGCATTTTAAACATCACTGCGGTTAGATACTTGAAAAATTCTAGATATCCATGCACAAATATATTTATATACATACATCCAGTGGCAGCTAACAACCGTAATTAAATTATAAATTGAGGACCACAGCCTACCACAGGCCAAATGCTCATAAAATTCTCAAGAATATTTATTTAACGGAAAAGACCCATCAACAGGTGCATAATACATAACCTGCAAGTGAATGACGCCCAGAATAAAAACAAACGGCTCGACCTGTCTTCAAATAGATATTTGTTTTGAACCGAATACCATCCTTTTCGCTGACAATGAAGCCCTTTCAGGCGGATACGATTCGCTTATTTATTTCGATATATCACGACTTTTACATCTTCATATACAGCTTCCCCATAATCTTCGAAATTAAGGGGAGAAAAATTCTCGTCATAAAGTCAAAAAACGTTCTCAACCTTATCATTCCGCTTGCATTATCATTCTGTGGCATTTGTGCAGCAGCACTTGCAATTTTCATTAAAAATTCTAATCCAAAATTTTCCAACAGTAATGTATTCGTAGTTGAAGGATGGAAATATTTCATTTTGATCGAAATCCTATATTCCTTGCTGTTTGGGCTCTATTGTGTATTTGGCGATAGGTGTGATGCCTTCATATATTCGCTAAATGTGAACAACCAGTATGAAGAAATGCTATCGAAAGGTACACATAAATTTATTAAGATATGTATCAACTGATAAAAAATAATTAACTTCTCACAGAATTTGTCTCTCATCGGAAAAAATCTGACGCAGCAGATGTTCCAGATTTCTTCGTATTCCTCTGGGTTTTGGGAGGACTTGCAATTTGTGTCCCAATCGTATTCATTTCCCTAATTTTTGAGCTTGATCCCATGAAACCAATAATTTTTTGGACGTTCGACAAGCTCCCTGTCTTGTATCGCATAGCAGTGCGAGTCTGCCTGGGTAGTGAACTGCTGCTTAATATTGTAATTTTTCTGTGTCGTTTCATAATAGGATGCATTGGGTTTTTTGATATAACACGTTCGTTCGTAGTTTTTGGTATGACTGCAACATTGACGGTGCATTTGGTACGAAACATAATGACATATCTTCACCTTAACTTTGGCCGTATTCTGAGTTTAGGTCAACAACGTGAAATGAACCAGATCAAGTTATTTCAGCAGGTTACCATACTCGTTCGTATTTTGACATCGGGTGCGGAACTATTTTGCTTTCTTTTGCTCATCATGATCACGACGTGCGTTGCAATTCTGTCATGTTTGGCGGTACGATTTTACGCCATCGTACCGAAAGTTATCCTGTCCACGTTGTGTGTTTTCATTTGTGCCGGAATTTACATGGCGATGACGATGTGCGGGTTTGGAGCATTTGTTCATGAAAGCAGTTTGGCTTTGATTCGAAAATTTAAAAGTGGTGTGTCCCTGCTATCGACACAAGGCGAGAAGGAGTTGTCCAAATGGGTCAAAAGTCTGCAACCGATACCATTACCGATTGGAGTTAATGATATGAGGTTTTTCAATCTAGACAAAGATCATAGATCCTTTGTGCTGGAATCGATTGCAGAATATTCTATAGACTCAATGGTAGCCAGCGAATAATATTCTTCTTCGCATTTAGATTAATATAAGACGAATTATTAAGGATATTACGTAATACATACATGCATATGAAATTTTACACACTCATGAAAACTCAAGTATATTTACATGTATATATAGTTCATTTCAGCATTAAATAGATTTACATATTTATGCACTTTCTGTAATGCAAGGCACATAATGCAACAAGTAGAAAATGCTCGATTATTTAATAAATAAGCCCAAAAGGTCACCGATGAATACCCGCCCATTTTATTTAATTCAATCATCGATTTTTTATAATTTCACGAATTGCATGAATTTAAGCTGACCACACTATGTGTGTCGAATGCCACCATCCACAAACAACATTTCGCCATGAATATGTGGCGATGATGGAGACAACATGAATAGCACGGCATTCACAATATCGTTCATTTCCATTTCAAAACTTTTCAAAGGAACTCTGGCATGAAGTTTCTCCAAATATTCGGCAACTTCAACCCCCTCTTCTTTAGCTAGTGATTCATAAAATTTCTCCAACATGTCCGTATAAATTCCGACTGGGTTTACAGAATTTACACGAATTTTTTTGGGCCCTAGTTCTACAGCCATGAGTTTGGTGAGCATGTCAAGAGTTGCTTTTGATAAGCAGTACAACGAGCTTGCCGGGTAGGCTGATGAGCTGCACTGAAAATAACAAATTATAGGCTTATTTCTCGCGGACTTACCTACTTAATTTTTTCTTGATAAGAACGTGAAGGAAATAAAATACAAAAATCCGATCCTTACGATTGACGAAATATTGACAATTGATCCGGCAATGTTGGCTTTCTCCATGCCACGCGCAACTACCTGACCTACGTTAATGCATGCTGCGACGTTTACGGACATTATTCTGTCCGTTGTTAACATTAATTAATTAGGTTACAAATTACAACTTTTATATGCATAATTTGTAACAATTACGTACTGGTTGAATTTTGTCGGAGTTATATCCATGAATAATCCCGGTGTAAGAATGGCCGCGTTATTGATAAGGTAATCAAATGGTTCCAGAGTTTCCAGAGCATTTCTGGTCGCATCCCAATCTTCGAGATCAACCGCAATAATTTCAATTTCTGGACATTCCGATTTCAACGAGGCTAGGAATTCCTGCGTTTTTGATACCCCCGTTACATGGGCCCCATAGGAAGACAAACGTATGGCAATATTTCGTCCAATTCCTGTAGTGACATTTTATTATTCTTTTTTATTGCAAATTATCCGTATTAAGTACCTCGGCCAACACCAGTGACGAGGACTCTCTTTCCTTCAAAATATTGCTTGAACATCGTTCCAGAAGGCAGGTGCTTAGACGAGTTTGAGCATTGTCATCAAAAGAAAGCAACTATTTATATAGGCATTGGAGGAAGGTCATGCTGGATTAGTGCGAAGACCAAAAGCAAATACATCATGCACTAGTTCATCTGCAAAAACTTGTTCTTTGTGTATGATGAGACCAGATGAGACCCGGAGTTTGGTCTACAATAACCTGCTGCAATTTTTCTGGAAAGAAATGCAAATTTTGGCTGAATAATACCAGCAGTTATCTACGGATAACTTGTTTTTTTATAAAAAATAATTAAGTAATCTCGAATAATTTTCAGACCGTGCATAAAGCACGTGATCGATTTCTGATAGTTTTGATCCCTCCTGCTCTATTTGTTTTCGAAACACCAACCATCCTTTATGGATAAAGCCCATAAGCCCACACGACGATTGAAATAATAAATATGTACTTGCATTTTGTACATGCGTATGAGCCATTTATTTTATGTACCTGTATCCCAAATCGCGAATTAAAATTATTATATGCAAAGAGTGACATCATGTCTCTCCAGAATCAAATTATCAGGTACACCAACACTTATTTAGTACTTCATCTACAGGTGCAATTATCATACATACTGGGCCCACTGTAACTGTAAGTGGCTGTTTTCTTCGAAACCGACAGAGATAATGAAAATCTGATGATTGCATTGGATTCCCCGTGCGATTTTGCATAAGTACCATAAATCAGGTTTTTACTATTTGCAATGCAAATTCGCATGGAAAATGTTGAATGGAAGCGGGCGGCGAAAATTTTTCATTACAAAAATGGGGAGAGAAATGGCGAATTTTAAAAGTGTGGCAGGAATCGAACGAGCCGTATAATTTAGCCCAACAGACTCTAAAGACGTTCATGGGGGCGGGGTGGACTAACAACAGTCGAAGAAAAAAATTTTGAAATCCTACAAGGACCACACCCATCATGAAGGCGCTGAAGGATGGAATCCGAAGAAATTCACGAAATTCCAACGGAAACCAACCTCACAGCTGACAGTGTAGAAGCAGATTATTCAATGAGTGCTTAAATTGAACCTTAGACTTAGGACTTTGAAATGTGGTACTTGCCACATGCCGACCATCCCCCAAAGGGAAACCAGATTAAAGAAACCCAGGAGTGACTTCAAGCGGTACGCTCAGAAAAAGTGACGAGGATTCTATTTACAGATGAGGAGATTTTCACATAGGAAAAATATTTTAACAAGCGAGTTGGCCTTATCTACGCCAAATCTGTCAGAGACATCCCCCAATATAGACAAAAGGTCAGAAAGCCACATTATCCAAGCTTTGTGATGATTTTGGCAGGTGGGAGCTAATTGGGGCAATTTCTCTACATTTTGTTGAAAATGGGGGGAAGGTGGGGGGATCAAATTTCTTAAAATACGTTTTCGAGTCCGCGGTACATCCCCTAAGTGAGATCCAATTCATTGAAGTCGACTGGACCTTGCAGTAGGACTAGGAATCAGCTTATAGTGCAAAAAATGACCCAAGCGTGGGTAAAAAACAAAATTCCGAACTTTTCCTCCTCTCGGAAATGGTAATTCTACTTTCTGGATTTGAATCTCCGGATTATGAAAAATGGTCAAAGTTAGGGGCAAATGTGTGTTCTAAGCCTCGTAGAAGTGTAGACATCGGAAAAAAATTTTTGACCACGGAATGGAACACTTTGCCCAGGAATTAGTGCGTGCTTCAGCGGAGAACTGCAGGCGGTTTCCTCAGCGCTGCATTAATGGCAGGGGAGGAAATTTCGAAAACTAAAAATTGTTTTCTACTCAGAAATTAACTGGCTTTCGGTTAAAATTAACTCGAAATTCGTAACATAAAAACTGTTGAAGCCACAGGGTTTCATTTCACTTACAGTTTCAGTGGGCCACCTAGTAAAAACAATAAAGACGTATTAGTTTCTTGCAATTCTGTAGAGGGTACTCGTTGTCATAAATAAAACAATGTCTTTTTACTTTTGCCCATTGACTTCTCCGCGCATCGCATTAATTTTGTATGTCTTAGGAGGAGAGTACGCCAACCTGATAATGACAGATCTTGATGTCCTTTGGATATATGGTAGTACCCCCTCTGAAAGTAAAAAGTGTGAAGCGGTTTGATGCCATGGCCAAATTTACGCCCGTCACACCCCTTTGAAGGCGCGCCCGATGCCAAACTAGCTGCACTAAAAAATTCGCCAAAAATCCAATTTTCTTCGGATTTTCATAATAGTTACATATTTATGATCCCAAATAGTTGCTTTGTCATATCAGATATCAATCTGAACTATTTTGGAATTTTGAATTTTTTCAAGCCATGCCCTTTTCAGGAAATATTCGAAAATATTGAAAATTTCTGAAAAGTTAATTTTGCAACTGAATATGATAAAGGGACTATCTGGGATCACGAATATATAATTATTATGAAAATCCGAACAAAATTGGATTTTTGGCGAATTTTTTAGTGCAGCTAGTTTGGCATCGGGCGCGCCTTCAAAGGGGTGTGACGGGCGTAAATTTGGCCATGGCATCAAACCGCTTCACACTTTTTACTTTCAGAGGGGGTACTACCATATATCCAAAGGACATCAAGATCTGTCATTATCAGGTTGGCGTACTCTCCTCCTTAGTTTATAGTCATATAAAAAGTTATGCTAATTTGGAACTGGTAATTCTGATTTTCAATTTGCATAATAACCTATATGGTATAAACTGGATTACATTAGCATTTTAGCATTTAATTAGGATTTTCCAGTTTGTAGTTTTTTTAAGCTTGTGCATTTTGTATTTTATTCGGATGGACTCATTTTGCAATTACCAGTACAATCTTAAACCCAATACGCATTATGACTATTTATGTATAATTGCATCCAGTTTTTATTTATTTTTATTCGCTAATTTATTCAGAGTGACTCATTGTTTGCACTTGGGGAACATTTCTTTGCCACCTATTAACTTAATGAATTTACTAGCTTATATATCTCATGAATATGTCATTGTTGTCAATTTTACCAACGTTTGCTAGTTAATTAAGTAGTTGCACATAGTTCAATTTACTTAAATTCCAATTATAGTATCCATCAGTATCAAGCGTTACATATTTTCTTACGTATGTACATTTACGTATATGTATCATGGCGTTTCTTAATAAAAATCTTAACACTTCGAAAGATAACACATCCCTACCTACTAGCGTAGAAGAAATATTATACGATGCTTTTCGCCATAATATTTTCATCTCACAAATCTTGGGATATTTTCCCGTGTCTTTAAAACCATCTACACAAACTACTTCGAACCGTTTTCCTCTCTTAAGCTCTATACTGATAATCGGCATCTGCATGGCCTGTGGGGCGGTAAGCGTAAGCCATGCCTATGATCATAATAAATATTGGTCAGCAACTTTTCAATTGGTTTACACCGCCTGGTCCATCATAATATTCACGACGCCATCAATATCACGATTCAGCCTGATAATTTGTCAACATAAAGTCTCTCATCTTTGGAAAAGCTGTGTCAAAAGTATGGAAATCATCACAGCTTTCCTCGGAACGCGTGATCATCTAATCGACTTTTGTGCAAAATTAAAAACCAGATACATCCAATTAATTTCATTTTATACGATATGTTTGATTATCTGTTCCAGCATGACAATTCCCTCCGCAATGAAATCCTTCAACAATCCGACGTTTACAAACTTAGCTGAAGACGTGCCTCTCATCTTGCTCTGTTTGATTTATCAGTTCAATTTCTTTGTCTTCTTAGGACAAGATTTTTTCTGCCAAATTTACAACCACTGTTGTGACGTTATCATTCAAAGTGTACAAGTTAGGGCTTCAAGAGGACAACAATCGACCAAAGCTAGCGAAACGGTTCAGTTAGCCAAGACAACAAAAAATATTTTTACGATCCTGAATAAAGTTGCGGATGATAAATCCGTATCGGAATTGTCGACCAATGATGAATTCATAACTGGAATTTTGGAAAGCTTTTCCTTGATTGAAGAAGAAGTAGAGAAATGCAACGACTTATTCGAGCTGAGAATGATTGTGGAAATATTTTATTATTTTTCAGTCTGTATTTTTAATGGGTATTTTGGTATTCAGTTTGTCGTAGGTATGGTGTCATTTCGATTTATTTTCATTCAAATCATTCCAATTTTTGCGTCGGGGTACTCAATTTACTGCGTGGCACGCCTGTCTACGAACTTGTCTAGAAAAACTTTTCAATTGTTTAATCAGTTGGCGAAGTTAGGGAGTTGTGATTTCTGTTTGAACCGTAACATTCAGCATAAGGTAATTTTCAATAGTTTAATTGTCGTAACGCCATTAATACTTATTTTTATGTACGATTTACAGTTGCAATTGGTTACGTCAACTTTTTCTGGAAAACCACTTTTAATTAGAACGAGCGTGTTCGACTTGGACTTGAAATTTTTGATTTCGGTAAAATTTTTAATGTCAAATGGAAAATTTTAATAAACTACAAATTGAATCATTATTATATTGATTAGATACTCGGATCTGTGACGACTTATTTAATTATCATAATTCAGTTTCAGAAGAGTGAACCTGGCGTGACAACCATCCCCACAAAGGTCTAAGGACATATTTATGTACATATAAGACTTGTATTTGTCGAACTTTATAAGTATTTTTCCAATACATTTCTATCACTTATTTGCCAATATCTGTATTCTGATCCAATTAATCTAATTGGCATTTATTGACGACATAAATTATTACATAAAGCTATATGAATAAAGGTTAATAAAATTTATGAAAACGTTGGATATGTACATTTGAATGTATTAATTCTTTAATGTTAACCGGCATTCGTTTACCTGTCTTAGGATTAGTCATGACAAACCATTATTAACATGAAATGCTAAGAAGTAACTGTTGGTGGGACATCTATGGCAGGATTCTCATTAAAGAAATTGTACGGCTTAAGCCAAAATCCTACCGTCTCCACGTTCATTATTGGATAATTTTCTGGACTCGTGATGTGAGAAATTCCAAAATTATGCCACAGTACGACGTCCGTATTTTCAATACTTGCTCCCGGATCACTTCCCACCCACTCTGGTAAACCACTATTATTCAGATAAAATCCCCCCGGGTATAAATCTCCATCTCGGTAAGGGGTCACCCAAACGTCATGCTCCAAATGTCCTGCCCTTGGTCGTAGCGGACTATCTTTCTTCATCAACAATGGTGGCATCGTCCCTAGAATCAATTTCCATCCTACGGGCTTTATTCAGAATAAAATAATGCATTTATAATTTAAATTTTCTACATTTAAAATAATTGCACAATCCAAAATACCTTTCCAGTAACGGGACTAGCTTTGTTGGGATTCGTCACCACCCACGTTCGCCCTTTCAATGGAGCAATATTCGTTCGACCTTCACCCGCCGTTCTGAGCAGTGTTACATTCAATGTAATCCCTTGACCGTACGGGTTTGAAGCTGAATTCGTATCTGCATTAAGACCTTGGACGTCCTGAGTCGACACTGAATTGGCAATTCCATCGAAATCCGAGTCTATCCTCGCCGTGAAAAAATGTTGGTGAAATTGTGCCCCAACTTGTGGAGCCACTTGCGTCCCCCAAACCCCACTCTTCGACCCTGCCGCGATCATCGTGGTGTAAATGATTCCTAAGAGTTGAATTTGAAACTGGATTGAGCCATCTTGATAGAAGAACCAGTTGATGCTGTAATCATAATTGTTAAACGTTGTCGTGCACGCCACTGCGAGTCGGTGGGATCGAACTGTGACAACTTTTTTGGGTGCGCGGAAGTCAGCTTGTTGCCACAATATTCCTGCATCTTCTTCCCTGACGCTTATAGCATTTTTAATACGAAAAGGAACTCCGTGTACGTTATGAATGATGGCATCGATAAAAGTTGCCGCTCCGAGGACATCTTCTCCAAGGATTTGTGGATTCACGTGATATCCAACCCCAAAATCGCCCATGTCAAAGTACTATGAACATAATAGACGTGTACATAGACACAGGGTGACTCAAAATATGACTACATTCATAAATAAATACCCCAACGTGATGAAACGGAGGCCTCGGGTCACCATAAGGCACATAGATCTCTGTGTAATATATTCTTTAACTATGCGAATTATTGCGAATCCATCATCAACAAGACTGTAATGTCTTCATGACTAATATCTCGACCGCTATAATAACGTGTAAATCCATGTGTATTTACCTGTCAGACTAGCCCGATATAAAAGTGGGCGATATTTCCCTGAATCGTTGTAACTAACGGTATGTAAAATCAGACCTTCCCGCCCAGTGAATCTAAAAATGGTGAATTAATTTCATAAAAGTTGATCCTTAACATATGCAAAATGAAGTATTTACTACCCCACTCGAAATTTCAACTTTTGCCACTGAATTTCATTGGTTTATCGTCCTGGCGCAGACTTGACTTTCCACCTCGTAGTTCATACTCATAGTTCGCTTCTTTGCGGGGAGCTGTATTTCCGGTATTGTCCGTACTGAAGTCGGCATGGCTGGGAGTATTTTGGATTTCTAAGACTGCATGGGCGTCCAGGTCGTAGATGACGAAAAAGTCAAATGGATGAGCTGAATAATTAGCAAGGAAAATTATTCAAAATTCCAAATTTTAAAGATTAGTTTCACAAGTTACCGTGATAATTGTCATCAGGGAAATTCCTTCCGAAGAAAAAATACTCTAGCAATCTCTTGCCCTCCCAATCGGTACGATTGTCATAAGTTGGAACTGGATGTGGGCTAGCCTCCACGAGAGACATGTTTGGGTAGCCTAAATCTGCACAGCGCTTTTGCACTCGGGTGTCACGTAAAAGGACGGCCTGTATGAAAAAGATGATTAATTTCTTCAACATTTCAAAAACTTATGGAGAGAAACACTCCACGTACAAGTTCATTTTCCTCAGCGTCTCGTGGGGTAATTGGTGCTCTAACGTTTTTAACGTTAACGTAGCTCTCTCTTTGATTCGTATTCAGATTGACGACTGCTTCATAAATCTGAAAAAAATTAACCTGTACAAGAAGAAAAGCTTTGCGAGTCCCCACTGGCGGGGCTACGTTGGAAAGAAAGAACGGAAGCAGAACGGATTTCGGGGGTTCGAGGAGTGCGATAAAGTTATAAACATATTTTGTGACGGATGCATCTTTATGGTTTTCAACAATTTGGACGGCTTTTTGGATTTCCTCCTCGGTCAAAGGGTTCAAGGGATGGAGGTCTGCAAATGAAATGAAAAATCGTATTTTATCAGAAATAAGGGTTGGAAAATGTACTTTTAAGCTTTAAGCTTTACCTGGACTATTTCCATGCCTCAAAGTAATACCAAAATCCAACAAAGCGAAAATTAACAAGAGTTTAACAGTTGGCATCTCACACAATTCAGTTAATGTCAGCAAAACAATTGCATGGACTTGTCAAATGCAACATGTTTGTACTAATAGAAAATACTGCCGTTACGTTCAATCGTACAATTAGATCGTGTCATCTACTATGCATTCGATTCTATTCGAACGGAAACATCTATGTACCTACATATATTTATATTAAGCAAAATCTTGATGTACTTAATTGAAATATTATAAAGTTACAACAACGCAATAATTAACCTTGATAAAAAGCAGCTTAATTGTATGCTAATTGCTGGCTCTGATTTTAGTATTAATTTATAAAAGCTTGTGCATGGGTATAAATTTATGCACATAAGGTAAACTCATGAATATTTATACAAGATGGATGTACAATGTACATGTATATATTGTTATATTCCATTGCAAGTTGGAGCACTATTTAGACAAATGAAACAAGGTTTTATTTTGTAGTGGTTTTGTGAATAAAGTCTATCATCAATTTATGCACTTGTTCAGTTTGGTTATGCACTTGTACCATATTCCTTGTACCAAATGCATTTCCACCATGATTTCTACAACAGCCCCTACAAATAATTTGCTGTTACCTTATGTATTTATGTATAAAACTGTTACGAAATAGGGTAAAGTACTTCAATCCGTCGGCAGAGCAACTATTTAGTAGCATGACTTACATATGTATACATGTATATTCCATTATGGGTAAAAAATATGCAAAATAAAAAAGGGGAAATTGAGACGACTATTGTTTAAGTAAGGACAACAAAAATTCTGTAGTTGACATGGTATATAGATATCTAATACAACAACCATTTCTTACTTTTCAGAAGCGATCAAACCGTATTTTACTAAGATACGCGTAAATCAATATCTTGACATGTAAAATTAGTACCTATACCCGGTTGGTTGTGTGTACCTAACAAAATGAAGCCATCTCAAAGGTTATTAGCACATGAGTTCATGAGACTGATCTTGAGTAGAGGAGAAAGCAAAAGCAACTCGGCTACAAATTTCCGACCAATCAATATTCCGACCAGTAACAGGTTCTGCTTTCTCTTTCTTATCACTTTCTCATGATGGATGCGAGTCACTCTTGATCTTTGCTTAGGATTAGATTTAAACCACCTGTTTCTCCACCGCATTATTACATTCGTAATACGAAGCTTAACCAATTTGCACCAGAGTATTAAAAAACATTTTAATGTGTTCTACCTATTTATTTATGTCTAAATTAACGGTTTAATGGTCACGCCACAAAGATGTGCATCACACCACAAGACAAAACACATCAATTCGTTACAAGCGTATTTAGGATTAGTGGTGTCCAAAATAATGAAGCTCTTGAAGGAGGGGCTCAAAGTGACAAGTAAAACTTAAAAAATGAAATTATGTGCACATAATTGAATTTTTAATTGGGTATTTCATATTTTCAGTGCTACAACGTATGAAAAACGGAATCACTTAACATGGGTAAACTTACAGTTCAAAATAACTTTTATTGACATGTGGATAAAAATATAATGGAAATGAATTTACTAATTAATGTAGGTCGAGGGATTAATATTAGTGGGGATTGGATCTGGAATTGCGCAAGGAGTTAGCTCACAACAGCCAGCAGGATCTTTCATAGCCGTTTTGGGGCTTGTCTGTGTAGTTGCAGCTGTACTCTTCCGAGAGTTTCGTTAAATTTGCAAGGTTTTTGGAGAACTAAATTAAATATGTAAATTAAGATATAAATATGTATGTACTTACTTTCTCAGTTCTTCACATACTTTTACATAGAGATTTTGCCATTGTTATCCCACCCATACCGTTTAAGCATTCATTATTTGTATATTTAAAGTACATTGGCTTTTCACGAAATTCCAATTTAAAAAGTTGCATTTCTTCCCAGTCTCATCATTTGGCTACAACGTTCCAAAGAAATCTACTTCCATAAAGCGTTAGTGTTAAGTTCTGCCTGGGTCCCTGTGGCTCTCAATGCAAATTGCCCCGTAGAGGAGACAAAGAAGGAAGCGGAGGTTGCATGCATTTTCTGCATGAGTCTCACTTCGCCTGCACGTGACTTTCACGTACGCTTGCCATCAATCTCAAATTAAATGTCTTTGTATATTTGCAGTGTGCAAGTAAATTGAGTGAGTGAGCAGTATACATACATACATCACTCATCAATAATAGTTATCATGATAAGTGATCGTGATCAACACTATTAATTAATTATTTTAGTTTGAGAAACTCCACTCACAGCGAGTGGCATATCAATTTGAATGTATTTTTGACGCTGAATCCAACGCCGCCAATGGTTTTGACCTCTGAGGCCCCCCGTGACCTTGCCGTGACCGTGGGGCCAAATATGGCTTATTCGTGTTGTCGCATATCAATTCGAATGTATTTTTGACGCTGAATCCGAATCCGTCAATAGCTTGGCGTTAATTGTAGAAGTTAACGGGGTTTATGGAACTTAACGGGAGCGTGAAGCGTGGGAATTTAAGTAATTAGCTATTTAACTACTCCCACGCGACGGGAACTTAAGTAATTAGCTATTCAACTACCCCAACAGGGGGAAATTAAATTGTACTGTGACCAGGTTAATTAAAATGCAGTATGACTTGGGCAAACCCTCACTCTGATGTATGTATGTAGTATGACAAAGTCTCCACTGGGAATTATTTAAAGTATAGTATGATTTTTCGCTTTGGGCACACCCCCCACTGGAACTCTAGAACCCGGCCTCGGCCGGGCTATACGCTAGTATTCTATAAATGTATGCATGTAAAGACTAGTATTTGAGCTAAGCCAAATATATCAGTTCTAACATGCATTGACACTGCTTCACTTTTGATGTGACTTATGTGACTATATTTTTTAACTTATATTTTTTATCTTACTAACAATTTAATATTAAAAAATTATACTTACTATATTTTGTAAGTAATTTGAAAATTATTTGTAAGTAATAATATACTTCTGATAATGGAGTGCACCCCGAATAGTATGTAGGACCCATTTTTAGTAAATCATCAAAAACGTCTATGTACATGTCTGCATGTGTGTAAAAATGCATATCTTTTGCCTTCTCATCTTCATTAGATAATGTACTTTGAGCTCTACTAAAATGCTTAAATATTTTAATAAGTGTGTGCGTAATAAATAATGACCAGCCGAATTCAATACCATGTTGAGACACGTTTTGACATTGATCAACCTTACTTAATGATAACAGAAAAATTCACGTTTTTACACACACCCACCCGATTGTTTGTGTATATGAATATTCAGGTTCAAGTGGTTAATAAATATATATAAATACCTGATTAAAGTAACTTGATTGATTAGCCACACCTGACATATAAATACATACACCTCTCTCATTACGACTCTCATAATTAACACGCAACCTTGCATGCTAATTTACCTCTTGGCATTAAAAATGGGGCATTTCAAAGAATTTTTGAGTTGCGTAATAATTGTGATTCTAACTTTATCCCATCCTGGCCATGGAAGGGCTAATCCCAGCAATATTCTTCACCGTCAAGAAGCCATGGATAATGGCAACTTTATTGTCGATTGGTTCATAAATTTCGAACAACAGACAGCCCACTTTCTCATCGCTGTGAAAACAAGGAGCTATATTGGATTTGGGATCAGTTTGTATGGGTCCATGGACGGGAGCGACATCGTCATTGGAGGCGTGTTTGACAATGGCACGACGTACTTCTCGGTAAGGGGAAATACTCAAGTGTACATATCCATCTCAAGTAGAGTTTCTTAACTAATTTTAAACCCAATTGCAGGACAGATATGGAACACGGTTTACTGAACCGATCGTTGACGATGTTCAAAATTGGGAGTTTGTCGAAGCGTTTGAGACAGAAACTCATACAGTTATGAGAGTGTCGCGTCCATTGGATACGGGCGATTGGCAAGATAAGCCCCTAAGGGTGCGTATATTCGCTTCATGCACTAAAATTAGCCTGTTTTCTATGCAATTAAATTTGTTCATTTTATTCATTATGTAAATATCTGCTCAGGACGAAGACATGTATTTCATCTGGGCCTACGGCAGCGAGAATGCTACAGACGAAATAATTTATCATGGCGATAATCAGGGCAGTCTTCTGGTGAATCCCTTATCAGTTGGGAGCCCAAAACCAAATACGCAGAGAAGAACTGAAGTTTTGGATGATAATGGGAATTATGTTGTTCAATGGTTGATAGATTATAGTACAAAAAATGTCGTGTTTCAAGTTGATGTCAATACGACGGGTTGGTTTGGATTTGGTCTATCACCTGCCGGAGGGATGACCTCGGCTGATATCGTCATTGGAGGTGTTCATGCGAATGGGACGGTCTACTTTGATGTAATTATATTCTTTTTCATAATTTGCATAGATAATTTGTGAAGAATGTTACATGCTATTCAGTTCAATTTTTTATGTTTTTATATGATTGTGAACTAAACGCTTGATGAAATATTCAAATAATTCATGACAGAACTTAATGTGATCATTTTCTTGCAGGATCGACACGCAACTGGTCAATCTCTCCCTGTTCGTGACGACCACCAGGATTGGGTTCCACTCTACGTTTCGGAGAATGCGACGCATACAACTTTCATTTTTACGCGAGCTTTTGACACTTGTGATGGTCAAGACGTTCCATTGACTGTAATTAGTTTTTACTTTAAAGAAGCTACAATCGAGTGTAAATTCATCTTATTTTTAAACACTGCAAATATTTATTTACGTAGAATGACACCTTGAATTTCATCTGGTCTTACGGAACCACTGACAATATTCAATATCATGGCTCCACAAATCGTGGAACATTCCAAGTACTTCCATTGGACCCTGAAGAGCCTCCAATTGAAACTGAAAAGTATTTCAAATACGAGATAACCCACACGATGACCATGCCCAGTGTGGATACCACTTATTGGTGCACAATTCAAAAGAGTCCCAGATTTACCCAGAAGCATCACATCGTCGCTGTACGTATTACTTAATTACTACAACAGATTACGTAACATGCTGACAGAAGTATGGACTAAATTTACTTTTATTAAAGTTCCGACCAAAAATTGAAACCCCCGCGGCCCGAGCGCATACTCATCATTACGCAATATTTCGCTGTACTCCACCCGCTAATCAATCCGCGGAAGAATTCTTTGAGCCATACGTAGGTCAGCCGGGAGGAGACTGCAAGGTTCCAAATCCTGGCATACCAGCGCCCTATTGCCAAACCATGTTTTATACGTGGGCAGTGGGTGGGAAGGTTAGTTGTTAAATCGTAAATAAACTGTAAAAGGCTGACTAATTGACATTATCTGTCCACGGCAGGAGTTAATATTTCCAGACAATATCGGCTGCCCCATCGGAGAAGACGGCAGTGAGGTCGACTATTACATGTTCGAGGTTCACTACAACAATCCTCAGCAATTGATTGGAGTCCGATTTGAGACTGGAGCAACAATTTTTTACACGGACGAATTAAGGGAACATGACGCCGGGATTTTAATGGTGGCTCATCAGACGTCGCTTGCGCTAATGGTTCCACCCAAGTCTCCAGAATATAAGAGCGTTGGTCATTGTGATCCTTATTGTACGAATAATTACTTGCCGGAAAGTGGGATTAATATTTTTGCCTTGTTACATCACGCTCATCTCTCCGGTACATCATTAGTTACATCTTCAAGAATTACATGTTATGCGTGTTGCCTTCAAGTGAATGCTTTCTGACAGCTCGTAAAATGAAGTTACGACATTTCCGAAATAATCAAGAACTGCCCTGGATTAAAAATGATGAAAATTATGATTTCGAATACCAACAAACTCGTCCATTGACTGACTCGATCGTCGTCCTTCCGGGGGATCATTTAACAACAGGTACATAAAATCATAATATCGTACTTTACGTTCCTGTTTAATTTGGATGTTTTACATTCATTTATATAAAAAAAATGTATATACAGAGTGCATTTACGACACGACATGGCGAGATGGGACAACGATAGGCGGATTAGCGACAAGAGATGAGATGTGTCAAAGCACGTTTTGGTACTACCCGAGGAGTCAGTTGAGAGAGTGTCGAAGCGAATATCAAATGCCGCAATTACTTGCAAAATTTGGAATTGAACAAATAGCAAACAGGTTAGTGCATCATACAAGTGTATGTAAAGGCAAAGCTGCTATAGTTGACATACAACATGAACCTTTGTGCAGGTCATATCCATACGAAGATGTCAACGTGATCGCTCCTGCGCAATTTGCGGGACTTCGTTACACAGAAGTGCTGGACAACAGAGTAGTCTGGACGCCTCAATTGAGGGAAGAAGTTCAAACAGATTCCAGTTTCGGGCTGCATGACGGGGTCTGCTACATTATCGGAGGTTCTGACAATGTACCCCTGCCCACGGGATATCCCACATTTCCAGAAGAATATCAACCTATAAATGAGTGCCTAGAAAAATAATGATATGCTAAAGAATAATTGAATGTAATGTGCTGAATTTAATTCAAAAATGTGAATTAAAATGTAAAATTTGAATCAATTTTAATAGCTAATATTGTTAAAATTGCAAATTACTCTAATTTTTGGACTACCTGTAACATTAGTTTTTCTTGACAAGAGAAGATGTTAATGACGATAGAATAAACATATGAAAAACTTATTGCGATTTCTAGGGCGTGATATAACAAAAGCAGTGTTCGACTTCTTTTGCACATTTCTTGCACTAAGTCACTAGTGCTAGAAAATTATAGCTGCAAAGAAAAAAAATTGCAATAATTTCCTGCAGATGAATTTTTTCACAACGAACCCTGAACAAAAGTGAAAATTGACACATCTCTTTAAGCACTTTCTTTTAGCCAAGTTTTTGTAGTTAAAATAATAATTGGATCGTTATTACAAATGTCTATATGATAATTTGTAATAAAAAATAATACTCTTCCTCATTTTTGTTGCATCATTTATTCATCAGACCTAAAATTTACATTTTGCTGTATCGAAAGAAGTTGCCTGACATCCGTCTTTTACAAATTCGGAAGTTTAGCAAATAAATAAATTGCATGTGCATCAAAATTTAGCAACATATAATTAAATTGGTCATTAAACACTTGCCACAAACTGAACAAAAAGAGTGTCAAATATAAAGTGCAAGTGCACGCACACACCCGACAACCCAACTTCTTATTAATAATTCGAGAGCAAAAGAAGTAAAGCAATCTGATCACGAATAAAAAGTGGAAGTGAGGAAATGCATGAGATTTTAAATTTTGACCACATATGTAACCACCACTAATGTTGAATAATGCTTAACCATATACTGCACAAACTCATGCAAAAGTGTGTTTCTTTTTTAAAGTAATGTAATTGCACTTCCTTCCCTTCCCAAACAAATAGCAGTCTCACGTACGTAATAATAAGCATGTATATAGTGCTTGCCGTAGTGGAGTGATAATTGACCCATCCATCACGTAATACTTACACTCACGCCACAAAATGTTGTGATTTGTGATTCTTGTAGTACAAAACCACCAAATTTTACTTCGGGTCAGTCAGTCAGAGTCAAGTGGTCGGATAAAGCGGAAGTGGACCCTGTGGACATAGGTATTGACAGCGCGTTGGACTTATTCTGAGTCAGTTGTCAAATTGGTTTGTAAGGGTCTGATTGCCAAGAAAATCCAATATTGCTCGAAAACAGTGACATAAACATACATTACATTTACTAAACAGCGCTTAAGGATGACGGGGAAAACCACCATTTCGGTAAGTGTAAAATTTTCAACTGGAATTTTATCGTGTTTTGGAAATTTCAATTTTTTTCTGTTTTTTTTCTAAGTATTTTTCTGTATATTTTTATGTATTAGTATTTTAAGAAAATTATGCACCCTTCTGTTCCTTTCCAAATATATGGTCTTAATTCGAGGAATTGAAACACTTTTAAAAATGGAAACGTAACATTTAAATTTCTATTTCAGTCTTTCACAATTTCCTTCCGTAATTCATAATTCATTCATAATGTTTATTTTCTTGACCACTCTATTCACATATAATTGGCTCCTGTAGTTTGTGGCATAGTCAGCAGAGCATGAAAGTAAAGTGCATGCAAAACATGTAGCTGCAAATGGAATTGTTGTACTAACAAACCAACAAAGGTGTATACAAACAAACACAAATTAACCAACCGTATCGACTCAATTGAATTCCCACAATTACGCCAAATTTATCATCCCTACATAAGTATTCCCCAACACTTGTGTTTGCCTTTAATGCGCCCACTTTCTTTCCTTCTTGGAATTAAAACTGGTTCACAAATAAGTAAAAAGTCATTTTTATATCGTATTACAAATCATAACTGCGTGAAGAATCAATTTCACATAAAAACTTGGTGTGTTATGTTTCGTAGTAAAAAAAGCGTTGGTTTTTTGTGACTACAAATTTGCGATAAAGTTATCAATCAGTTTTATAGATATTTTAGAAGGAAGCGGAAAAGTCATTGCCAAATAAATTAGATAAATTTCATTTAACTTGACTTTGATCTCTAGATCAAGATCAGATTTTCATTAAAGAATGCTATTTAGATAAAAAGTAGTTTACTAACAAAATACACTTTCTACTAAATTTAAACAGTTTTTTTCATTCGCCTAAACCCTTACGTAATAATCACAGGTATTCATCACAAACACCATCGCCATCACAACTTTCGTCTTAGCCTCAACAACAGCACAGTATTATGGGGGACATAATCTCTCCCCCTTTTCCACCATGATGCATCACTCCCAAATGCCACAATTCTACCGGGGCGAAGGTGGTGGACCTCAATTTCATGGATTCCATGATAGCCACGTCATGGCTGGAAGCCCGCACGGTTATCAGGCCGGTGGTCATGCGTATGGAGGAGGTCACGCTCATCGCGGATATCACGAGTCCACTCCACCAATTTTCATCCACGGGCCGGGTGGAACTGGATTGCGGGGAGGAATAGAAGAGAGCGAACCTATAGGACACGGTCATCATGGAGGAGGTCATTATGGAGGAGGTCACAGCTATGCCCCTGCTCAATACCATCACAAAAGACCCGTCGTTCAACCACACATTCATCGGGAGCATGTCCACATTCACAATATTTACAAGGTATCGCCACCACATCTTGAAGACATGGTATATATTTACTTACAAGCCAACCAGAATACTTAAGGTTACGTAATGACAAATGTGGACATGAAAATATATGAACCATTGTTTGGCTTTGTGACAACTTGAGACTTTATACATAGAATTTCGTAAAGTAACGGACGTTAAACTATTAAAAGCTTAAATTTTATGTTTTTGTGACCTTTTCAGCACAATATCCATCACCATAACGTGCACAAACAGCACATACATCAACCCGTGTATCACAAGACGGAGAAAAATGTTCATACCAACTCTGAATCTCACAAGAATCAGTATAAAGTCAAGGAATACAATAAGTAAGCTGTGGAAATGTTTTACACTTTTTGGCCCAGTTAAGGCAGCAGATTATTCATGTTTTATGCTTGCACAGGCACAATCACCCCTTGACACAAGAGTCGCACAAGTGGTTGAAACCAATTTACGCTGGGGAAGGATGGGGAAAAGATAGCGTCGGAGTGAAGGAGTGAACCGAATTTAGAGAAATGTTTTAAAGCTTTCTTATGAAGTAGCTATGTTATTATATATTTCTAGTTGATGGAAGAAAATAAATATTTTTATACGAAACAATTTATTCGTCTGCTTTTTTTTAGAAATGCATATAAAGATTAATAACTTGGAAAGGACATAATACATGAAATAAGCATATACCGAGAAATTCGACTTGTAGGTGATAAAATATCCAATAAGTTTATCGTAGTAGGAGCAAATCTAATTGTCATGACTTATAAATATGTATGCGTATAAGTAAATGTACAAAACATATCTGCTCAATGTAGGATTGTGTGGAAGATTCTTAAATTTTAAATACATTGTTTGTAAAATATAAAAGAGATGTATGTAGATATGTATTTATGATACGATTATGTATGATATATGATGTACATAAATATGTTTGATTATGCATTATGTAGACCTATCCGTCCTTTGTACGTATGTACTAAAATCATAATAGTTTAATGTTCATTCATTCAAGTATAAAATTGTATTCGTACATACTAAATTAGTACATAGTGTGTATTACAACAATATATTATGATATCCAATATCCAATATATTATGTTATCTACTACTATACATGCATACCTATGTTTATGCAGTTAACTTCATAAAAATACTTTAAGTGCATCATATATGTCGATAATTATCGCTGAGCTGTATTGAAAATCAATGATCATGATTCATCGTACATAAGTACATGTTTAAATATTTGCATACATATGCACTTTCATATTCAATATCCAACTGATTTTGACACTGATCTTTCTCGACAGCGTACAAACATACTGCATTACAGATTAGGACAGTGTTATTACTAAATATTTCACTAAAATACTTTGTAATATTACACACTCCACCTCAGCCGTTTTGCATTTCCAATTCGCCGACATGTTCGCCTTACTTGTATCTGGAAGATTGGTACGTTGCTCGTTTGTTATATATCAACAACTTATGCTATTAATTCATGCATAAATCAAAGTGATGAAATTGTCATGCAGGTTCAAACAAATTTTGTTCAATCGACGGAGGACCAGCGAAAATTTATGATAGACATTCCACAAGCCGAAGGCGTGAATCATGTTGCCGTATTTCTTACCGGAGAATCGCCCTTTCCACTTGGTAATTTTGGTTTAGATTAAATTAGACTTTATTAGCAACTACTTATACATTGGTAATTACTAAATTAAAAATAATAAATTTTCAATGCCCGCAGGAACCGGTGGCCAAATTTACTTTGCTTGGCCTGATTCTCAAAACAAAACCACTTGGCGTTTGGCAGGATACATTTCTAATGATAAGCCGTCAACAATATTTAAAATTTCTGGGCATTCGAAATCGTACAGTGATGACACTAAATCATATTTTGCTCAGCCTCTCCTAACACCCACGCCGTGTACACAAACTGCAAAGATTGGAATTTTAATCGAGTCTTTGGAAACAATTAAACTAATGAGCAAATAGAACTTGATACATTTTTTGATATTTATTCATACAAATTTATTCAAATATGATTAACGTCGATCTATAGTCACATATGGAGAATAATTCAGGTTCGAAAGTATGTTGACAATTTGTATATTAAAACTAAAAAACCAATTTAATTATTTCAAATTACTGTATGTATACAGATAAACTGTGAACTGACTGAAGCGCATAATATTACATTGTTTGGCACCTAAATAAGTAGCTGGGTCAATTCCACCTAGAAAAGTCCGTGTTAAATAATAGTCCTCATGTCCTACTTTTGTTACAACTTTTTAAACAGAATACTTCATCATCCAGATCTCACGCATCTGAGGATAAAGTACTCCAGTTTTTAAAAAGTATAAAATTTAGCAAAAACATCCCTCTTTATTCCTAAATAAATTGTAGAAAAGTACAAAAAATATTTAGAGCTTATAACTAATTAAATCTACCAAACCTCATTCTCCTCGTCACTATTGATCTCTTTCTTCTTAGGCATGACCACCACGACAATTCCTGGGTCTTCCTCACTGTATGGTAAAATTGGATAAAATCCACGCTGAACGAGGGTTGGGGGATTGAACGTCGAGTCGGATGATGCCTCGCTTGTAATTTTTACTGTGGGCTCGTTCCTCATTTCCATCTCGGACAAATCTATTGATTTGGCTTTTCGTGTGTGTTGAGGGAACAATTGCCCCATTGGAAATCTTTGATGTGGTCTGGGTGGCAGTCTCTCGCGTTGTTGATGACCTTGTGGAACTGGTAAATTGTGAAATTCGGCTGGAAATCTGTGTTGAGTGTGTTGTTCACGGATAAATTTCTGTGGTTGTGGCGGAGGCGGTGGTACTAATAATTTTGGGGGAGAGGGCTCCCTTAATCCTTGCTTATTTTCTTCATGTTTTGCATCGAATTGTTGTATTTGTGTCAGAGGTGGACCTCGAACTTGTTGAGTGTGTTGTTCGCGGATAAATTCCTGTGGTTTTTGGGGAGGTGGTGGTACTAACAATTTTGGGGGAGAAGACTCCCTTAGTACTTGCTTATTTTCCTCATGCTGTGCATTAAATTGTTGTTGCTTTTGTGCCGGAGGTGGACCTCGGACTTGTTGAGTGTGCTTTTCCCCAAGCATTGCGGATTGTTGCTGGTTAAGCTGTTTTTTCAAATCTGCAACAAAGGGTGAATTTATTTTTATTTGCTCTTCTTTCTTTTCGTGGTGGTGAAACGCTGCTTTGTTGCCTTCAACAAGTTCAGAGTTCTGAATTCTTTCTTTCTCCTGCTCTCCAGAAAACCACCCTACATTTTCCTTCTCCCTTTGAAAGTTGGCATTTTGTTGGAAATTTTTTATCATGGCAGAGTTGAGTTTTTGCTGAAAGTCGGGGCTGGTTTGAACCTGATGGTGCTGATGGTTTATGTGCTTATTTTCAATACGATTTTCTTTCTGTAACCCTTCCAGAACATGAGCCTCCAAACGGCTGTCCTCTTTTATCTCGTCGTTCTCGATAAGGTAAGAAGTCGGGGCAAACAAGTGGGGTTGGACTGGTTGTGGTGCAGGTTGATTTTGATGGGCCACAAATTTTTGCCTCTGATCAAACGGAGCTGGTCGTCTCATTTCCATGTGATGATGTTGTTTAGGAGTAATTGGTCTGTTCTCATTGTGATTCTCAAATTCTGGCAACCTTTGCTCCGGTGGGGAGACAGAAATTTTGAATCTTTCTCCCTCTTCTATGCGGACTTGACTTTGCTCATGGTTGAAGTTTTGCTGAGGGATGCGAAAGTCGGGAACTTTGTTCTCTACTGGGCGCATTTCAACTTGGGTTGGTGGCTGATGATGTCGAACAGGAAGCTCTTCTAGCTGCAAGCGCACATTTTGTTGTTCTTGTGACATTTCCTGAAAGCTATGCTCCTGTTCATGACGGTTGTTGTCATTGTCCATGTTTTGTTGCTGTTGAGGATGGTGTAAAATCATTCCCATAACGGGCAGCTCTTGCTGATTTGGTTTTGGTTGGTCTGGGACGACTTGGGGCCACTGCTGGAAGTTTTCTTGGTGATGGGGGCGTTGTGGTGGTGATGGTCGTTCAAAATTAATCCCCTGGTTGTGATGTTGATGCGGATTAAATTGCTGCTGCTCCATTACGGACATTTGTTCATAACGGATTATCTGTTTCTCAACCTGTGGGTGTGGTTCTACATGAGTGAGTGTCATTGGCAGCGTGAGTGGGTTGTCGTGAGGAAGAGGAAGCTGATGTTGGTCAAAACTATCCAAAGGTCTTTCTGGTCTTTTGAGGACAATTGGGACGTTGGGCTGCATAATCGGTGGTGGTTGTGGGATAGGATTTTGTGCAATTTGTTGAGGGTGATTTATTTGAAATTCTGGCCTGGCAAATTGTTCCGAATGTGTTGGATAGTTGATTCTGTGATGATTATAGTGTTCATTATTCGGATATTCAACTTCATGCATCTCATGATTCTCCACACCAAAGTTTATTATCGTTGGAGATTGTTCATGTCTTATCGCATGCTCTTCATGATGGGCTTGATGATGCACATTATTATTGTTATTAATGATATGATGCTGTCCAATATGATGACGATTATTGTTAACCTTTTGTAGATTTGTCTGCTCCGGAAAGGTCACAAATCCAGCCCCACGACCTGGACCGACCTGCCTATTTTCTCCCTCGGGTTTCACTGGAGCAGGTTCGAATTTGGGTAGATCAAAGTTTGGAATTTCAAAACGAGTCTTCTTCCCTGAACCTGATGATGCTGCTGCCGGTTTGGAGGTCACAACAGAAGGAGGTGGAATTGGGGGAGGAATAAATACGGGAGTTGTGCTCATAACTACCGGTGCCGAAGTCGTAGTGGGTGGAATTTGCTGTTGACTTGATTCTGTGACGGGGTTAAATATTTCCTTGGTTGGGAACCTCTGTGGTGGTTGGTGGGGTCGTCTACTTGAGGGTTTGTGAACCCTTGAAGGCGTTTGTGGTCGTTGAACTGGTGCTGATTCTTGTGGTGGTGCTTCGTATCTTATTCGTTCCGTGGTTGTGGTGGTTATCGGTTCACTCGTTGTGGTGGAATACTTTGCTTGAGATTTTTGATAAGGTGGGAATCGAAATCCGGGAGGAACGTATACTGGGGATGGAGTCGATACCGGTGCAGGCGTCGTCGCACTAGAAATATTGTCCTGTTCTTTTTTTACCATCTTGATTCGGACCCTCTTGTTGTTGCTGTTGTTGTTTTCATACTTTGCTGGGGACTGCACTTCCCTTATCCGAGATTCATCCTGCTCGTATCTATCTTCATAATTATTATGGTATGGTGATGACGCCGGTAATGGGACCCAGTCAGAGGTGGAGTATCCGTTATTATTGTTGGTACTAGTTCGTGAGTGGTATGACGTGACTGGTGCTTTGTCTGGATGTTCATGGTCAGATTCCATCTCATCGAAATCTATGAAGGATGAGAGGGACGGGTTGTTATTATTTGTTGTAGAATATCTATGGTGTGGATATTGCTGCTGTTGTTGTTGCGGGTACTGACGATCTTTCGGGTTTATCACGACATCGTAGGTGTCATCGTCATAATGCTCATCTTGGTGGGGATGATAACTGCCGTGCACTGGAAGCGATTCCATTTCTTCTTCCTCCTCTTCTAGTTCCGGTACTTCGGTTGTTGTTGTCGTTGTCGTCGTGGGGGGCAGAGTTTGAGTTGTTGTTGGTGGTGCTGGAGTAGTCGTCGTAGTGGTCGTGGTGATGAAGTCGGCGTACCCCTTTGGTCTTTGAAGAACTCGGCTTGGAGAACTGTGGTACCTTTTGGACTCGTACGCCACCACGGACGGCGTTATTGGTGCAGATGTTGTTGCTGCTGGCTTGTTAATTTCTACAGCTTTTTCTTCCACCGGCACCTCCACCACGCTGGGGGCAAAGTTGAAGTTAAAACTGAATTTGGGTGGGACAGAGAATCTCTGTTTTTGTCCCGGTACTTTAGCTTCTGGTTCGTCCTCCTCCGTTTGCACGTCCGGTTTGTTCTTGCTCTCCTGCTCATGCCTGATTTTTGAATAAGTCGAGTGGACGAGGACATGTCCGGATGACGGGGTTGTTGCAGTCGTTTTCGGTGTGGTGGCTAGTCTCGTGATGGTAGCGGGATGACGGTTCAGAGTCGTGTAGGACAACTGGGGGCGTTGTACTGGTGGGGATGAGTAAAGTGGAGGGGATGTCGTCGTCTTGGGGGACTGGGTAGTTGTAGTAGTTGTGGTGGGTCTGGTCGTTGTTGGGTACGTAATAGTGGTCGTGGGTCGCTCTGTTGTCGTCGTCGTAGTGGTCGTTGTTGTTGTTGGGGTTGGAGTCGTCTCATATTCCCGATGGTTTGGACGTGCCCTTAACCTTAACAATTGTCGTCGCGGGGTCGTACTTTCTTGTTGTGGGGCCTGGAAAATCACGGTGGGGACTGGTGGTGGCAGTCGGGATTCAACTTTATAGCTGGTTTTTGTAGCCAGGTAGGACTGGGTGCTTGTCTTCTCAGTCACTTCATGCCCATATTTTTCTTCACTCCCTCCTTCGGAAATAACGACTGGTGTTAATTCTTCAATATCAAGTTCTGGCTTCTTCTTCCTCTTGATAATCCTCCTTCTCCCACCAAATTCTGCATATTCTCTGTGATCACTCCCCTCCGGAACTTGGTCAGTCAGGGTTGCGTTCTTACTTCTCAATCGCATCATTCCTGGTCGGCGTGGGATGAAGGGTCGGGGTCGGATTGCGGAATCTTTACCACTTTCTGTCTCTGGTGGTGGTGGTGGTTGAGATGGTGGTGGAGTAGTCGTCGTCGTGGTCGTCGTGGTCGTCTTATTTGTAGTAGACGTTCTCTCATAAAGGTTCGTCCTCCTTGGAAAACCACGTCCTCGCAAAGAACTCGGCGTTGTGCTTTTGACTTCCTCCGTTACCTTATTAGCCGGGGTCGTCGGGGTTGACCCAGTTTGACTTTTTCCCTTTGGTCGCCATTGGATCCGCTTCGGGACGTAGGGAACATCAGAGCCATCCGAGTTCAGGACTTGGTCGTAATTTCGGGATTCGGACGAGTCATGGTCTTCCTCTTCAGGGTCACTTTCCCATTCGCTGTCATGTTGTATGTTGCTTTCAGGTTCGCCCTCTACGACGGTGACCTTCAGTGACAAAATCGTTAATTTATTAGTAATTATTTGCTAATTATGAGCACTAAAAAGTGAAAAGTAAACTACTACTCAAATTAAAATAGGTAAATTAAACCACAACGCTTAAATCTTACCTCGACTCCGCAACACCTCACCAAGTCGACACCACTCTCGTCCCCTTCGTCCGCCTCACATCCCACGACTTCGCCCAACTCCACTCGGTCCAATTCGCCCTCGCCATACGCCCGGGGGCAGAGGGCACGATCGATACAGGGGCAGTCTTCATTTATGGCGAGATTGGAATAATTCTCACCATCACTGAAACTGGAATTTGCTGCTACGGTGAAATTAATTAGCAGAATTGTCAGTGTGACAATTGTCACAAATTTTTCGGTAAAACGGGCCATCATGAAAAAATTGCATGAAAAACGAGAAATATCGCACCAAAACGGAGCTGATGGTGCTGCGTGTGCCCTGCACGGTGCTTCTGTCCCTTTCACTCTTCACCTACTAACCGGCAAATCATCCCTTCAGTCACCTGAATCCATTCTTACCTCAATGATTTGGATATTTTTGGAATTTAACGGGATATCCGGGTTTGTGATTGTCATTGGAATGAGGTCACTATTTTCAGATGAAAGGTTCTGTTATGTTCTTTTCTCATGATTTCCTGATTGGAATTGGATGTTGCATATGTACATACTATTGTATGTATGAACCGTAATTTTGTTTGATGATTCAATTATGATGGAAAACTACGATGCGAAATATGGAGAAAGGGACGCGACATGGTGTCCCTCATTCAATTACATATATGCATAATTCTTTAGGATTAGGCAGTTCATTAATACTTGGTCACTATTTTGGTAATAAGTAGCTACCAAAAGATTATGTTAAATTATGGGTAAAAATGCAATATATCGTACATGTCATTTATTAAACAAGGGGAAATGTAAAACCTATTATTTCTCCACATCTACTAAAAATTGCATATATTTAAACACACTTACGTTGTTGTACATACGTACGTAAGTACCTATTTACATTATGTAAATTACATACATACACACGCGCATAAGTAATCGATCCAGATTGATTATTCAAGCATACACCTAGTGACCGTCAAGGGCAAAGTTATTTACCACACTATGGATAATCGATTTGAATGTTGACACAAATCTCTTTGGCGTGGTGACCACGGCTCCAACAAATTATGTTGATGCGCACTTTCCAGTTTATGACTTTTCCATACGCCCTTCACCCAACAATTTTGTCGCCAAAGAGCGACAAAGCGCTGGTGCCAACGTTATAGAAATAAGAAATGATGTGCATCGTTGAGTGATGATGTTGCTCTAGTTTCATCTCCAAATTTAACCCTTTCGGATTTTGACTACTCACTTATGTTACGGGTTTTCCGTTCAACTTTTACAGAAGTCTGTCTCATTGAATACCTTGACACCTTTGTGCACTAATCATCGTTGCACATAATTTATCAAATTTCGAGTCCCCTAAATATATCCCAGGGTCACACGCTAGTGCATGTGTACAAAAGCCATATTATGGTTCTCTCATTGTGATTCATTTATGGGATGTTATATATATAGTCAAATTTCCGGTGGCACGTTGAGGGAAAGAAATGTTGATTCTTTCCATCGTCCTTAAAGTCTATTGAGCTATATGGTACAATGTACATATGTATGTGTGAAGATACCTGTCTCCGGGCAATATCGACGATTTATCTACGATATCTATGAAAGCTGCGAGTTTTGTACTAAATATTAATATTATTGGTAATCAGCCATAAATATGTACATGCATGCCAATTGACATGTATGCATATTTGTATACGGGGATCTCGTTGACCTTCTTCCCATCTTCAGGGAAGATGAAATAAGTACAACTAGGGCGGCCTATGGAAGATAGAATAGCTTTACCTTATCCTGCTTCGGATATCTCATTTTCCCCACCCACATGAAGTTATGCACCCCAACCTCCAGGACAAATACTACCACTGCAATCGCAAATAATTTGCCAGTTGTCCCAAAAAATACGAGCAGCGGACCAACCAATTTTTGTTGGCTATAGACTAGTTGCGTCCTTAAATAACTTTTTAACTCGTTATTTTTTATATCTCCACCACCATTCTCGCGCTTCCTCTCGAGGTCATAGCGAGCCTTGAAGAGATCATAAATCCCTCCCTGAATCAACCGACTCAGCCGTCGGTATATCTTTTTGGCAAATACAGGATTATAGTTCTCAAAAAACCATGCATCTGCCGGTGCTGGAAATTTATCCTTCCCAGTCACAAATCTATTCTTGTCCTTGAAATGTTGGAGATATTCCCCCAACTCTTTATCCAAGTGTACTAACGCAGTTTTATTACAATTCTCCAAGAATTTGTAAAAACTTTGATAGCTATCGTAATATATTCCTCTATTTCGTCCCCCATACTCTAAGAATCGTTCAACCAACCCAGAATACTTCCTTTTTAGGAGATCATTGTTTCCACTGCTAACATTTAATTCTTTCCATAAACTGGACAAAGTTTCTCCAAAAGTTGTCAAAGCCATGTTACTCTCATCGGTCCGATTTTTAAAATTATCATGTTTAAATAGCAGGGGTGAAACGATGCTAAAATTGTCTTGAACTAGGTCCTGAAATGTTTCGTATTTTGCCGTCGCACTAACCAAGACACTCTCATCCGAGGTGACATAGCTCTTGTACACGTTATCCATTAAGAGTACCGTCATTGCCCAGGAGAGGAGGAGTGTGACCAGGAGGGAAGCGACGCTACTGGTTGACTTGGTAGTTCCGGAATTTAGCCGTAGGTCTAAATCCCCCTGTTCTAGGACAAAGTTCAGCAAGAGTTCCGCACTGTTGAGAAAAGTTACGGCAAACGGGGCAGGTTTCAACTTCCGGGTTAAGATCGTCAACAATACCGTGGCCAAGAGGTAGATACAGCCCACCAAAATCCACATTGGTACTGGGAGGGCGTGGAGTAACATGTCCTCCTTCGCCTGAGAGTTGCCGTCACAGGTGAGGAAATTAAAGAACAGAGGATCCTCCAACAAGACATGAGATGTCGGAGTGATGGATATTTTATGGCTGCTCGACACGTGGAGACGAGATTCGCTAAAATAGTTGCTCCGCGTGGGATAAAGGGAAAATGTAAGGTTTTGCGAGGTGTAGTAGAAGAGAGTGTCGTTCTCCCAAGTTGGAAAGGAGAGGTCTGATGTCAAAATGTAGGTCAAGAGGTATCGATAATTCTCAAATTCCTGCTTGAGAACTGGGGAGTAGAAGGGAGACTGGAGGGTTGTATTATTGTTTATGGAGCGGCCATAAACGCGCGACACGTCGGGATACATTCCAATTTCTCCAGGGAGTAGAAATCTTGCGTTTGTCCCGTCATTTGTTATTAAGCGCTCATTCTGGTCCAGGAACTGAAGAAGGTTTAATGATTTACAATTTTTAAGCTTGAGTACTAAAAACAATATTTTTATTTTTATCATCTTGGTACATGCACCTCTTTAAATGATGTAAAGTTTTGATCGCGTCCAGGCACCCGTACGTCTACCAATAATAAGCGATTGTATGGATGACACGGTTTGCATACATATTTCAGCGACAAGCTATCGTTTACGATGAGGATATAAGTTGTGGCTAAATGCGTTCCGGAATATGCGACCAATGCGCGTGCCAGCTGTATAATTGACACCACGACATTTATATAATACACTTTTACAAATTTCGGAATTATCCATAACAGAGTAGTCACCTACCTCGTTCAATTCCTTCAATTTCGTCACCACAATCATGTAATGCCTTTCTAATAAAGTAGTCTGTACAACTCTCTTAGCAATTTCTTCCGCGCCCCTATTTCGCACTCGGATTCCGACCTTTTCTAGCAACATCTCAGGCCAATACTTGTAGTTGATAATGGTCGTGTAAAACTCAAAGGTTTCTGGGAATAAAATTATATACACGATGCAAAATACGTGTTTTCTATGGTGTGTCTTAGAAATGGATGAACTTCCGTTAGAAATTATTCTGGGTGAGGCTGTGTCACGTAATTTAAAGTTCTCCTCGGAGTCCCTTGATGAGTAAAAGTTACCGAAAGAAATCCTGACAATGGAGCAATTTCTAAACTCCAATTGATTGCTAATAGTTTTCCGCTCCAACAAATATGCACTCAGCACAGGAATAATAAAATACAAAGGAAACCAAACAATAACTGGACAACTTTTATATGGCATATTTACAGAAAGAATTCCTGGAAAAATATCACGAATTAAAATGCAGTAATAAACTACTCTTGCATATCCTGCTGTTTTAAGCATAAATACATACAGCACTTTTCTACCTTTAAAGATTTATTGTCAAAAACACTTTAGCATGCATTACTAAATATCTCATTATTTACTAACGGGATTGATTTATTTTGGCGTGGTCACATTTTCAAGTTGTGTGCATTTGAAGAAATATCGAAACATTTATATCTTGGCCGAGTTTATTTACCACAAAAGCTCTAACCCATACCCAGAGCTATGAAACTTAACGTGTCATTGAAATTCCCCTAATAAATACTTGTCGTTCCCTAATGTAATTGATTTTAAACGTATGGAAGTACAGTATTTATATGTAGAGAATGCTATGCTAATTATGTTCACAATGTATGTAAATATTTATACGCCGTAGTAGCCTATTAGAAAAATTTATTTCATCGTATCAATATGTACATATGTAAGGAAACATGACAAATGACGCTTGGATTTGACTCCAGATTATAGTACTGCTTATTTAATCACTGATAAATACCTGCCACTACATTTTCTTAGAGCAAGCTTGAAGAGGTGATGTCAAAATAAATATAAACATTTTGATACACAATTTAGAAATTTATTAACTTATTTATTAAATTTATTAGCACCAACAATTTAACAGCACCAAGAATTTCATTTTGAACATAAATTAATGGTAACGAAAATTATTACTAGTAGCAGTCTTAATTAATTCGTAAAAACATATGGTGTACTCGTATAAAACTTTTTACATACATATTTTATGTACAGCAATAGGAATGTCTGGTTCTATTAAACTTTTGTATTGCTGTGCCTTATAATATCGAAGTTTAAAAATAAAATAAAAATTATATGAATATAATAAATAAAAATAAATAAAATTGAATAATAATAAATAAAAATACATAAACAAAATTATGAGAAGGTTTAGTTAATCGGAGTTAATACTGGTGTATTTAATTGGCTAGCATTCCACTTTTGATGTAGAATGCAATAGCTGATTCTTTGATTACTTGCAAAGCAGTGGTATCACGACAAGTCTGGGATATCCATTTCTCGGCTTTCTTAACAACCAGATCCCACGAGTCTTTTTCATCTTTTAGGTCAGTCATTATCAGACAAGAAATAGCCAGCGTTGTAGCCCAAACAGCAGTATTCCATCCTTGTTTGGAAGCTTCTACAATAAGAAATAAAATATTTTTTCAAAAGTCACAAGAATACGCAAGTTGATTTTTATAAAACTTACCAGCCTTCATTTCTTCATACGACAAACATATTAATTTGCATAAATCTTGGGTTAATTGAAATGATCCGTCAAAGCTTTGAAGGTTAACGATGCTAAGCACCCTTTGTGCTCGAGTGGTCGGAGGTGACGAAGATGTTTCATCGTTTTCATCGTCACTGTTTGATTCCATAAATACAGAGGAGTTGAACGTGGCAGATGATGATGCATTTTTAATAAGTTTGGAATCTGCTTGTAATTTAAGTGAACTATTTGACTTATAGGCATAGTGATGTTTCCTGTCACTCGGGCCATCGCACACGTCCTCGGTAGGGGAGCATCTTCTTGCCATTTTCCTTCTACAAGAACTTGGCACGTCAAACGCCACAGGGTAGTGAAGTGACTGAGGACGAATCTGCCGAAATTGCATTGGTCCAAAATGTAATTCTGTTGGAGCTAAGTCGTCAACAGAAATGTAGGAAGTGTATTTCGACGTGATTCCTAAACGATACAAAAATCAGAATTTATTAATCTCATTTTTCATAAGGTTTCCTATAGGTACAACTGGATAGTATTTAATACCATGTTCAACTCCAAGGGCGACTATTTCATCTTTAATCGCACTGGCCGTCATGGTCCCCTCGATTTCCAATTCGCGTATCAGTTTTATCACTGCCAGTTTGTGGAGCATTTGCGTGCTTCCAAGAAGGTTCGTTTCATTCATCTGTAGTTCAATAAATGAAAGAATGTATTCAATGGGTAAACGAAAGCTGAAATCTGCATACGTAACTACTAATGAAATAATAAAATATGTGTGTATGACTAACAGCAATGTTCAAAGTCAACGGACCATCGGGGGAATTGGCAGTTAGCTTAACTCCGGAGGGTCTGTCTTGACCGGGTGGGAAAATGCCAAAGACGACCAGTTGACTTCCGTCAAAGATTGGCGGAATGTTCTTGGGAGACTGTGAAAACTTGCTTCCTTTCACTTCCGGCTCAACTGGCTTGTTGTAGCCAAAAAGTGTCTTTTCCGTGTTAAGTTCTACTCTTTGTGGGTTTCGAATTCCCATCCATTCAATTTTTATGTCCGTCAGGGATGGTTGTAAAGCATTTTTTAGTTGACTCAGCGTCGCCTTCTGGATACTTGCGTCCCCCTCGACAAAGGCACAGGTCCCTCCACCCGCAGTCGCCATCCCTTCAACCAAGTGGCGAGACGAGGAGGCTCCAATCCCGAGTGCAAACAGGCGACTGTTGTGAGCATTCTGTTGGACGAGGGATATTACTTGCTCAGTGTTTGACACCTGTCGAAAATATTTGACAATTATAATACAGGTTTAGAGATATTAGTTATAAACAGCTAAATATTCAATCATCCTACCTGACCATCTGTAATGACAAAAATTTGTCGCAAATATCCAGGAATCGATGGTCTTGAATAAATGTGCTGCAAAGGTTCAAGTATTTCAGTCCCTCCTAAATTTGCAGAAATGCCTAGACAGTACACCCATTAAATTAGACTTGATATAAGATACATACAAGACATAATTGGTTTCCATACATTTAGCACTATTCACTGCATAATGCAAACTCTCCGGTCCATACTTTGCACTTCCTTCCTTAAACTGAACTTCATAGCTCGAACCGAACCCGACAACGTTGAAATAGCAATCAGTCGGGAGAGAGTGCAAGAAGAGCTGGAAATATTTATTAGATTTTCATGAAATTTAAGTCGAAGTCGAAGTCATGATATTTGCATGTGAAACCAAAAGTCAGTTGCGATTTTCGTTTACCTGCAGCGCAGCACTGGCCATCCGAATACTCTGACCACCCATTGATCCAGATCGATCCACGACAATGATCAATTCCACTTTCTCCTCTTTAAGAGCGAAGCTTGGAATTAGATGCGTCATTGCGGCCAGGGAACCGTTTTCCAAAATCTGAAATGCATAACGAGATGATGTCGTTGAATTACAAAATCAAATGTTACACACGAGCTAAATAAATACACACTAATGCACAAAACATACCTCGTAATATACTCTCGGTTTCATGACAGCCTCCAACGGAGTCACCAACAAGACAAAATCGCGATCCATTTCAGTCACATTGCCAACAAGCGTCACCACAGCTTTATTCCAACCCGGCTGTTCTGGAATTGTTCCTTTGCTTTTGACTAGGATTTTGTGGGAAGACAAGCTGTCCGCGGACTTGATCTCGCCCTGAATGCATGCCACGACTTTGATGTTCAGAGGAGCCGGTGAAGTTGAAGAGAATGTCATATTGGCCAAATCGTCACTCTTCTGGTCATGGTCACTGGGTGGGACGTATCTTGGGGCCACGGTGGTTGGAATCACAAATCGAATGGCATGGCTATCCGCGTCGTTTTTGACTTCCGTGACATAGCCAATCACAACTTTAGCCAAGGCTCCTGGTTTCAAGAATCCAATTTTCAACTAACAAGAGATAATCAAATTCCATTACACATCAATTTCATTGAATTGTTAAAACTGACAAAAAAGTTACATGAAAAACATCTGGTTTAGTTTCTTCTCCAAGGAACGCAGTTTTTTGCTGCTTAATTGCGGCTTCATAATCCCTTTTCGCATCTTCTGTCGTCTTTACTACTCCCTGCATAAAACAAATTGTCATTGTCATGTGTGCCTTTCTAAAAATTAAGTGCAATATTGTCGTTCATCGTTAAAAATACCTTGATAACTTTTCCGTCCAACTCTGCCTGAAAATGTGTGACGGCTCCATTAGAATCCACTGGGAAGATGTAACTCGCTTCTATTGGGTTATTTTCGCTGTTTTCATAAACTTGTGTAATTTCCACTTGCGCCACCGCATGGACCACTGATGCAGTGATCGACACAGATTTCAGAGGTATGGGAATTTGTTTGTGGTTCGTGTCGTTTATCCAAATCAATCCGCACGGATTATTATCAAAATTCCAAAATCTATTGGTGTGTGAAAACATTGCTATTCAAAATATTGAAGTTAATGAATTTGATAATCGTGTAGCAAGCCAGTGATGCGAACTAAAAACATTTTCATTGAACCGAAATCTTTTATTGCCTTATGCAGCTGACGCAAAAACAAAAACGTTGAGTATGTTTACATGAATAATACGCTACAGGTTTATAGCACAGTGCGGAATTGCGGAATACTTATTATTTTGCAAAAGATTAACATGGACAGTATGTATGTGTAGAAAACGTACAAATTCTTGTATGCATATATGTATTGCATATGTTGATGTTTGTATGTACGTATTTCAAACACAGCCAATGTTTATACTAAAATATTAAATGAAAACCTGCTATTGTATGATACATCGGTAGATATTCTTTTATGTGTATGTACAAGTAATTGTGTCTCGTAACATCAATACTGATAACTAGCGTCGAATGAGACTATTGAGATGAGACTACAAATATACAACTGATTACAACTATTGAATCTCGTATTCCGTCTCCTCTTACAAATTTATATGAAAGTAGATTCACACATACATACCATTGGTAGTTAATGTTATAGGTACACAGTTCTACCGATAAGTACTTGCATACGCCGGATATTTACATACTTCGTTACCCGGAAAGATGATTAATCAACCAGTAAGCACAATGTAGGGACAAATTTGTAAAAACAAAATTATATTTCAGTAATCTATGTACATACGACTCTCAATCGTAGTTAAGACTTTCATACATAATATGTGAACCCTTAAAAAATCACATATTGAAACCTAAATAAATACATGCGTACATACGTACTTCAGATATCTCACGTATCACCTAAATTATTGAATCAAAGACTTCGTAACAAATTTGAATTTGAATTTAATTTAATCATCTCAAATCTCCTTTTAAATGGTCTCTCATATTTACAATGATTAATGAATTACAGACGTCTATTACTATAAATATTTAAATGTGCCTCAATTAAACCAAACTAATACATAGCATATACACAAATAATTAACATTTGCACCAGACCGCATCCTCCGAGGATTGTTCCTCCTCCGGTATTACCACCATCAGTCGTCGTCGTACCACCCTCGTCAATAGGTTTCTCGGTTGGAATGACGTCCTCCCCATGACATCCTTGCCTTAAACTTCCCATGGTCACGTTGAGATGAAGTCGCATAGTTGCACCGAACCCAGTTTCGTACGTTGATTCATCGGCCGGTATGCAGTAGCTTTTACCACTGTATTCCTCACCCTCAAAAATTGTCCAGCTATAGTTTCCGGTAAAGAAGAGCGAATGAATGGTCAAATTTTTTCGATTGATATCCGTAGTCAGTGAGTCATGTGTCCCATTCAATCTCGATCCTGAGTATAAGTTGATCTTATTTTGGATCAAGTCGTCACTTCTTCTGCTCAAATGGAGGTACGAATAGTCTTGGAAATTGGAGTCTATGCAAACATGAATGCCCTTCTTGGGAATTGGAATCTCGCATGATAATATGTTATCAGAGTTGCAGGGTTGAATAAGCCATCTAAATAATCGGAGTTACCTTATTGTTATATTCTTTGAAACAAATATGCAAATCTTATAATAAGGAAGATCACTCACAGTTCTGTATAATTGTACGATTCGAAACGGTACTGATTTAAAGGGAAAGTTGTACTTCCTCTGTCATCTCGCACAATGTCACCTTTACACCCAGTTTGTGAATAGAATACAATTTGTGGCTGAACTGCCTGGGAAATAATGACGGGGAAAAATTGTAACAAGCAAAGTAAAGAAAGTGGAAGCATTTTTGTGCGTTGTTTGGTAATGAATGTGTGAATTTAGTCTGCAGACTGGACTGTATTTACGAATTGTTTTATCTGCCATGAGGAGATAAGTTACATTTTTAATTCATTTGTGATTATGGGACTTGTTAATTGGAGTCGGTTTAACATAAACTAATTTGCTCGTTTTCATCATTATGATTGATAAAATTCCTGAATATGTGATGACCTCATCTATTTATAAAGCAAGTACCAATCAATGTTGAATATTAAAAAAATATGAATATAATACATTACTATGATGCAATTGCATTTAAGCAATTATTTGATATAAATATTTTAATTAAGATACGAAAGAAATTTTGTTATATGAATTACACAGAGCAGATATCAATTAGATATTAGGTTTTTTAACTCACTTTGCCGGGATATCAAAAAGAGGTAATGCTTTTATTTGTTCTACTAAAAAAATCAGGAATTCAGAGAGAATAAATAATTTATGGATTACGTAATTCCTGCATGATTTGTGCAAAAAGAAATTAATGAATTTCTCCACACATGAATATGATCCTCCTGCATGCAGACGTAAATAATCCATGCGTAAATAAGAATGGAATCATGTATTTACAGATCACTTTCATGGAAAATGAAATGCGCTAAACTCAATTGGAAAATCGTTTTATTTACGCCAGATCGTTTCTAGCCGGCGTTCCAATTCTGAATATATACAAAAAATTCGTTGATTATTTCAATTTGCTAAATAATCATTTTATACACCGGTTAGGTCATCAGAATTAGATCCCAGTTACGTACTAGTGACAGTGACTTTATTACTTCTCTGTTCAGTCAGAGTCTGAACACTGAAATCTAGTTATAATAGCAAATAGCCTGTCTTTTGTCAAAATGGTAGGAAATAATTGTGGGCCGTGTGGATTGATTTGGATAAACGACACGAACCACAAACAAATTCCCATACCTCTGAAATCTGTGTCGATCACTGCATCAGTGGTCCATGCGGTGGCGCAAGTGGAAATTACACAAGTTTATGAAAACAGCGAAAATAACCCAATAGAAGCGAGTTACATCTTCCCAGTGGATTCTAATGGAGCCGTCACACATTTTCAGGCAGAGTTGGACGGAAAAGTTATCAAGGTATTTTTAACGATGAACGACAATATTGCACTTAATTTTTAGAAAGGCACACATGACAATGACAATTTGTTTTATGCAGGGAGTAGTAAAGACGACAGAAGATGCGAAAAGGGATTATGAAGCCGCAATTAAGCAGCAAAAAACTGCGTTCCTTGGAGAAGAAACTAAACCAGATGTTTTTCATGTAACTTTTTTGTCAGTTTTAACAATTCAATGAAATTGATGTGTAATGGAATTTGATTATCTCTTGTTAGTTGAAAATTGGATTCTTGAAACCAGGAGCCTTGGCTAAAGTTGTGATTGGCTATGTCACGGAAGTCAAAAACGACGCGGATAGCCATGCCATTCGATTTGTGATTCCAACCACCGTGGCCCCAAGATACGTCCCACCCAGTGACCATGACCAGAAGAGTGACGATTTGGCCAATATGACATTCTCTTCAACTTCACCGGCTCCTCTGAACATCAAAGTCGTGGCATGCATTCAGGGCGAGATCAAGTCCGCGGACAGCTTGTCTTCCCACAAAATCCTAGTCAAAAGCAAAGGAACAATTCCAGAACAGCCGGGTTGGAATAAAGCTGTGGTGACGCTTGTTGGCAATGTGACTGAAATGGATCGCGATTTTGTCTTGTTGGTGACTCCGTTGGAGGCTGTCATGAAACCGAGAGTATATTACGAGGTATGTTTTGTGCATTAGTGTGTATTTATTTAGCTCGTGTGTAACATTTGATTTTGTAATTCAACGACATCATCTCGTTATGCATTTCAGATTTTGGAAAACGGTTCCCTGGCCGCAATGACGCATCTAATTCCAAGCTTCGCTCTTAAAGAGGAGAAAGTGGAATTGATCATTGTCGTGGATCGATCTGGATCAATGGGTGGTCAGAGTATTCGGATGGCCAGTGCTGCGCTGCAGGTAAACGAAAATCGCAACTGACTTTTGGTTTCACATGCAAATATCATGACTTCGACTTCGACTTAAATTTCATGAAAATCTAATAAATATTTCCAGCTCTTCTTGCACTCTCTCCCGACTGATTGCTATTTCAACGTTGTCGGGTTCGGTTCGAGCTATGAAGTTCAGTTTAAGGAAGGAAGTGCAAAGTATGGACCGGAGAGTTTGCATTATGCAGTGAATAGTGCTAAATGTATGGAAACCAATTATGTCTTGTATGTATCTTATATCAAGTCTAATTTAATGGGTGTACTGTCTAGGCATTTCTGCAAATTTAGGAGGGACTGAAATACTTGAACCTTTGCAGCACATTTATTCAAGACCATCGATTCCTGGATATTTGCGACAAATTTTTGTCATTACAGATGGTCAGGTAGGATGATTGAATATTTAGCTGTTTATAACTAATATCTCTAAACCTGTATTATAATTGTCAAATATTTTCGACAGGTGTCAAACACTGAGCAAGTAATATCCCTCGTCCAACAGAATGCTCACAACAGTCGCCTGTTTGCACTCGGGATTGGAGCCTCCTCGTCTCGCCACTTGGTTGAAGGGATGGCGACTGCGGGTGGAGGGACCTGTGCCTTTGTCGAGGGGGACGCAAGTATCCAGAAGGCGACGCTGAGTCAACTAAAAAATGCTTTACAACCATCCCTGACGGACATAAAAATTGAATGGATGGGAATTCGAAACCCACAAAGAGTAGAACTTAACACGGAAAAGACACTTTTTGGCTACAACAAGCCAGTTGAGCCGGAAGTGAAAGGAAGCAAGTTTTCACAGTCTCCCAAGAACATTCCGCCAATCTTTGACGGAAGTCAACTGGTCGTCTTTGGCATTTTCCCACCCGGTCAAGACAGACCCTCCGGAGTTAAGCTAACTGCCAATTCCCCCGATGGTCCGTTGACTTTGAACATTGCTGTTAGTCATACACACATATTTTATTATTTCATTAGTAGTTACGTATGCAGATTTCAGCTTTCGTTTACCCATTGAATACATTCTTTCATTTATTGAACTACAGATGAATGAAACGAACCTTCTTGGAAGCACGCAAATGCTCCACAAACTGGCAGTGATAAAACTGATACGCGAATTGGAAATGCAGGAGACAATGCTGAGCGGAATGATCAATGGCAGTAAGGATGAAATAGTCGCTCTCGGAGTTGAATACGGTATTGCATACTATCCACCTGAAGGACACGAGAAGAGTGTTGGATTTAACTAATGACATGATTTTTTTGTGTGTAGGAATAACTTCGAAACACACATCGTACATTGCTATTGATGAATCAGGTCAGCAACAACTTTACACAATGCCGATGCAGGAGCGTCAAATTCCAAATCAATTGCCATACGGATCTACCTTTGGTTTCGGTTCTTCACGACAGAGATTCAGAGACAGTTCAGTTGCTACTCATTATAGTCTCGCGAATTTTTCACCTCAGAGGTCTTTAGGGGCGTGTTTCTTTGGCTCCTCTTCCGGTGCACTACCGAAACATAAATCGGTTCATCCGGCTCAACAACAACAAATGCAACCGCAAATGCAACAACAACAGTCCTTTAGTTTCGGTTCATCAACTCCAACCCAGTTTCCGTTACCGCCGTTGAATTACCTTAAGGGTTTAGGTGTCGTAAATTCGACAATTTCCAGCCAAGTACCATCTCCCAGCTTTGGAGGTTCACAACTTTTCCAGCCGCAACTCAATTCCCAAGGGTCTACATTATCGGTGAAAAGCGACAGAGTGATTCTTATCATTAGTCACCAAAATTTTGATGGATCGTTTTCAATGAGTGATGCCCTATGTCAATCGCTTCGGGTGTCCTATGCAGATATAATTTCAGGTTTGTTTCAAGTCGTAAATTTATTTTGAAAGTAGGAGATTTTATTAAAAACGTCGTCATCAAATATTACAGTGAGCACCATTCAAGGATGGGACACAACTCTATGGGCTACTGTGCTAGCCGTCACTTGTCTAACTGACACGGACCTCAAGGTGGAAAAAGATTCTTGGGAACTTGTCGTCAATAAAGCTCAGAAATGGATGACTCAATACTGCCGGGATGCAGACTTGTTGCAAAGTATGATTTTTACGTCGTCGGAAGTTCATACAAAAAAATGTTAATTGAATACATGCACCTGCTAATAAAATGGACTACAAATATACAAATTATACCCAACTGACAGCAATTTTTCACCAGTTGAACCAATTAATATCACAATTAATTGTCGTAGATTTTTATTGACGGTTAAACGTATCTATTTGATAATATTGTACGTATACAAACTAGTTGTTATTTTGCCTATCAGGCATAAGCACTACCTGACAATCGCTACCTGAACTAGATTTTTTTTTCTATTCTACAATTATTTTTATTTATTGAAATATGTATTGTATCGCAGAGTTCTAGTTTAAAAGTTACAGAAAACTTGTCAAAAAAGCTGACTACACAGGAGTCACACAAAATGAATTCCTAACCTGACCTAGATATTTACAACACTTCCATATGTAGGTATAATAAAAAATAAATATACTTCTGTACTTACTGGTGATCCCAACCAATAAATAATTAATCACGATTATTTATCTATTAAAGACTATAAATTAATCAATTAATTATTGTCTCATAAAGCATGCAAAGTCATCAAATCAAATAATTTGTTTACATATCTATATACATGAACGAGGCCAATGTATGTTTGGTACACAAAAGTTACCTGACATCGATATCCGATTTCTTTGCTAGTTATACAGATATTTTCCCCAGTAAAATCTACAATTGGCTGGTTTGGAAGACAAAGTTCAGTCGAAGACAATTAGAATGATCCTATGAAAATTTGAACTTTGATTTTGAACTTCGTACTTTTTAATATATTTATTTTCCAAACTTTTATTTTTATTGACATACTGCAAAATAATGTTGCTAAAAATGCATGTTAATAAATATGTATATAAGGCACGGTAGCTGAGAAATGTTAAAAATGTCGTGTACATTCAAGAATAGACGAGCCATCACAAATACCCGTAGTACTACAGCATCACAGGACACTTGGTAATATGAGGAAGCATTTTGAAAAGATATAAATGCATACTTAGGATTCTTATTATTTACCAAGTTCCATGCCGCAAGGACATCTGTAATGCCCACTCGCTGAGAAGTCATCATCATAATAATCACCATGTACCGCAAAACTATTATTAAATGATCTGGACTCTGAGACCCTAATTATTAAGCAAGCACAGTATTCTTTTCCGCATTGATTATGATGCAACGTTGACCATATTATGCATGACAAAAATATTCAAGTACTGTTATAGCACAATTTGATTATATCATCTTCTCCCTAAACCCTTGAACCATTAATAAAGAACAGATTTAGCAACACTAGCAAAAACTTTATTAGCATAATATTCATGCCAATTCTTAATCATGATTAACTTTCAATAGTATCCAATCCATTCATGGAGCAAAAAGTGCATGTATTATTCAACAATACATACAACATTCTACGCTATACGCTTACAGTCAACTAGGGATGACATGGTGCTTGAGATTCATTCAAGTGATTAACTCATACCATACACCACACCAACCAAGTTGACTGATTGTATTAAATAATTCTTTATAAAGCATCGTTACATGATTTACATTGATGATGCAGCAAATACTGTAAAAGCTTAAAGATGAGATAAGCTAATAATTTCGCATTATTTTAGTAAATATTTAATTGGAGTTTAACAACTTCATGTAAGTATTTACTCCTCGACTGGAAAACACTTTCGCCCCTCATTATGCCATGGTTTGAAAACCAAGAACGTTATTCAGGGCATTATCATCCAACAAGATTTGGTAAGATAATACGCAATACTAATTACATCCCTAAATTTGCTTCAAGTTCATTGTCAGAAGTTTAAAGTAATGACAGTAAACTTGGGAAATATGCTGAAATTATTTACAACAGCAGGAACAGCGTTATCATATATTTAATGTTTATACGCAAACTTTAACTCTTCACCCATAAAAACAGTAAATCCATCCTTCCTCCCAAGTCGAGGATAAAATTCAATGCAAGGTCGACCTTAAAGGTTGAGGCGAGGGATGGTCAACGCAGCTACAGTGGCTCATTTCATTTCATAAGGCATGCAGTAAGGAACCAATGTCATGGGTGGTTTGGGTACACATTGTAAAATGTGCCTATTTTTGGATCTTATTTTCATCAATCGCATTATTCAACTTGAAGCATCAGGCCTTCCAAACCAGCAAAACTACAAACCAGGCCAGATGGATGATGGATTATGTATATTTCGCCTTGAATTTATCTCGGAAATTATTACAGATCTTGTATGCTCAGCCCGGGTTAAAAATAAGTACGGACATTCGACCCTTCCTTCTCTGTTTGTCACAAATATTAATTTGGTCAAGGTTGGTAGCACAGATTGTAGTGACGTCGTACGTATGTACGGCTTAAAAACGAAAACAATATGACGTTACGTATTAAATACTTTGTTAATAAACTGGACACACAACTTTGCATATTATGCATTGGGAACTACGTAAGCATGGCATTGTTTTTGTTTACCAAGAAGTTGTAAAATAGCAATAAAATCTCAGACTACGCATATTTGATTCAAAACAAGATGAATTTTCCCTGCTGAAAACATATGAAATTAATCAAGAATCTTGGAAAAGCCATGCACACGAGGGTATGTCTGTACATAAGTGAATACAGATATACACTATGCATTTTTGCTTAAATCTCCACAAATCTCACATTACCAAACGTAATTACGCTAAAATTAGTCATCCATCAAGACTCTCGTCACGCATATTCGTATGAATGTAATCCACAGTATTTTCCACCGACAACGCCACGTCGTCACGTCTTAACTTTCATATCACACGTTACAATGTACATAGTTTCCATGACCACTTTCGCTCTCTGGATAACACAGTTTATGTACCAAGTTGTACGTTCGAGTCATGTGCCACAACCCTGGCGTGCGAAACCACCAAATGCTTGTGTACACCCTGCCAGCCATAAATCTAATTTGTTTGTCTCATCTCGTCTTCTCGTCATGATCTGCTGAGCTGGAGTTATTTTTGCCCTTGAGAATTACCTGAGCTGGACAACCCCCAAATTCACAGCACATACTTAACCATGAACCAAACTAGGTATCACTTATTACAAATAAGCCTTTGTTTAGTAATGCATAATAGACCATCCTGTCCCACACTACATTTCTACTTGCTTAGAATTCCCCGTCGTGTAAATTGAGCGTGCTTTTGCTGACTGACGAGGGGAGATTGCGAGGTTGATAATAACAGATCTCGATGCCCTTTGGATATGTGATAGGGTCTCATGAGTGTACTAAAACCCTGAAGTGGTTTGACTCCATGGCCACATTTGCGCCCGCCACACCCACTCAAAAATGCCCAAAAAACGCTTTCACTCCAGTTTTCACTCACTCAAATCCACGCCAGAAATCCAATTTTACTCGGATTTTGAAATTTCTTTCACCATTACGCTCCCAGATAGTTGCTTTCTTCAATTCCATATCAAACTCAATTTTGCTGATGATTATTTCGCAGCCGTAATTTGAGTTGTTGATTACTACAACAATCCTCATTCAGAATTTCAAATTTTAAAAATACTAAAAATTTCGAAAAATTGGGTTTGATATTGGATTGAAGAAAGCAACTATCTGGGAGTGTAATGATGTAAGAAATTTCAAAATCCGAGTAAAATTGGATTTTTGACGTGGATTTGAGTGAGTGAAAACTGGAGTGGAAGCGTTTTTTGGGCATTTTTGAGTGGGTGTGGCGGGCGCAAATGTGGCCATGGAGTCAAACCACTTCAGGGTTTTAGTACACTCATGGGACCCTATCACATATCCAAAGGGCATCAAGATCTGTTATTATCAACCTCGCAAGCTCCCCTCCTGAGATGTGAGGCATTTGCAGCAAGCAACAATAAGAACCAAGCAATGCTTGGTCGTATGTAATGATCACAAATAACCGGTGGTGGTTCAGTTCAAGTACAGCCAAGAATGAGCAGATGCTACGGTTTTCAACCTTCAATTTCATTTTGTAGTTGAACAAGATAACAGTGCAGACTCCTTGTCACGAGATTTATAATACATAATATTTCTTTGTTTTCTCGTCTGGATTCTTATTTAGCTTCGAATTGGAATATTTCAGATTCAGTTTCTTCGTTTCGTAAAAACTAAGTTTAATTTGTGCTAAAAGATTTTAAAAGTGAGTAGCATTCCTCACTCTAAAAAATGGAGCAGAATAACATGACAATATTCACGATTAATTCGTGCAGTATCAAAGATCAAAAGTGTTTAATCACCTTAAGAAACATGATACAAGGTGAGTTAATAATATAAAATTTCTGTATTTAGATTGGTGGATTTTTAATAAAAAGTCTAACATTTTCTTCTATGTAGAATCTAATAATGAATTGCTGATCAAAAATACGTGGGAATTTACCGATGACTTCCTCCTGAGATACATTCGTAGTAGGAACTACCATGTAAATTCTGCATTTGAACGGGTAAGACGAATATATATTAAAAACATGATGAATTTATCGATTATTAAAACATATTTCCATTTCTCATTAGCTGCAAAATCACATGTACATCCGGCGCATCAAGAATCCCGAAGTTTACGCCCGTCTTTACCCCTCAGCCGTGTACGACGCTCTGGAAAACGGTGGGGCTCGCGTCCTCCGAGGCAGAGATGACAAATCTCGACACGTTCTCCTCGTCCGATTATCGGAATGGAACCCGGACGAGATTTGTGTCGACGACTTCCTCCTCGCCGTCATGCTCCTCGGGTGGGAAATGCTGGGCTGCAAGGAGACCCAATTAAATGGCATGGTCATTCTCATCGACGGGACTGGATTTGGCTTGAAGCATGCGAGACAAGGGACACCGAGTAACGTGCAGAAATATGCGGATCTAATCGTGGTAAGGACAAAATAGGAAGTTGTCAATTAATTTTTTTTTGTTACGGTAACTATTCGAAAATTGGAGTAGATTGAAGTTTGAACAATTCCAATTTTGCATGGGGTTCTTTACAAGGCGAAAATATAATTAATTTTGGGACGTAAGTAGGTATTCGTATCCTAAATTTGTTTCCTTTGAATCCATCAATCAGCTATGTCTGTATTTCAACTTGCACTTTCAAAGGTTTACATCGACTCGATAGACAGATTTCAATCTAAAATTGCACACTTTTTGCTTGCATTAGCATATTACCTATCATTGAATTAAATTGCACAACGTTTGCTCTTTTGTTCATTGTCATTGTGTGGTAACGTATTCATAGGATTTTTTGCTCTTCACATTCAGAGAGATACATGCATGCATACTTAAAGTCGCGACGACGACGACGACGGCTAGAGAGTGTTAAGTCATAGGTATCTAAATACATGTACGTGGAGAATGTGGTGTAATTGTTCCTTATTGGTATTAGCATTTATCCAATCCATTGATGGGTTAGGCAATGTTCGTATTTAAATACTCAAATGCACTTCAGTTTAGTGGAGCTTACGAGTTATTATTATTATTCATTGTGCAAACCATTTGATTCTGAGATTCACTTGTTGTCACGCACTAAATTACATCAACTTTGATTCGTGGCACTACAAAGTGTTAAATAATAGGTTGTGCCGCGTATAAATAAATAGGTATTTGGTAAAAATGAGGAAATGTTTGAAATCTTGTATAATAATGGCAAACAGAAAATATTGATTCTGCGATGATGCCTCAAGGATAAATTATCATTTAAGGAGTGTGTAAACCTGAGAATCGGCTTTAGTTGAAACTCCATACGTACATAATTCGCACATAGTAGTCTGTCCACATATGTATGGCGGTGATGTAACAAATGCATCCGGGTGCATTTTATATTACATTTTTAAATACCTAAATGTTAACTGATAAAATTTACAAAAGGATTGCTGCACAAATAATTCAGTGATTGAATTGGGGCATACAACCTCAAAAAATAAATTCAGTCTAGATTCTACAATATTTTAAACGGGTCCATGAACTATGCAGTTCTTTTCTTCCTTGAAGCATGATACAGAAAAATATGTAACAATAGTGTACACAGATCATAACTTGATTCTCAGAACATGCCATTTCGTGTCGGGATTCCCTATCCTTCACTGAGATCTTTACGCTGAATGACTTTGCAAAGTGGTTTTACCGAATATTTTTGCAAATAGAGTATGCACATACGTATGTGCATATGTACAAATACACACGTATACAGACCTGTAGGTTTCTTGTTACTACAATTTCATGAGAAATACACGTTTACGTACAAACTGGTCCAAACCAGACCTTCACCTTATATTCATACATATTCTTCGAGTAAAGTTGACCATGTAGCAGTACAGTAATTTCAATTTAAACCTCATACGTGATCTTGCTAGCGTTTGCCTTAAATTCGACAGAAATTCTAACCAAGCCGTTCTGTTGACGATGCATCTTGCACATTTTCGCTCTCTTTCACATCATGTACGACTTTCACACAACTTTGTTAGGTACATCAATGACATTAAAAAATACAGCTAGCAACGGTATATGAATTATGGATTCTTCCAAAAAACGGGACCCAATTTAAATTTTGCGGACCAAGTCTCCGAATAAAAATGCATTACTATTAAATTCTAATGAAAAAATGTCACTTTCTCAATTCCAGAAAGCAAGCCCCTTCAAGTGTAAAGGAGCCCATATAATCTTCGCTCCAATGATATTCAACATGACGCTTTCTCTCATAAAGATGTTCCTACCGCAAAAGCTGGGAAAGAGGGTGAGTGAAAATTTTCATAAATTTGCATATAAAAATTTTTTAATTAAACAAAATTTCCTGTTCAGATCCACGCCCACGGCTCCTCGGTCGACTCGCTCCACAAATTTATCTCACCCGACATTCTTCCTCAATCTTTGGGAGGAGTATTAAGCGAAGCTGATTCGATTGATGAGGAATTATTGCAAGGACTTTACTCAAAGGAGCGAGATGATTATTATAAGAGTTTTGTAGCGTAACCTATTTTTTTAATGTTTGGAATTCGTTTTTTTATTTTGTAATCGATTCTCGAGTTTTCGATTAGACAATTTTTACCCAAGTGTCCTGTATCCCTCGCAAAAAGTAGATTTAGTTTGAAATTTTGTGATGCGTAAAATTACATATTATATTTTAAGGGTGTAAAAATATCTGTGATTTATATTTTATCTTTACACTAATAAACGTCGGACCGCTGTGCGACACAATACAGCTGCTAGGATCTAATTGAATAACAAATTTTACCATTATATAATTTCCTTATTTGACATTGAAGTCTCGTAGTAAGCAATTCCTTTTGAAGGCATGTGCATTCATTACCAATTTTAATATGCAGACGCAATATTTACCAGTGTGATGTGCCGAGAGAATTAACATCATTGTTTTAAAGAGTCGGTTCATGTATGTGTGTTGATAATTAAGTATTAGGAATGCCCTCACCTTGTAACACTCGTATTTGACTGAGATAATAGTGGTATTTTTACAAAGCCTTTTACATATTTTATTTTATGTGTTAATGACGGACACATGTTAAAATATAGAAACAACAAGATAACACAATATCAGTTGTTCAATTTGCATTGATTATTTTGTTACACTTGCATAAAAACCATATAAAAACTGTCACAACTGTAATTACTATTATTGTTGTAAGCACATTAAACATTCGATATTGGTGATCTTTTACGGCCTGCCATTGCACGTTGACTGTGTTGCAGTAACACTAGTTTAAATGTGTAAATCAATGGACATATGTATGAATATGGCACATATATATCTACCTACATAATTATTAATTTATCACGGTTTTCTAGATTTACTGTTTTCAATCTCGCCTAAAATCTTACAATTGCATCCGAAATACTGTTAAACTATCTCGCAAAGGTTTTTCACGTAATTCCTGCGCATAATTTGGGGGCATATATTTACTAGTAGTACATACATACATATGCGAAAGGAACAAATTTACTACCCATCATTTGCAGATACACATTCAAAGTACTTAATATGGATTTAATACGTATATGCCCTACTAAAGGTGTCGGTGGATTTAAATCGTATTACGTTCTCACCTTGTCCCCATCATCAATATTAGTAATTATGGTTGAGAAAATATCTGACATGTTCTTCGTTCATGGATATATACATACATACGTACGTTATGTGTCATTCTTTATGAATCGCACGACATAATGACAATAGACTCAACAAGTTACATAATACAATGCCGTCGCACTTAGGATTACGTCTTATTTTTGGTATTACCCTAATTCGCTGTAGCATTTTAGCAACTTTATTCCATTCGGATCCCGGAGTCAATTTTTCATTCGGGATCCGTAACAATCTTGTGAACAGTTCGAATCCAAGTAAATAGATCATATTTCTTGCTAATAGTATGTAATATTTATCCAACTAATTTACTATTGACTTCAGTTCCTACTGGCTATCACCGAATCGGGGACATGATCCTTCCTTCATCGTATTTCCAGAAGAATGGGACCATAAAATCTGGTGTTGCTGATCCAAACCTTCTCTGGCCAGGTGCCTTAATTCCATATCGAATAGATGATAGCTTGGGTAAGATAAAGTAAAAAAAAAAATAATAAATAATTAGATTTCATATTACGGCAGAAAAATCCAACACGTATTTCGTTAATAGCAAGTCATTTTCAAACCATCCAATCTGCAATGGACCAATATCATGCCTACACTTGTATAAAATTCATCCCTGCCGAAGCTTATCACACCGATTACATCCTCCTCATTCCCCGGAGTGGATGCTACTCCATGGTTGGAAGACAAGGTTATGGGATGCAGGAAGTCAGCCTGGGTCGCGGATGTACAGATGTTGGTACAATTGGAACAATTGTTATAATACAATTAAATATAATGCAATTAATTAAGTTAAATACAGTTAAATACATATAGGAACAATTGTTCACGAGCTTGGTCATTCTGTCGGATTATTTCACGAACATTCTCGCTCAGATAGAGAATTTAGTATCAAAATTCACATGACCAATGTCGACCCCAACATGATATCCGAGTTTCAGATAATCTATGGAACTCGGCTCCTCAACCATTACGATATCAACAGCATCATGCATTATGGGAGTACGGCATTTTCAAAAGATGGGAAAAGCGTTACTATGGAAGCGCTAAATGGGGCCGACTTACGCGATCCTTTCCAGAAACTAGGGCTAGATTCGAGTGATATTTGGAGGATCAATACGTTATATCAGTGTTAATATGACCATTTGGTAATGTAATTTCTTATAGTTTTTCATGCTAATTAAATTTTTATCAATTCTTAAATTAATAAACATGATTTATTACTACCTAATCTTACAAAGTTTTAATTAATTCATTCATGAGAAATTTAGCTATCAAGACAAAATGAATATGTGCATACCGCATTAACCCAGTTTTTCGTACCTAACAGAAATATGACATTGCTCCTGTTCTATTAATTACATATTGCTCGAATTGCATTAATTAATTGCCGATAGTTACTGAAATTGTAACTCATGTTATCACAGTCGCGTAACAAAATATGTCTGGTACACTCATATCATTCAATCCAACCAAACCATGTTGAAAATCATCCTTTCCGTGACATCTTTCTTCCTCGTTTTCTGTCCTTCGGACGTCTATGGTCGTGGTCTCTGCGCCTCGATAGCGATGGAAAACTTCCCATGCCAACCTAACTCTGGGCAGGTTTCTAGAAGAATTATAACCGTCCGAGATTTGGCTTGGGTAAAATTACGTTAAATTCAGCAATCTCTGTCAAACAAAATTCTGAATATTTTCACCCCCTGCAGCTTCTCACCCCACACTCATATCTCATAACTAATGGCAATCAGTACACCTTCCGATCATTGTACGAAACACTTCTCGGATCTTGTGCATCTGATGAGACACATCTTCAGCAAATGCGGTAATGTCTAGCTTAAATATTGCCTAAATATTGAGACCACTACAGAAATACACAATTCAGATGATTCTCATTTAGGGCTGGGGCTGACTTCGATATGCGTAATCTAGTCCTCTTTGTCGAACCAGTTTGGCGGAGTACGTGTGAAACCAATTTTATATTTTATTTATGTGTTCCCCACTTTAACGCTAAAATATTTCTCCTTCCAGAGAACAGGACAGATACTCCATTTCTTCACATGATTTGTGAACCCGCAGTTAATCATGAATTGTGGCGTTCCATTTATGAAACAATGTTCAAGCTCAAGGTCCGAGATTTTCCCAGCATTGAGGCTGCTTTGATATCCATGATGGAAAAGCGACCGGAAATTAAACAAGCTATCCGAAATTTCGGAAGGTTTAATTGCAAGGCTAATCCAACTTGTAAAAATTCCATGGTCTCAAATCCTCTTTGCTCGCCAGGAGTTCGCATGGATCGGTTTAGTAAGTAATGCTTACTAACAAGTATTGATAAAAAACAATTCAAATAAACTAGCGGGGACATTCAAACTCTGTTGTTTTTAGGTGAATTGAACGTTGTGGTTTTTTGGACTGATCACATTAGCGACACGACCCGGACTGGGACAGGACTAGCGATCGAAGGCTGTCTCAACGGGAAGCCAAGTTGGGCCGTATTTTCCAAAGTACCACATCAATCTAGACATAATTTAGCAGAGATAAAAAGTCTGATTGAGGGACCAGAAGGTTACGGATGGGGGACGCATTGCTGGGGAAATTTTAATATGTGGTACTAATATGTGATTTGTGGTGTATTTTCAATTTAAAATTCCCTCAATACGTTTCTTGAATTGTATTGCCACATATTTATTTCTGTACTGATTTATACGGCGACTGAACTGAATTATATTTTCAACTAGATTGATTTCCATATTTCGAAATATTACGTTAAGGTAAAAAATTAATAGCTGACTGAAAGCATTTATGTAAATATGCTGACAATTAAAAGATAATCTTCTGTATAACTTGTCGAAAAATTAGTAATATTTAAGAAAATTGTGTAAATTAAGTATATGTGATTGTGACATAAAGTATGTAAATGAGGCAATATTCCATGCGTTTTAAATGAATCAATTTAATTGAACCTTTTTAAGGCGGAATAGCATGCTGGCTGATGCGGGGTTTTTTGTTTGAATTGTTGTGTCTCAACTTTCCCTTCCTCCATGCATTCAAATGGCGATTTTGAAAAATGTTCACCGCCTTTCGTTTTTAACAATATGAAGATATTAATGCACCTAAAAATCGGTAATTTTTAGGCTTACATAGTTAGGAGATAAAAATTTTGATTTTTTTCTTCAACAAGAAGATAAATATAAAATAGATGAAAAATAATCAATAAAATTTAAATATTTCCTCATTGAAGAAAAAAATCAAAATTTTTATCTCCTAACTATGTAAGCCTAAAAATTACCGATTTTTAGGTGCATTAATATCTTCATATTGTTAAAAACGAAAGGCGGTGAACATTTTTCAAAATCGCCATTTGAATGCATGGAGGAAGGGAAAGTTGAGACACAACAATTCAAACAAAAAACACGTGATACAATGCCACGTTAAGACAGTTTCAATTGATGCATGCAATTTACGTGGCCCTGTGTGTATTTATCATATTCCTTAAAACAAAATGTATCAACTCATTAAAATAAAAATCCTTATGACAGTTAGATAAAAACATATAAACAGACTCGTTTATTCTATACGAATAACAATTTACAATGTTGCGTTGGCGTATGTTGGTGCATGCATGTACATTTATAGCATTATATTTAAACTATTTAATTTTCATACTCAAATTCCGTATTTATCTCAGAAATATCATTATTCTTTCCAATAATTTCAATCATCTCACAATCATTTGGGATTCCATTAGGGACAAAATACTCCTTAATCAATTCCTCAGCATAATCCTTCATCTCTTGACTATAGCTCCAAAAAAATGGTTTCAATCGAATTATTTCCCACGCCGTTTGCAACACGGACCATATCAAGTCAAAATTTTGGCAACACTTGTCTCCAACTTGACAAGACATAATAGTCAACACGCCAACAGTATGTTCATATGCGGTAACAAAATCGTCTGGAAGTTCACATTGGTCGAAAGTTAAAATTGAAAATTTCAATGGTTTCTTGGGCAACTGAATTTTAAATGCTTTTAAGAATACGACATTTAAAGAATCGGGCAGGTGACCAAAATCGAGCATTCGTAAAGTTTTGGGACATCCATCCAGGTAAAGTCTTTCGAGTAAATTGAAACCACTAAACAATTTTCCCCCTCCACCGAAATAATCCGGCTGTCTCACATTATAAAGCTCTAGATCCCTACATGTTGCTTCTTGCATTTTTAAGTTTTCAGGTGCCATCATCTTTGCACGAATTATTTCAAACTGATACTCAGAAAGTAATTCTGAGAAAAATGCGAGTGCGGATTCACAAAATGTAACAAACTTTCTTTCGACAATGTCAATTTGGCAAATATCAAGTTCCCGTAACTTTAAAGAGATTGTCATTTTGTTGGATATAATTTGAGAGGAAATATTATGCGAGAAAAATAACAAATTTTTCACGCATCTTTCTGTAATTTGTGTAATATTTTGAAACTCATCTTGAAAACACAATTTGTTTAGGTGGTGCAAGTTAAAGCTTCTGAGATGCCTCAAATTGAGGATTTTATAGGGAAATTCGTTCCCCAACTTTGTTTGAGATATTGAGAGATCTAAATATCGAAGACTTGTACACCGTTCAAGGCATCTCATCAACTCGGATATTTGCACGGAGACATTATTCAGCGTTAGAAGGGTTAGGATTTGACATTTTTGATTAACAACGTTCAGATCAAGGTCAGCCTCTTCCCAGACAAAATGTTCCGGTTTAGTGTCAAAAGGTTGAATGTCACTTGAAATATCAGGAATGCACTGCAATTTAGAGATTATCTCTGGACACGTAGGCCTATTGTCGGGTTTATGAGAAATCATAGCTCTAATAAGCTCGGCGTTCTGCAAAAATTATATGTAAAGTCATATTCCAGGTAAAATTTACTTTTAAAAACATCTATTTTGATATATTATTTACTTCTTTTGACAACCGCCACTTCATTTTTGAAGGTTCCTCTTCTTGAGCACCTAAATATATCATCGAGGAAAATTTCTGCTCAAGTTCTGAGTTGAATTTACAGTGGACCAGAATTTGAAAGAGAATGACACCAAAGGAAAAAATGTCAGCCTTGAAGGAATACAAGACACCGCCCGGTTCGCCCTTCAGTAAAAAATAATTGAAAATTATTCATCAATTTTACATATTAAAATAGAGAAATATAATTATTTTGTAATACTCGAAACTTTAAAATTTCTATTTGTATCTAATTATTTGTTTACCAATTCCGGACTTCGATATGACTTTGTCCCCACTCGGCTCGTCATCCTTGTTCTCGCTTCGGTGGCTAGGCCAAAGTCGCTGATCTTGACAAGAACCTGGTTACCCTCCGTTTTCAACAATATATTGGCCGGCTTTAGGTCACGGTGGATAATCTTCTGCTCGTGTAAAAAGTTTAAAGCGGATGCAATTTGGTACACAATCTTCCATCCGTCCGACTCACATCGCCACGCACTTTTCAACCATTTTGAAACCGACCCCTGATCACACCATTCCGTTCGTATGACGTACACTCCTTCCGAACCTGAGGACATAAATGATTCAATATTTGCCAAGCATGGTACGATTCATTTTTCAGCGGATGTGCGTACCTTTGACAGGGGTTTTCTTGGGGTAGCCGCGAAATCCTCGGGGGACATGTTCCAGCCATGCTTTTAAAATTTGGAGAATGTTGGGATGATTTAGGTCACGAAGTGTGGCCAAAATTTTAATTTCACGCTCAGCATATTTCGGATAGTTGAACTGACTTATTGTATAATTAATGGTAAAATCGTTTTTGCTAGAAAAATTGATACAAAATTAAATTTTACAGACTGTTAGACAGCAGAAAAATATGTGTAAATTGAGTACTTGCAAGCTTCAATTATTTTAATGACTGTTGGAACTGAATTTATAGGGTTATCCTGGTGCAATTTTTCTTTGACTTTGTACACAGTGCCGAACGCTCCTTGATCCGGATCCCAGGGAAGAATTTCAAATTCTTCGAGAAATTTAGAACTGAATTCTGTGGAATTTGCCATGGTTGAGACTATTCTTTTAATTTCCAGACGAATAATTTCATGAGCAAATAAATTACGCTGAACGTTGAAATGAACTCCAAAACTCCCAAACTACAAATAATGAAACTTATTTTTTTAAATTTTATGTACAGATGAATCACATCTTTAATATGAATTGTTATGCCCAGGCTGAAGTTATGCAAATCGCTGCAATGTGGAAAATAATACTGTCCATATATACACAGACTTACATGCATTTAATAGTATGTCGACTACTCTGCTATGTGTGAACAAATGTAGGCATACATTTGTATGTTAAATGCAAATTTTATGCAAATATGCAATATTTTATGGACAACGCGACAACACTATTTACTTTGCATGTGTTAACACATTGTCAATCCATGTCGGTAAGCATTTTTTAATATGACCGATAATCTACTTGAACTTATCAACTATCTGACTGAACTTTAGAAAGCATTGGTTAAGCAATGACCAACACCGAACTTGTCTCAAAGTTTGAGTTGAGACAAACCTCGAAATTTTGGAATCAATTGTTCCTATGATGCAGAATCATTTGGTTCGATATTTAAAAATTTGTCATTATAAATATGCGTCATTTGTATTTTTAAAATTTATATGCATATTTTTTGTATGTGTTTTAAGTGAATTTATTTTTAGCAACAAATTAGGTCAGACTTCTTTGTGAAGCTAATCTAATATTTATAATTCATCATTCTTTACAAAATATGTGCCTTGATTGGTTCTCTAAAAGGCCAAGGTAATAATCAGGAGTAGTACATGGATAAAACTCTTTTGTTGACTTATTTATATTAAACTCAGTAAATGCACTCAGTATGCACGACGCATTGTTGGAATGGTATTTTTCGACCTTAATTTAAAGGTGGGTGTTACAAATTATTTACTACTTAAGTGTACATATGTATAAGGATCCTATGCATAATTATAATTAACACAGTTTCTTATATACTTAAGAGCATAGTTTTTAATGAATGAACACATACTTAAATTAAATTTACCACGTAATTACTCTATAAATTCCTCAATTGTCTTAACTCGACTTTTAATTACTCAAGGTCAATAAAGCCCTTATAATTCCTCGTGTGACTACCCGAATAAAACAAAAAACGGACAAATTATTAAACGTAAAACGTGACTGATCTCCGATTTTAAGGGGTCGACATGACTTTGCAAACTTTTGTATGTATAAAATATCGCGCTTCGTCCAATTAAATTTTTTCCACGATTTGATAGTCTTTATACTTTGGACAAAATAGAATCCCCCAAATTTTAGAGTTACTACCCAAAAAGCAAAGAGACCACTTGTCCAGCTAATCAGTACGAATATAATAACAAAAGTCAAAATTCTGGAAAAATGTATCAAAAGACACGAGCCAAATACCGAGAATAGAGCAAATATACCGTAAAGTGGTAGGCATTCTACGGGCATAACGGCCCGTAGAATTCCATGGCAATTCCATGCATTATTTCGACACATCTGTACTCACGAACCAAATTGATCTTAATTCTCAGAGCAGCGTGCGTCCGGTATGAAGTCGAGTTAGCTCTTAAGTCTTGCCAAAATATTGGCGTCACGAAAAGCACGAATGTCAATATGATTTGAATGTGAAGCATAGTAGCGACACAAACTCCGATTACTACCGAGAAATGAAAAAGTGCCATTGGAAGGATGACGTAGAAAGATAACCACTCTCGTGGGAGCCAGGACGTCAAATAAATTGGGAAATCAGGGTTAATTACTACATGCAGTGCGATGATGAGAGAGTAGAAGAATAACACTGGTATTCCTGCTAAAATTGCGATATCCAGAAACATGCATGATTTTCGAGTGTACGGGTCAAGTTGTGTAGGAAGCCAGTTTTCTAAGTAGAGAAATAACATGTTTATTTGTGTGAAGTATTTAGAAATTAATAAGGATTTAATTAAGAAAATTTGATTGTGGGTGCATCATCGTTGATAATCACTTACCTGCATAGTTTGTCAGGTAATTGATTAATAAATTTACTGCAGTTTTAACATCACGAGGCCAAAAAGTGAGTAAATTCAAGGCTACGAGACAAAGTAGTTCTGCAGTTAGAAAAGTGAGAAGTTGACTTACGGCCAAAATTGTCCCAAATTTATATTTTATGTGAACTTGAATTAATAACCACAGGAAGTGAACTACGAATGCGAAATATACAACGTAACATTTCGAACGCACATATGGACTTGACGAAACGATTAATCTGTAACTTGTAGGGTCCAACTTTATTGATGTCACTCCCAATAAGTTGCCGAGGGATAGTAGAAAACCAAGAACTTTGAAGTATATTTCTGAAAATATTTTATTCTTGGATTCCTTATATTGAGGTTTTATTGAAACAACTATTTTTCTTGTAAGAAAGATACTCAAGTTTGTTAATTTAGAGGAACCCATTATTGTATGAAGTCTGCAACTTTTAAAACTGGTGCACTGAAAATGAGGCAATATTCTATATTTCTCTAAGGAACATTTGTTTGTATAATCTTTTGGTACGCAATATAAGGGAAGTCTTAAAAGCATTAAAAAATTTACGTGCTTACACTTACATTAAGGTTTGCGTTAATGGTCATTATATTTTTATACATAGCAATTTATACCGATTTGTGTGGCTAAAATTAAACTGGATTTGGCTGACTTTGTGCTCTAATTAGGTTCCTATTCCTACCGTTTTTTTAATTAGTGTCTCTTACGTCGTACTTTTCTAAATGTGCAATATCGTGTCCCCAAGTTGAAAAAAATTATATCTTTGACCTAATTGACGTGATTAATTGCATAGGTAAATATCGTTAAAGAGAACAATTTTGTTTGACCCATTTTGCAATAAATAATTTAAGATTCCATCAATCTGAATCGTAGTCTGGAGGGACCTCAAATAATTTGCACTCGCCAGCCCTGAAATGCTGGTAGGGATCTACATTCGAAATTTTCTTCCCACACAACCAACAAAATATGGTTTGGCATTTTGTGCAAACTAGTTTGTTGCATCCATCAATTTTCTGTCATATAAAAATAATCCGGTTATTAAACATTTGAAAAAATCACAATTAGTTTCTGCATATAAATATGCAAATAAACAGCTTACCTCAATATTTGTCGGACAAGACGGACATTTTTTGTAAATATTTTTAATAAGCTTTTCACTTTCGTCATCTTGAACTTTTCTCGCTTGCTTTTCTTCCTCGTCCATGCGTCGTTTTTCTGCCTCGTCAGCAGTCACATATTTTCGCATCCTTTCCTGCATTTCGACATCCGTGAGCCCGCATGGCGTTGACCCATGAAATGGGCGGAAGCATGCCGTACAAAAACTATATTCGCAGCTTGGGCAAAATCCATACTCGGGTTGGGCTTGAATCATCATTTGACAGTCGGGTTTGGGACAGTGGACCTGATAAAAAAAGTTGGATAAGGCTTTCACCATTTTTACATTTCAAAACTTTCTTAATAAAAATCGTACAATTTCCGGAAACTCTTTCAGCGCATCGTTCAATTGCAAATCCTCCATCTTAAAGAATGCTTGTGGATCCACCAAGTCTTTAATTAAGGCTTGTGACGCCATCCTCCCACAACCAGGCGAGGGACATTTGAGCTCAAATATTTGACCATTTTGTATATAATTTTCAAAGTAAGATTTCGTACAATTTTTGCAAGCGTTGGTGTGAGAACAGCCAAAGTCGACGATTTGATTCAGTACTATATCGTCATTAAGGCAGATACAGCATTCAAATACGGGAGAAAATTGTTTAACACCAACTTTTTTAAGGGTTTTAGCCGACCTAGTCGTGGCGTCCCTTTGCTTGGCATTTTCATCCAAAACTTGTTCCAAAACAAATAAGAGTTCAGTAAAGTCGAAATCTTTGTTGCCCTGTTGTTGAATTTTACTTTTGGAGTCGAGCTTTAAATTGCAATCGTAGCCGTGATAATCTGATTTACAATTGGTGCAAAAAACATATCCGCATGGATGACAGGTTGCTAGAAAGCAGTCCAGTTCAACAGATCCTGCTGGGGTTGAGCAACGAGGACAGTTTTGCTGGGGAATAAATAAAAATACTTGTTTATATAGAAAAAAACAAACTTTTTTTTTTTAGATCTATGGAGTTAAAATCCTTCAAGAAATCGCCAACTCTCGTAGCTTTTAATTATGACAGGAAAAATATGCATGGGTGCAAAGTATAATTGCATTAAATTACATGGCGAATTATTTATTTATACATTACCCGATCAATTTCGTTCCCACGATCTATTTGCCTTGATGGTAAGACATTTTTAACTTTTTTATACAACTCATGTCCCAATACTGGTTGGAAAACGTCTGATGTCACAAATCCATCACAAAATGGATTAAATGGACATCTCAGGTTGGATATAGTTTCACGATCTTTGTCAACTTGGCCACTAATTTCATTGGTCAAATTATTCTCTGAAAGTTGTTCAATTACATCTTGGAGCAAGCAACTGGCACAAAATCCATGACCACATTTCAGTACTAGCCTTAAACCTTGTTGGAGTGACTCGGAGCAGGTAAGACACTCAAAATTGTCTTCGGGGAATGCTGACGCCATTTTTGTTACCCCTTAATGATAGTAATTTATTTCTAACAAAAAAATTCTAACTTAGCGTTCGGAAAAGACCTGAACTGTGGGTACGTATGTATTTATGAGAAAATGAATAATTTGTGCATGAAATAATATTTATTAAATGTCGGGATAGCAGTTGCAGTTAAAATATTGAGCATTGAATTAATTGAGAAGACGTTTAGCCCACATTTATCAGGACCAATAAGAAATGGTTGTTTATGTGAAGACATGTATCAAATATCGCATTTGTACTCATTATGTCCAGTTGCATGAGCAGCAAAGTCTCGATTGGCAAAATGTATTTCCTGCAAATTAAGTCACGCATCTCTATAAATTGTGAACGTAATTTTTGTGATATAAAGATAGTTTTTGATCGGGGCTTTTTACAGAACACGTTCTGCCAATCTAGTAACCAGCTATGAATTCACAGCTCTAAAAATTGTAGATTCAGAGCTTTCAGCGTGACCCTCAGCAGTGCTAACTGACGATTTGGAAGTAAAATTTTCAGCTCTGGAGCTTAATTTTTGCCAAGTTGTGAAATCACATTTTGGCAGTTTTTCAGATGGCTATATGAATTCACAGCTCCAAGTCGTGAATTCACCACGGTACTCCCTGTCGCAGCTTCTGTACATGCGAGTAAAGTCTCAAGTCGTATGCTGTTTTCATATTTCATGCATATAGATCTACACAAATCTACGCATACTAATTTGCAGACATATATTTTTCAAGTATGCTAATATTTTGCCAATATAGGTTTGATAAATATGCAAATGTTAAATTTGCCAAGCTAAATATATGTATTGTCAACTCGTCATTCCGGGAACCTGAATTTGAAACGTTTTCTTATTACTGACTTTCATTGCAAACAAGACATATAAGTTGATATAAGTACATAAATGACTACATACATTACATTTTACATACACGGAAGGCAAGAAAAGCATTGACACTATGCGATATAGCTCGTATCTTTCTCAAATTGCATTTCCCAAGAAGATAAGCTTATTTCACATTTAGTTAGAGGTGATAAAACTGGGCCGGACCTCTGTCTGACTCCAGCTTGATACGAATAGCGACGCATTAGCATTACAATATTTGTGATGAATATATTACATGTACAATTTTATCCATCTCTGTATCATATTAGTAAAGTGTACCTAAACATATATAGGTTTCGACTTCAACTGAAGGCAACAACTATTTACAGTATGAAGCGAATGAGCTCGACTTTAATAAGAAACAGCGGGTTGTTCGGCCACAATTTATTCAATTAAGTTCCCTGGATGCATAATTTGCTAATTCTATTAAACCCCGTGTTTCCAAATATATTGAGTATATTTTTTATCTAAAATTTTCCCCATTTCAAAATGGCAACTTCTCTGCTACCAAACCATCCCAGTTTAATCCTCAACTTTTGTAAATCTCCTACTCAAGCCATTTTGGATGAGATTGTTCAAATTGTCACCTTCCGAACTATTTCCCCCTATCAAGAAGACAAATTCAGGGATCTTATGGTCCAAATCGACAATCGGTTGGACTCCATTGGCAAAGACTGCAGCTCACTCTTGACGTTGCTCCATCTTCTTAAAGAGTTAATCCCCCTCGTGATGCAGGATGTCGCCAAGGTTTGGAACAGAAGGCCGGCTCGACTCCAAAACTTTAAACATTATTTTGCCCATACTTTCTCCTACGATGTGACATTTTGTGAAAAGTGTGAATCAGTCAAGAAAATGTATTTATTTCTGGATGGAATTATTAATCCAGTTGAGAGCGTAATGCAACAAGGAGCAGCAACGGTGGGCACAACAACCTCGTCGTCGACAACATCTCATAAAGTGAAGGAAATTACGGTGACCTGTGCCACAAAAAAGTGCAAGTCTCAAAATATCAAAGTACTTCTCCCTTGTGAGCACTACTTGTGTGAGGATTGCACGAACAAGAATGCGAAGGAGGCACAAAAAAACAAACACAGGCAGTTCTTTTGTCCAAAAGACAAAAGACCGGTGAATATCGACTATCTCAAGGAACATGGATGGGAAGAATCTGGCTTGGAGAAAGCTAATCCAGCTCAAAATCAAGGAAATGATGCATGTGGGGGCGATTCAAATCTGGTATCTAAAAAACAATACATGGATTTTTGTTTGCAACCTGCATGTAAAATTACATAAGTTATAAAACTTCTAACCCCATAAATATATACTTACAGATCCAATGCCCAAAATGCGAGAACGGCGTCTTGCACTATCCCATCAATGGAATGTTGGCGGAATGCCTGCCCTGCAATTTTTGTTTTTGTTCAAATTGCCTTCAAGATTTTCATGGGTTTAGTGATTGTGAGACGAAACCTGAAACCACAATTCAAGAGAAGGGTCAATCTTGCACTGATCAATTAAAGGAATACGCATTCCCAAAGGTTAGGAACTCAAAATTACCATCTGGTTTTAATGGGGATGAGGATGGCGCAAGAGGAAATAGTGAAACTTATCCAGAAAAACACTCTTCTTATCGAAATGATTCCGTTCCCAGAAAAGAAAATAAACCCATTTCACATTCAAACTATACCGGACCCGAAGTTCATTACCCTAAACTTAACGGTAAAATGAAGCCAATAACTCGAAGTAAAGTAAAGCAGGCCGGCGCTGACGCTGAACAGTATGAATTAGGTGAGAAAATAAATATGCCATTAATTCCCCTAAACATTTTAAACAAAATTCATATTTGTATTCAGACTTTTACACAAACTTGACCCAGCCAAATAGCTTCACTCTGGAAGAAATTTCTGACGCATTCGTCAATCCAACTAGTGAAGGAATATATCCGGAGAAGTGGTCCTGGGAATTTCTCAATTACAATAATCGTCTCAATTTTCCTCCTCCTTTCGCTAGTCTTTCAGCTGGAAATTGGGTTGAGGACGAGATTTTGGAAGACGCAATTAAAATCATCATTCAAAAGAAAAGACTAGAAAATGAGGTGGCATTTTTGGAGAGTTACGTCATGAATTGGAGCATGAGGAAGGATTACGGGGAAGACAATGAACTGCTGAGGTGAGGATAGATCATTAAAAACCGATAAAAATGCACTCTTGAGTTACTTAATTTCTGTATCTTCAGGATTATTAAAGGAAAACAGCTTCAAACGAAATCCACCATTCTGGCCCTCATCAACACTGACCTCAACGGTCACGGCGGTCACTGGATCGTCGGATGCGTTCACATCCCAACCAAATCAATCTTTCTCTTTGATTCTTCTCTCATCTCGAGTGGGACTTTTTACCAAAAATTTTTCTTTGGTTTGATGCACATTCTACACATTGTCCACTGTCAGGAAGACATTGAAGAATTTGACCAAGGATGGAAACTCGTCGTCAGTTTGGATTCTGTGCAGCAAGAGAATGATTACGATTGCGGACCACTTGCCGTTTGTAATGCATACGCAATACTGACGAAGAACGCCCAGTTGGATAGACTCCCTAAAAGTTATGCTGTTCGAGAGTGGCTTTTTTGTACATTGTCATTTGATGATAATGGGGATATGAGGAAACCTGTTCGAATTTCGGACGAAACTGCAAATTCTGTGACGAATGAAATGCCAAGAATTGTGAAACCATTCAAACCCAGGAGTTTGCAAGTTCGGTACCAGTATCTCAAGAATGTTTTATTATTTGATGACATTTCCACCAGAATGCATGAAACGACACTCTAAATTTGCATGTTCTGCAGGGTTGTTTCACGTCATTTTGATTTCGATACATAAAATGATTATAAGTATAAAGTATTTTTTAATATATTTATGTGATTTTACCAGATTTAACTAGATTTAAATTATTTAACTATGCATTAAACCAGAGATTATTTAAAGATCTATTAAAACATTTGTTTTTTTCATAAATACTTAACTACATTGCACATAAGATTGAAATGCAGAAGATTAATTGACAGCGAAATACATGATATGGTGTGATGTACATATTTTGCACCCACACTTTCATATTTGCAATTTATCCCAGGATGCATAAACTTTTTTGTTGTCCGTGGTTTCTCCTAAGGGGGTGGTGCCAGGATGAAAATTTTTATTCAAAAATTAAAAGTTGGAGAATTGCATGCACTTTTGCAATGGATTTGGGTGGTTGTCATGGCAAAAGTGCATGCAATTCCCCAACTTTTAATTTTTGAATAAAAATTTTCATCCTGGCACCACCCCCTTAGGAGAAACCACGGACAACAAAAAAGTTTATGCACCCTGAATTTATCCGCATCACTTGCTTTGATTTTCCAAAGTCGAAATCTTTACTCTATACTTTTCGCAAAGGATGAAACCTTAATTTGAAGTATACTGATATTATACACATGTGTGTATGTATGCATGTACATAGGTAAATATTATTGTCATTAAAATGTTTCCAGAAAATTTTGTTTTCCACATAACTAAGTCTTTGAAACCAATATCTAGAGATAGTAGAGATTTATTGGAATTACTTAAATATTAATGATATTTGCATTCATATTACACGCACGTGTATGTAATGTAGTTTACTCTTTTTTACATATGCATCGTAAAATTAATTAATAATGGACCTTTATACACATAGGTATGTATAGTAAATACATACACGTATATATGTATAAATCTATGACTTACTCGAATATTTATCTACGTTCAATTAGCATACAAAGTTAACAATGACAGACAATTTGTCGGTGACAAATCCTTATGCAAACAGTTTAGTCGAAAGACCAAGTAGTGTTCTTATATAATTATCACGCAAATGTATTTACATATGCAAATGTTGGACAATAATTGTAAGATCAAATGATGCCGAATAATATTTTATCCGACATTCAAACGGCTAGATATTATATTATCTGTCCGGCGTGTTTTGTACGAGTTGTAGAGAAAAATAGTTCAATGATGACTCTACACATTTTATTTGTTTCGCTTCTGTTTCTATCTTCAGTTCGCCCATTTCTACAAGAAAATTTTTATAATTCAGAAATCCCTTTTTTGAATGGCACCGGCTGCCTGGAATCATCGGTATGTGGGAATTTATTATTGTGAACATATTTACATATGTATAATATTTCTGTGTCCGTAGCCCACGCAAGACCTCAAAATCGCCTGGCTTGAAATTACATGGCGATTGATCAACTTTAAAGAATACTACCGCATTTGTCAAACATTAAAGAGACCTTTTCAAATTTTACACCAATTTCAACTGCCAGCGGATAAATATGGAAAAAGTCATTTTGTGGACCTGTATGCAAATTTCAATTGTTTTAGCAAAATACGTTCATGTTTCATAATTATTTATGTGTATAAATTACATTTATCTTGTCCCAATAGAATTTTTAGATTGGCACCTCCAGGATTTTTTCTCTTTTGTGGCAGTTATACACCTTGTAGTTCGGGCGATTTTCTTCAAGACACTGTGGAAATGGTTATTCACGACGGACAGAGATCAGTGGACATGTTCGCAACGGGATACGAATACGAAGCAGATTTGACCTATTCCACTGTAAACGGGGTGATTAAAACCAGCATCGGGAGAGCAACCAAGTCCCCTCAATATGGAATTATATTCAAATTAGGTGGCGACATTAACAGGACAGAGTTCCAAACTGTTTTGCAACCCCCAATAACAGAAAATTTGTTGCAATTATATTTTGTTGTAAAACAGTGGAGAAATCCTGACCCTGTTTCCATGATGGAATTGGAAACAAATTGTAACTTACAAACGCTGTAAGAATATGCATAAATATGTACATGCATTATTCAAAGACAATAATCGGTTTTTTGGTAAAACATTTTACTATACACATAATTAAATGCAGCAAGAAATAAGAAGTAATAAATGTCATTCAAATTAATTAAGATGATCAGCTCAGCATTAGATATCTGCTAATTAGCATTCCATGAAATTGCCTGTGGTAACACTTCTTACATATACAGGGTGGTTAAAATGTCACGCTACAATGGAAAATTTTTCGATGGGAAAAATCCATAAATTTCCATTAGTTACCGAAATTTTGTCTCTAAAATGCAACATTTTAAGAATTCTGTCATCAGTTTTGATAATAATTTATAAAAATCTCAATCCCAAATCTTTTAACTAATGGAGATTTAGGGACTTTTCCCATTGGAAAATTTTCCATTGTGGTGTGACATTTTAACCACCCTGTATGTATCCACGATCCTAGTTTCGTCATCTTTTAAAACCTTAATACCTGTTATATGCTAACTTTATTTTTGGGATTCGGTGAGACAACAAATTCGGCAAAAACGAGTCGTTTTAAACGACACTTGTTTATATAATGACGACAATTACTTAGCATATTATTTAGCACATCATTGTTTTTTGCATAAAATTTGTTTGCCCAATTTAATTCGTATGTACGAATAATTATGATGAAAGGTTGAGCAAACAAATTAAAGTACTTCTGTACAAGCCTTTTATGAATGCATTATTGCCTCAATTTTACTTTGACAGAATAATCAGTAATTAAGCAGTATCTTGAAAGACAGCAGTTCAACTTAGTCTATTTCTGTCATCATGTCTTTCACCATGAAAATATCTCTTATTACGCTGATAATCTGCATAATCAGCATGGAGGCAACAATTTCTCAGGACATTCCAGCCCTTCAAGGCTCTTTCTGCCTGGAGTCAAACGTATATACATAAATTATACTAAATATTTTTCTTAAGACAGCTCAACTCATTTTGTCATGCTTTCTAAAAAAAAAGGTTTTGTACGACTTTGACATGACAAAATTTGAGTTCTCCTGGAAAATGAATGGATTAAAGAAATATTACGAAATTTCAAAAACGTTGGAACGACCATTAATAATCGCGAGATCAATTGCATTCTCGCCCCCTAATCAAATTGGATACACGGCAAATATGTATAAAAAACTTTGAAAATACTATATTCCTAATATTTCATCTATTTACATGTGCATGCACTCACTTTCAGAACTTTCAATCTTCCTCTGAAAGATGCAAAAGGTACTTCAAAACTTGGATCAAGAACAACTTTGATACTCATCAAACGAAATGGAGAGAAGGTTGATCTTAGGGAGGAAAAACTTATAGAGTTTGAAGCTGAAGTTTGGCTTAACTCTGATAAGGGTAAGGTCACTACCGGACCAGCGGTAGGAGATAAAGGGTACAATCAGGAAATCGACTTCAATACGTACTACAAAATAAACGCCACAGACCTAGAGAGAGTTTTAGGAGTTGGGAGTAATGAAGAACGTCCAGTTGATTTCGTCGTTATTTTACGACAATACAAACTTCCTTCTGCAATATCGACCAGGGACACGGGGAGGCAATGCAGCAATTAATTAGATGAAATTACCACCGATGACCGAATGATGATCTATCTACACTTTCGCCTTATAGACAAGTCGGGTATTGATTTTGTTGAGATAATTGCATATATTAAAATTTAATTTAAATGCAAAACTACATAGGGTTCAATAAAATGATAATTTCCTAATATTTTCAACGTGATTAAAAGATATTTGTATATAAAAAATACGTATGCAGCATGAAAACGCATAAGGTTGTCATCTATAATTTTGGAAATGTACTTTTACCGGAACTACTACATCATTATTATTTTCATGGTACTTAAGTATGTACATGTTTCCTAACGTTACAGATGATGTACATATGTGTGCACATGTATTTATACGGATATTGATATTGTAATTTTCCCACTCTCCGTTTATTAGTGTGTCCGAAACATATGTACATATATGTACTTACCCCTCTAACGATAATTAATTTATGGGGAATATATATGTGTATGGGTAAAGAGGTTAATATTTGTAACTTTATAATAATATCATACAACAAATTTACAAGACTACACGGGCACCACCCAACCGCCTTATTATAATATTCTTATTTCTTAGGGACTCCACATTCACAAAGTAGGTGGCGAATTTTCGGCGAATTTTGGCTCCTGTACATACATTTGGTAATACAAAATGAGGTGCCTCATTTTCCCCATACAAAAATTACATGAGAAGGATAGGATGCCTTGGACCTTCAATTCGATCGCTACCATTAGACAAGTCCCTTAATTGGAAATATTATCCATAGCCGCGAAACACATAGTCCCCACAAACTCCGCGAGTATAACAGACCAAACCTTCTTGACACTCGTCATTTCTAACGCACTGCTCTCCCAATCCTTTTTTTCTTCCCCTGCAAAATCCATAATATTAAAATCAAAATTTTTTGATGGCAAGACTTTCAATGCGAATTTGCTCGTACCCAAATGGGAAAAAACCCCTAGTAGTTTGTGAATTTTGACCGCGTAAAATTTGTTGATCCAAATTGTAGTAGCAGTTCCCTCTGAGGACGTCACAATTGTTACCAAGTGGAGATGTAGCACAGTCGCGATCGGAATAACAGGCCCCTAGATCGCCATGCTTTACTACGTGGCAGACTAATCTCGGTTTCGGATTTGGCGTCCATCCCCCATGTCCAAGTCTTTAAAAAAAATTTCAATTATAACAAATTGCTCCAAAAGGACCTAACCATAAGTTCAGATTACACATTTGGCTTAAAGATTACCGTGGGAAAGCTGGATTTCCGCTTCCGTACAAGTAATTGATTAAAAATGTTTGGTAATCGATTGTAGGAAAATTATTCAGGGGATAGAATTGTTTCGAGTGTCTGTCACCCTTCCCTTCTACGTGTGACGTGGTTTTATTTGGTAGAGATGCTTCCGGTTGAACAGTGCACTGCGAAAATGAGTGCAAGATTATGTAGATTGGCATTATATAAATGATGAAATATATAAAATGATGTATAACAATAGATATAAACCTACCAAGTTTAAAGTTATGATTATTACAGTCAAAGTTGTTCGGATGAGACACATTTTGCACAGAATTTTGGAAGAGCATTCACAAGGTAAATAAAAAATATGTTGCAATTGAGTGGTACAAAACTTGATTGGTATTACCTGTCAGTATTGATGCAAGTAGGTGAACTGGTTTAGTATAACATGATTTGAAATACCCGTTTTCAATGATTGAGGTATAAATTTCAATGCTGATACATAAACCTGAAAACGGTAACATGCCTAGTCTAAAGTTACGACTAATTTGTGCTATAAATCGTGTTTAAGTAGATTTCTGACTAACCAGTTTAGGTTGAAATCAGGGATTGTGTGAAAGACTAAAAATGGAAGTATACTTGCACGCATAATTTATTAAGTTATTAAGTTAGATAGGAAAGATGTCGACATATTCAAGAGGAGAAAAAAAACAATGGAGAGACTAGACTTATAAACACGTAATCAATCATAACTTAATTCGTATATCCGTTTCACTACTTTTTGTCATCCCTCATTTTATCCACCATCCGTCCCACAAAATCCTTATGCTTTTCCGTAAACGTGGCAAACGATGCCCTTAACTTTGATGATGGCGTAGTGATCGATGCTCCTTCATGAATCACATATTGAATCATTCCCATCAATTCGAGAGAATCATTGTGAGTTACATCTTTGTCCAGAACGCAATCCACACATTCTTCAAGTGCGGACAAATCTTGTCGCAATTTTTGCAACGCTGTGACCAGAGTGGACAACAAGTTTCTCGTGAGCCGGGTGGCATGTCGAGGGACAAGTTCTCGACTCAGTTGGAGGGTAAAAAGACTGTGTTCCTTGAGGAAGTGGGTGGATCGTGAGATACGCGCCCCACTCGAAGAACGGACGGGATCCAGGCCATGGGAGGATTTCACCCCTTCGGAATACGTCAACGAGAAGACGGATAGCTCAAAAGCAGCGGAGATTGCATCGGTTTGAGAACGTGTGAGTTTTGGAGCGGATCTAGAACAAGTTTGAATGTTATGTAGGTCGAAATTCGAAAATCGGAAAAGAAATCTACTCACAGATATTTAGAGTCCTCCGGAACGACCAGAATTTTGTTCCTGACCACAAGAAAACCATCTCTCAACAGACTCGTGGCATGCTTCCTGCTTTCCGCATTGCAATGTGTTCTTAACAGCTGAAGATAGAAGGCAATCACATCCTCATCATTCTCAGCTTGGAGTAGTTTAGCCGGAGCTAGTGGAACGTGGGGACAGTTTCCAAACCCGTAAAATATTTCGCCATCCCATGTAAGAGTAATATTGGGCTTGAGTTTAGTCAAGAATTGAGTCTTCCATCCAGGATGGAGGGAAATATCTGGAGGTGAATCAGGTTGGAAGGTATTGCTTGAACTAATCCAACCCGGTATCGGGGTCAGTTGTGGGGTGAAGATGTACAAGTGAGGAGTTGGTGTAGAGCGTAAATTTCCTCGCATTGCGGATTTGTCAGTAACAACTGCAAATTGTTATGTCAGCAATAATAAGGTAACCGTTCTAGCAACATGGTAATTATGCAGTCCCACAAAAATTGAGAGCATACGTACCGAAAGAACCAAGCACAACGCCACTGATATTTTCAGTGGCTTCCGTCCAGAAAAATGCATCGGCACCACTGAATGCAAGTAACTGTCCAGTCAATCCGTTGCCTGTATTGCCTTGGAGGAATACTCCTTTCGTTAGTTGGGTGTCTGGGAGAGTGAGGGATGACCCCTTTCCATACTGGGCGCCATGAACACTCTCGGCTGGAATAGGATTTTTGCTTGGAAGATGAAGCTGGGTGCTAAAAGTGCCATCAGCGTTCAGATGGCCCCGTGTAGCTAGTTAACAAAATATTTCGTAATCGAGCTTCATCCCACATACATAAATGCATGTGATGGGCAATTTATATGCATATTACCAGGATTTGTCAAGCTGTAAATCCAGAATTCAAATTTCCCTTTGGAAAATACTACTGGAATTGCTCCTTCCTCTTTGGATGCGTCATTTGGAGTAAAATGCCCACCAATTCTATTCGCACCACTGCTGGAGACTATCTTGTCAAATTGCGCTCCGTCCGATGGAGTAAACATGGCCGTATCTCCACCGCCCATTGTTGTAAATGTCCCGGTGAGCGAGGGCGTTTCAGGGGGTATAAATACAGTTAAGGTCCCTCTATTACAAAATATCATTCAGTACAGACATGGGCGTAGCATTAAATTTCTATTGCTATCAATGTTTCTTATTACGCTGTGCCGATTTTAGGTACAAAGATTTGAACTGCTGTTGTCGACGGGTGCAACCATCCGTCCAATTCCTTCCCAACCGATGCTTTCGGAGAAAGAGACACACTGTATAATTTGCCCCCTTGGTCGTCAGCTTTAGGTCGAGCATAACCATTCTGCTCTAAATAGAATCCAAAATCTTGGCCTAGCAAAGATCTCACACTCGATCCGGGTGGGGCCTGCAAAAACAAATGTTCAAAATATTTGATTGACATGCAATGATTTTCTTACATTATGCATTTTTCCAGATCTTTGTACATAACTTGACGCTTGATTTGCTATACGAACACAATAATACCTTTGGTTTCTTTGTCTTTGCAAAACCTCGCCCCTTTTTGTCCTGCGTGGGCTGTTTCATAAAACTTCTTCCCTTTTTCACGGTTGGTGGTGCACGAGTATCTCCCCCATTTTGAACCAGACCAACACAGTATACGTAAAACCCTGGTAGTGGTTTTTTTCCAGGAGTAAGTTGACCCCGCCGACCAGGTTTATCAAGCACCATTTCCCAGGCGCCTTCCTTCAACGATAGCTTTCCCGTAATCCCGTTGTTTGGAAAAATACCCGTCACCGCAGGAGATTCGTCTTGTTCAAATGAAGATTGAATTGGACCCTTCGCTGCTAGTTCGGTCAGTTGTGGAGATTCCGAGTCAGGCTTGAATGTTGCAGTGTATCCTCGTCCGAGAGGGAGGAAGGTTCCATGAACTACGATTGTTGTTTCAGGCACCGACAACTTTCCAGCCCCACCTTCCAAGGGGTAGTAAATGTCGTATTTAGGTGCGTTCGCAGCACCCTAATCAAAAATTAAAAAAACAGGATTCAGCTAAATAATTCATATACGCATATTCACACATATAAATACGTATTTAATTCCTAATGACACATAACTACAGTCATACACAGTGGCGCTGGCGTAGGATACGTTATTATAACTGTGATTACATGTTCTCTCTTAATGCTACGCTGCGTTTGGCATACACAATTTTTCTACAAACTTTTAACCGTACATAATTCGACTTACTTGGAAATTAAACACCTTTATTTGTCCTGGTACTCTCTTTTCCTCTTCGGCCCTCTTGGTGAGTATGCTGTCATCGAACGCCACAATGTTTCCCAGTTCGTTGAACATAAAGCAACCTGACTCACCTTTCTGATTCCAAGTACCAATTTCTTTGGCAGCGCTGGCATAAAAGTAAAATTCCACTCCTACCTTGCCACCTTCCTTGCTGATGATGTATCCGGCTACGCCTGTACAATAAGAAATGTATGCATGCATATTTACATATTTATACATGTCACTGATCCTGAGGAAGAGTGGTACATTCATTTTCAGGTCGAGAAAAAACTTGCAAATACCTGTAGCGGTTGAACCCATGGCAAAAAATACCCCATTCGTTTTTCCTCCGGGAGGAAGGCTGGCAGGATTTATATTACTTGGTCGTGACGGATCCACCACGAATTCTCCATCTTCCTTATTACCTCCATAGTCGGTAGGTGAGATAGGTTGTCGTGGGTTGAAATTGCCCTCAATCTTTTGGACTTTTGGGTCAACTGGGGAAACATTGTTGATGACAAAGGATCCCATAATTCCCGTAAATGGGACAAAAACTTGGGTTGTGATTGTATTTGTAAAGTACATCCCTCTAATATGAACTGAGAGATCCTTTTGCTCAGACATTGCGAGTGGTGGCTTCTCAGCCCCCATGGGGACGAGTGATATTTCGTACTCTGTTATTTTGAACAAGGAAAACCAATTTATAAAAAAAATTCACACTGGTAACGTAATAAATAAATAAATATGCAGAACCTACTGGGCGGTATGTACAAATTCTGCACCGTTTCAGTGGAGGAGGACGAGGCATTAGACGTTGACGTCACGCTACCCCCGTGAAGTAAAGTTTGGAAAGTTTCCTCCTCAACTTCCGTCATTGAAGTGACAGCTTCTGGGGCGGCAACTACTGTAGGCGGAGGAGGTGAGGAAGGAACAGGTGATGGGGCTGACTGGGTGGAAGATGTTGATTCCAATTTCGATGCTGTGGTATTCGACGAGTCCATAACAGCAGCGCCGGCTGAGGAGCCAGAGTAATGTTGCGTCGTGTTTGTGGTCGTGCTCAATTGTTGAATTGCGCTTTCTTGCTGTGCCATCATTTGTGCTTTTGCCTGGAGGAGGATTTGGCTTTGCTGGGATTGCATGACCTGCTCCTCCGTCATTTTTTGAGGTGCAGGTGGAGGAGCTGCTGTTGGTGGAGTTGGAGGTGGTCCAGACCCGAGGGCACCTCCGACCATCAGCTTAGATCCTGCGTCCTTGATCATTGTCCCCAAGGATAAAATTCCCCCTAAAGCATTTTTAAGCGACGATGCTACTTTCCCAGCTCCCTGAGACATGGCTGACATTGCTAGTTGGCCCTTTGACATTGCTGCATCTACAAGACCCCCTGCCGCCCCAAGTGCTTTTGAAGCCACATATTGCATTGGTAGCAATCCTGGTCTATCAAATAATATCAGTCCGGCTACTGGGTTAAACATGCTTCCTTCATCTGAAATGAATTAGGCAACCTCTCCCATCTTTGTGGCAGGAATTAAGGTTCCATGTATGCCAATCCCACTGCCGGATGCATCCGTATAAAATGTCACTAGAATTTACATATATAGTTACTCTCAACTAGTCTTCATCACATGCTCTGAAAATTGTACTGGATGACATACTTGGCGAAGGTGTGTCTGGTTCAGGCATCCATTTCGCTGGGATAAAGGACGCATCCAAAGTACCATGTCGATTGATACCTCCTTGAAATGACATCCATCTGCAAGACCCATTTTTCTGTTTCAATATTGTTGAGAAACTTTAGTCGTTTTTATAGAATGTGTTTTACCCCTGAGAAATTCCCGTCAACTTTTCCTCTCCGGGTCCTAGGATTTGGATAAAGTCGCTTGCAACACGCGACCCAGAGGTGTAGATTACTTTGTAGATTTTATCCGGTTGCGAATCCATCGTGTAGTTAGCTGCACGGTGGATATAATGATCAGTTATTTTTTAACATATAATCTTTTAAATATTGTAGTTTGTTCTCTTTACTCTTTACCTGCCTCGGGGCCGGAAACCTTCTTTGTACTCTCCGCTCCTCCTCCTCCTCCTCCTCCTGCAGAACTTCCACTGCTTCCACTATTCTCAACACCACTACTCCAAACTTTTGCACTATCTCCTGACCCCGTCAAGGTAAGAAACACGCTGAGTGGAGCCACATCTGGTGCGCCGTCCAGAACAAGGTAACCAGATATGGAGCCTTGCATACGGAATTTGCTCAACTCCCCTGCCGTGGATGCCGTAAAATTTCCTAACTCTCCACCAGCCGCGGCCGCGGCCGACTTGACAAATACCCCACCAACACGGAGGTTAGGCTTCAACGGAGAAAAAAATGACACTTTAGCCCCACCAGTGCTCATTTTCGTTACGATTGTCGTTATCGTTATTTTCGTAATTATCGTGGTCGTGATCGTTCTTGTCATTGTGATTGTTGTCCATGAACTAGAAGAGGACATTCCAGGTGGGAACGAGACACGAGCCGGAGGTGTGTTGGACGCTCGTGGAATAAGTGTTCCTCCATTAGCTGCCGGTCCACTAATTTTGGCCATATCAGCTGGACGAAGTGGTATAAACTTGGTGGCATTAGATGTCCCTGATCCGAAAGAACAGCTACCCATGACGTTGGCTCCTCCGCCATCCGGCACTAAAACGCAAGGTTCCATGGACGAGGATGAGGACGATTTAATCAACGTGCTAGAGGTTGACATGTACATGGAAAATGTCCAAGATAATTCATTGCTAGTGGTGGAAAGAAATCCCTTGTATCCCTTCGTGGTAGTCAAAAAACCCGATATGGATGCGGTCGATCCACCGGTGAGGAGGGATTTCAATTTGGTAGCATCTTCCTTACTGAGGAGGATAAATTCACCTCCTCCATCGTCCCCAGAGGGCTTGAAATTTCCGGATATTAAGAGTCCGGAGGATGCAAATGGGGAGAATAATGCTGTGGAAATATGTACAAGCATGCATACTTGTAAGTACTTATTATTACATATGTATGTAGCTCAATGAGTGTGCAATATTAAATATGTCACAATTGCCAAGCTATCAAAGTGACTATTCGCCTAACCTGGTATCCCTGTAGCCGTCGTGGCAACTGTTTGCTTGAGACTGATTTGGTTCACGGAAGACGATGTTCCCGTTTTGAAGGTAAAGGTTGTACTGCTCTCACTCCCACCGCTAGCACTTGTTTGCGAATTAGAGGATGCTGGCGAAGCCCCTGCCTGTACGAATGTGGCGTCCGAATTTGGTGGCAATTTGTTCATATCTTCAACTTTATCTGGAATAAATGTTGGGCCGTCGCTTGGATTTGTTGCGGGTAGAAAGATCCCAGGGATTTGGACTGATTTGTCGCTACTAGTCAGCGTTCCTGTAGAGGTCAGGAAAAAACGATTTGTTTTGGGTCTACAATTTTATATCTATATTCGTTTTCATGTTGGGTTCATCTTGGTTTATTTTCTACATATAATCGCAAACAGAAATCTAAAACGCATGGTTAAAAAGGAGGAATGTAAACTATTATTTGGAGAGGAACATATCGTCTACAGAAAATTGCAACCGTGATTTAATAAAGCTACATATTACGGAAAGAAGCAAGTCTCAATTATGATAATCATATTCGTGGATTAAGAACACAACAGTTTGTTGCAGCATTTACAAAAATGAAGTTCTGGATTACCTGCCATAACGGACGATGTCCCCTTATTATCTGGAACAAACTCTGCTTTCCCCTGTCCACCTCCAGTTACATCGACGCTTCCACGAATTGGGCTGATGGACCCACTCGATGTGACAATAGTTCCATAGCGCATGTTCTTGTTAATTGTTGTCGTTGTAGTCGTGATAGTTGTTATTTTGGTAGTTTTTGTGGTAATCCTAGTAAATTCCATGGACGAATACGGGAGAAAGTATGACGCTACTCCAGGAACCCTAGAGTAATGTATAATTCCAGGTATACTTTCATTCGGATTTCCGTCCGGATGGAAAACGGCAGGTTCTTTGAGCATCATGGGTGGTTTCGAGGATGAAATGGTTTCAACACGGGCAGCAGCACCGGTCGTTGTTTTTGAACTGGTCGTCGATCCAGTATTACTGCTGCCAGAGGGAGAAGGCGAAGATGGTGGAGTTAGACTGACTTTAATCGGAGTCTGCAAAGGAGATCCATCGACGACGACATGGCCACCCATAACATCTCCAGGTGGGAGTTTATTTACATCCTCAGGCGACGGAGTGAAACTTCCTGTACCAGATTCGGAGGTGGTGTAGACGCCAGAAATGTGGAGATTTGGATCCAGAGTGGAGATGAATGTGGCTATGATGTGACGAAATATACCAAAAATATGACAAAAATAAACAAATCCAGACTCATTAACAGATAATCATGGTATTATGTTGGCGCTGGCTGTGTTAATTTTATGGATATTTTTAATATTTTAATTTCAGGGTGTCGCATTGCAATAAGTAGAAACTTACCTTTGACATTAGTTACTGGGGTCGGCGTAAACAACGCAGCTGGCTTCGATCCAGTGTCACCTGGAGCGAAATTGAGCTGACCTTGTGTCGTCATTCCAGGCAAATCTGGTGAAGTCACGCTACCAACCGAACTTCCAGGAGGAAGCGTTTTTAAATCTGCAGGATTTGATGGGACAAATACACCACTGCTGGAGCCCGAACCTTCTGGGATTGTATAACTCCCTGATATTTTCACGCTCGGATTTGATGTTGACGTAAAAGTTGCTGTAGTAAAGTGCAAGGAATATATTTGTATAGACCGTAAAAATCGCATGGGTGGACATATTAATTTGCAATCTGTAATCTAGGCTGAGAGGCAATTTTACTCTAGATGTATAACTAATTTTAAGGATTTGTAAACTGTAACCTTTCCTATTCTGCCCAAGAATGAAAAGTCGTAAGACTAATCAAGTCTACATATTCTCACCTGGAAATGATGTCTCGCCCGCCTTAATCGGTGTAAACGCCCAAGTTTTTGAACTAGTGGTTGTCGTCACTGTAGACGTTCGCGTAGTCTTTGTCGTCCTCTTCATGACAATTGTGAAGGGTTGTAACCCCGGAACTCCGGGAATTACAGTGCCCGACATAGCCGTTGGTTGGGCCCCTGACGCTGGGATGAAAAAACCTAAAAGATTTTCGGATTAGTTTAAGAGTAACAATATACAAAAATATTATCTTAACAACCTTGGCCTTTCGAATCGGAGGGGAGTTGATAAATACCAGGGACGGCAGGACCTCCGCCGTCAGGAATAAACATAGCTAAAGAAAAATTTGGCTTTATAAATGGTCCGTAAATGGAAACCTTAACCGTGTTATTAGCTAACCTTGACCCCCACTATTCTCTTCGGTTTGAGGCTTAAATTCCGCCAGAGTTCCACCCTCCCCAGTGATCATAACCGACCCTTTCGAAACACCTCCTCCTCCTCCTGAGCCTGGTATCAGATAACCATCCAGATTTACCCCAGCAGGCAATTGAGCCATCTCTTTGGGATTGTTAGGCTTGAATATGGACTCCTGACCACTGTCCGCATTTGGATTTGGTATCAAAGTCCCCGCAATTCTTAGCGTTGGGTTGCTCGATGGAGAGAAGAAATATGGACTCGCCGTCGTTGTTGGAGTAGGTTGAAAAGAGCACGAGTTGTTCCCAGATGATGGAACGTTTACGACACCATCAATCTGGGCGGAGGATCCCTCGAGAAGAAATCCCCCTGAAGATGGCCCTGGAGGAAGATGGGAGTAAAAAGCGGGGTCGTTCGGAGAAAAGACGAGTGGCCCACCGGGGATTGGAGACACGGTACAAACACCAGGAAATACTGCATTAGCCAGCAGAGAGGAGACGAATTGGCAGTCTGACGCAGTAGTGTGATCTACCGTAGTTAATTGTATAGTGCTTGGTTTGCTGCTCGTCGTGCTGGTGAGTGTCGTTGTGGGTGATGAGGGGGTCGTCGGTGATGAGGGGGAGGTCGTCGGTGAAGGGGCATTAATTTTAAGCGTAACCGTGACCGGTGGAGAGCCTGGTTGGAGGGGGATTACAGTGCCGTGGAGGGAAGTTGTAGGTAGTCCTTCAAATTCTGCGTCGTTATTGGGTTGGAAGGTGGAGGTGGTTCCGTCCGGTCCTCGAACGAGTTGTCCGACTATTTTCTTATCTGGGTAGCCCGTGGGGTAGAGAATCGCTATTGAATAGAATAAATAATTGTCTTAGGGAAAATGATCATAGTACAATCAAGCGAAAAATGTCATCATTTTACACTCAGGTACTGGTTTAGGTTGTTTAAAAATTCATTGCATTACATACAGTGGTTTTCAAAATATATTAAAGCTTATAAAAAAAGTATCAGGAACGTGAGAAACTAAATATGCTGAGCATAAAAGATTGGGTGAAATATGTACCCGTCATTGGTGGCATCGTCATATCTGGCATTTCCATATCCGGCATTGACATTGGTTTTATGTCAGAGGTTGGAATCTTGTTCATGTTCATGTCTGGCATCGTCATTGGGGTCACACCAGAAGTAGTTCCCGATGGCATGTCAGGGGTCACAATTGGCTTAATGTCAGTCGTTGGAATCTTCTTCATATTCATGTCTGGCATCGTCATTGGTGTCATTCCTCCCATCGACATTTCCGAAACCGTGATTGGTTTAATTCCTGATGAAATTGGCTTCATGTTAAGCATCGTCATCGACATATCGTTCATCGCAGGGGAACTTCCTAACTTAAACGGTGAAGGAGCCATGGGGAAAGCAGGGTTAAAGTTAATGTGCCCTTCAAACGGAGCCATCCCAACACTTTGAGGTACAATAAATCCAGAGCTTAATCCGGTTGGCAGAATACTTCCACCTGCCGCAGCATCAGTAGGGATGAACTGCCCACCACCACTATCAGTTTTCGTGAAAGTTCCCATGATTTTTTTCCCTGGTTGATTACTCGGATAGAAAAATGCAGCTGAAATACATCCAAGATTACGTAAACTTAGACAAAGATATTACAATAAACTATGTACACTTTTTAACGTACGAGTCGGCGTAGTCTCAATTTCCGGCGTAAACTTAAAATCGAATCCCATCGATGATCCACTTGTGGTGGTCGTTGTTGTCGTCGTGGTTGACGTAGTTGTCACAGTTTTGTGCAACTTGAACTTGATCTTTGTCATCCCTGTTCCTTCTACAGTGCCAGAATACCACCCCATGGGAAGTGAAGCCATTTGTTGTGGATTTTTAGGACGGAATACGCCTCCACCAAAGGGAGCGGGGGTGAATTGCCCGTATACAAACATATTGTCGGGTTGTCCATCCGGGTGGAAAATTGCTAAAAAGAAAAAAAAACGTTGTATGTATTGATTCGACACACCTCTGCCTATTAAGTGATTCAGAAATATATATTATATTTCCGTGTATGAAGTCATTGGATGATCAGTGTGTAACGTGGTATCGATCGGCTTGGGAGAAGTAATTCACAATAGGAAGTTCGCATAATGACGAAAATAAATCCAGGAAATTCTTTATATTGGACATTAATATGAAATAACCTGGTCCAGGCGCGTTTGCAGGTTCTGGAATAATTGCTGCTCCCTTTTCTCCATCGTCTGGTGGGACCACCAAAGCCACCATTGGAACGGAACCAGGAGCACTGGAAACCACTGCCCCACGTAATCCGTCTTTCGGAAGCGATGCTGTCAATTGATCCGGATTGTCGGGGACGAAGGTGGGAGATAAAGACGGATCTGTCGTTGAAGGGACGAGTGAGCCAGGAATTACGATTTCGGGATGATCAAAAGGCGAGAAAGTTGCTAAATTTCAAACATAAACTAAATTGTAAAACCACAAATATTTTTTCTTGAGCACAGGTGAACAGCAAAAAAACTAGAATTGAAATTTCATCAAAAAGAAAGAAAGACCAAAATCCATATTCGCACCTTTTCCTGCGGTATCTTCTTTTGGTGGGAGTACGGTGAAAGTTGGACTGGAACCAGCAGAACTGGGTGGCGGAGCTGCCAAAAGTCCGCTCTGCGGGGGCGTAGTCACGCCATCGAATATCATCGGCAGCTGGGTCGGATCTTTGGGAAGTTTTCCTAAATCGTCAGGGCGGACAGTAATCGTCACTGGCGTATTCGGATTGGGTGATTGCGTCACAGTTGCGGTAATCCTGTCAGCAGGGTTGGACGTGGGGAAGAAATAAACTAGCAACAATATTTAGTACGTAATTATTCAAAGTACTTCGAAACGATAGAAATTACCAATCACTTTTTTGTGGTAATATGGCTTACCCGTCTTGTTCGTAACTGGATCGGGGGCAAAGGACACGGTTCCTTCTCCCAATGTGACAGTTCCACTCACTTTCTCAGTAGATCCACCGTCGACCGAGGTAAAGGTCACGCTCATAGGTTGCCCTCCAGTTGAAGGCAACGCAACATTGTCCAAAGGAACTAAAGAACCAGACCCACTCATTTCGCTCGGAGGAGTATATTTTGCCAGAAAAGTTGTCTTTTTATCAATTGTAGTCACTTTCACTGTTGTTGAAGTGGTACGTTTCACCAATGTGGCGGAATAAAATAGTCCTCCCATGTTTGGCATGGGTGGCGAGAGGAAACATGGCATGGGGCTTAGTCCCTTGGACAAAATTACTCCTTGCAAACCGGAAGTGGGAAATGGCCCACTCGTAGATGGAGCCCCGGTTGGGATGAATTTAGCCACGGAACCATCCTGAGCCAGTTGAACTTTTCCTGACAGTATAGTCGTCTTCCCATCACCCGTAGACATGAAGGAAGCTTTGGAATTAGAAAATTAGGTGAATTTTGTCAAATTTACTTAATAATAGCCAATAAATTGATTTAAAATTATCTCCACCTTCTTGTGGCGCATTTAATGTTACTCCGTCTGGTTTGAATTGGGCTGGAGTGAATGGATCCGTCGATGGGTAGAGGACACCCTTCGTCAAAGCGGCTGAGTTGGACTCCAACGCCATAAAACCCTCGACGGGTTCGTTCCCAATGGCGGATCCAGTTATTTGAAGATATCCTGAAACAGCGCCCTCGCTGCTTGTTTTAGATTTAGATGGTTCGGTATACGTTCCAGCGAAGGTCTGCGTGGGTCGGTTCAATGGCATAAAGAGAGCTGTATGAATAATGAGAACAATGGAGAGAAACATCTTTGAGACTTTTTAGCTGAGCCAACTAGTTCTTGAAATTACGATGAGTCGAAAAAATGTCTACTTATGCAATCTCTTATAACAAATTTACGCAATTTTATATAGTAAACCTGGTGCTGGAGGTTTTTCTTCCACAGTAACCGGAAACGATGGGGCCGATCCGCCAGTGATCTGGTCGAGGTGGAGAGTCCCTTTCATTACAGCTGTACTTTCTTTTTCAGACTTTTCCGTAGTAAAACTGACTTGTACGGAGTTGTCCGTTTGCGTTCCAAGTTCTTGCTTTAGTGAGGTAATTTGTGTCAGATCGTTGGGAGAAAAGACATCGACTTCCCCATTTGGCGATGGAGTGAATACCCCAGGAATAATTATTTTCTTTCCAGTGGTAGTCGTCACGGTCATGGTGGCTACACGAGGCAATAAGTAAACCAGAGTTCATATATTTATAAGCAAAACTAAATATACTTATGCTCACATTTAATCGTTTTCCTTTTTATCGTTTTCACAGTAAAAGTTCCCGGAGCAGGTGATGAGACAAATAAGGGGACCGGATGACCATTTGGTATCGAAGGGATGAAAACGCCATCATGATCGCCAACCTGAAGTTGCGGCGTTCCAGGAGATGAATCCGGAATAAAGGTAGGAGGCCCAGTAGGACTGCCACCCGTGCTACTCGGAGGGGTGAAACTAAAAGAGCCAGGAATATCAACGGGAGGACTTCCGAACTTGTGAAATACTCCTGTGACATAAAACAGCATATAAAAATCATACAAAAAATGTGTCGATTTTTTATATATTTTGACACCTTTTTGCTTAATTGCTCCATTCGGACTTGTACTCACGATTGGTTCTGGGACCACAAACTTGTTTGATCCTGGTTGTAAGTTTCCGGCAATTGGCGCTACCCCTGGAATTGGGAGACTTACAAACCCTGGAGTTAGGGATGTTGATCCCTTCAATTTTGGAGCCTCTTCCGGGTTAGGAGTAAAGACTCCGGGTGTCGTTCCACTGCCCGGAACCCAAATCCCCATTATAGGTGATGGGTTAAATTTTGGTGCAGTCCCATTTCCAGTGGCAGGAAGTGGGGCAGGGTTGGGATAGAACACTGCCGGCATTGATTTTTCTACTGGAGCACTTGGTAAGAATGATGTCGTTCCAGACACTGATGACATCACTGTTCCCCTGATGACATTATTATTGGTTGACGTTGACGTTGTTGTTGCGGATGACGATGATGATGTCCGAGTTACGAGTGAAATAGACCCTTTCAACCCCATCAGAAACTGCTCCGACTGAAATCCTCCGTCGGGGAAGAACTGGCCGGGTGTTCCGAACGTTGAAGATTGAATCCAAGTACCAGATATTTTAAGGTCTGGTTTTTCATCGGACGAAAATACGGCCGGAATCGGATTGTCTTCATCTACCTTTGTAATTATTGGCTCGGTCTGACCTGGACCAGGTGGGTGGACCAAAACAAGAACCGGTTTCGATGTAGCGTCACCATCCCAAAGTGTAGCTATTTCCCCACCGGGATTAATTTTAGCTACGTCTGCCGAATTGATTAGTTCCATCTTTTCGCCATTGCTACTAGAGGATCTCGTAGTCGTCTTTGTCACCGTAGTAGTTGTTCGGGTAGTTGTTGTTTTCTTAATGAATCCAGTCATCGTGAACTTTGTGTTATAGAAGAACGTGATTGTTGCTGCGAAATGATTTTTTAGAGCAACATTAGAAACTTGCGTTGTGGTGAATTTCATGCAATGTATTTATTTAGAAATTTATTGACCTACCTCGTTGGACACTATATGAATCTGATACGAACGTAGGAGTTCCTCCAACCCCACTCGGGTTCAATGTCCCCTTTTTCATTTGCCCTGAAGGCATGAGCACATAGCCTGGTGTGGGGCCCGGTGGGAGTTTGTTTTTGCTGTCTTTCGGCGTAAACACATCTTGCGCTGATCCCGGAGTTGGTGAGTAGGTTCCACAGATTGCAATGTTCGGGTTGGATAGTGGAGTGAAAACCACTCCAGGTGTTTCAACATTAACGGGCTTTAAACCAATAGGGAGCCCTGGTCCTGGTGCGTCAGATAAAGTAATCGGAATGGGGAGGGAGCCAGGAATGTTGTTGACCACAGTGCCGCGTACATTTTCTAAATTTCCATCTGTACTCATTTTTGAGAGTTGGGTGCTATCCGTTGGATAGAATGCACCTCCACCCTCACCGGACGGAGAGGGGACAAATTGACCAAGAATAGGAGTTGACGGATGACCTTCCACATACAGTGATGCTGCAAGATCATAGTTAGGAATTAATTTATATTTACATACATCACCGACCGCATAAAGTTATTTGAAATATTGCAACTTTATATCTTGTTGTTCCAACCATCACTATCAAATTTAACCATCACTGATCTTTAATCGGTCTTTTTTATTGGAAATGAATCTTATATTTTGGATTTTATTGAAACCTCGTTTTCTCTTTATTAATTGGATATTTTAAACTTCACGTGCATAGCATATGCACCACCGTGACATACAATTTAAGACTAGTGGAAATCCCAAATCACAATCACCTGGCCCTGGTTCCGTCTTCGGGTCTGGCTTAAAATTGGCCGATCCTCCGGATGTTGTTGGCGGCGAAACTGACACTGGAATAGGTTTTGCGGTTGGGTCATTGGGTAAAATAATGGCTGGAGTAGAGGCTGACCCTGCTGGGCCCAATGTTTTTGCCAACTCTGACGGCGAATCCGCAACGAAGGCATCCCCTTTCGGACTGGGTACCAGTTTACCAGAGACTGTTGTTCGATCTCCATTTTGTGACATCACAATCATGGTAGCTGCATAAATAAAATAACCGGAAAGTCGTACATTAGTGTAAGTTATGTCCATGCATAATAAAATCGCTTACCCGGGGACCCCGCTTCTGAACCAGAGTCGGGATTCGGTTGACAAATCAGTTTGTTTCCTTCGATTGTATAACTTCCAGAAACTGGGACTGAGCCCAATGTCTCCTTCATTATCTGACCAGCTCCACTTCCTGTTGGCATCTTTGATGGGTCAGACAGCACAAAAGTGCCCGGTTTACCAGGAGCTGTTGGTGCAACGTAGGAACCGGTTAATCTGACTCCACCCAGATAAATTGAAGCTATAAAACAAGCAGTAAACTTTAGGTGAGAATGATCGAATTATGATTTGCAACAGTTATTAAACATTATTTATAATCAAATTATTTAAATTTTGACTTGATACGATCTGGATTTGTGTCTGTCTCACTTGTTGCTTCCTGTCCAGAAGGCCCCGAAGGGCCAAGCTTCATGGAAAATCCGCTCGAAGTTCTTGTAATCGTTGTTGTAATGACTGTTGTGGTCGTGGTCGTAATAATGGTTGTTTTGTAAAAGGTTCGAGTTACGATGTATATTTTTCCTGAAGTGGAACCGCCCTGTTTCATTTGATTGGAAAATGAGGCTTGGTCATCGGGCATGAAATTGACAGGATCACTTGGTTTCGATGGTGGAACTGTTTTTCCAGGGAACTGTTGAGTAGATCCATCCGGTGTAAAGTACGCTATTATAATCAACGATTTTATTATGCCATCGCAACAAATTGGGTATTAATATTTCTCGACTATTTCTCACCCGTCTGTGGCACCGACATGGGATCGATAATAAAACTTGTCCCACTGGCAGGTGGCGTTGGACTACTTCCCGGTTTATTCTCTGGCTTTTGCACAACCGCTTGAAATACTTTGTTTGCCGTGCTGCTGCTCGAAGACGTACAATGGAACGTAATGAATGTCGTTTCTTGAGTTAGACGTTTTACAAAGTCTGTGTTATCATTGGGGATAAAAACCCCTCCTGCACCGGCTGACGATCCTTGTGTTAGATCGATACGACCTTCGATTCCTTCTCCAGTGGGGTCACCAGTCACATAGGCGACGGCTAGAATTGGATAAATCTGCATAACTTGGCATACCTTTAGCAAACTTATATGTACTCTATACGTTTTACATTTTAGAATTATGAAACAATATACGAATTTGAAAATCTTTTTAACAATGCACTTTTAGAAAATTCAATGAACGCATTGCAACGCAAAAACCGTTTCTATTTATATTCTTCTACGAATAAATTGAACTTGATCCGGACACAAAATATGGGTTGCTCACTTCACAAAAAGTACAATGCCATTGAATACAAAATATGTATATATTTGTATAGTTGTAATTATGAGTAAGTGTGATACAAAACTTCAATAAATTCTACCTACCATTTTCCACATCACCCACTGTTCCTGGTTCGGGAGTAAAGCTTGGACTTCCATCAGGACCAACAGAAAGAACTCCTTTCATCGGAACTGCTCCTAATTTTTCGACGACAACCCAACCAGTGGTACCAGTCGTCGCCGTTGTTGGCATTGTTGCTTGAGTCGATGGCTGAAATGGCGTCGGTGTCGAACCCGTCGGTTCCCCACAGGTTCCTCGTATTTTAGCGGTAGGGTTATCAATCGGGATGAATGAAGCAGCCATTGGTGGGATGGGATCCATTGTGACGGTAATGGGGTCAAGGGGAGACATTGGAATTTGCAGCGTACATTCTGTCGGTTGCGCATTCGGTAGTTGGGATAACGTTAGGGACGCACGTATTGTACCTCCCGGCGTCAATCCATCTAAACTTCCTTCAGTCGGATGAAATACACCGCTGCCTTGCGTCAACTGCGGCATGGTGAACCAACCGGTGATGGTCGTTGTTGTCACAGTTGTCGTCGTGATGATAGCTTGTTACAGTTACAAGGAATAATACTTTATTTGAAACGAACAGCTTACGAAAATATGCATACATTCCAAGAAGTCGTTCGTTTCGGTTATGATTCACAGATGACAGAGACCATACACACAAAATTAGGTGATAACTTACTGGTTATTCGTGTAGAAGATGTAACCATGATAAAGGTGGCTGTTTGAGTGGCGCTGGATAATGTCATCATAACCACGATGGGCTTGCCATTTGGAGTGGTCGAAACGAACATACCGGGAGTGGATCCAGTCGTTGAGACAACCGTGGCTAGGTCAGACCATCGATCAGGAGAAAAGCTTGCAGGAGATCTGTGGAATACAAAATTTATATGTAGAACATTTAAATGTGTACTGGAAATAGTTGATCAAAATAACATTCAGATTCATAACCCGTTTGTCATTGAGATAATACGTAATCGACCAGATTCCACAATGCAGTATTACCAATGACAATCAAATGCTTAAAACTTTGTTGCTTATGAATTAATATTTTCTACACATTAATCGAATCCCAGTCTTACCCAGGAGTTGACGACACCTTAGATATTCCCGTAATAGCGAGATGAGATTGACCAAATGGATAAAAATATCCGGGTCCGGACCCCTCAGTGAGGGTCGATTCAGGAAGGAAACTAGCGTCAGTGCCAGGTCCATTGTACGGTTGCTGTTCAACAAAATGCATATATTTACGATTTAGGGTAAAAGTAGTTTTAGAAATTTAGTCATGGATTAGCTTAATTTTTATCACGGACAAACTCGAGCATTTTGGATTATTAATGTACCATTTTTCCCTTGAGTGGAGTTGAATTGTTCCCAATCAAAAGGAGTCCTTCCGTCGTGAGATGTCTCAACTTTTTCCCCTCTGATTCCTGTATTTTGAACGCACCTGGACTTCCTGGAGTGAGAGGTTCTTCCCAAACACCGGAAACAGTTTGAGTGGCGTCATCACCGAAATGGAAAACGGCTGGAGTTGGAGGCTTCGGATCGGCGACAAATGATGCAGGTTTTCCCGACAAAGTAGGTGCTGATATCTTTCCTGGAATTGGTTCCAGGGTGTTCGAAGGAAAAGTAATTTTCCCAGGCGCAACATCGGCATAATCTTCTTCCGAGAACTTCATTAAAATATAGTGAGTTCATTTGTTGCATATTTACTTGCGGTATTTCAACGAACTTATTTACCTTGTCTGAGATAAATTGGCCCCCTTCTACGTAAAATACGCCAGTAATTTTCTTTGTGGCATCATTGTCAGGTACGAAAACGGCTGTAAGAAAACAAAGATTAATTTCAGTTATGTGTTACAACAAAAAAATGATAAAGCAAAATAAGCAGATACTACCACCACTAGTACCTACTCCCCTCACGTGTCGGCATAAATAAATCATAAAATCTCGATCAACTTTATGACGTTTTAAAATAATTGGGCAAATTTATCCTATACTCTACGTCGGTTTTATGTACCTGGAATAAAGCCACTATCTGGCGACGATATACTAACGAATGCGAAAGGTTGTCCTGGAGGAGGTTTCTGCACAGTGCACTTTAATGGCTTTCCATCGGCAACGGTAATAACGCCCCCACCGTCTGCCAACTGATTCAAATCGGAAGGATCCTTTGGATGAAATCGGACCATTTGGGGGGATACTACAGCACTTCCCGATATCGACACTCCAGAAGATGTGATGATTAATTGAGCTAAGGAATTTTCCAAATTTTTATAATTTTAAAAAATTTCTACATATGTAATTTCTATGTAATTTCTATGTAATAAGCACACAGTTTCCAAACCTTGTTGAGCCCCAGATCCACTTGCTCCGGTCGATGTTGTTCCTCCTTCTCCTGTGCCTTCTGCAGCAGCACCGCCACCTCCACCTTGTCGTAAATCTGGTTTAAACAAATCTGGAGGGACGAAAACCCCAAGAATTCCGTCCCCATCAGATCCACTCGTTGTTACCAAAGTTCCAGGTGTTGGACCGCTCGGCATTCGGGCAGCATCTTCAGAAATCAGAGTAAAATTACTTGCTCCACTGGCACTTGTTTGCTCAGTGTATGTCCCTCGCAAGACCGAAGTTGGCGAACTAGTTGGATGGAACGTTGCTTGAGAGGGGGGTCCCATGTCAGGAATAAAACCATTTTTTCCACCAACTGGAGGAAACATTGTTCCCGGCATTGAAGGCCATCCTTCTGGCGTAATTGCACCTCTCAGTGGTGCCTTTATCTTGGCTCCCTCATCTGGATTTGTTGGAGTAAATAAGGCTTCCCCTCCTGGGTACGGGGGACGTTGAACCATTCCCTGCAATGATAACCCAGATCCGCTAGCAAATACCGCCTTCGAAGTAGTTGTGACGGGAACCATGCTGAACGTTATGGTCGTCGTCGTCACTGAGGTGATGGTTATCACTGTGATGGTTCGCGTAATAATGGTTGTCGTTGTGGTCACAATGAATGAGACAGTCCCTCCTTTTGGGGGAAACATTTTGGCATGGGCTGGATTTTGTAGCATGAATGAGCCACTGGTCCCGCTGGGTTCTAAGGACATGGTGCCAGGTATGGGATCAGCAGAATTGAAGATTGATACCACCCCTGTCAAGGGAAATGTTAATATTAGATCCACACGTTCTGTCTGGCTCCCGTTTTATCATACATGATACATATTTCGTATTATACACGCTTGAAGTATCGGTTCAGGATGTTAGAAAACGTATGTACTTAGGTATTATAAGTTACAACTATCATGAGGTTTTATTTATTAGTTTACCTGGAATTGCACCAGCTTTCAAGGGATTGAATGTGCATAGAACTTTTGAGGGGTCAGCACATGTCAGAATTCCACCCTGGGGAGTAGCTCCGACTGGGCTGTCCGGAGTGAACGTGGCGGATCCTTCTTGCATTTCAAGTGGATTGTACGCACGGAATTGAAGTGGGTCGGATTTCGTCATGAGACCCGAAATGAGATTGGTCGGTGAGGAGAACGGTGACAATTTTCCTGACACGAGGTCGCTCGGGTCTGCAGTGAACCCACAAGTGGACAAAGGTGGCTCAGGGGGATGAAGGAGGCCATGTTGAGAAGGGGCTCCTTGTGCTGACAGGATCCCAGGGGAAGGCGTATGTGGGACTTGAAATGTGACATCAGGGATGAACGTATTCCCTTTGGATAGGACACCATGAATTTCGTTAAATGGGTTCGCATCAGGCATGAAAGTAGTGGGAGTGTCGGGCTATAATAATAAATTAACATCATACTATTATATATGTATAAATATGCACATACAGGTAAAATTGTGACTTATGGGAAAAGATTTTTTTTTGGTTTTGCTGAGGTTCATCAGAGCATTGTTTGCATATGTACAATAAATAAGCATATGCAAATATTGCACATCTCACCGAGAACGATGCCGTCCCCTTCGTAGAGCCGGGCGACAGCACTCCAACAATAACTAGATTATTATGTAACATTTAATAGTTTTGTACTTCATGACAGAAACAGTGTGTGTAGTATTTCTATTTGTTTGACCTTGTCCTGCAATTGGGGTTACTCTCCCATGAACCTCAGCAGTAGGAGTATTTGCCGAATTAATTGGATTAAACGACCCTGCCGATCCAGCCTGTCCGGGAGGAGTGTACATCCCTTTAATTTCCGCCCCCTGATTTCCATCTGGTGCAAATGTGGCTGGCAACGAGCCTGGGATTCAACATAATTTTATTTTATTTACTACAACTAGTGAAACAAAATTGTAAGTGGAAATGTTGACATATTTTTTAAGACGGTAAGACCTGGGAGATCCGGATAGAATGTTGCTGCTGATCCTGGATTAGGTTCCATTCTTCCGGGTATTGCAACTCCTCCTGTATAATTCGTTATACAAGTTTTAGTCATTCAAATTTACGAGAAATTCATGCATACTTATTATTATTCTTTAAGTATTTTTTATGTGGCTTGAACTCCATATGTTGTTACTCAGGGTGGCCAGAATAACTCGCTGCCCACACTCATCCATACGTAAAAAATAGGTTTTCCACCATTTTGCCCTCAAACATTTACTGTACCTTGAGGAACGATTTCCCCATGCTCTGGTCCACTAGGAAGGTCACTCGCCTTCGTTGGCATAAAAGAACAGGCGGGCTGCCCAGTCGTGTACATGCCCGGGATAGGAGTTGGAGAGTTGTCCGTAAAGTATTCAGCTAGACAAAAGCACGCAAAATACGTATGATTGTTATTTCGTGTAGCTTTATCAAAGAATTCTACATTTCATTAGCCTCACCTTTCACCGAGTTTTGTGAATCCTCCATAAAAGTGAAAGGCCCTCCTCCTGCACCCGGATTATGTAAACTGCCCATTAAAGTGGATGACCCGCTAGATAGGAGGACCTTCCCATGATTATCGCCTTGTGGAAATGCTGCCGCATCCAGCGGAGAGAAAGTTGGTGGATTGCCTGCCATCCAAATGCCCGAATAAGCTACCGCTGGAGCCACATCCAAGTAAACCGAAGCCGGGATTGACCCTTCCGGATCGGGAAGGAAAGAAGCAGGTTAATCTTTTGAGGACGGAGGGTTCATTGTTCCAGGAATTTTCGCTAAATTGGCCTAATTTACAAAACATGTGTATGCAAGGTGTGCGAATCTTATGTGTAAATCGAAATAAATTATTCGCAAAATTTATCACGGATAATGCTTTAATTACTAACCTTCTCGCTTAATAGAGTACCATGTACAGCAGCCAGCGGAACTTTACTCCCATAATCGTCTGGATTCGACGGGGTAAATTTTCCTGGTAAAGAAATATTCGCCGCTGCTTGATAAACACCTCGCATCGCTGCTCTTGTATTGACATCAGAAACGAACGTAACAAATACGCTCCCTTCAGGATCTGGGCTGAAAGCCAGGGGTGACCCAGCGCTCAAAACTCCATGTGGAATCTGGGTGGCCACATACACTGGGACAAGTTTACCACTGCTTGGCAACTGAGGCGCTTTGCTAGCATCGAGAAGGGTCACTTTTCCTGGGTTGTTGTTCGTTTCAGCCGGAGGTGGCGTGTACATTGCAGGAATCGGAAAGTCAGGGCGAATATCAGAGAAAAAGTTTACCCTGATGGCTTCCTAATTCATGTGAAATGAATTGGGAACGACAAAACATGAGTATAAAATTCTACAGTAGAATGAAATACAATACACACACGACACACACCTTAGCGTCCGGTGTAAATGTGGCGGGTTGACCGGCTACATTCGGCGGAGTGAGGAAGCCTGAAAAGCTGTTGGAGCCCCCAGAAACAGAGGAAGCTGATGAAAGGGTCATAGTTCCATACGTCTCGGTACGAACAATTATTGTACTTGTCGTAATGATTGTTGTTGAAAAAGTCTCAAACATTTTGAATGTTGCAGAACTTGAATCTGTTGATGTAATGTAGAGACCTTTCAATACAGCGGCAGGGTCCAGATCTGGGACAAAACTAGCCATAGAAGAACCACTTGGGTCACGAGTGAACAATGTCGATTCCACAGGTGCGACGGGGCTAGCTCCCATCGAACCGGAAATTGGTGCTCCCCCAGAACGTAGGGTGAGAAGACCGTGCGATTCCGACGTTGAAAGACTTGATGGCGAATCGGGTTGGAATTTTTCTGGCAATCCTTGCAGCATAACACCAGAGATGGTTTGTCCTCCACCTGTTGAGTCAACGGAATACGAGGCGACTATGGAGCCTGCAGCGTCAGGAAAGAAAGTGGCCGATTGTGCGCTCTCTGCGATAATCTTTCCTGATTGTGGCGAGAGTCCACCAACCTCTGCGACTCCACGGATAGAAGTTGAAAGCGCAAACTGGTCCGCGCTGGTTGGGATGAACGAGAGGGAACTTCCCAGAGTGGGGGTTGGATTAAGAGGAGTAAATGAAATCTGTGCTCCGCCCCAGTCGGGTTTAAAAATGCCTGAAATTAAATTAAATTGTATGCTTGACATCAATCCACCAGATAATCAAGAAAATTTGATGAAATTTTAATATCAGAGCAGGATTAATTTTTTACTTGTGCGCAACAATAACTAGAATAATTGTTCCACAATCAAGGATTCACCTCATTGAATTAGATATCTATTTGCATGATTTCGCCTGTTAATTAGCTGATATATCAAACTACACACTTTAGTGCCTAATTTTTCACGGGTTACCTACCTTTTGCCCCCACTGGTTCAGGTGGAGGTGAGGGTGGCGGCTTTGGGGGCGCCCCAGGCAAAGTGGGAGGTCCTCCAGGATGCCTTAATCAAATGAAGAAATTTATATTGATTTGCACAATTATTATAAACAGCCAATTGCATGATTAAGGCATACTCCGGCGGACCCATGGCAAGAGTAATTGGTGGTCCATGTCCATCGCTGAAGGTCCCATTTTGCCCTCCCATTCCTTCTTCTGGTTCATCGAAGGGAATCTGCGGAGTTTGAGTCAACTATTTAGCAATCCATTGTGTTTACAAAATTATGCTCGTAAATTACGAATTCATCAGCCGTTCCAGCAACTCCTGGAACCCAAGCTCCAGAAACGGCTGGTCCACCATCAGCTGGAGTAAATGAACCGGTAGTTCCAACACCAGACGGAATCTAAAAGTAAAAACTTTGTCAAAAACATTGCTCTAAAATGACCTACAGCAATTATGCAACTTATTTAATACTAGAGTTCAATAAAGATCAAAATGGGTTTATATTTAGAATATTCATGCAAAATACTGTATCTCAATTTCCCCACTACCAAACTTGTAAATATTTAGAAAAATATGAGAGGCGATGTGAGTCATGGTGGTGACAAAGGCGAAAATGGATAGGTTTGCATATTATCGGTTAATTGTAGCATTAGAAAGTTACATACATATGCAAATCTGTACAAAACACTTTCACTCACAAATGAAAACGGTGCACTGGGCTTGTTGACAATAAGCTCTCCCTGAATAGGAACCTTTTGCCCTGAGGACGGCGTCATTGTTCCAAAAATTTTGGCTGGTTTTGGAGGCACTGCTCCCGATGGGTAGAAATCGTTTGGAACCTTTGGATTCCTATTATGATACAAAGAAAGGAACCATATTTTATTATTCGTGGTATTTTCAATTTTACTCATATATTTCTCAAGTAGACTTACATTGGGGCTAGCGTGCCCTCCATCGGTGCAATTTTGGGATCACTAGGCACGAATGAAACTGGTCCACCCTCACCATCCGCGACAAACTTTGGCTCGTCCCCAGCAGACGCAGGGGGTAGAAGGACGCCATGTCTCGGCGGAGACGTTGACGTTCCAACTGGGGCCATCATTCCACTTAGCGACGGTTTCAATTTAGACGCAATGATAGTTTCATCATCAGGAAGAAACAGGTCAGGTTCACCACTCCGTTGTTGTAAAATTATGCCCATCACAGGAGCCAATGCGTGTTTATCATCCGTAAAAGTTGCCCGAGTGTGCATAAGAGAATCCGGGATGATAACGGGGGGAAGTTTGTTGTTGTAAAGTTGCCCTGTTTGCACAGAAACTCCGGAAGCGTTGGGTGGGTCTGGGGTGACGCTTACACGGATTGCGACGTTTGGGTCTTTTGATCGAAATGGGTTCGACATGTCCGAGTCGACAACTTTTGGCAAAAAAGGGAAGCGAAAAAGTTGTAAAGGTGGTACTAACAATTGCTTAAGAGGTTTACAAATTATGAACACACCGAACATGTCGGGATATCCACTGAAGCCAGGGACCGAGTACCCATGGACAGAAATGTCTCCCTTCGTTGTCGCAAGTTTTGCCGGGTATCCCATGCCGTCGGGGAGAAATATTCCAGACCCGGGTGTCACAGGCAGCTGAAACACAAACAGTTTTAGGACCTCTGCAAGTCTCCGATTTTGATATCCTTTTGTATTTGTACATAGGTATGTTGTACTACTATTTACGTAGATAAGTGTAATACGTTCATATTACATTTTATATACTACATAAGGTATTTTTTCATAAATATGTACATGTATTCAATTTGCTCATGCCCCACCGTATGAAAAGGATTATACCCAACACAGCTTTGCAAAAAATTCAACTTTACATTTTTATCATTTTTGCATTCTTTTGACCCTAGATAGTCATCTTATAACAACCCGAAATTTAGAAACAGGTGCTTGACTATATGTACACATTTAAGTATGAAGAAATTACTATCTGGGATCAAGAAATACTAAAATTCGATAAAATTGTAATTCAAGGCAGTTTTACTGATTTTCACCCCTTTCATGTGGCGTAGAGGGCGAAAATGGGGCCATGGAATAAACTCCTTTGAGAACCAGACTCGCTGATGACCCAATATTACCCATGAGTTATTAAAATTGGAAATTTATGTGTAATCCTTTCCGTACATACATACTTGTGTAATAGATGCGTTATATATGTATCGCCTCTTTGCGGCTCACCATAATTCCATGCACTAAATCGCGCTTCGCAGTTGGAGAACTGGGATTTGGCGAATATGCTCCAAGTGTTCCAGACTCTTTTGCTAATTTCCCGCCAAACGTTTTGGGATCTGTGGTCTGAAAAAGGTAGGGCCTCCCTTCCCCGAAGGGCACCATCATCCCACCCGTCACCGGCAGCGTGGAAGAGTCCAGAGTGAAAGTTCCTTGACTAATTTTAGGTGGATTTCCCTCCATACTTTTAGGCAATGCTGGTACCGGAGTTCCAACCGAAAGATACACGCTCGCAGCAGCTCCCGCTTTATACACTACTTTCTTTAACATGACTTTTTTAGGCCCCTTTTTTGCGCAACTGTTCATCATGGTACAGACAGCCGTCCCCGCTCCAGAACCCATCGCACCTGCCAAGTCACTAATTACCTCAACCCCACCCGTTAGCCCACCTTTGAGAACTTTGTTTGTTTCCTTTACAAGAGTTCCTTCCACGGCGTTGGTGAGCCCCAGGACTTGACCCACCGGATTGTTCACCACTTTCGTTAAGCCCATGTTTACCCCCTTGAGTCCCCTTTCGAAACCGGTCACTACTCCTCCTACCAAATTGCTAAGCAGACTCCTCCTCCCATGGGTCACTTGTATTGTCAAATCATCAAAAAAATCGGGATTCGATGTAGAAAATTCTGTCTCATCGCCAATAATGATAACTTTGTCTTTCTTCCCTGTCGTTGGGGGTTTCTGTTTATAAAAGTTGGCATATTTTTAGCTATGTATTTTTAAAGAAAACTACCAAAAATATTATTATTACCTTTGCCCACATAATTTCTTCGCCTTCTTCCTCTGGGAAAGCACTCGCGTTAAAGCCACACGACACGAAGAGGGTCGCTTCACAACTGGTCCATATTACCGGCCTTTTTTTCCTCCTATCCTCCCAGACATCCCATTCGACCAGGACTTGCCTCCCATCACTCAACGTGACGACCCCATCGTTATTAATGCTTTCGTCTCCATCCTCTTCACCACTCGAACCCACATCCTTGACGTACGCGTAGATGGGGTAATATCCAGCCGGCGTGGCGTTGGGGTCTCGCCTTAAGACCACGTATGTCATTTTACCTCCACCCGGGCGAAGGGCAACCTTGTCTTCGTCACTCTTTAGCACGACGACGTCAACGTTACTATCATTACTGGAACGTTGATAGATCACGTCGTCGTTTCCAGAAAATTCCTCCAAAATGGGTGAATGGTAGTGAGTGACCCCTTTAGTGGTGTCTATTGTCTACGATGTGAGTTATAGAAAATATGTAGAAATATTTAAGATTCAAAAATTGTTCAGAAATATATTTTGCTGCGTTACCTGTAGGAGAAAGAGGTCACCCTTCATTTGTGGGAGGGGCAATGCTAATGCGGCCTTACTTAAATGGGCCATGATGACAGGGTCATCGTCACCTTGGACGAATTGTCCAAACAAAATTGTCAAGAGTAGCGGTGAAAGCAGCGGTGAACCGCACCGCTCTTTCATACTGATGATCACTAAATAAGATCTGGTAAAATCCGAATAATGAATTGAAAGAAAATCGTCTAAATTTGTGACATGACGTCCTATGCAGCTGCCAGGAGTTTAAACTGACCTAGTTGAGTCTTTAAAAGTGTTTATGTTAAGTATGCAAGTGAGCTTTTCCTGGTTTATCAATGCCTACATACCTCTATTGAGTGCATAAATGCGAACAATAGTAATGTAGGCATGCAGTGCAGGGTAACCTTAATTTAATGCATTTTTCTCGTTATGTTTTCATTCTCATTTATTTAACGGAAAATTCGGAAGTGGGTGAAACAAAATTATCGCAATCTTATTAAATTTTGATGTTTTTGTAGCATTTACTTAGTTCGTGACCAAAGTCTAGAAAACATTCGCCTTAATTTAGTTTAAATTTGACCTTTCAGACATCGGGCTGAGCCATTACTAAAGTTTGGTTGATATAATGCAAATGCATTTCAAAATAAGGTCAAGTTTATGCGGAAATAAAAACTAACAATCGGTAAATAAATAAATACCAATATTTTATTGCTGACGTGCTTACGTACATGTGTGCATATTTATATGTACAAAGTGTATATCTTATTTATTTACAATTTCTTAATTAATATAATTGCTTCATAGAGTTTTAGTGATGGTAGAATAATATGTGCATACGCATGAAACGAGTAACTAAATATTTGGTGTTAAAAAATGACTTATCGATCAAACTGATAAACATGTTAGGCTAACATTGTTAGCTACAAAAAATCCTAGACATACAAAGAATATTTCATACCGACATTGTTTATTTACAAGTTGTGTAAGTAAAAAATCACCATGCAGATTAAATAAAGACAAATTAAGCACAACCACACAATAATAACTACAATATTTCCTTGAAAGATTCACCCTTTTCCACAAGGTCCTGAATTTCACTTAGTTACGTGTGTATATAAGGTTAACTCACTTGATGGTAAATTTTGTGACCGAGAGCTTGGGACGAGTTTGGGATTATTTTTGGAAAAAAATTCGTTGTTATGTGAAGTTAAGGCCATTTTAATGTAAATTTATAAAATAATGATGAAGATCAAGGCCGGTGGTGGATAAAATTAACGATCTTGGAGCAAATCTAATGTCATTTTTAGCATAATGGGGAGAAACTGTGCAATTTCGAACTGTCCAGACAGAAAAGGAAAGCCCTCTCACAAAGTTCACTCATTTCCAAATGCAAAACATGCACTTCTTCGGAGTATTTGGATTTCTCAAGCTATTGGGACGCCGTCATCACTTAAACTTGACAACTTTGGCGTTTGCAGCCGTCATTTCTCCTCAAATAATTATGTAGCAGGTCATGCCACCACAACTAAAAGTAAAGGTGGCGAAGACGATGTTCAAACAAATGGCGACGAAGAGTTCGAGATTCCTCCCGATCCAGCCGAGGCTAATTTGGAACTGATTAATTCCATCCTAAATACTTATGAACAAGTTTAATCGTTATGATATTTATGTTTGTCATTTGTTAATTATGATGTACGGTGTAATTGTTATGCATCTGTATAAAGTCGTGTTGTCAAAATTTTGACCACCACCGGCCTTGATCTTCATCATTATTTTATAAATTTACATTAAAATGGCCTTAACTTCACGTAACAACGAATTTTTTTCCAAAAATAATCCCAAACTCGTCCCAAGCTCTCGGTCACAAAATTTACCATCAAGTGAGTTAACCTTATATACACACGTAACTAAGTAAATTCAGGACCTTGCTTTTCCACTAATCTTATCCTAATAACGTAGTAAGTAATTGACTGCATATACCGCTCGAAAATTCAGGTCAGAGCTTAAAATATAACTGTCTGTCGCCGTCGCGTTTCAGTATTTAATTTTGGTACAGAATTAGAAAATCGAATTATTTCATTCCATTTTTACGCTCTACAGAATGTCGTCCGCCCTCAGCGCCCGCATCCGAAACCACTATGCTCCACCCTGGGTGGCCAATAACGGTCTCCGTGTCGAACGTCGGAGTCACGACCATTTCTGGCTGACTTGGAATCTCTCGCCAAATTCAGACTCATCCGTACCACCGTCGGCCACTGCGTCTGGCGAAACCAGTCTGGGTGGTGTGGTGGACTGCACCGGGATGAGAGTGAGGGGAGGAGTGCCTGCAAGTTCGGACGGATTGGACGGACCGTGGTACCATATCGAGTCTCGGGTTGGATTGGATGAGGACTGGAAGACCGTGTACAGGTGAGTGTGCTGGAAAGTGACATGATTTTGGTCACGGTTTGTAGCGTCTGCTTTTTAATAGAGGGTATCGATTACGCATCCAAATCGGCGATCTCCTCCCCAACACCACCTACTATTTTCGCATGAAACGCAACGGGGATATGGATTGGGGGACGGAAATTATTGCAGCGACGGATGGTTAGTTAAATAGTATGCAGCTGAAATAATATTCATGTCGTTTTTTACATTTAATTCCAATTTTAGCAACACCACCCTTCGCAGACGATTTACACCTTGCCGTGCTGAATAACGCTGAGGATCTGGTTCTCCGAATTATAGCAGGGTCGAGGTGGATCTCATTTAATTTTCACTTTAACTTTTTTGGTAACAGTTTGTAGTTGGATGATGCAAATTATCTATTTAGCTCGTCTGACCTTCGTCGCATGCTCGTAACGTGCAGCCCACTCGGAATGACACCCCTAATGATTGCATGTCAGCAAGGAAATTACAACATGGTAAACGTTCTCCTAAAATCGGGCTCAATTCCATCTTCAACTTCATCACATTCGAGTAAGACGGCCGCAATGTACTCCGCTATTGGAGGAAATGTCGAAATTATGAAACTCTTGGAAAATACGGGAAAAGTGGACTGGAAGAAGAGAGATATGTAAATATGTTCATAGTGCAGACAGAACAAAACACATTATACACTTATACTAAAGGGAGGGCAGCCTGGTGGATACGAATTTGGCCTTGAATAACCCCGGAACGGTTTGTCGTAGCGGGTCAAAATTTTGAACAGAAGAGCATGTTATCCTCAGATAGTTGTGTGCAAAAATTCAACTCTCTACTTTCAAAAATGCCTCCCCCACAGCCCCCAGAAGTTGAGACACTCGTTTCAACTTTTTCCAAACTCAGTCTAAAAAATTCGGTCCCCACAGAAAGATTTTCTTTTCATCTATCCGAACTCAAACAAGTCGATTTGACTTATATCAGGGGATTGTATAGGTATTTCACTATTCCAAATGATTTTTATCCCCAATCTAGGTTCAAGGTCATTTGCATAATCTTGGGTCAACTTTGCCGTCTGGGAGGACGCTCCGTCATGATGAAAAATCACCTTAATTATTATTTTACCGTGCAAATTAGGAAAATTGTATTCTAAAAGTGGTTTCAGTACAAGGTCCACATAATACTTCGAAGATTCCTTCACTTTTTGGGGGACTTTGATAAGTGGGAGGACACCACGACAGGACATTGCACCCACGACCATCAACTGTTTAAAAAAGTTCTCCTCACTGAAAAGCACCAAATTTCTTGAATTTTTTTTCGGCATTTGTCGTGTAGTAAGCTCTTCGAACCCAATTAGTAACTTGTAGGGAAAATAGTTCTTCGTCAATTGTCACCAATAGCTCACTTCTATTCCTCAACAGAATATTCAAATAAAATTTTTTGCAAACACGGGCGAGATTTTTTCTGGAACTATTTGAAATGACTGTCTCAGCTTCTGGGGGCTGTGGGGCAGGCATTTTTCAAAGTAGAAGGCTGAAATTTTGCACACAACTATCTGAGGATAACATGCTCGTCTGTTCAAAATTTTGACCCGCTACGACAAACCGTTCCGGGGTTATTCAAGGTCAAATTCGTATCCACCAGGCCGCCCTCCCTTTGGTAGTTGGTCAGATTATGCCTACTATTCTGTAGCTCTGGCTGTAACGCTTTGCATCACGCTGTCACCTCCGACAAGGTAGACGCTGCTCGATATTTCATTGACCTCGTTGGACTACAATGCATCGAAGACCAAGATGGGTTTGGGTGGACTCCACTTTTACGTGCTGGTAAATTTTAAAATCCATAAAAATTCATTTACAAAATCCACATAGTCTGATTGCACAGTAAAATTGTCTTTCTCCCAGCAATTGTCGGATCATCCTCTGCGTTGGTACAACTCCTCTGCGAAAAAGGTGCGGATTGTAATGTTCTGGACAAGCTGGGAATGAAATCAGTCCTCATGGCTGCCACACTAAACTCCAATCTCGACCATGTCAAAATCCTCCTCGCTCAAGGGGCCGACCCAGACTATAAAAATGACGTGGGAAGATCGGCCCTAGACATGGCGGCAGAAGGGACGAATGCAGCGTACGAGGCAGAAGACTTTGACGCATTTTTCAAAAATCTGGTGAGGATTTTTATCTATTCATAGTTCAAGATTTTTCTGAAACTAAAATCTTTTGTATTCGTATTCCTTTAGGAAATTGAGGAAATGATTCTCAACCGCTCCTGTGAACGAGAGACCATCCCAGGACGGTCTCCCAGTTTCATAGCGTCCATGCTGCGCACAGATCAAAGAAAGTATTTCCCTTCACACCTCACCGGGCCACTGAGTAAAGCACTGAATGAGGCGTCTGGAACCATGTTACGACAAAGTATGCATGGTGTCCGAACACTAATGAAGGAATCCACACCTGGAACGGCAGCACGACGCCGGGCTTTGGAAGAGGTTGCAAAAATTGCGAGAAATGTAAAAAGAACAGGAGACGTTGGTCGGAATAACAACAACAACAACTAACCTGAGACAGATATGCCGATTAATAAATCTATGCCATAAATTTTCAAGGGCATTTCACATTGGTTGTAATTAACTGTAAGATTGTGAAGGAATAGTTTTGTTTTGTGTTTAAAATAATTACAAATAAGCCAAATTTGCGTAATTAATAAAACTCCTGAACCTTTTCGAGCTATGAAATATATTTCCGCATTGTAAAATGTTGCAATGTTCTGACCGAATAGATAAGGTTATGTCAATATATGTATATACAATATATATATACATATAGGTTTAGTTATTTCCGTTAGTTTCCGAGTTAGTTTAGGTTAGATACATTAGTAAATAAAAAATATTAAATAATCAGTATTTATTAATATCAATCGATTGTTAAGGGGTGAAAACCCCTTTATGGAAATGTCTTGTCTGTCTGTCTGTCTGTCTGTCTGTCCGTCCGTCCGTCCGTCCGTCCGTATCCACGATAACTTTAGAACGGATTCGAATTTCGGCATCCGGTTTTCGCCAACGTGTTTCTAATTTTTGGGGACGGGATGAGTTCGAAGATGGGCGTTGTAGGTCGTAAGGTCACGGCGCCACGGTGATGACGCCAACGGTCAAAGGTGTCGAATTTTTCCTTTCCACCGTCTTAGACGTATTTTTGGACGGGGATTTCAGAAATCGCCCTCATTTTGAGGTGCGATGACTGTGTGACCGTGTAGACGACGCCAAAGTCGAAAATTGTCGAATTTTTTGTTGCCACCGTTTTAGACGTATTTTTCAGAAATCGCCATCATTTCGACGTGCGACGACCCCATGACCGTGTGGGAGGTGTCGAATGTCGAAAGATGACTTTTGTCATGTGGGGTGTCTATTGAAAGGTGTAGTCGTGTACGTTTGAACTACACGGGTGGGGTGTCAAAGCGGGGCAAAATGAGACGTGGGGTAATGTGAGACAATGACAGGAAAGTGCAGAAAGACGTTGTGGGCGTGCCACAAAGACAATTCCTTGTGTTTTCACCCCTTTGCTACATTTCGTTTGCAACGGTTTATTTATTTCAGTTAGTGTTTCGACTGTTTTGGTGGACAACACGTCCCAATAAAACCAGTATTCAAGGTTGACCTAAACACAATTGAAATATTTTTTAGCAAGGTTAACACTGCATACATATGTTATAGGGTAACTTGATTAGGGTATCAAAAATCGGAAGATTTTGAAAAACTGGGTTTTGATTCTCTTCAAAATCGGTTTTAGACTTGAATTTCAAAAATTTTACAAACAGTTAAAACTCAAAGAACAATGCTATAAAATTCGAATAAATTCGAAAAACATATTCCTGTCAAATTTGTCATTACATCAACAAATCAAAATATGATTAATTAATGATCCAAAACAATTTATATTTCAAAAAATCGAATCCCGGTTTTCGAGTGTGATTGTAAAAACCAAACAACCGATCTTGAATGCCCTAATCTCGATACCCAGTTTATGAAATCCAAAACATAAACTCACAATGAATAAATTGGACAAAAATACGATTGTTTAAATAGTTTCAAATCATTCACGAAAGGCTGGAGCACGCAGTCCTTCAAGTGAACACATTCCCTTGCGCCAAATTGCACTGAGGAGGCGCACGCATTGCTAGAACCTTGGCGTCGGTAGAGTTGCACAGTTAGCTTATCCGCGACAGTGAATCGAGTTCCATTCACGTCGAGATACGGATTGCTAGCAATCCACTGAATATCTGACAGGCGTAACTTGTTTCGTGCGACTGCATTTCATATTTAAGTATTGTTAGTGCTTAAATAGCATGTGGAACTACATAATCAATAATTTTAGCAATTATTTAATATATGGGCATACTTATTGGACCCAGGTCAATTTCCTCTCCCATCCATACCCTCCTGGGATAGATACATTATAATAGTTTAATATAATTTGTCTCAATTAATTCGGAAAGATAGAACGTGGATTCGAAGCCATGTCTTTAGAAATTCTCTCCTTGAAGAATTTTACGTGCAATTGAATACACGACAATTGGTCTAAAAAAGTCTTTGTACGCGAAGGATATGTGTTTAGTCAATATTATTTGACACTTTATCATTCGATGTTGATTAATCGTGATGTTTAGCACATAATAAATGCATACCCTGAATGTTTCTTGTAGTTCCTATTCCTTGTCGCACTGCCAATTCCTGGTCGGAGTCCTGAACGTGAACCTGTATGAAATATTGTAATTAGATTACTTACTCCTATACTTTATGCATGCTTTACTTTGCGAGCCAGTGTTGAAAGAATCATCCATCCCAGTATCGCTGAAAGGAGTAAATCCTGAACGAGAAGTTTTAAAACGATATTTAAGTTTTTAAGAAACTTCGTGTTTTATTTACGTCTGTATTTACATATTGCCCATGGATTTACCTGCACTATAATATCCAGAAGACACAAGAGGAGGTCCGAAATCTAATTATTTTACGGAATCAAGTATAATTTTAATTTTAAATATGCACCGTCATAGAATTACCGAAATTTTGTAACGTACGGTGTTGTCCTGATGAAGGTATTTCCACAAATACATAAATAAATAATAATTTAAAATGCTGATGCGTTGAAAAGCTAATAAGCAAAGTAGGGTAATTAATTGGTCTAACCTCCCACTGGCCCAGGATTTGGTGCCATCAGCCTGGGAGCACTTTGATGCAAAGCTAGCATTTGCCCTGCCGAAGATTCATCTGGCGACGCTAGGTCTTCAACGACTGATGAAGTGTTTGTTATACCAGTCATATTTTCATTGATCTCCGGCTTTACCACCACCAGAGAAGTAAACGGGGTAACGAATCCGTACTAAAATTAAATTTCATAAAACAATTAAGTCTGACGGACAAGATGCGAATAAAAATATTTAAATTCGTTTGAAAAGCAACTAATTACCTGCAGTGCCAACCTGATTGCATGTTGCTTTGGGGTCTCAATTTCTGTCCCACTAATATTTTTCTCTCCTTTGATATCTTTCTCGATCAATTGTTGTATCGTAAGATAAGCCCAGAGACGCTCGAGGAATTTGTCTTCTTTTGAAGTAGTGGCAACAGTGTTGTTCAACGTTGTAATGGAAGCATCAATTGGTTGACAAAATATTTCTGGTGGTTTGAAAGAGATCACCCCATTTCGTCCAATTCCGTAAATATCGACATTCAGAATTTTTTTTTCGGTCAAAACTAGGGAAGAATTTCCCAATGTGCAGACCACTTTAGGATCAAGTCTTCCAGCCACGGCGATTTCGGTGCCGTTAAAAACTGTCGGAAATTCTGACACGGTTACGTCGGTCACGTTGTTTGTGTACTTGAAGCTGACACGTGACAAGAGTGGAGATGCGATTTCGTTATAAAATCCCTTCATTTGTAAAGCGGCATCTGACCCTTCGTAGATTTTTCGTGCAAAAGCGTGATTTTGCAGAGATAGTTTCCTAAGGAATGGGAAATCCACGTCATTTCCAAATCCAAGGGAAAAAATTGGAATTGAAAAATTTGCAGAGTTTTCTCTCTTAATCGTTTCCAGGATTATGCTCGGATCTGTGACACCAGCCGTGGGTTGTCCGTCCGTAAGGAAGATAATCATGGACTCCACATTTTCAGGAAGGATGGAAGATTTCGCAATGTTGATGGAGCTTAATGTGGCTTTGTGAATGTTGGTGTTTCCCTTAACTTTCAAGGAATTTATGAACGTCTTTGCCAGGTCAATATTTTCCTCGGTGGCAGGAATTGGGTAGTGATTTGATGGTCCGTCCATATTTTTGGCAGGAATGTCGTCGCCGTAAGTGCTCCAAGTCTAGGACATCAGTATTTTAGATATTGAAGATTAATGATTAATGTTGTTACATTGCAAAACTCACTTCAACGCCAGAAGAAAATGTAACAATGTCCAAAAAATCGTCGGGTTTCATATCATCCAGAATTTTATTTTGTGCCTCTTTCATCTGCTTCAGCTTCCTCCCGTACATACTCCCAGATATGTCGAGTACAAAGATGACATGTTTTCTGAGCGGAGGTAAACTCTCAGGGGAGAAGAAATGCACAAAATATCCTTCCATGAGCTGCACAATAGCAAAATTACGTGTATGTAACTGATGTGTTTACATATCTATAAACAAGCTCGTATGATTAGTATGCATTTGAGTTACCAGAATTTCTCCTGTCGATGTCCGATTAATGTCATACTGAACGACAAAGTTTCCACTGCCGAGCCCTTGCGCATTTAAGTTTCTTTGATCAGAAATGCTTGGGCGCCATGAAATACTTGCTTTATTCCCGGATTGGGAAATTACAGCGTCCTGGTTGTCTAGAATCAATTCTAATTAAAAACGTGTTCATTTAATAATTAACAACTTTGTTCCCTCACTCCCATGAAAATCTAGGTTCGAGTCCAAATCGTTTCTCAAATTTGGGACCCTTAATAAAGTTATGTTTTGCGATTCTTCAATGGTGACTAAAATTTGGAAATCTTTTACGGAACGGGCCTGAAATTTTTCGAATTAATTAATTTCGTGTTTAATAAAATATTCCCATTTGTATGCATATCTATTTGTGTACTTATACCTGAGCCGGATTAAAGTTGATCGACTGCTCATACTTTCCCAACCGTCGAGATAAAAGCTCTTCATAAGTGAGATTGAACTTGACCTCAGTTCCAGCTTTGATGTTAACATTGACATTGAACGTATTGGAATTTCTGGTGACAAGAAATTTAAATGTGTACGCTAGAAAAACATATGTATTTATAAAATACATACGACTACCTCATTTCCAACAATCCAGCAGTTTGTCCTCTTCGCTGGGCATGTGCGTATACTTTTTTCGCTTCATCTTTTTCTTTGACATAAGCTACGTACGATTTGTTCTCAATTTCCCTGTACGCAGTTGACAAATCAATTTCAATGCACCTCATTTTAAAATGATTTTCGTCGCTTACATGACAAACTTGGAAATAAAAGCAGTCTCGGGTAAAACAACGTTAAAAGTTATCTCTTGAGAGGCTGAGGGGTCACGATTCGCAACCGAAGATGAGACATGGGTGCGACTATACCGATATTTTATGTCGGAGTTAATTTTCACAGAGTAAATCTCCGGCGAGATAAGTCGCGTAGTTATCTGCAAAAGAGTTGGTCGCAAGATTTTAGTGTGTACACTTTTGAATTTGATATTTTTTTATTAACCGCTCTTTTCCTTCGGTAACTGGGTGTCATTGGTGAAGCCCAGGACGCTATTGAATGACCAGATGCGACCCCAGCCCGATCCGAGGTGTCCATTCCCGTGATTAGAAATGCATTGTCTCCATTTGAGAGTGGACTCGATTTACAGGACGTCAAGTATGACACAAATGGCACAATAAAATTAAACAAATAGATTGCTGATAACTGCATTCTTTATGAATTTCTCCAGAGTTTGGAGGATTTAAAAGAGAATAGACAAGGTCAAGCGTTTACAAAGTCTACACACTAACTGAACTAAAGAGGAAACCCAGTTGGAGCCTTTAGTACTATTTACACACATTCAACGGCATCAAAATCAGAGCAGAGATGATACGATGAAGTGTTGATCTTCTAAGAATGTGCAGCGTATGTAATAGATAAGCGATGGCTAAGCAAAAACAAAAAATCCAACTTGTGTATTAAGTAATTCTTGGAAATATGTGCTCCTGCGTATAACGCGCATTTATATCTTAGCCGTAATATACATTTACCCATGTATGTAAATAAATAAAAATAAATATGCATGATTTTATACTGGACTGGCCCAATAGGCAACGTTTTAATCCAACCCAATAAACCAAATGATTTCGTACGATTGGCAAAATAAGGTACTGACGGAGATTACGGAGAATTTGCGTGAGCTCAGAGCTGATGAAGGAATTGTACATGTCCAAAAGATCACATTTAAAAAAGACCTGAATTACATTGCATATATGACAGATTTAGATTTAAATCTAATGTCTAAACCAATTTATTCATCTCCCTGCACCCTGTTAAACGTACATATGTATGTATGTATATAAATATGTTTACACGCCAACTCCAGCCAGACGGATCTTATGCAAATATGTACGTATGCATATGGGTTTTCCTGTTATTTTTTCTCCTAATTAATTTGTTGTGATAAGTTCAGTATTTGTACATTTATTTATACGGCACAATAAATATACGGGGACATGATTACTGTGCACATATTATTTTATGCACTTTTACTTCACTTGCTATTGATTTGTAATTTGCAACGTATCAATTAAAATGTAAGATAAAAAGAGTACGAATATGCTCAGTAAAATATGTACTACATATATACACTTTGTCTCAAATGTAAGAGATGAAAATTGAAAATGCTCCTATTTTGTAATGTAGTTGTCCTCGGTCCTGAACTTTTTTTTATATTTTATTGTTACATGTCTGAACAAAGTTCATTTAGTTCAATAAACCAATAAACCGTTTTGATTTTATCTGTGTATCTGTGTCCAATCTTGAAATATAAAGCATAGTTATGGATGTTTCAGCATGTATGTATTTGCATATTCATATAACATGCGATGCTAATATTTCTAACAATTGGAAATTTAAGCAATTAGAAATATTTAACCATAAGTGTATGCAGACTTCAAAAAATTTGTAATATGTAATGGAATGGGTAAAAATTCGGACGACAACCCAAACTTGCGCTGTTACGGTATTTATGTATGACCAATAATCATTGACCATACATGATTGGCTTATGCAGGTGTTGATTGATGTACTTCATAGAAAGACTTTAAAAAATTACATTTTTTCAGAAAATGTTAATATCATATTTTGAGAATAAATATTTAAATACTTAAAAAAATGAACTTCAAATTTTGAAAGAAATGAAACGCGTAGGTGTTCCAAGACATCCTAATGACATTAACAACCGAGAACATGCATAAATACACTGAGAGTGCAGTTGAGAATGAATAAGTAATAATGCGATAAGGACAATCAAGTGGTTTGGATTATTTTTGGAAAATTTTTTGTATTGTCGAGTCAATTTAGACTACTGTCAATTGAGGTACGAGTAAATGAAAATGAGAAATCGAATTAATGGAATGATCTTTTGAACTGAACAATTTAAAGACCAAGAGCGGCAGCAACGTCGATACGTCCATGACCGAAAGCATGGTTGGGGAAGTCCCCAGATCCTGGAAGTCCGCAGTTCCTGTCAGCGTTGGAGAGAGTTGGGTGAGCTGCGGAGGTGGTGAGGGCGTTGAAGACCTCGGTGAAGGTCCAGCTTGGGTTGGCGGAGAGGAGGAGGGCGACGGCTCCAGCGGTGTGTGGGCAGGCCTATTAATTATTCAGAAAAAAGGTAAGGATAAGATGCTATGCACATGCAAATTCGTAAAATTCTATGCATACAAAGAAGGGATAAATAGATAAATGAACTCACCATTGAGGTTCCGGACATGGTGACGTAGTTGTTGGCACCGGTTCCGCAGGAGACAATGTTGTTTCCTGGGGCAGAGACCTCGGGCTTGAGAAGTCCAGCAGTGCTTGGTCCTCGGGAGGAGAAAGTGGCCATGGCGTCAGTGTTGGTGGTGGCTCCAGCAGAGATCAAGTTGGGTTGATCTCCTGGGGAGTTGGCAGTTCGGCAGGAAGCGCCAGAGTTTCCGATGGCGAAAACTGGGACGATTCCGGCGTTTCTCCAGGCAGAGACCTGAGCGTTGTACCAAGTGGCTCCCGAACCACCACCCCATGAGTTGCTGACGACATGTGGGCGTGGGTTGGCGGTGAGCATGAATTGGGCGCATTGGGTGAGGACGGCCTCAGTTCCTGATCCTTGATGGTTCAATCCACGGCAAGCGATCCATCTGGCTCCTGGAGCAACACCAACACCGTTGGCACGTCCAAGGATGGTTCCAGCGCAGTGAGATCCGTGACCTTGTTGATCAGTTGGTCCAGCGGTGCTGTAGTAGGGGTCCAACCAGGCACCAGCATATCCGGCGCTGAGGGCAGTGTGTCCAAGATTGACTCCGGTGTCAATGATGGCAGCAACGATTCCTTCACCAGTGGTACGAGCCCAGGCAGCTGGGGCACGGATTTGAGCAACTCCCCATTGTGGGTTCTGGGTGGAGTTGGCTTCGAATTCGGCGTGCTTGACGACTGGGTTGATGGTGGCAATGTTTTGCTTGCGGATGGTGAAGTCTCCAGCGGTGGCGGCGAGGGAGGCCAATTTCTCAACGGTCAAACCCTTGACGAGGACGATGTTGGAAGCCCAGTATTGCTCCGTCTCGAGTCCGAGGGAGGAGGCAATAGCGATGAAGGGAGCTTGGGCAGCAGAGGTCAGTCCTTGGAGGGTGGAGACCAGGGCAGAGACCTTGGCGTCACCGGTGAGGGACTGAAGGGCCTGGTTAGCCTCGACTTGGGCCATGATTTGGGGCAGCTCGAGGATGGCCTCGGTTTCCCCATTCTCAACGGCGACCTGAAGGGCATGCTCGACAGTGCCCGCATAGGCGACTGCGAGGGTGGCAGCAAGGACGATAAGCAACTTCATGGTGGAGCTGATGATACTACTGGATTCGCTTGGAAGCTAAAGAGCAGTGTGAAGTGATGCCAACTCGAGTCCTCTTTTATATCCAATTTGTCCATTGTAATCAGATAACTTTAAATTCGGTTTGACAGTGATGAATTGTTACGATCAATTCACCAGTAACAGATTGTGATGACTTGTTTTGTTAAATAGTCATTCAACTTGGGGGAAATTCTTCATAATCCGGAATTTCCAGCTATAAATTATGGGGATATCTCAATTGTCTTCGACAGAGTAGCTTATCCATCCTTGTCGGTTGCTTAATTTGGTGGGGAATTTTTGGATGGCACTTGCGTCAAAATTTATTTTCACGTACAAATTTTGCAGGTCTGTAATGTAACGTAAAGCATTTGAAACAAAATTGTTTTTTCGCAGAAATACTTAGGGTGGGGCGTCGCCCTGATAACGTTTTTGACCTTTAATATCTTTGGCGCTATTACAAATTTTGAATCGAAATTTTTAGAATTTGTTCACCTTATAGTCAGCATTATGGGTCTAAAATTTCAATTCGCTAGTGTAAATAGCACCAGAGATATATTGATACGAAAAAAATTTTTTGTTAAAAAGCGTTTCCAAAACTGATTTTTTTAAATTTCAGAATATTTTTAAAACACTCTGGAATTGCGAATTATTCATAGAATTTGATCTGGGTGGTATGAAAATTTGTGGCATCTATGTGGCTTTCATCAACAACTCATAAATCTCCCAAAATGTTTTTAACTCATTCCATACAAGGTGGATTTGTGTAAAAAAGCGTGAGAAAAGTTTTTTTTGTAGTAAATGGAATTTTATAAATCTCAATAGTTGAAATATTTTCATGTTTATTATTTTTGCAGTTAGAGGAGACCTTACTGATGGTATTACAAACAGATTTTGGAGTGCAAATATTTAATTTCGTGTTATGGAGTTAGTTGGAAAAAATTAGCGACATTTTGACACATTGGGGGCTGTTATAACTTTTGCTCTGAAACTCTACACAGTAATATTTTTATCAAACTTTAAACTGTATTGTGTACTGCAGACATGGGGCCACATAATTTGCTATTTCCTGATATTTTTAGGTTCTCAACAACTGCCCCATGTGCTTCCATAGGATAATTTATGCCTGGAACAAAAAAAATCATAAGTGTTTTACTCTGGGGTTAGTGGAAGGTCTGCCATGTACACTAGCGAATTGAAATTTTGCACCCATAATACTGACTATAAGGTGAACAAATTCTAAAAATTTCAATTCAAAATTTCTAATAGCGCCAAGGATATTAAAGGTCAAAAACGTTATCAGGGGGACGCCCCACCCTCAGTATCGCTACTATCTGTAGCCTTATGTTTCTGCAATGTTATGTCACGCATATGATTATAACGTACTATAACAATTAAGCGTTGTGCATATATTTCTGAGTGTATAAAACCTGCTACAGTGACAGACTTGAATTAGCCCGAGTCAAGCCAAGTTGTAGTTGTCATCCAATCCGACGTTTTTACATGAGATTTTATCGTAACTGCATATAAATAAATTTAAATTGATTTTCAAATCTAAATTCATAAGTAGCAATTAGCAGCCTGAATGCAACAAATTTCAGCTCGGTCCGACGACCTAAAAAATATCCGCACGGGTCACCCAAGAGGGTCCCTCCAGATGAAAATGTGTCCTATTTGAATTCAGATTCTTCCATTAGGAGCCATAACCAACTTTTCAACCTAATTTCTGCTCTATTTGATGAATTTGAAAAATCGGTACGGGTCACACCTAGGGTCCCTCCAGATGAAAAGTTTTAAATTTTACTTTATTATAAACCATTAGCAATCTTTGCACTAAATTTCAGCTTTCTACGACAATTTGAAAATTGTGGTGCATAATACCCCAACCATCCAGATGACCCCCATCGGTCAATCACTTGACCGATTGCGCCCATCTTCGCACTTAGCTCCTCATTTGACCCCTACTACATGTGTGCAAAATTTCAAGTCGATCGAATTAGTTTTACGACAGTTATCGCAAGACAGACAGACAGACGGACGTGTACATAAACCCTGACTGGCAAATGACTGGGGTTAAAAATCCAAATTCACAGGTGATGTAATTTTATTCAGGCTTTAATATTATATAATATCACGCATTAAAGTCCAACCTTATCTATATCCAGCTCAATGAGGTTTATGAATGATTGGCTAATGAATGAGTGTTTAGTTAAATTTAGCCGTACAGTTAAGGTATCACTTACAGTTTCCACGAATTTGTATCGATTTAAAACGTCATTTCGCATTTAGAATGTAGAATTTGATCAATTTTGCCGTAGATGGTCAGCAGTGGGTTGTAAAAAGAAGGCGAAATTGTTAAATCAATGACTAGTTCAAATACTAATTCGTTTTTACACAATTTCAAATGTGCAATGTTCATTAGATTTAATCCTATATGCCTACATTTACCAGAAGACTGAAGTCCATGCCGAACTTTAGTTGTATGTAGGTTTTGTTGCATTGCTGAAGAAAATTAGCTAAATTTTAATTCAAACATATCCAGCTTAAAAACTTCAGCTCATGAGGAGCATCCAAATTAAATAGAAACCTAATGAGTACACACCCAAATAGTTTGTATGCAAGTCACGGAGTTTATGAGTACATAAATACACACCCTACGGTTTGCATGATCATCAATTACAAGAAAAACGTCGGAAAAGCTGACTAATTAATTTCAACCTGTTTCTTCATGGAATATAAAAATTGTAGATGACAACGTTTTTATATTCTGTCTCTCTTTTGTTATTTAAGACGTCTTCATAAAAATGGGTTAAATTCATCTGGAGTGGAACGTCTTAAAATAAAATGTCGTAAAATGACACAAATTGATGTACCATTTAAACTGACGCATGAATTTATGTATAATCCGATCCTCTTTGGTCAGCAAACAGAAAGCGATTAAATTAACATTTGATTTGAATTTGTTACAAATCAGACGATCCGTTCCTCGTTATCAAACAATTACATTACAAACATCCTTTTTGATTTCATTGTATCCAGTCCAATCATCCATTTAACAAGGTACGACTTATTTGCACAACAAGACTTAACTAATTATACGTTATCATGACCCGAAAAGTTTGTTAATCTATTGAACTGTCTATTTGTATAAGTGCCGGACCTGGGTGAAAATTACTTACGGTCATAAAACCAAAATAGCCCGAAATTCCCCATTACACGTAACGTGTAGAGTTAGACAGACTGATCCCTGAGATTAGTTATTGGATTATGTAGAAGTGCGATTGACTAAAATATTGGCCAGGCTGCGAAGTTATCAACTTTCAAATGCAAATAATGATCGTATGCGATCACAGTATGTAAATTGATATATACCTAACGTAATCGATACGATGATCACACAATATGATCACTTAGCTCATAACCGCATTAGTCCAGTCGATTAAAGTTGGCGGATAACTTTTATTGCCCTTGCGGCCCCGTGCCTGATATCCACACAAGTGGAACAGAACAGATAACTCTCGTCAAACTCCAAATTTCCCCACAGCCCGACAGCATGGTGATTGATCTCATCTCTCTCGAAGCTTTACTTATCAGACAATTCTTAAATTGAAACATGAAATTGCGACACGTAGTCCTCCAAAGTACAAGACCAGAGACAATTCATCATTGTCAGGCTTGATTACAATGGACAAATTGGATATAAAAGAGGACTCGAGTTGGCATCACTTCACACTGCTCTTTAGCTTCCAAGCGAATCCAGTAGTATCATCAGCTCCACCATGAAGTTGCTTATCGTCCTTGCTGCCACCCTCGCAGTCGCCTATGCGGGCACTGTCGAGCATGCCCTTCAGGTCGCCGTTGAGAATGGGGAAACCGAGGCCATCCTCGAGCTGCCCCAAATCATGGCCCAAGTCGAGGCTAACCAGGCCCTTCAGTCCCTCACCGGTGACGCCAAGGTCTCTGCCCTGGTCTCCACCCTCCAAGGACTGACCTCTGCTGCCCAAGCTCCCTTCATCGCTATTGCCTCCTCCCTCGGACTCGAGACGGAGCAATACTGGGCTTCCAACATCGTCCTCGTCAAGGGTTTGACCGTTGAGAAATTGGCCTCCCTCGCCGCCACCGCTGGAGACTTCACCATCCGCAAGCAAAACATTGCCACCATCAACCCAGTCGTCAAGCACGCCGAATTCGAAGCCAACTCCACCCAGAACCCACAATGGGGAGTTGCTCAAATCCGTGCCCCAGCTGCCTGGGCTCGTACCACTGGTGAAGGAATCGTTGCTGCCATCATTGACACCGGAGTCAATCTTGGACACACTGCCCTCAGCGCCGGATATGCTGGTGCCTGGTTGGACCCCTACTACAGCACCGCTGGACCAACTGATCAACAAGGTCACGGATCTCACTGCGCTGGAACCATCCTTGGACGTGCCAACGGTGTTGGTGTTGCTCCAGGAGCCAGATGGATCGCTTGCCGTGGATTGAACCATCAAGGATCAGGAACTGAGGCCGTCCTCACCCAATGCGCCCAATTCATGCTCACCGCCAACCCACGCCCACATGTCGTCAGCAACTCATGGGGTGGTGGTTCGGGAGCCACTTGGTACAACGCTCAGGTCTCTGCCTGGAGAAACGCCGGAATCGTCCCAGTTTTCGCCATCGGAAACTCTGGCGCTTCCTGCCGAACTGCCAACTCCCCAGGAGATCAACCCAACTTGATCTCTGCTGGAGCCACCACCAACACTGACGCCATGGCCACTTTCTCCTCCCGAGGACCAAGCACTGCTGGACTTCTCAAGCCCGAGGTCTCTGCCCCAGGAAACAACATTGTCTCCTGCGGAACCGGTGCCAACAACTACGTCACCATGTCCGGAACCTCAATGGTGAGTTCATTTATCTATTTATCCCTTCTTTGTATGCATAGAATTTTACGAATTTGCATGTGCATAGCATCTTATCCTTACCTTTTTTCTGAATAATTAATAGGCCTGCCCACACACCGCTGGAGCCGTCGCCCTCCTCCTCTCCGCCAACCCAAGCTGGACCTTCACCGAGGTCTTCAACGCCCTCACCACCTCCGCAGCTCACCCAACTCTCTCCAACGCTGACAGGAACTGCGGACTTCCAGGATCTGGGGACTTCCCCAACCATGCTTTCGGTCATGGACGTATCGACGTTGCTGCCGCTCTTGGTCTTTAAATTGTTCAGTTCAAAAGATCATTCCATTAATTCGATTTCTCATTTTCATTTACTCGTACCTCAATTGACAGTAGTCTAAATTGACTCGACAATACAAAAAATTTTCCAAAAATAATCCAAACCACTTGATTGTCCTTATCGCATTATTACTTATTCATTCTCAACTGCACTCTCAGTGTATTTATGCATGTTCTCGGTTGTTAATGTCATTAGGATGTCTTGGAACACCTACGCGTTTCATTTGATTCTTTTGAAACAAGCACATATTTTATCATCAACTATATCATAGTATTTTTGAAAAATGACGGATTACAGATATTAACTTCTCTTATATATCAATCAACACCTGCATAAAAAAATCATGTATGAATGCTATAAAATTAATTTTAAAAACCATGAGTACTGTAATAACGCAAGTTTGTCAGCCGAATTTTATCCATTCCATTATTACAAATTTATTGAAGGCTACATACATTTTGGTTGAATGTCTCCAATTAATTTTTCGAATTGTTGGAAATATTAGCATCGCATATCAGATGCATATGAGAATATCAGTACATATGTACGTGATTAAACATGCGAAACTATCGGTGTCGTTGTCTTTCAGTTGTCAGTGTCGAACTGTGAGATGAAATAGAGATGTTCAAAACCATGATATTTAAATACCTCTCTTAATTGATTTAAATTAAAGTAAACCGTCCTGCTTTTGATTTCAAGAGTGCACCACTAAATATTTAGATATTTATTTATGACAATGAAAAAGATAAATGAAAACGACACTTGATGAAATAATCTTCATCAATTTGGATGTGTGAAATTATTATAAATTGTAAATGTTGAATGTGAATAATTTTTCAATTAATGTAAATACTCGACAAGAAAATAAGTGTACGTGTCATACTTATCACTCCACTCGAGAAAAATGATATAAAATTGTTTGAAAACTAAAATTACACATTATTTGCATCATCGTTATTAATTAATTTATAAAAGCTGGGATAAAGTGGTCGGAGCAGAAGAATTGTTTCCAGGCGAGATAAATCCTAACGCGACTCGGATGCTACTCTTATTCTTATCCTCACCATTTACAGATAAGAAATCTCAAAATAGATGCAAACCCATATATTCAGTTCTCATGTTCCTTTCTCAGCGTCCCCCATGGTGGTTGTGGTGGTGTTCTCCTCAGACTCCATATGCCACACGATAAGAAATGTAGCTTTGTTAGATAGATAGCTCAATTTGCCTCAACTAGAGGCGGTGCACCGCCCTTTCCAACATTTAACACCAGAGCACGTCCACACAGAAAAGTGTGCATCATATTACAATACAACAAATGATCTGAACGAAAATCATTCATTTTATGGGTTATAAGTTAATCAAAATAGCGGAAATAAGTTTTCAATTTTTTCACGGCGGTCTCGAAAAACAAAAAAGTTGTCAATTTTTTAAGTAAAATTGCAGTATAGCGGCCTAGTTCGGATTTGACTGAAATTTTTTGTGTGAATACCCTAAGGTCCCATATGCATAAAAATACCTTTTTTCGCGGCGGTTTCAAAAAATAAAATTTCTAGAAATTTTTGAAATTTTATATAAAAATTATTTTTCTCTTAGATTTTCATGAAAATGGCTTTTGAAAAAGGAGAGCTAGCTAGTAGTGCTACCTAGGAGAGCTAGCTAGGAGTGCTACCTAGGAGAGCTAGCTAGCTAGCAGTGGTAGCTACTAGTGCTAGCTAGGAGAGCTAGCGAGTTGTGGTACCTAGGAAAGCTAGTTAGTAGTGCTACCTAGAAGAGCTAGCTAGTAGTGCTACCTAGAAGAGCTAGCTAGTAGTGCTACCTAGAAGAGCTAGCTAGTAGAGAGCTGGAAACTAGAAATCTCATCTTACCCCGAAAATATAATTTTACCACAAAATATTCCTATCGTGGGGGAAACTGAGACAAAGTCTTAAAATTCTCTGGAACATACAAGAAAAATGTGTATACAAAATTTCAATAATTTATAACTTTTTTACTATTGAATGTTTTTCAAAAAACCCTTCATATTCTGGTTCAGCATAGTTGAATTAGTCTATAAAATCTGATGCAAAAAATAATTTTTATACAAAATTTCGAAGCTTTCTAGAAATTTTAATTTTCGAGACCGCCGCAAAAAAAGTATTTTCTTGCTCAGGGGACCATAATAGATATTTACACAAAAAATATCAGCCAAATCCGAGCTAGTCCACTGAAATAAATCCGAGCTAGGCCGTAATAGTGCAATTTTACCAAAAATAATTTACAAAATTCACTCCCCAATCACTACAGAAAAGATTAAGAACTTGTTCAAAATAATAAATTAAAGAAGGTTGAAGTTTATTAATTATTTGGAACATTTGTTATAATTAATAATTAATTCTCTATTATAATTATTCGACTTGAGTAAACAAGAGAAGAGAAAAAGAGAACGAGAGTGGGCATGGATGAGTGTTCAAAAGTTGTTTTCCCACTTCCAAAAAGCATCCTCACGAAACGAGCAGTCTAAGGGAAGGTATATCTTTTGTCGTGTGTCCATATGCAACCTTCTTGAGTATAAGAAACCTGAAAGTTTGATAATGAAGCTTTGCTTGTTTCTAAGGCATCATCAGCTTTAGGGCTTCAAGGCTGGCGTCGCACTCTTTAAACGATGCATGTTACTCGTCAGTGCTGATTTGGACCTTCTTCCAAGTGGTCGAGTCGTCTCAGTCTTTGTTTTTTCCTAACATCACGACATAGGCTGAAGGAGCATTCCCTCTGACATTTCTCATTTGGTAATTACTTATAAATTAATCGAGGATTTTATATTTTGAAGGAGACCTGGGTAAGTTTGATAATTGAATCATCATGTTAATTGCAAAATATATATTATAACTTCTTGGATAACATTACAGAGTAAAAATCAAAGATGGAAAAATCTCCAACTAAATCTTCTGCCGTCATCCGCTCAGATGAAAATGTAGACTCTTCATCATCTGCTGCTGACATCGCTTCCAAGTCCAAATTATCTCCGTTGGCAGCTCCCTTTTTTCCGAGGGAGGTTCCGTCCGCATCAACGCCATTAGTGAAGCAGAATGAAACATGGCCCTCTCCTCCCTCGTCAAGTATTGAAAACGACGCTGCTGATCCTCCCCTTGCATTGGATCTTCTTCCTGGTGAACACATTCATCCTACACAACCATTTCTGAACATGTTGGGATTTTGGACGCAGCCAGGACCACGCTTTCCGAGCTCTGCAAGACCACCCGGCCCACCATATTTTTTCCTGCCACCAGCACCACCACACCCTTCTTCGCAAGGCAACTTCCCCCACCTCACGCCCAGCACTACCAGAAATGAGCCCAGCTCTCAGACTCCTTGGCTGCCTTATCGCAAAGTGAAGACCTCCACGGGCAGATATTACTGTATGAAGTATTAATTACGCGTACGCTAAATTGTATAGATTTTGAAATGATATCTTTGTCGGATTTTGTCATCTTTTTTATTTTGATGAATTATTATTATCTTTTATGAGAAACCATATTCTAGTCTGAATGAACTTTTAAATTGTAAGTAAATTTGGAACACATTTGTTCTTATCTCAACATAGATAAAGTTGGCTCAACCTTAAATTAAATTTAAAACTGTCAACTTTATGAAACTGAAAATAGTCATGAATGATAAACCCGAAACAATAAGTAAATGAACTATTAACTTGTATCAAATTATGGTAATTAACAGATTGTAGATAATTTTCATCATGCACATGTACCGTATTGAGCATAACACTGATTTAACCAGAGATATGCATCACAGTACTATTTCAATTTAATGACAATACGGCTGTAACAGTGTAGTACGTAATGCTCCAGTAATAATTTGTTTTTGTTCTTTGAGTTAACGTATATATCGAAAAGTCACCAATCCCTCCATTGTACGTCGTTGTCCTTAAAGATTTCAATCTCCTGTTACAGTATTTTCTCTCTCCTAAACTAGACCCAGCGGTCCCTTGGAATATTTGTATTACCAACCGTTCTGGCAACGAACCAGAAAGACATTTCCATTTTCGTAAAATCTCACTTGATATTTCATGACAATCTGGAAAATAATATTGAAAATATGTAGTATTATGAATTTTTTCCTTGATCTCAAAATCAATTCGCATACCCACCCACAGCTTTCGGCAGGGTTGACCAAATCATGATTGGGATAAATACTGATAACGTTGGAAACAGGGCGAATACTGGGCCTCCTTTTGCTGGATATGGAATGGCGGAATAAAATTTAATCGTTCCATAATTTGTGGCCACATTCAGTCCAAATCCTACCACCATGAGGGCAAAGGTCAAGTTACTCTGCGGCCTCTTGATAATCATGGACATGACGAGGAATTCTTGATACAGGTCGATGTTCTTATTTAAAGTGTAGCGATTCCAACATTTTATTTGATCAAGGAGATTTAAACTTGAAGTTAAAATCTGAAAAAAATTGGTCAGTTATTTTTGTTTTATGGGATAATCACGATCTGCAATATAAAATTAATTTCGAGATCTTGTTTGATTTATGTGTAGGCAATTTAAGTAAATGTTGCACAAAATATTTATGTATCTGATATTTGCCTCGGACTTAGGAGTAAGTGTCAAAAACCTATTGGTTACTATTATTATAGGCGACATTTTGCCGTGAATGGGTCTTCGTTCACTGAGGTCAATCCGCTTATTATTTATTATTTGATTAAGTTAAACAACACGACTTGTAAATGGGTTCAACCGATTTTTGGCATAATCACGGCATGTCGCATCTCAGACAGACAAATGTATGTATGTATCAGCTCGAAGTGTACGCATTATCATGTGCCAATTTTTGTATAAATGTCTTAAAAACTTGACTTGATTTACCTTTAATATTGAAATCAACAGGACCAATACAAGGGCAAAATTTCTGGACAATTCAACATAGCATATAAATGTCGAAATCATTCGGTAAGACAAAATCAGATAACGCGTTAATCGGTCGTCCTTCCAGCTTTGAGGGACAACAGCATTGTAAAATACGTAGCTCGGGTGACCTCTTGACTTTTCTCCGCCGATCGTCATAATCATCGGAATGGCGGCCAACCCCACCACAGCAGCGGACAGAATAGTGCCAACAGGGTCTCGTAACGGTGAAAACTTATGATTATGACCTTCCCGAGGTGGTTTCACTGGAATTTTCAGCAAAGAGAAAACTATTACAAAAACCTGAATTGCTTTGTCTCATTCACTAAAACTTACGCATTCTCAATTTCACTTCAAGCTGCACCAACTCGTTATACGATTTCGCCAAGGAATCGCCAAATGGGCACCACACTAACACCATTGTCACAGCGTGAAAGGCGTGAGCAGCGAAAAAACAGGCACACAAAGCGACATGAATAAATTTCAGGTTGTAATCCCTTTTAAAGTTTTGCCTCAGAAGGATGTATACGTTACAAAGTAAGCCACTCGGAATTATAAAGAGAAGCATAATTATGTAGAAAACCAAGAGAGAGGGTGACCCGGTCCGATGGTGGCACCATTTCCTACGATTTTGGTCCCAGTGAACGGGGTTGTTCCATACGAACCGTTGGAAACATTTGGAATATAATGATAATGATTTCCATATAAGTGGGGTTGACATTTCTTTGGATTTTTATTGCTATCCCTAATTTTAGTAAGTATTCTTGTACGCTAGTTTCGCAGGTATATGCATGCAAATTTAGCTTCAGAACTGAGATCAAATTTCTTAATGGTTCCAATCACATTTTTTGTTCAAGGTACCGATATAATTTTCTTCGCAGAATTATCAACCAATTGACGATATATTGGGTAGTACGTATCTACATATTAGCTGAATTATTTATATTTATTGATTGACTGATAAATGCTAACATGTGCGAGTACATACGCTAGCTTATAAAGCTAGAAAAAATTAGAAAAATGTATCTCTAAGTAAATAGACCTAAAAACATATTTCGCATACTTAGGTACTTATAGGCTATCAATGCTCTTCAGCAGTTCTCGTTTCATTTTTTAATTAAAAAAAGCCAAAGTCATTATTATTAAGAATGGTTTCGATTTTAACGAAAACCAGTTCTATAGAACTAATGAGTAATATATTACTCCAAAATCTATTTTTTTAATTAAAATAATTTCAGAGCTACGATATGTCAATTGCATGCTTTTTGATTCGAGAGTAAGTATGGCTCGATTGTAGTGGGTTTAATATTTCAAAATATCTGTATAGCTACATAAACCCAGTTTTAAAATATTTTAATTTTGAACGCCCCATTAATCCCAAGTCGAACTCGGAGTGGCACATGCATTAACATAGCTTATTACTCATATTTCCTGTAGCAAAGCTAAATATTTATATGAGGTATATCTTACAGAGGTAGTCAATTATTAAATTATGGCATATTTGAGCTACATATTTTTAATGTCATAGCAGCAACTTTGTTATGAATAGGTTTCGAGAAATGAAGGTGAGCTTATGCATACATACATATGAACATATACACGTACATATGTAGGTTCCTTCTCCTTCATACCCTTTACATTTTTTTTGAAATATGATTTATATATCCCAAGATATGTCTACTCTAAACTTTGCAAGTATTGTTTTTAAGACAAAATTTGTAATAAACTTCCTTTTAATGAATAAATGAGTACCCTAGAACGATTATTATTAATGATCTATGCGAAGTCATGTACGAAAAATTCCGAAAAAATATGTAGCTTTACCGTAACTAAATACATATTAACCTTGTTTAGAAGAGGGCTCAGTTCAGAATCGTTCCCTACTTATTTATGATAAACTATGATTAATCGTGCGTCCCCTCATAATGCGATAATAAGGTTACTAGGATTAGGTATAAATTTTAGTCCTGAAGAAGACAATAATTTATTTGTTGAAAGGTTGATGAAGACGAATAAAACTGTGAAGTTTATTACTTACATACTTAAATAAATAGTCCTCCGTTTCACAACATTTTCATCAATAACGAAAAAATTAAAAGAAGTCATAAACTATAGGTTAATTTTGAAGACAAGACGTTCCTTCCTCTTCAAACACAAGTACTGACTTTTTATGAATGTTGATGATGATATTAAACGTCAAACAAATTTCATTTTTATCTACATAAGTATTTTATTTTATGTGCTAAATTTTTCTGAAAAACATGATTAAATTTTGCTAGCAGAGAATCTTAAAAAAATAATCACACTGTATGCCCACGACACCATGAAACGAAGTACATAGATAAAAAGGTTCTTTCAGCAAGTTTTGCACGCCTTTTTGCAATTGCTTTTCATATAGCTCGGATTCTTTGTGCATTCCCCAATGGATGCCCAATAGTTGCAGTGCCGATTGCTGTCATGACAGTCTGTTTCTACATAAATATTTGGTTCCAATAGTTTACACTTATCAATCGCAGTTTGATCATTCATGGTTATTACGGATGTATTCCTCACCTCCGCAAAAGTTGCAAGACTTTCTGCAATAGACTTTCATATATTTCGGATTTCTTTCACATTCATCATGCTCACTCCAGTATTTACAATGTTCCCCGTTGTCTTGGCAACCAGTAGAGCTACTTGGTTTCTCCGTTGCTTGCACGTCTGCGATATCCTCTTCTTGATTAGTTTGAGGACATTTGTAAAGGGTGTTAATTTTCTTAATGTCAGTCTACACAAGATTGCAGCTTTTGCAGTTATTGACCACCAAAATATACAAAAAATCTAATCCCATACCACAGTAAATTCCCTTCTCTGTCCAATCTGCTCATTCGGATTTTTTGGCAAAATTGTCGGTAAGCCTTTCCCCTTGGAGAAAGCGTACGCCCCATAATGCATAATGCTACCCGTGTCATAATCCCTGCTCAAATTCTGGACATTGGCCCAGCTTTGTTTATGAAAATTGTAAGCCATCCCTAAAATAAAGTACATTTCTCTTCAAATAAAAATGTGTAGATATTTTGTATTGTTAGGTACACACCCTCCTTAATGTTTTCATAGTACACCGTGACATATTGATCTCGGTCTGGCCTGCTTTGTTCATGCCAAAATCCTAGTGCGTGCATCTTCATTCAGTAAAAAAAAAGTTTTAGTCAGGAACCATAGCAATTTATGCGTTTAATGTGTGTATTTAAATTTAACCATTTCATGCAACGCAATCCCCACAGAAACACAACCCGCACCCAGACTAAGGATTTGTTCGCCGTTGCCAAGGCGACCCACGTGACTAGAACATCCTTGTCCTTTCACTATGGCTAGATAGTCACGATCCGAACTTTGCGGAGATTTGGGTTTGAACCGGATGCAGCTTTTTGCATGATATTCCGACATTGCGCGAGCAATTGTGGCACGCTCGTCCGATACTAAATAATTTACATACGTAAAAGAAAAGGTTTATCAAGAAAGTTAATATATTAATTGTTTTCGAAACTAAAAACTAAGTTATACCAAAATCTGCTGAAATCGTGTAAGGAACAATTCCTCGATTCCATTTATGCTTGTCAAGAATGACAGCATTTTTCTCTTTCTGCATTAGAAATTCAGTCGATGTCATGGCAATGTCGCCCTCGTACAGATTGGCCAGATGGATTGGATCAGATGAAGCTGTCGTTGGTGGGGTGGATACTATTGTGCAAATTCATGGTATATTAATTCGTGATAAGTAAGAGTACAAAATTTATTACATCATACCCAATTTGTCCCCATTTTCAAAATCCTCAACCGTCAGCGGTGCTCCGACTGGGTGGTCCTAACACGAAAATCATGTTATTTGCTTTGGAATATATTTTTATCCCAATAAAATTTCTGAATTACTTACACGATTAACAGATTGTAGATATTCTAAAGGATCCGACTCTGCGTTTGTGGACACAATTTCATTTAAACAAATTGTCACGTATAATAAAAACAGCAAAAATCTGGTGTGGATTTCCATCTTTGAGTAGAAACATAAGTGTTATGATTATTGAGATGTGGTACAAACCTGACTTTTATATAGTGCTGACCTCAATTCACACCAAGTCTGGAATAATTTTCATATAAAGACAGATAATAAAATACGGTTTGACGGTGGCCATGGTGGAAATCTTTTGTTTTTTCACCCATTCATTTAAGATTCGAGTATACATACAAATTTTTGCATTGCTTGTTTTGATTTGTACCAATTCTTATGGAAATTAGGGTATCATGATTTAATGTTGTTCTCATTGTGATGATAGTACGCAGTATTTACCAAATGATGGATACAGACTTTGTCGTTGTTCTGCTAGGGTGTAATGAACGCTCAGCCATCATAGCAAGTAAATTTTGATGAGAATTCTTTGTAGATGAATAAAATGATACGCAGTAGTAAACTTCCTTCCTGGAAGGAAGTGGAAGATTGTGTTTCCGTACAAGTTTCCTGATAGGTTTGTCTTCCGTGAGTGGATTTTCGGACAAAATGTTGGGGACAATAACGAGTGTTTTAGATACTGCCTAAATTCATTATCTGAAAAATAGTGTACATGGAACTTATGCGAAGACTTATTTAGTTAGAAATTTACAACGCACGATTGATAATTTTTGAGAAGCTTATTTCATTTTGTTCACTAAATTTTGTACAAGAAAATTAAATGTTCAAATAATCGTAATTTTTAATTGATTGTAAATTATCTATGTATTAAGTCAATAGAACTTTCAGAGTTACATGTATTCATACTTTAAATCTGATTACGTAATCTGTGAGCATATTGACACATGTCATTATTGATATATGACAATGTGTTTACGTCGTTTATCGATTCATCGACATATCCAACCAACTTATTAATCTTTTTGAATGATTATAAGTACGATCAATTAAAGTTATAGTAAGATACATGCACATGCAGGGAATCCCCAACTATAAAAAATACCTAATTTCCTCAGTGCGGTCACCCTTGTATTCTTGTCAATAGGAAAAGCAATATGAAAATAGGAAGTAGCTAAAAACCGCTGCATTTTTATGTGACCCTTTCGTGAAAATTAATATTCCATGAACAAGTTTTTTAGTCTGATGGAATTTTTGTCTCTAGGACATTTTATTAGCTAATTAGTCGAATTGTCTCATTTCTTAAGCAACTTGCGCGATATGGATATCGGCGGAGACGCAGATCTCCAAGAGAAGATTGTTGGTATGGCTTATATATGCGCGGAATTCTACGGTCTGTCCGGACAGGATATCGTTGGGGACAATGGAGTACTTGGCCGTGTAGATAAATCCTGGCTGGACGGAAGAGTTGGGCAGCTCGGTCTCCAAGATGACCATGCAGAATCCGGCGGACATGCAAATCTCAATCTTCAAGGTGAGTGATGGGGCAGCAGAGCCTGTGAAACGAAATTAACAGTCAATAAAAGTGTACAAGTCAGATTATTCAGTAAAATAATTCTCGACTTACTTGGCATAAAGTCCTTCTCACAGTTGTAGATCTGTCCTGGAACGAGAGTGCACACTCCCTCGCATCCGGAGATACGGAGTTGAAGTGGAGTTCCAACACCTAAAAATTTACAAGTTTTAAAAACGAAACTCATTACGTTTCAAACGGTAGAATTTCTCACCTCCACATCTGTGAGCGGGGTCAACGACGCCCAAGGTGGTGCCGTCGAATGGGGCGACTCCCTTCTTGACGAGGGAGGCACCATTGATGGCGGAGCCAGTAACGGCCGAGGCGATGAGGGCGATGAGGGCGACTGCCTTAAGCATGATGATGACGATTGCAATTTTGGGTGAGTTGGTCAGGTCGGAAAGAAGGGCGGATAATGGGTTTGAGAGGACGAGTCGGGTTTTATTTATGCCGAGAAGAATTACACGTATCAGGTCTTATCGGAATGGGAACAATGAGGACAGACAATTCATCAAATTTCCCTTGACAGATTGATATCGTACAACATGGTGATACTAACAGAGCAACGGTCATAATTCCAGTTCACGTCACACCACCGAAAATTGTATGCCTGCCGAAAAGTTAAACCCGGAGGAGAAACTTACAATCAGGGCCACACAAACATCACGGGCACGAATGATTACAGCATTTTTATGTTTAATAAAACGAGTTCGAGTGCTGCAAGGAGAGAGAGATGCGTCAATTGTAAAATCTGTGTAATCAATCAATTAGACGAGGAGATGTTGTACGTACAAGGTTCACAGACGATAAGCTTCATCAGATCTAAACCAAGTTTGTATTTACTACAGCCACATGCAAAAGTAAGGTTCGGAGTGAGGAAATTATGCTACACGTTATTTCGCAGTGTAAATATTGATGAAATAAATCCCCAATAAAAAATTATCTGGAGAAGGAACAATAATTAAATAAAATTAGAATATCCTTGAAATTGGATTGGATAAGATTTTTGTGTGCAATGTTTATTGAGCGTCAACTTAATTTTGTTATGATTGATTACTAAGTAAAATTAAATATGTGTGCTACTCATCAACATTATAAACCGAGTAGTTGTCCCCCGAATTAATTTTTATGTTGGTATATGTACGTATAGAATCACGCCAACAAATTCCCCTCCACTTCAGATAAGTGTTTAATAAATATGCAAATGTGGGCAGAGATCGGGCACCGGTGACACGCCACGCACGTAAGCCACTTGTCCCTTTGTTATCAAACATTCCTCCGAAAACACGTATTTTGGTCAGCTTAATGAATGCAGTGATCAAGTATAAAAGCGTAAGAAGAAATAACTATCTACATATTAAATTATTTATGCAGATATATTATATAAGACAATAGCTTCACACTTCACGTAAAAGGATATATAATGATATATGTAAATATGCATACGCAAATGAAAGCTATAAATCAGAGAGGGATTAGTGAGGTCTATTTCTGATTTATTTATGATGGACAAGTACTTTATTTATACAATTACCAACCATACACAATAAAATCAGGGTGTTGGGTTTGTCTGGCAATAAAAAACAGACACAACAAATTAAACGATTAAGAATACAATTAGATTTGTTCTGGCAAGGGTATTATGTATCATGATCAATAATATACCTATGTATCAATTGACCACCCCCATCATTAGCACACATACATATTCGAGTACTCTAATATTGGGAATAATACATATAATTGTTAGACATTAGAACCATTATCACTGGTTGAAACATATACTTACAATTAGATTCATACACAGCAAAAGAAAATGAAGTGTGGTTTATTTGAATAACTTTCGATTCATTAAGTGTGATAACCACGTGCTATAAAAATTACAGCATTTTGTTGACCACTGTTGTCATAAAAAAATGTGGTCAGTTGCTTCTACATCAAATAGATACAGTATATAAAAATTATCTGTATCATCATGTGTACTTACAAATTCAGCCATTCATTGAATCCTGCACATACTTACCGTAATATATAAGTCACAAAAAATAATACAGAGAGCACGTCCCATTTCTAAGCCACTGTAGTGCTGCATGAAACTAGTTGTCGATCGGAAAATGCGTTACGAGTTGAAAAATCGTTTGTTTTGTTGGATCATATGAAACCCCGATAATCAATACCGATTATAATTAACTAGACATTACAGTGCCAACTATATGGTCATCCTAACCCACTGCCTGAGGAGACCGTCACGATGAAACATTGCATACCCTGCTTACTTACTTGAATAGCAAGTGCATTTATCTTACTTGTGCACCTCACAACTTTTCTGACTTTTGCAATTATTTAAGAAATGATGAAACGCAACTTTTTACCCATTTAGAAACTCACACGGAAAACAGTAATTGGTTTGTAAAAATGATGAAGCATAAAAAGATTCTGCTGTAACTTTCTGATTACGAGACGTCAGTGGTGAATATTAATTTGTGTGGGGTAGTTTCGCTATGATATCATCACAGCAGGAATCGCCCATCTTACTGCAGTAACCTTCACCTTGACCGTATCCTCGTGTCATCCCCACTAACAAGTAACAATACCGTGTTCACAGCCGTGTAAACCGGTTTTTGGGACCCTGTAATAATCGACATGAAGCCACTACTAATTCTTCAAATCCACCCCACTCTCACAAATTGGTCCTTCTCATCTCATATCTGCACTCTCACTTTCTTCCTGAAATTTTCAAATTCAAATTTTCAAAGTCAATTTTATGGGTATGTAGACCTTAAATGTGTGTACGTGACTTGGGGGGTTTTGATGTACATAGTTACACACAGAGACAAAGAAGAATCTTTAAGGAAACAAATGGCATTACCACACCGCGATTGGGTTGCATCTGTAGCAGGTGTATCTCCGACTAGTTCCTAATCTATTTATTTCTCAACTTAATTTAGGTTTTAGTAATAATTGTGAGAATGGTAAAACACCGAAATTCTGCGGAGTTGGGGGCCGTGGTGGTAACAGTTTTGGTAATTGTTAGCGCAACCCAAGCCCAATTATTTTCATCAGTGGAGACGGGAGGCAAGAAAGGTTAGCAAATAATTTCATCCAATTTTCATAGTGGTGTGATTCATGACCATAAAATCGTACATGTTTTATATATTTAAATAAATAGTGTACACATTTTATCCACAAAGTGGAACTCCGCTCACATTCAATTCGCCAGAACAGCAACCACGCCAAGTACAAAATCTTCAAGAACCAATTTCTGTATATACTTCGGCATCTGCCTCACCTTCGTTGCTAGATGCTAACTCAATTGCTACCCTATTTCGGGATGACCCTGCCCCACCACAAACGCAGGAATATGACGAAGAAGAGCAAATTATGACTCATAGGAGCAGTCCTACCAGCAACATGATCATGACTGGACCCCAATACGCTTACTCGTACTCTCCCCAACCAACGACTACTTTTGGTTCGATGATCGCTCCATTCCAGTCTCACCAATATCCGCAACAGACTTCTTCCTCCACACCAATTGGAAGTCTGAGCAGTTGGTACTTGGCCAACGGGGGTAGTGAAAGTGCTGCTGGAAGCAATTTCCACAGGCACAGTGAACCTATGGAATCAGCCTCAGCATCTGACGCGATATCCCAGGTACCAAGTTTCACGTCATCCATCACTTCCATGCTCAACACGGCCACGCAGCATCTCCAACAACAGGTTGGGTACACCAAATGCAATGGAAAAGTAAAATCCAAAACTTGTCTAATTTTTATTTAGTCACATTATTTTGAAAATTCCAGTATCCGACCCCACTCCAAGCGTTTGCTGCATCCTTGCTCCACGGCGGTGGAGCTGGTGTTAGCAACGCACACTCACATGTGCATCATGATTCTTCCATTTCGCCTTCCGAATTTAGTGGAGGATGGTCCGAGCCACACCCGCCTCACACGACGATTCACCACCCACCCACCTCCGTCGTCCACTTGCCCCCTACTTACCACAACCACGACCCATTTGGGCCCCCACCTGTGCAAGTGAAAGTGTTCTCACCACCGAGACCACCACCAATCGTCCAATATGTGAAAGACTCTGTGGCCAACTTTCCCTGGAATCCGTACGGGGTAAGATTTTTTTATAGGCACATTTAGATGTTGATTAGATTTGCCAGCATTATTATTACGTAAGTAAAAATTACGCCTTTTTTTCTCTCGCTCTCTATAGAACCACCAGCTAAAATTCTTCTCCACCGTGGGGAAGACGTTGGACTCCACGTTGGGTGGGGCTTGGGCGGCCAGGAGGGCGTTGAAAAAAGGTGTCGGTACGGTTCTCTCGTCCAAGGTCAGACTTGGTGGGACTTTAGCCTACGTGGGATCTGAAGTTGTCGCAAAGGCGATTGACGTTGTGGCTTCTGTGTAACACAGCGCTTCCTGATTACTATTTAATTTACATTATTTAATTGTGTTGATAAATGTGTAGTAATTATTGTGTGTATGAATGCATTAATTGTACTTGTTGAGTAACTGTATGACGACACGAATTACAAATTGAACTTTTAGATTACGCTTCTATTTACGTGCGTGTTATGGTAGAGACTTCATAATTAAAGACAATTCTTGATGAGACTCCCATCCAGAAATGTCTTTAATTTTAATTCTTTAACCATAGTTATGTTTGAAATCCATTTGAGCATTTGCATAATATGTATTTAATTCCTACGAACGATGTACACATTTTGGTTGACGTACCTCACAATACAATCAAAACTACCCGGGTATTATCTAGATATTATTTTGATTTATGTATTATTATTATTCTCATCTTAAATTTGAGCTATGTATATATAACCAGCTTCCCATAATTCTTATCAGGTTCCAATAATGGAAACATTTCAGTTGCTATTTGGAAGCATGAGATATATGTACACATGCACAAGGTCAATCAACCTATTTGTAATAACTCATGAAAAGTTGGTAGTTTATGTATGCACGATAAATAATAAGTAGTAAAAAGTTCCCAGAAAAATGACATCATGGGATCAAATCCATCCATCAAAATAATAGCAGTACCAACACTAATGCTTACATACTACAGATTCATTTATTTCCACATTCTCGTGTCATATTATTCATTATTGACCGTATTTTGCATATATTTAGATATGTGTATGTTCCGGTTTATGTCATGCATGGTTCTGAGAAATGGTGAATGGATTTGACTTACTGGGCATTAATGAATTACATGTGCATATGTATTACCATGAAGCTCATTGCAAATATGATGCATATTACTAGACATGGTTCAACAGTTGAAGTCGAAGTTGAGCAAGTCAGACCATTTACGAAACAAGAATTTGCCATTCACTACTAGAGTGAGGCAGATTGAGACTCTGATTGGTTTAGCAATGTTGTCGCACGAACAATTATTTGTCTCAATTTACCTCTTAGAAACCAGTAGTGCAAACTGCAGACTTGAGTTTGCATCCATGCTCAACTCAACTCACTCTGTATATTCGTACATACTCTACATACTTTAGTACATACATATATTGTAAGTTACAATTTGTAACACGTATTTATGTTTTATCATGCCCAGAGAAACTGTGAGATTTTTCTTAGATCGTATTTTATTGCATACTTTAGCTACACTCATTTAGGAACAGTATACTAAATGCTTTTCATGTCACAATGCAAATCTTGGTTAGAACAAGTCTTGGTGACGCCAAATATGTAATCGGGATGTATCAAATATTCAGTTCAAACGCTATATTGTACATATTATCACACTCATTTTATTTATTTCATCAAGCTTAGCATTAAAAAACAGATGAAATTGTATAACATGCTTCAAAACAAATTATTTTTAAGCTAGTAGAAGCTAAACGTAGATTAAGTGCACTTGAAGCACAGTAGACTCGCTACCTTTTGAAAGTTGCTGGGTTGCTTAAACTGTGTGTAATCCTGTACAACACAAATTATAAGCCATCACTTAATTTCATCGTATATGTAAATGCATGTACTCACCAGGACAAAGGCCACACAAAGAATCAAAGCTTTGCTCAAATCGTCCAAACTTTTGTCATCAAAATTCACTCGAATGATTTCTTCCTTTGTCGTAGGTGCTTGATTCTGCTGGAAAATATCGCCATCTTTCACAATGGACCCCACTTTAGTGTCTCCGTCTCCAACTCGATAAACTGTAAATGCGGACTCTTTCGCCACCACGACTTTTCCCAGTCCTGAGGCCGCAGCGGGACCGACTGCCTTCATAAGTGGATTTCCATTATGGTCAAAAACGGTGAAAGTCGGGCTTAACTTTGTCCACCCGAATTGCAACGCGATCGCTCCGCAAGGTTCTTTACGACGGAGGCGCAGTTTATAGACCAACTAATGATTGAGTAATTTTTAAAAAGTCATAACCTTATTACGTATTTACTATTTTATGCGATTTTGCCATTTTGCATACCGTGGGAACTTCGTTTAGTCCATTCCTATTAATTTCAAGTAGTTCACTCCCATCATCTCGATCAATAAGCTTGAGTGCGAATGGTTGTGACGCATTTGTGGAAGATTGGACTTTTGCCCTCACTTCGGGTGCTGTACATTCCATCCCATAAAAGACCTTGTCCACTTGTTTGTCACTCTTTTCTATGTCGTAGTTGTTTTGCACATTGGCGAAATCTACGAATTTAAGAATGAAAATGGAAATTCGATTTGAGAATTCAAAAATTATGAGATGTGTGTCAACCTTCCATGTAGCGATTTGTCTGTCTAATCTGGAGATAACTGAGGACGCGCAAGTTCTCCAATCCTGACATTAATTGTTACAATTTTGTATTTGAATTTAATTAAATGATTAAGTGATTTAACTCACCTATTCCCCTCTGTCTCGGTTTGGACGGACTTTTTGGGGGCTCTAATAACGAACCAGAAAATTGACAATTCTAATATATTTTTCTGTTGGAGGTATATAATTGAGACTGGCCTGGAGCAGTGAAGGGTGCATCTAAGGTGTTCACATTGATAAACTCTACAGGGTCAGCAGTTGGTGAAGAACCATGATCGCCTTCTTTTTGTCCAACATTGTCCGTCCCATTTTCAGTCTTGGTCTTCCCATCGTGGTCAGCACTTTCTCCTAATTGGGGATATGTGCAGATATGTTAAATATGAAAATTATATTAGGGCATCAATTGAAATCTTAACGTAAATTAATGATTCACCAACCAGAAGACTTATTTAAATCTAAAGGTTCAGGATGGATTTTAGCCACCATTTTTAACCACACTATATTTAGCTAATTATTCATGTCACATGTGAATAAGACGCTTTGGTGCTACTGAAGAAATACACAAAAAATCACACTCTCCGTTTCGATATTTGTATTTCGATATTGGTGAGAAATGCTGCAAAAAGTCCAAAGGAACTTGAACAAAAGCACACATCTGAAGTCTTACTTTCGCGTGTGATTATACTCACGAGCTTCTATTGTTAGTTGACCTTTCTCTCCGACTCGATCACAAACAATGACTTAATCCCGATTTCTACTTGACTTGACTTATGACTTGACGACCTCACTACGTAAGAATGACCAACCTACCTCTTCTGTCTACATACGTATTTTAGTGCCTCCTTCTTCGACACTTTATTTCCCTTCCTTACACATGCATACTTTCTCCAGCACATTTCCTACGTGGCTACTTACGTATACCTGCCATCAAATTTGAGGCGAATCAATTACACCCATTTTCCTTATCCATTTTGGTCTCATTTCACGGTAAATAGGGTGGGCCAGGAAATGCCACCGACCACACTTATCTCGCCCAACACGCACAACTCACATTTATCAGATGATGCATATATAACACAATGCACATCAAGACGCTTAAGATTAATATGTGCGACACAATCCGAGTAAAGTAAGAAATGCAATCACGACTCTTCTCATTAACGCAACGACTCTGCAACCAGGAGAAAGTTACAAGCAAAGTATGAAAGTAGCTCAGCTTTCTCTACATCACCGCCCACAATCCTCATACACCTTTTAAATTTATGTATGTATGCTACTTGTTTGCGGGTTGTTCATTAGTACATGAAAGCCCTTGACATTTATATCGCCGAGCTCGACTTTCTGCCACATTTTGCTATTTAACCCATAAGGAATTATGCTAATAAAGGAGCGGAAGTGAACCCTAAAAATTTTCAATGGCATCTCTTTTCTGTAATTTAGGCATGCACAAAACACATTCAAGTATTCAAGTATTTTACCAAAACCTAATTTTCCAAACTTATGAAAACTATGAGCTGGTTATTTATTTATTGACTTTGCTTTTTATCCGTAAATATGTTATGCTATGGATTATGAAAGAATATCAGACTTGGGAATGGATTACTTCATATTATTTGGAATTTCACTAATCTGATAAATGGTATATAATATAAAAGTTCTGTTCTGTTATGCCGTGCTGGAGTTTATGTGGTCCTTGACTCTGGAGTTGTGTCGTATGTCGCCGTTTCCATTAGCACGGCATTCTAAAATCTTGCGTCAAGCGGAGATGTAATCATGTTCTTATTTTATTTTATGGAAATTTGGCCCATATAAAAAGTAAAATAAAATAAATTTTTAAATTGAGATATGAGCCGAAATCCATTAAAAAGTTATGTATGGCGTGCATGCAATTCAATACTAAATGAAATGGTAAATTCCTGTGCTTAACCTTGCTGCTAAAATTCTATTTGCGGTGGTCAATTCAAGTTTCAAGTGCAACTATTAATTTTCACATGAGCAATTACCACTGCACTCGTACATACAAATAACTATATGCAAATAGCTAAGTACGTATGCATGCTTATAACTTGCCGACAAGCGTGATCGCACTTTACATTGCATATTAGGGGTATTCATTCGTTGGCATATTTCCTAAACATATTTTCATAAACATATTTCATAAAGATTCCCTTGGAAATTTTCATTATGCAGGTTCGGATCATCAGCATTTCTTACCTGTTTCAACTTAATCCTGTCACCTGCACATTTTTTAGATCACACTCGAGATTTCTCGAAGTATGTATGTAAAGTAAACTTGTGTTTAAATAAATATGCACATACAATATGGAAAAATAGAGAGAAATCGCACATCATTTTTCGGTGACACTTTTCAACTGATTTTGAGCTATCTCGGAAATTTTCCCTGTATTAATACATACACACATCATTATATGCAACACATTTATAGAAATTCTAACATGACTATTATGACAACTTGTTTACTGTCTCAAAATATCTGTGTGAAATCTGTGAAGTTTAATGTTTCAAAATAAATGTGTCCCGTTTTAATTCGCAAATTGAATTATCTAATATAGAAATAGCGAACGAAGATGAAATGGATGGCGACGGGAAATAGAAATCCATGAATCCATGTATGTCAACCAGCTTTGTTCTTGCAATGCATTAATTACATCAAGCTAATTTGGTCAGGGTTGATCATTAACCCAAGTATCATATGCATGGAGAATCTCCATTGGAGATTATACATACGCGTACTTATCTATGTAATAGCGAAAAAGCACATTTTTCGGCACACACAAAGATCCTTTATTTCTTTCTCAGGTTACAGCATTGGTGTTATTAGATATGGATCAACCGACGAAGGAACCGCTGAATTATTTAGCTAAACGTTTTCACTAGCCAATTGATTTTCTTGCCAGAACGGAGTTTTTATGATAATATACATATTTAGATATACGTACGTTACACAAACAGCATTAATCCTAAGTCAAGTTCGCTCCTCAGTCTGTAAACTTGTTGATCAGTCTACTTTAGATTGACTCGATTGTTTTTGATTTCATAATTTTTATAATTTGTTTTGGTCCCGGAAAGTGAAAATTACCATGTCGGCTTCTCCTCCCCCACCTAATCCTCCAAATGACGACACATTTGACGAAATTGAGAATCTTTTGGAATGTTGTATCTGTCTGGAAACGTGCACGGTGCCAATTCATCAGTGCATACGAGGTCACATCATTTGTTTTACTCACATGGATCAATTGACGACGTGTCCTACATGCCGAGGAGATTATTCGGAGGGTGGATCCTCCCGCAACACGATTGCAGAATTTTTGGTTTCCAATGGCCTGAAACTGATTCAACACCTTCACAAAGTTCAGCTTGAAATTCGGCAACAAGTCGAAGAACAAGTTGTTCAAAGTGTTCAAATGGATGAGAAGACAACACAAACAGAAGAGCTCGATGTCCCCGTCCAGCTAAATTGTTCTAACGAGCCGGTGGAATTGACAACTGTTAAGAACTTATCAGCACACCCCACTTCCGATATTGCCATCGTCAACAGCGTATCAAAAAAACCTTCTGTTACCACTGTCGCTATGTGCCGCTACTCTGAGGAGGGTTGTCCATATGAAAACGAAAGTATGTCACAACGGAGGGAGAAACATGAACAGACTTGAGTCCGAATAATCAAAAGATAGTTTTAAGTATCTTCAACTTTCATTACAAAATTTCGTCAGGCCGATTTCCTGCTCCGTCAAGATTGATGATGTTACTACATGTAACAATGCCAACATCCCCTTTGGAACATATATCGACCATTTGAAGACGACTCACAGTCTGACCAACTTTCTCGGAAACTTTTCAGATTGTTACAAATACTATTTGAAATTTGGTAATACCAAACTGGTGCATGGTGAGTGAGCTGATTATTTCAAGACGAATTTCATGTTAGTTATCCAACTTTTTGTTTTACATAAATATCTCAATTTCTTGCCCACAGACGGTTTTACAAATCTGTTCATCCTGGAGCTGAATGACGGAGGACAATTTATTGTGCGTGCTGCAGAACGAAGGGACGGTATCGTGATTTGGGTAGCGTTTCATGGAAACGTTCATACAGGATTGGGATGGCAGTATGACGCCCAAATTGACTTTTTCAATTGCAACGATTCTGAGGCTCCTTCTGTTGAAGAAAATTATGACAATGACTGTGTCGATAAAGACGAAACCAATAATACTATTAATATGCAACAGTTTATTACTTTCTCTGGACCTGTGGGAACTTCAGCTCGAATAACTAAGAGGAAGAAGGACTTTTGGAGAACAATGATTATTTATTCGTCGGGGCCGACAATGTTAGAAAAAGTTTAGGAAAGGAAATGATAGGTAGGAATGAATTAGAATATTGGTCAGTGAAGGTTACAATTTCAAAAACCTATCAGTACAGCTTTGCTTAGCCCGAACGAGGATTAGTAAACCCATGTTTCTCAGTATATTTAACTTCATATTATTTCATGAGAAAGCAGTAAGGATCTTAGGTTCAAATTTCAGCTTTCTACGTTAATTTCTAAAAATCGATATGGGTCACCCCGTAGGGTCGCTCTAGATAAAAATTATACCAATTTCATGTCATATTCTTCCATTAGGACCCATAAGCTACCTCTCCACCAAATTTCAGCTCGATATGACGATTTTGAAAAATCAGCATGGGTCACCCCATAGGGTACCTCAAGATGAAAATTTTTTCAACTTGAACTCATTTTTATCTATTAGGAGCCATTAGCAACCTCTGTGCCAAATTTCAGCTTTCTACGACAATTCTGAAATTTTGGTGCATAATACCCCACCCACTCTGATGGCCCCCACCGGTCCAAAACTTTTCTGATCGAACCCATCTTCGAACTCGGTCGTTGCATTGCCCAGATACATGTCTGTACCAAATTTGGTCCAAATCGGTCAACTCGTTCGAGAGTTATCGAAAGACAGACGGACGGACAGACGGACGGACATGACGATTACATAAGCCCTGGTTCGGGCTAAAAATGAATAGTATTTTTCATTGCAAGATAATATTTATTTGATAACTAAGCTGACTGATGATTGCGTGTATCTCAACAAAGTAATTTCTGATCTGTTTAAGCTATTTTATAAACTTAATAATTAGCAGGACTAATGTTAAATTAATAATTAATTTAAATAAAATAATTATTATTTTATTTAAAAAAATATGTACACAATTTTGAATAAAAATTAAAATCTTTTCATGAAAACTACGTGTTTGGTTGCTGCTGGAGAGAGGAACCGAGTTGAGTTTTTTTTTAGCAAGCAAACTGTTTAGCAAGCACACTCCGCTCATCGTAAGACGGACGACCACTTGTTTGCTGTCGTCGGCTTGTCGTTCGCACTGAAATTCCAAATTTTAATTCATTTGTTGTGTCACATATTGACCACTATCGCGAATTTAATTAGCATTAATCGTTGCCCATGTTTTAATTTTTTGACCGATTTTACGAGAAGGTAAACAAAGACAGCTAGACTTTTTTCGAGTGAAGGAGAGGACTTGGTAAGTTTGTAAATGCAGCTATTTGTGACCTCTTGCTTTTCAAAATAATTAGTTCATTATGTGCATATTTTTATTCTAAAATGGCACCCTTTAAAACATACTTTAGCTTGCTTCTTGGTCGGTAGGTCAATTGACAAAGCTGACAATTCTGTATCATGTCGTCGTCGTCACACAATGTTGTCGTTTGTGGTGCAAAGCAAGGACCTGTCGCCAATCTTGAACCGTTACCACCTGCTGTGCCTGTCATTTCTGGTCGCAGTAGTGGTGGTTCCTCCTGCTTGATGAATATTGCGGCTATCAGTATTTCTGCGGATGAAGAACGACCACGTCCCCCCAATCCTGGCAAATGGTACTTTACTAAGGCTCAGATCAATGATACCCCGTCGCGTAGGCTTGGAATGAGTTGGAAAACAGAAATTGAACTTCGACAAGGAGGCGCTTGTTTTATTCAGAAGTTGGGGAATAAATTACAAGTGTAATAGACTTTTTAATTAATTTATATTAGTTACATTTGCAAATTGATTAATTAATTTGTATTTTCTCCAGGAATCAAATTTGCAACGATACTGCAATAGTCTTCATGCACAGATTCTACATGTGCCACCCATTTGAACATTTTCCTGTGGAGTCCATCTCTATTGCGACCATCTTCGTGGCGGCCAAGGTTTCTAGCAGTTATTATTAGGTTGATGTTTTCAAAGTGGTACAAATTATAAACTGTCATTTTTATTTTTCATACCAAAGTTGGAAGAACAACCCCGTAAAATGGAACATGTTATCAAAGTCGCTCACAGTATTCTACTCAATAAAGGATCGGTGGTCACCCAAACGGCAGAGGTAGCAATTAAATACATGTTATTAATATTCATGAATTAGATATCTTACTAAAATTGTATGTTGATTAAATTTAAGACGTATCGCAAAATGTGCGAAGACCTTTGCACAAATGAAAATATCATCTTGATGACTCTCGGGTTCGATTTTACAGTTGACCATGCCCGCACACATGTCATCCAAGCATGTAAACTTGTTCGAGGTTGGACACATAATATCTGTAAAAAATTACAATTTAAGTCTTATTTGTTCTAATTCCTTCATAGTAAGTAATTTTAAATATAAATTCTGGCAATTTTTTTTTCCAGCGAGTAAGGAGTTGGGTACAGCTTCGTTCTCTTTGGTGACAAAATTGTAAGAGATCATATAAGCATGTAGGTCGTTTTTGCAAAATACTAATCATATATTGTTTAGACTACTCATGACCACCATGTGCGTTCAATATCGCCCCACGCTTATCGCAGCATTGGCAATTTACGTTGCATGCAAATGGTCAGGGTGGCAGGTTAATAAATACAATTATTACCAGACGGAAATAGAAAAGGATATATGAATATGTTGTTAAATATGAATTTGTCTGATTAATAGATATCTCGCTCCAAGGAGGGGCGAGACTGGTGGTTATATATTGACCCAAGATGTACGCAGCCCGATTTGGAGAAACTAACACACGAATTTTTGCACGTTTATGACCGAGTTTCACCCGTCATGCGACAAAGGGTTGAGAACCTTACGCAAATTTGTAAGAGCGAGGGCGACTCACCCAACCAAAATAGTCAAAGGAGTGAGTCTGGTAGTAGTCAAAATAGTCAAGGACGAAAGAGAACCGCTTTGGCTGCATGTTTGGTTAACCCTCCATCCGAGCCCTTAGGAAAAAGTGCATCGGTCGCTACTTCTTCATTTACATCCGCAGCTTCTTACAATTTCAATAAATAGTTAATAAATTTCGACATGCACGCTTATAAATTTAAGAAATTTGTTCAACTCGGAAAATAAATTGTCGAGTGATAAAACTTTAAAGCGAAATTAAATCAGTTTATTAAAAAGAAATGCCCCTTCAACTTTGAAGCATCTCTAGACCCAGATTACATTCTTTTCTGACTTCCTTCCATAACTCCTCCGTTCTTTCCAAAACCCCAGCCACCCAAAAGTGAGCCGAGTTATCAGTAACCTTTTTCAAGGTAGAACATTCTCTAACCCCACAGAGGTAGTCGCGGTAGTGGTGAACGAATCCTATCTCTTCTGGTGAGACTTGAACTTCGCCAAGACTTCTTGGCTCGCTCCTTTCCAAGTAGTGTACTCCTGGCTCAATGACTTGGTTAGGGATGCTCATGAACTTGGATCTGTAATTGTAATTTGCAATATGAACTTGGGTATAAAAAAATTAAGTATCATATCATAATAATTATTTCTCTGCCCGAGCACGACTCACCGTACTTTAGCCGGATACATAAACGATTGTCTTTCAGTCCTAGTAAAAGTAATTAAATCATCCAATCTTAACTTTTCTGAACTATCCGTAGACGGTAACGCCAACTTTCTCCTGGTTCCAAATTCCCTAGCCAAATCTTTACCAAAGAAGGCTGAGCGGAAAAGAAATTGGGCGACAGGTAGGGATCTGAAAGATAGCATGTTAATCTAATGCTTGCAATCTTGTTAGCACTTTTATACTTTTATGCATTAACCTGTTCAGTTTTTCATCTACTGGCACTGTTTTTAATCTTTCCACAAGTTGTGCATAGTTAACAGCATGAGTATAATTTGGAACGAGATATTCGTCAAAGTCGAGGAACAAGACATAATTCGCAACACCACGATATCTCCAAAGACAGTCGTTACTTTGTGCGACTTGGCCGTTGACGTGAACTTGCTGAGTGATATTTCAATAATTGACATGAGACCTTGGAGAGAATATTGCATTTACATAAATATTGCACAATAAGTATTTGTAACAGTTGGTATTTATCTACATGAGAAAATGATCAGCATTATTCTCCAAGGTCTCATTCTGCCTCGCACAAATATGTAACCTTTGACGGAATAGGTAACCCCCACGGAAGAACGAGTACGTCCAAGTCTGAAATTGCACAACATATCAAGACTATGCAAAATGGTTATTTATGCGTCGCCATTCTATCTACGCATACTTTTTTTCAATGCGTTTGACCTTAGAAGGCACGATACATGTGCCCCCATCGAGATATTGTACATCGTGACATGCGTGACTCCCATCATTCTGTGAAATTCGAGCCATTCCATTAGCTCCAAGACCGAGTCGTAACGATACGTGGGTTGGACGCAGATGGCAAAATGGTACTGAAAGTTGAACACATTTTCACGGCTCGTCCTCCGTCGTTGTATTTTCTGGACAGGTAGAATTCGTCGACCGTCAAATTTCTCTCGTATTGGTGACAGTGCTAAAAAATATGGCTTCGTTGTATTTCGAAGGGTAAGATGTGGCATTATAGGACAAAGGATGAAGGAGCCTCTGCGCAACGTGTTAATCAGTTAAAATTATTAAATTAGCTTATTTTGAGCTACATAAATATATGTGCAGCTTGCAAAACATCTTACCCATACAAATATTGACTGTATCCTGAATGCTCAATTATAGCTGGAAATGGCTCGCCAAAAGGAATGACGCCGGTCTTGTCGTCACCAGTAAACAGGTGGCAAAAGAAATTTGGTAGCATGCCTTTCGTCGGAGTGAGGGCTATTATCCGGATAACGTTTCTATGCAGGTCAATATAAAGAATAAATAAACTGTGTCATATGTATTTCAATTGGCACATTTTGCTATTTGCTACCTCTCATTATTCTCATCAAGATAGGCCGAATATACCATAAATTTCAGACCCTTTACTGGTCCCGATCCATCCCAAATTTGTTCTTGATTCTCCTCCCAAACGATTTGCCAGTCACCTTGTCTCGAATTTTTTTCCTCATTAACCACTTTGAGATCATTTTCTGATCGGAGTTTATTATTCAGAGTGATACAGGCCAAAATAATTACTGTTATTAATATAATGATAATATTTCGGAGTCGTAGGTGATAAATATTTTTTGCCGGTATGACTTTATTCAGTCGTTGTGTGAGTGGTAGTCGATAAAATGTAGCGATCAAGTTTCTCATCCTTGTGATGTTGCGTTTCCTTTTAATAATTATTTTTTCTGACTACAGACTATTTGCTGACTATTTTTACTGACTACAGACTTGGACTTTTTTTATTGATAAAGTTAAATAAATATGCATTTATGACATGATGCGACTGAAATAACTTCTTGTTATCTTTATAAATACTCAGCTCAGATACATAAAAGGACTGTACATAAAATCTCCTTCGTCCGTTATATTGTAAGTAATTGACTGTATTTGTTTTTTATTGTTTCTGAAATGTATAAACAATAACGTGTAAACAAAATTTCTTCTGACTACCTCATTATGTAATAAAAATTACAAAGACATTGACATTTGCATGCCAAAAAATTCATGTTAAATGATTGCTGGCCTGTTGAATTCAAACATATTAGTGTTTATTATTATTATTTAAATTGTGATCATGTATGCACATGATCGTAATTGAGTCGCATTCAACCAGTCCCAGATTATCATAAACGGTCCCGAGAACGAGAGGAATAGTGATACTATTTTTGCACACTAATTATATTTTTAGTATCCAGACCCTTATGTTCGAACAAAAAGTATACAAAATCACCCTAAAAAGTTGACCCCTGAATTTTAAGCATACCTAAATATATGACTTCCCCGAAGGTACTTGATATTTTCAGGTCCTTGCAGTAATTTTAATCCAGTCATAATAGAATAGTTTCCTGATAGTGTTTTAGATGGTAGATTTAATTTAAATGTAATATACTACTTCAATTTTACGGTCATGAACGAAATGAAATTTACAAGCATGTTTTGTAGGCTTCATATGAGTCTCATGTGCATGAATACTTCGTGTCTTGTGTAACAAAGAGGGAATTATTGAAAAGTCTAAACAAAATATTGACAAAATAAATAAAAAATATTGGACATCTCTTGAAATCACGTTTCCAAATTGGAAATTCCAATAATACATATTACGGCATTACGTAATACGAAAAATTAAACAATCCTGCAATTTAAGTAAACTATAAGCAATCATTATTTTTCTGTAGCACAAAATACGTTGCATATGTGAGAACTTTGTTTTGGATTAACAGGTTGTATTAATTGATTCAATCTTGATTGTTTTCGTTGGTAGTACAAACGAAAAATATAATTTTATAGTAATACATATACATATAACGAAATATAATGTGGTCAGGCATAATTTTATTCTGACGATTTTTAGCTGAAAAAGTCGAATGCAGCAAAACCGAATGAATTGAGAAATTATGAATACGCTAAAAGAAGAACAGGGAGGAATAGAAGAAGGATGCTATTTATGTGGGGATGACGACGGTGATGGAAGGAGACCCTTTGGCGGAGTGGGTGGAGATATAAAAATTCTAGAAACATGGTCACTCCGCTGCGTTGAATCAATTTCCTGCCTCTTTCGAATTCCTGCCAACGATCCACTCCGTCAAGTCATGAAAGACGCGGATTATTGTCAGAAATGTGTCCAAGTTGTTCGAGATATTGATTTTACCTTTCGTCTCTTTAATCAATTACTTGCAAGATTGGAGGTATTGCAAAAAGACATGTTGGACAAGGTGGCGCAGAAAGAGATTAAAGATTTTGGGGAAAATTTTGAGCGAGAAATTTCTAAACGTAAGTATAATAAATCTTGGCTAACTAAATACAGATGAGTAAAGGAATGCGTCAAATAACACCGTATTTTTTAAATTAATTTAGTGCTTCGCGAAGGAAGTGCTGACATTAATGTTGGGATTGATCGGTTTAAACATTTACTAAATTTGGAATCCTTGAGGAATTATTCTGACAACAACGATACAAAACCAGTCCAACATTCAAGCCGAGCTGTGAAACGAAAACTTTTGAATGAAGTTGACAATGTGAAGATTGAAGAGGAAGAGAAAAGTTACATAAATTTTAAACAAGAAGAGGAAGTTGATTTATTATTTATGGAACAAGACCGGATTTTTCTATCGACAGAGGACGATCACCAACAAAACTTTGGCATCCTTGGGTATTCCCCAGAGAGTTATGAACAACCTTTTGTATCTGAGGATGACAGTTATGATGACTATCAAACCAGTCATGGGAAGAGGCCTCGAAGGCCGAACAGTCCCATAAAACTCAAAAAATTTAAGTGTTCTCTTTGTCCTGCATTGGCCTTTGGATCTGACATGGCCTTGAAAGGACATATAAGAGGTGTCCATGAGTGTAAGATATCAAACCAATTAATATACATTTACCATTAGGAGTACATACTTATTTAACTTATTAATCAAGATTTTCTATTTCAGTTGACCCCCTCCCATATCATTGTGACAAGTGCCCAAAAAAACTCAAGCAGTTGAAAAGTCTTAAACGTCACAGAGCCAATAAATGCACACTTTCACTCCTCACTTTTGAAAATACTACTGCTGAGCTTCAACCCAAATCAGAACCTCATCATCTTTCGAACTCTGAAGCTGGAAATCCACTAATCCGACGCTCCTCTCCCCGTGTAACTGTAAAACGGGAAATAACCAGTATTCTAAAACACGAGGACCAAGATGATGACACTGCTATTAATTTAGATGAAGATAACCAATATCCTTCCGATAAAGATGACGATTATCTAGAAACTGGAGAAGACGAGGAGGACGATAACGCTTCAGATTTTGATTTCTCGGACAATGATTATTCTGACGGAAATGATGAAGATTATCGTCGCCGTCAACGGGGTAGGAAAAATCGGGGGGATACTTCCATCAAAAAATTACAATGTCGCTTATGCCCAGCCTCGTTTATGGCGGAAGCAAGTTTGAAGGGTCATCAACTGGGAGTTCATGAAAGTAGGACCAAGAATATAATACTGATTCAATTTTTTGTAATTTTTTTATTATCTAATTGATTTAATTTTTGATATCTATTCAACAGATGACCCTCTACCCTTCCACTGTGTTAAGTGCCCCAAGAAATTCCGGAAATACAAATCTCTACAATCTCACACAAGTAAAAGATGTCAAAAAGAAGTTGTCCAACCATCTCAAAATATCCCATGCGTTTCATGTCCTAAAAAGTTTTCCACTAATTCATCCCTAAAGACTCACACGCAGCGATTACATACTCAATTCAACTGCAGTTTCTGTGCCTTAAACTTTCAAACCCATGAAGAAACTCAAACCCATGAGGAACTCCATAAAAATTTTGAGCAGCCCTTTCAATGCATCATCTGCCAGTCGGTATTCTCCAACTCGTTAAAGCTTAAAGATCATGTCGCATTATCTCATACCAACAATCGCGTCGTGTGTGACGTCTGTGGTAGAAAGTTTGTAAATGAAAAATATCTGCGGAAACATCAAGTGATACACAGTGAATCCTACGTCGGACACAAGTGCGAAGTCTGTGGGCATGTTTTTCAAAGCCCATCGGTCCTGAGTCAACATATGAATAAGCATTCCACCACGAAGAACTTTATTTGTGAAATTTGTGGGGCCGGTTTCAAGTACCCAGCCGGACTAAAACTGCATAAAATAAGTCATGAGCCTAAGGCACAGCTCCCCATTGTATGTAAAATATGCGATAAAACATTCGCCTGTAAACAGTTCCTCCTGAAACATGAAGAAATTCATTCTGGTACGTTATCTTACGAGTGCCCAACTTGTCATAAAAAATTCAAGAGGGCAAATAACTTGAGGCAACATGTTCAGATTCATGAGCCAAAGGATCCCAACAGGAAGAAGCGAGCGCGGAAGACTAGCAGACCGCCCACAGCAGCAGCAGACACGATAAGGAATCGAAATGAAGTAATCAATGATGTGGCAGTCGCAGGCGTTGTTACTGTCGCCTCTGGAGATGATGACCATGGTCAAGACCGAGTCATTAATTATTTTATACACTATTAACACGGAACAAGGAGAGCGCATTTAAAATTTAGTAAATTGAAATGCATTCAATAATTGTGATAAAAACATGTACATTAAAATATGAGAATCTAGTCAATTAGCAATAAATAAATGCATACAAGTTTCCTAATAAGTGATTGGGCAATTTATAAAAAGGCTAAAGGTTTTTATTTATCTCATCATCTTGGGTGAAAGCTAGCCTTGGTTTTTAAATGGCAACTTGCAACTTCGAGTTAAAAGTGGTAAAATTTTTGTATTCAGTGATTCATATAGTTCGAATACTTTTAAATGGTTCAATGAAAAAAAGCTTTATTAAGTTTTCTCCTCCTTAAAATAAACATGACAATCATTCACACAATTCACCTAATAGCAATCAACCCAGAATCCAGTAACTTTTGAATTTTGACAGCAATTTCAGGATTTTTTAAATGATCCTGCAGTGCCCTCGGATCCGTTTGCATCTGTTCCAAAATCAGTCGCATGGCAGGATCCCCAAGAATTGCCTGCACCTCCGGATCACCCATCGCCTTCTTCCGCATCTCCTCAGGATTCGAGTGCACTTGGCGGAGGGCGAGTTGATGACCTTGCAATGCCTCCGAGTTCGTGGGGTCGAGTTGCAACGCATTCTCATACGAAGTCATTGCTTTTGTATGGTCTCCCAGAGCATGGAGGATTTTACCCCGACGGAGATGCCCTTTTACTAGAAGGTAATTAGTTAAATAACTAATTAGTTTGCGAATCCAATTAATTAAGTATAAGTAAGTAATCATAATTTACTTACTAAAAGTCACATCCAACTCCAAGCACTTGTCACAGTCTTTCAATCCCAAATCAAATGCGGCCAATTTTGTGTAGCACGCGGCACGATTGGAATAAAGCTTTGCGTCCTCTGGATTACGCCGAATAGCTTCCGTGTAGTGTTTTAGAGCGCCAGCAAAGTCTCCTAAATATTTTAAAACATTATTATAATAAATGCATTAAATTTGAACTCTATGATTAATTAACAAACCCTTTTTAAACAAGTCATTTCCAGTTTCTTTTTCCTCTTCAGCTTTAACGGGATCGATGTAGCTTTTACGCTCCTCCTCTTTTATAATCTTTTCGACCTCAGCCAGCATAGCTCGAGTTTCGGGGACTCGGTGTTCAGATAATGATTTTTCATAAAAGACCTGAGACAAATATTTAATTATAATTAATAGCACTTTGTTAAATACTACTTGTTTTGAAAGTTAAATTTACTTTTGCATTCGTATACTCGCCAAGTTTTCGGTGTGAGTTAGCTATGCGAGTGAATGCTTTCGCGATTAATTTGAAATCTGTAATTTAAATTCAACAATGTAAAGTTAAAGAGCATGCATCAACTATAAAATCAATTAATCAACTATTTCCTTTACCGGCCCTGTTCTCTCTTCCCAATTCAATTGCATCCAGACAAGTTTTGATGGAATCCTCGTACTTTTTCTGTTCGAAATATACCGCAGCAATGTTGAGTTTGTAAGTCATGTTGGTAGGGTCGAGGGTCAGAGCCTTCGTGTAGCAGGATAAGGCTGTATCAAAGTCCTTCTTTGTGTACGAAAGATTCCCCTGAGTCTTCAGATTGGCAGCCTGTAAGTAATTGAAAATTTCAATTTGAAATTCACTTATATAAATAAACTCGCTCTCCACAACTAATAATTTGTGCTGCTAATTGTAGTACAATTTACTACGAAAACTGAAGAAATGATTAATCAGTTAACTCACCTCACTCTCGTTGGTGGCCATTTTAATTGAGTTATGATGTTTTCAAAAGTAAAAATTTATAAAATTATCCAAAAACGAGAATGACGAATAAATTCACTCCCTTTGTGCCGAGCAGTGTGTTCGTTCTGCCGTTCTCTGACTAAAACAGGCTCCTCGCAGAACTTTACACCACTCACCGCCCAACTTCTACCGCTCTCCACCCAGACCGACAATTATAATGATATCTGATTTCTTTACTTTTTATCACAAAACGTGGTGTAGCCTAATCATATTTTCAATTTATGACAAAAAAATAAATTTAGGGTATTTCCAACAAGTATTCAGCTGAAAATACAAAATACAATGCAAAATTCTGGCTCTAAAATGTGCAGAAGGAAATTGTTCCGGGCGGTTTTCGGTAGTAAGTTGGACGGCAGGCGGCTGAGAAGCTCCATATCACGAAACACCGCGGAATTTTCTGGATGCTTCTACTGAGGATGAGAAAAGTCTATGGCCAGACTGGAGCAAACGTATGAAATAAGGAAGACAAATTGCATTGCGCTTGCATGCAGTATAATAATTTACACTACCGGAAATTCATTCAATTTATTTAATAAACTTTAATTTTAAGATGACGTTTTAAATGTTTTGATGATTAAATAAATATGATAATAGTTTTTACAGTTAATTTAAGTTATTCTCACGTGAAAATCATAGAATTATTTGAAATACATACATATATTGTGTCAGTTGATTACTGATTGATTTGTATACTTTTACTTCAGGTCTATAAAATTGCACATTAAACTGATCATTCATGAGTTGAATTTTACAATTAAAGATGCAATTATCTGAATGTTTCTTGCAACGTCAAAAGAATAACAGTAGATTTGTATTTAAGTAAAAATAAAAATAAAAAATGCCACCGAAGGACTCTAATAATGATAACAAATCTAATGGAAATATGCATAAATAAATAAATCTCTTTAGGGAATAAATTAGTGATTTTAATAATTAAAAATATTTTGCATATCCGTAGATGATTTATGCGAATCTAATTCTCGTGGTCCCCTCAATAAACCGGCAACGGAACCACTTCACTTTCACACGCACCGAACATGGAGATGGTAAAAAACCCAACCCAAGCTCAAAGCAATTTACTTGTATAGTTCGTGCTATCGCATAAATCGCATAAAATTACAATGCAAAATCTAGACTACTTAATTGACTAAATTAAATATATAAAAATAAAAATGTTCTCATCCTACACCCCGACCAACCCCACCTACAAATATGCCCTTTACATTGGGGTTCCTTCCCTTGCAGTTGCTGGGTTTTGTTATTACCGGTATCGTAATAATAATAAAAGTAGCAGCGATAATTCGCCAGACACTTTAAAACCTGAAGAGTCACCAGCAGAAGTAAAACCCATGCCAGTTCCAAACACAGCTAAAACGTTAAAAGAATCGGGAAATAAACTTTTCAAAATCGGAAATTATACTGAAGCTTTAGAGTTATATTCAAAAGCGGTAGAATTATGTGACGAAGAAGACAAGGAAGCGTTAGAACAATTGTATCAAAATAGGGCAGCAGTTTTCGAAAAGTTGGTGAGTATAGAGTGAGAGATTTACATTGTTTCATTACATTGTTTGGAATGTTAGTAATTTTGAAAGCGGACTGTAACAAATTAATAATTGCATTACAGGGCGACTACACTGCAGTGATTAAGGAAACAACAGCCGCATTAAAGCGAAATCCTAAATATGTCAAAGCGCTCCACCGACGGTCCAAAGCATATAAAGCTACTGGGTTTTTGGAGGAGAGTTTAGAGGATATCACTGCAGTTTGTATTTTGGAGGTAATGGAATTCACTAAACCTAAACTGTGCAGTAATGATTCAAAATGATAACCCTAAAATTTATTTTGCGCAGCAATTCAGCAGCCCCGTATCTGTCCAACTGGCGGATGACGTATTAAAAGAACTTGGTATGGAATTTTAATTTTTGTGCACTTTTTTAACAATAGTATGTTAAACTAAATGACAACTTAACTTGGGTTGAAACGATTTACAAATACCGGTGGAATTATTAACCACTCGCCAAAGAATGTAAGCACAATTCTATTAAATTTAACTGAAAATTTATTTTACTTAATTAGGTGCGTTGGAGGGGACGAGACTGATGCGCGCAAGAGATACGGAAGGAAAAGGCGTCAATCCAAGCAAACACACATGTATCACATATTTGAGAGGGTTTTATAATTGTCCCATTAGTAAAATTTTGACTGGAAGAGAAGAACTTCCTAGTGGTGACGAGTGGTGAGTGCAAATACACATTTAATATGCGGACAATTAACTTGTTATAACCTAAATGTTTAACTTTTATTCGACTGTCTTGTTTACAGCCCCTACATTACAGCCTTATCTACGCTCATTCCCTCTCCAAACTCACCCTCTTCTTTTGACTCTATAATTCCCTTAACCACGACCCAAATAGAAACCTACAACTCCTACAAAACCGAATCCCACTATCTTCGTGGCTCATTCCGTTTCCTTTATGGTCACACCTCCCCCGCCACCCTCGAAGATTTCGAGTATGTCATCAAACACACAACCGACAAAGCAGTAAAAGCCACTGCACTTGTCAAACTAGCCTCACATTATGCGCTGGTTGGGCAAGAAAAGGAATGTGAAGACTGTTTCGAAGAGGCTGCAAAAGTTTGGCCGGATAATGTAGACTTGTGGCACCATAAAGGACAAATCCTCCTTACCCGTAATAATCTTCCTGATGCCCTTGCCCATCTAAGCAAAGCAGCTGAACTTGAACCAGGCTATGCAATAGCCAATGCAACAAAGTGGTATATCTCTAAAACTGTCGGAATGAGTCAAATAGTACCGGATTATGTAATTTACGTAATGATTTTCATCCTAGGTATGTACAATACCGCATTCTTGGTGGTTCTGGTGATATTCCTGGCGCGGATCAGTGCGTACGGGAGTTTGAAAATTTAGTCAGAAAATTTGGAGACAGCCCAGACGTCTTTTCTTTATACGGACAAGTTAGTCCGATGCATTAACTATTTTTAATTACACTTAATTAATTATTTCTTAACTAATGACAGATACTTATGGAAAATCAACGCTTCGCTGAAGCCGAGCTGCATTTTTCTCGTGTCGCAGAATTAGACAAGACCAATGCAGGTGTTCTCGTGCACCGGGCGATGGCTAAATATCAGCAAAATGGTGATGTCGAGGAGGCAATTAAAGTTTTGGAGGAGGCAGTAAATGTGGACGAGAGGAACGAGTTCGTATATGAAACATTGGGAACGTTGCATTTGCAAAAGTGCGTGAGAAAACTTCTTTGTGTAATAACAGCGATTGTACAAAACTTTCTTTTATACATTTTTTTCTTCAAATATCTAGTGGTTCACTGGACCCAGCGATAAAATACATTACCAGAGCTGTCAAGCTCGCCCGATCGGTTCAAGAACTGACCATCTTGTCCTCCCTACTGAAAGCTGCAGAAGTGCAAAAGAAAGTGCGCGATAATTTGGGGCTCGAAGTTCAACCGGGGTTTTTTAAGTAGATTTTTAAGTTGGACAATGAAGATCAAATATTTAATTGAAATAAACAATTTTAAACTATACATATTTAGTATGAAACGTTTTTAACATAATTTAATCTTGTGTCTTCGTTAGTTCTCGTATTTAATTTATCCAGTTTATAGTATGTACGTTCGTATGTTTGTTTATAAAGCGCAGTAATTTACTTGGATTGAATGCATTAACGTGTGCGAGCTTAAATATAATAAACATTCATTATCTTAGACCTTATTAGTTGTCCATAGTTATTGATCTTGCCCATCAAGCCAAATCCTATGGAAATTTCTTTAATGACTGCTCTAAAAATGCCTTTTAGCCCGAGTCAGGGCTTGTGAAACCGCTGTTGGTCCGTTGACACGATTGAGCCAAAACGGCTTAACTGATTGACTTGAAATTTTCGCCAGCATATCGCACAGATCTAGGAAACAAGTTTGAAGATGAGCAAAACAGGTCGAGTGGGGTGTTTGGTGCAGAATATTCGGAATTGTAGATTTTCTTGCAGTGCTGGTGTCCAAACTGGGCGACTTGGTGCTATATTTCTGGGGGACTTTATTGGTTTGCTTCATAATAATTCAGACTGATGATGACGCCAAGTCACCTTTTTTTAAATATTATTCACGTACGTTATATGATACGGTACAAACATATTTTTGACATGATAATTTTGTGAGCATAAATAAAGAAACGAAGACAAAAAACTGCTTAAAAGTATTTTTATATTTTTACTTTATCGCCACATTTCTCATCTACTTAACTAAACTAAAACAAGACTTACATACTTTATGCATGCAAACACGCCAAAAACGAATGACAATGTAAATTTTGTCATATGATAGAACTTGATAGTGAGTAAATCTTTATTGACGAGCTGACGACATGCCTCACATAAAGCGTATTTTTATTCTATTTTAAAATAACATGCATACAAATCTCAACTCTCGTAACGATAAATACGTATTTATAGTCGGCATGAGTACAGCTATGCATATTTATATATTTACGTACATGTACATATGCATGTACATATATATATATACAAATGTGTGCCTGCATGAAGTAAGTAAACGTGCAAAACTACATACTTCATGTATACACAACTCTGAAAAATGTGAAACACCCAATGAACTTTCTCCTGTTATTAGTCGACATAAAAGTGAAGCTCATAAATACGTGAGCTCATCCTGCATATTTATGGAAGTAAAAGTAAATCCGGGAAAACTGTTGCTCCAGCAACACATCTGTCATATTACTTTCTCCGAAACCTTTCTCCTGCTTTCCATTCTCCCAAAATAGGCCATCCCTGATTTCATTTTGATCTTTATTTGCTTGTCACTCGCCACTCCAACCCAACCTAAATTACTGAAGCAAGCAGATATTGATCCATTTTTAATTCATTTTAGTTTTACATTCAAATATGGCCACCATATCAAAATCACGGCTTAGGATTTGTGTAATGTCGGTAAGGAAAAATTTTTACACTTGTCTGCTTTCTCTCATTTTAACCAACTTGACATTTACTTACGTACGTAATACAAATTCCAGGTTATTCTTACTAATTCAGTATCCGTGCTTTTTACGACCATAACCATCCTTTTTTGGGCGGAGGAAGCACCTGCCGTGTTGATGCGACCAAGGGCAAACTCAAATTCTGGATTGTACGTTTTAATATGTTGTAAGTGCGGCTACATTATTTTATTGTTGACATGTTCAACGAGTTTAATGACCAAAATAACTTTCTTTTAAAATCATGTACAGTGTTTGCAACAGGTATCCTTTTCCTATTTTGGAATGCGACAGAAATTTGGACAGGTGTTCAGTTATGGAAGAATGCGAAATTGGTGAGAGTTTTCACTTCTGAAAAGGAAAAAAAATCACGTTTTTACTTATCTGACAGGGAAGTGATGCAGATCTAACCCTGTCTGCTTCAGAGCAGTGGAGGATCGTTTTACTCCTGTCTAATTGTGTCGCCCTGTGGCCACTGATGATATACTCGACCGATCTCATATGCTGCATGATCGTGGGAAGTTGCTTTATTAAGATTTTTTCTTTAATTACAACTTCCTTATATATTTTGGAGCTGGAAAGAAGTATGCCTGCAGTTGATGATGAAATTGCGGAGGTCGGATTTAATGATGTAAGGCCTTGTGATGCAGCATAAACTTGGATGATCACCTTGTGAAGCTGGAAAATTGCTAGTAATTCTGAAATAATTCTCCGAATTTTAATGTGCATGTGACATGTTATTAATTTTTAAATGTGGGATCAATGTGATTTAAAATTAGATAATACACTTTAAAATTAAATTACAAATTGATGGTTAATGTAATATATGTTCAACTTTTGAATAAAATCCTTTGTGACTGTTTTAAGTATTCATCCACTAGCTTATTCATGCATCCACATTTTTGCACCCACTCAACTTTTGACACAAGTATTCCCACCATGCCGATACTTCATAGTAGATAAATCATGCAAAAATTCCATAAAGCGAAAATTTTAGATTTTTACATTATAATGAAATAAAATAAGTTAAATATTATCTATGTACATACATACATGGTGTTACAGTAATACTATTACTATTTAATACAAAATTAATGAGGCGCATATCACAAACTGGTACAAAAACATTGCATAAGTAAAATGTGCATATCTATGTTACATATGTACATACTTACGTATAGAGGTATGTGGGTACATATAAATACGTATTCATATTCAGCACCACCAAAAAACGACCATGATAAAACAAGACGACAAGATTATACGAATAAAGTCATAAAATTCATAGTTTACAGTAGTTTTACTACACGACATGCATACTTATGTACATGCTACAGACAGACATCCATAGGTTTAATCCTGAGCAAGAAATCCTTACGCGTTGTGGTATATTGATTACTTGTACATATACTTTCTCCGTATGAATCCGGCTTTGCTTCCTCAGTGCACAAGTAGGCTTTCACGGCTTGTCTTTTACTCTGGTCCAAACTTTTGATATAGACGCTGTAATCCATTGCTCGTGTTTTCCGTAGTGGAAAAATAAAAAAGAAACATGAAAATGTTGAGCTTTGGCGTATAGTAGTCCTTGGACTTGGCAGTTTGTGAGTAGTCGCTTTTCCACATGGGAGAAGATACCATCAAACCAAGGCCACTGCCACCAAAATGGACTTGTACGGCTGCATAGCAATTTTGATCTTTATGCAGATTCAATTGCTGCATGGTAAGTCTTGAAGCAATTACATAATTGGTGCCCAACTAATTATAGATCCGTATAAAAATACATTTTAAAACTATTTCTCCTTGGTGGACAGGATCGGATGAAAGCAATTGCAACCTCACGCTGAGCGACCTTTGCCAGACATTCGAGTAAACCATACAAATTCTGCGATTTATTAATGTTTGTGCCATTTTCTGACAAGAACTTGATATCTGTTTTCAGACAAGCAGAAGCATGCAACACGACACCATATTGTATTCACTGCATCTGGAATACTGTCATAATCCCAAAAGACGACGAAGTCAAGTGTAACTTGTGTAAAGATGAGATTATCGAGGGTGGTGTGCACAAGGTAAAAACAAATCTACTTTCGTCTTTCGTCGAACCCTGCTACTAAAAAATATCGATCCTATGAAATTTCTGCATATATATACGTAGGTTAGCATGCTATTCCTGCTAAACACCACCTGCAATCTTCACGGGAATAAGGAAGACATCCAAAAATGTACCCATCTCGTACGCGAACTTTCCCTCGGATTGATTAGTAATGCATCACAAAATTTAAACTTTATTAAAAATAATTTGTCACTTTATTTACAATGTTTATATTTGTTCAGACGAAATTTCTACCCAGAACATGACCAGCCACGACATTTGTGCCCTGCTTGCCCTATGTCGAACCCTGTTTGAGGTGACCGTGTCCAACGTGGACCTCGCTCCAGCCAGTGATGCAATAACGCCCACATCCGCCAACGTCAACGAAACCCTGGAACCAGTGGCTATGGCAAAAGTGGGCGGCGTGTCCAAGCGTCGCGGAGGCAGAGGTGGCAGTGATAGGATTCGAAGCGGAAATGGGTCGTCGTCATCTTCGTCGTCTTCTGGAGGTCAACATCTGCCTCAATATACGGGGGGAATTTCCCTTCCGGGGAATAAGGTGACCGGCACGGTTACACGTGTTTCGAATAAATTTTACAACGCGGGTGGGCGATTTATTCCCGTCTTTGTCCCGGGAAATGGTGGCAGGCATACGTGCACCTTGATGGGAGACAAGACAGATGACAATATGGATGATACTGAATTTTACGGCTGGGTTGTCATTGCATCGATTTTATTCACACTTGTTTTCTTCATTTGCCTGGCTTGGAAGGTGAGTGCGGGTGAAAGCAGTAACTACGACGAGGGTTTGTGCACGAAGAAGGGGAAGAAAAATAAGAACAAGCAGTTTAAGAGAGAGTCTGGATATTATTATTAAAATTGAGATAATTCTGAAATATTTGTTGCCAAACTCAATTAATTTAATTGTTCATAATATCATTCAAATTATCATATAAAATATGCATATTATCTTTTAATTAGATGTGATATGTGTGCATATATGTATATACTGCGCAATTAATTATAAACTTTGTTAGTTATCTTATTTATATTGTTAAAAGATCTGTTTTTGAGAGATTATCATAAAGTATTACCAACAAAAAATCGACCTCGATATTCTTTTCTGCACTGTTCATGTTTATAAATAAAAAATGAGCACAAATCGAACACCACAGTGAAGGACATCTTAAAAGATATCTAGGATGGATGGATTTTTTGTTTTGCATTATTGTTATCGGAAGAGTCTATATACCCTGAGATCATGACCTTGAAAGCTAAATGTGAGATTTTCGTATTGATTTTACTTTCTCCATCCGAATCATCATCGTTCTTTCGTCACCTTGCCATCATCCTTCCGAGTCGAGGAAGAAAGTCGTGTAGAAAATCTCTACCTCACTTTCTCTCACTTTCTCCGCTCGTTTCGTGATCCCACTGCTCATGCCATTTACATGTATGAAACTACACACGTATAAGTTCAGCTACGACCTGTTGGAGATATTTTGACGAATGTATAGCACTGTGTGCGTGCAACTGGTTTTGCTCCATGAGCAAGTTGCATGGGATGCGATCAAATACGCTAAATACTGAATATTATCCATTTTATTCCTAACTACATAAGATACTGAAGTAAAAAATGTGTTTGATACATATTTCAAAACATGTCTGATTTTATATTCTCTGTATTGATTCACTCCAGATTGATCACAAACTTACTGATGTCAGATGAAATGGAGGATATTAGTAAATTTATGTAACACAATCTACATACCTTTCTTAATCATGTGTAATCTCCACGGCAATGATAAGTAATACGTAGTTTACACTATGTGAAAACTATTGAGGATCGCCATCAGTCAGGACTGTTTGATTTTTATGCATATTCAAGTCTAGTAGATAAAAGCAAGCAATTATGCATTTATTTTCATTCCAATTCAAACGCATCTTTCACTTTCGAAATAAAATATATATGTGCTTCGTTTTGGGGTTTGAGATCAGCATATTTTCTACTAAATGGTGAAGATTGATTATTTGCTAATTGTTACAAAACAAGTATTTGATGAGGCAACAAAGAGATGAATAAATAAACACTGCATATATTTGCACGTTAAAATAAACAAACTCAAGTTATACATACACTTGGAGTAGACCTTTATACACGTATGTACATACTTCGATCATGAAGTTATATAAAAATATGAATTTGTCCTCCATACATGCGTATTCATCTCGGTTCAATCACAGTAAACACATCGGAGTTGACGACGATGACGACTCATTCGAATGACGCATGTTCTCCTCACTTCATTACCTGTCACAAGTTTTATGTTTTCACTTTTATGAAAAGTTTGAGTGACTTGATCAAATTATTTACTTGAGAGTGACATTTCGTCTTCATCCCACGCTAATATTCTGTCAAAACAACTGGGAAAAGTTGTTTATTGGTTGTAAATGTTGTCCATCCGTGTTGTAAAGTTCAATCTATTTCCAGACGGTAGGAAAAGTTTCTCAAAGTTATTTCAGAGTATCGATTACTCTTTCTCCGACTAAGCCTTCATTCTGCTTGCGTAGCCAGGCCACCGTCTTTCATAAAGATGCCCTACTTTCATGTACATATCGGCACTATGCATGACGCTGTCATTATATATTCATATATATTCACTTTCACCGGAGGGAGCACATCAGCCTAAAAGCCCAGAAGCGTGTGTGGCTTAGACCAACAAGTGTTGAGTCTGGGTAAAGAACGTCAGTTTGCACTTACACGTCTGGGAGGAGACAGGTTCCAGGTGTTTCCGTGTCGGAAGTGGGTGCTGCTGCTGAGATTATGACCATGATTACGCAACGACTTGTTGCATTTACTAAATTGATAGGTTTAGCCTTCATCGTAATTTTGTGTGGTCACGTTGGTCCGTACGTGCATGGTGAGTACTTTCTCGGTGAAATGAACCGATTTGTTAGATATATGGGCAGACTTGAGATTTTCTAAATACAGGTGCTGACCGTCAAGAGCTGAACTGCAATCTGAGATTAAACGATCTGTGTCACTCTTTAAGGTATGATTTGCTTTATTTCATGGGATTTGAGTACATTGCTGAGTAAATATTTTGTTCGTAGACAAGCCGATGCCTGTCACACCATTCCGTACTGTATTCATTGCGTGTGGAATACGGCACTAATACCGAAGGAGGATGTCGACAAGTGTCAAATGTGCAAAGATGAGATTATTGAGGGAAGCAGAAACCAGGTAATTTCACTCTTGTAAATATTTGTAGATCAATTCTGAAACATATATCTGACTTTTTCTATACACACGTACATATAGATTGACATTATTCCCCTCTTTCAATCAACTTGCAAACTCCACGGAAATGAGGAAGACGTCCAAAGATGTACCCAACTCGTGGAAAACTTTTCACTTCGTCTGATTCGTAAGTATTCATACATATTTACAAAAGTTATACATATGCAATTCCGTAGAGACTTATTTTTCCTTAGACGAAATCTCTACACAAAACATCACCACGCACGATGTCTGCTCCCTTCTGGCCCTTTGTCGGGCCCTGTTTGAAGTCAGCGTTACCAGTGTGGACGCTGCCAGCATAGAAGATTTGAAGCCCATCGCCAGTGAAAATACTGGCGGTGGCTCTCTTGGCGTGGAGAAAAGTGGGGGAGGACGCGGAGGTGGTGGATTTGCACTGGGCGGCAGAGGTACCGTCGGTACAAATAAAGGGTCGGGAAGGGGTTCGATTTCAGGGGCAAAAGCGCGAGGTTCTGTAAATCGGGTGGAATACGGCTCGCAATATCATGGCGGAGGGGGGTGGTATGTTCCCATCTTTATTGCAAACAGTGGTGGGGGCAGAGGAAGACATACTTGCAATTTGCAAGAGGAAAGGGACGAGTATGCTAATTTTTATGCACTCTTGCACTGCAGTTTTGTCGTCGTATTTATCATATTTTGTGTGTATTTATTGTCACGGAGGAGGAGGGATAGCAATAGGAATGAGGATATTTAGAAGGTAAACATGCTTTGAAGGATTTGAACGACGGGAACAAAGTTGTATTTACAATGAGAAACTTTGACAAAACAATATACATAAAGGAACGAAGGTACCTAAAAATGGTGGTGGAACAAGTCAATCTTTTAGACACAAAGGGAAGGAATTGTACCTACTTTTTACTTGGCAGATTAATTGACCGAGTGGATTTCCTAAGAATTGGTGTTATAAATACGTATTTACATATGTATCTACCTCCCGTCCGAAATGTTTAACTTATGACAGCAAAATTCATTGCACACATTAATGTACAGTATGTAACAAATTTAATGCTACGATGACATAATTTTTATATCGACATGGTCGCGTAAATTTTAAAATTTGAAACTTCGCATAAAAATCTAAAAAGTATATACGGACAATTTCCTCGTCGCCGATTTTTAATATCGCACAAAGGTCAAAGGTCACCATTATTTTTGTGAACAAATTTGAGGCGTCGAAAAGCAAACTTCGTAGATAATTTTTTTTGAACTTTCTAGTATTTTTTATCGGATGCGACATGCGTTTTGAAGAAAAATGAGCTTTGGTCGGACCGTGTACGATTTTTTTGACGCCCACAGGAATTTTTCGCCAAGGACAGGTTGAAGACCTAAAATCGCCACCGCGGGGAAAATTCGAAAACTGAAATATACGTTTGCATACCGGGACTGTCAATATGCCAACGTATATTTCAGTTTTCGAATTTTCCCCGCGGTGGCGATTTTAGGTCTTCAACCTGTCCTTGGCGAAAAATTCCTGTGGGCGTCAAAAAAATCGTACACGGTCTGACCAAAGCTCATTTTTCTTCAAAACGCATGTCGCATCCAATAAAAAATACTAGAAAGTTCAAAAAAAATTATCCACGACGTTTTTTTTTCGACGCCTCAAATTTGTTCACAAAAATAATGGTGACCTTTGACCTTTGTGCGATATTAAAAATCGGCGACGAGGAAATTGTCCGTATATACTTTTTAGATTTTTATGCGAAGTTTCAAATTTTAAAATTTACGCGATCATGTCGATATAAAAATTATGTCATCGTAGCATTAAATTTGTTACATACTGTACGTACTAGATTTTATACTCGCTAGAGTGAATTCTTAATTATGTGTAAATTGCAGATTAAAAAGGTGCTGGGCATTCAACAATTATAATTCTTGAATGTTTAGTTATAAAGGGGTGCAATATTCAAGTCTACATATGAATTTAAAATGATCTGATATACTTACTGCACACGTAGTTTTAGTCCAATTTTAGTTCTATAAAAGTTAATTAAAATAAATATCTATGTACATATGTATATGTTGTCACAAATCAAAGTATCGAGTATTACCATATAAAGTATTGTACGAACCTAAATAATTAAGTTCTCTAAAAGAATAATAAAAACCATTAACTAATAAATCTGTAACATTGGTAAAGAAAAGCCATGACAATGGCTACAAAATTTATGAATTGCACTAAATGCATAACGTTGAATTCACTTCATGATTGCCAACCATTAATAAATTAGTTAAATATTTCCCATTCAAAGCTAAATTAGCTATTAACAAGCGTAACAATTGCACTTTGATTTAAAAATCTCTGCAACTTACATATGTAACGTCATGCATGTTGTGTAAAGTACGAGAATTTTTAACTGCCTCCACGACACGAATGGTTGTCATACTAAAATTTACGTATTAGGTAATAAATTTGCAAACAGTTTAACAAATATAGCTACGTGACTGCCAGCCACAGTTTAAACTATTCACTAACGTTGCATGTGCACTAACTATTTTATGCATTTGCACATCTCTTTTTTTACTCGAGTATTAATTTAACGCGTTTTTCTGCATAAACTAGAGCGTTGAGGTATTTTAGTGTATCTGCATATGTAATGCTAGTCAATCAAAACACGACAAATTAGAAATGATTAACTATTTTGTTCTAATATTGATAATGATGTGGATAACCACAGATTTACATGGAACGGTACGATCACTATTCGACATTCCATATTTATTTACCTACTAGTCAAATATTATTTTGCTTTAAATTCCAGACTGCAAAAAGAAGACTTGACATCAAAGAAGATATAGAAAATCATACGACATGTCAAGGAGTCAAGATCGAAGTCCCTGCCGACATTATGCTCAGCTTTATCGGCGCTGCCGCCCAGTGCCTCGCATTTGAGGACGAATTTGTAAGATGAAATATAAAATATATCATTCTCAAATTTTGAGAAAGATTTTGCATCGTAGTGCTTCAAGCTGTGCACAAGTTATAACTATCACGGGATGATTAAAGCTAATAAAATCGACATGGAGTTTTTGAGAAACGAGGCGAAAAAATTTTCCTTGCCGGATCCAGAGACTCAAAAGAGGTTCGATCAGCTCGTCGACGCTGTGGAAATTTGTGCAGTGATTCGTGAGTGCATCTGCTTCTTAAACGTTCTCCGGAAGTATTTAAATATTTTTTAACTTATTAATTGTTAATGTATATTTTCTAGTTGGCGATTTTGAGAAGCCAAACGAGAGCAATCTTATTTGTGCGAAGGCTCAAACACATAGCGAATGCATGGAGAAGAGGTTTCAAGAGGTTTGTAATCCTCCTGGGGTGTAATTCAGTGCTACATGTGCAGAAATATTACAATAATAATTTATCTGGGTTATGATGTTCATAAGAATGAAGATTTTGATGTGTACAGAAATAGTTAATGTACAATTTTATATCTGCTCATTTGTGTCTCTACGTGAGGTATCAATTTCTAAATAAGCAAACCAGAAACTAATCTTAAGGAGCATTTAATTTTGCATAGTAATCTCGACATGAACTTGTCATCGAATTAATTGCTAAATATTTACTCATATTTATAACTTCATAATTAAGAAACCCAAGTTTTGTCTAATGCGTGTTACTAAACTTGACCATTGTCCACTTACTCCCTTCTCACGGTAAATGTTCTACAAATAAATCAAATACTTATTATCTTTAATTCTTTACTTCGTAAATTGTGTACATATTGAAAGTAAATATTTTGCGTATTTTTCGCCTTACAATGATTTAAAATATGCAAAATTCAGCATGGGGTTTAATTCAACTCTTTCTTAAAATATGTAACAGAAACGCAAATGGAACAACACTACGCATGAAAAACTAAAAATCACCTGAAAAATAAGTGAATATGTAACAACAAAGCTTTGTCTTCAGCAAAAATATAAACAATGACGCTAGAAACATGTATTTCTTGGCGTCATTACAACAATATTATTGTGTCGACCTGTGCACCCAAGGAGTCACAACAACTACTATGTTCATACCATGTACGTCAGATTATTTCAATTGTCGCATACACATTGCAACCATTACGCGCAATGTAGTTACAACAACAAAGAGTTTTAAGGACCAAAAACTTTGTTATGCTTCATGACCGACTGCACGTCCCCAAAATTGTTTACATTCTCACGGTAAGACTTTCATTAATTAAGTCATGCATGCGTGGGTGGAATCGGACTTCTGTATAAAACTCATGCTCACCTGTCAAACATTTTCATTCCAACAATATCATTCTCCAATTGCCCAGTTTGACTTAAAAGTTTTTTCTTGAAATACATACAAAATGTGCTTCTGCTTCCCATCTTCAACGACCGTTGTAACAAAACAGGGTGTTAAACGACTTGACGAAATTCGCCCTGGTGACTTTATTTTGACCCTGAATAAGCACCAGCAACAAAAGTGGACCAAGTTTTACACTTGGGGACATCGCGAGAAGGACCTCAGCGCAGATTTCTTAAAGATTACGGTGGTTGGCGGAAGTGAGATTTGCATTTCTGAGAATCATTTGCTTTTTGTTGTTGACAAAGAAAATGAGCATGCAAAAGTTGCTAAGATGGCAGGACAGCTTGTCATCGGTGAGAAAAATACTGGAATATATTTAATTCGTAAAAAATTTTTGGGCAGGAATTATGACAATTTTAATTAAATTTAGGAGACAAACTTTACCATATTTCGTCGACTAGATCTGTCACCATGCGCTCCATTGTTTCCATCATACCAGTTCAACTTTCTGGAGCTTACGCTCCTTTCACAATGTCGGGAACATTTCTAGGAAACAACTTTCTCGTGGCGTGCTACGCTAGCGTGAACAATTTCAAGTTGGCGCATGCAGTCCTCGCTCCACTCCGATTTTGGACCAAGTCGACAGTGAAGAAGGACGCGGAGAGACCGGAAGGGATTCACGGGTATAATTTGGCTCTCATGAAAATGAGAGAATCTCTTCCGACATCTTGGCAGACGATGGTGTAACTTTTGTTTGTGTGTTGAGGATTAAAAATTAAATGTAGTAATATCAAATCTTTATCAAACTTTACATGATCAAAGAAATTGTAGATAAATGTATCCCAATAAAATCATATAACACATTATGCAATTTTATTAATGCATGTTTGTCATCTAATAATTTACAATTTTTATACAATTACCACTCGATAATGCACTATAAATAATTCATAAACAAAATCCTAATGCGCCTTCCTCCAAAATAGCAGGATTTTGGTAAACCCCTTTCTAAAGTCAGGATTAACGTACGCGTAAATGCAGGGATTGCAGGCCGAATTTGAGTACCCGATGGCCACAATTATTGGCAGGATAACCGGAGAAGGTCGACTTTCTTCGGGAATAAATCCAATAATGGAATATCCCAAAGTAAAGGGGAGCCAAAGCAAGGCAAACGCTAAAATTATAATCCCCAACATTTTTGCAGCAGTACGATTTTTTGTCAAAGTTAATGCCGGATCTTCACCGTTCTTCCCAATTATTGTACTTGTCGACCTATGAATATGGTATCGCCCGTGAGGATGACCCATTGTAATAGTTGTATCAGAATAATTAGTGCTCATCCTACTCTGCAGTACTTCCCTCCTGTGTTGCAGTTTTTGATAAATGGCGGCGTACGTCGAGACCAATAAAGCGACTGGGAGGACGTAGCTCCCAAAGGCTAAGTGGACGCTGAGATCCCTCGACATGGTGGACACGCACAGACCCAATTGTTCGCTTCGGTCACCAATCGCCTCCCAATCCTTGACCGGTGGAAAGATCAGCCAGAAGGCGAACGTCCAGATGAGACAGATCCTCCTTAGGAAGAATGGGAAGGTCCGTCTCCGCATGTAGGTGAGAGTGTCGAAAATTAGGTGGTAGCGATCCATAGAAATTGCGATGAGGTGCAGGACCGAGGCTGTAGCGAGTAGCCAGGCGAAGAGCATGTAAATTTGACACCACAGCCGACCCCTGGGTTACAAGAGCAATTTAGTTTCGTATTTGTCCATCCCAGAGAAAGGAGTGATTCCTCGTGACAATATATGGCGTGACTTTAAACTTACCAAGGCCAAGCTTCTGACCCAAGTTCGCCAATCATCGTGGGCGCAAGGAACACGCCGACCAAAAGGTCCGCAGTTGCTAATGAGATGAGATAACTGTTCTGTGGTTTTCGGACCGGTTTATAAAAAATCCAGGCGAGAAGGACCAAACTGTTTCCAACGATGGTGGCAAAGCTGACCAGTCCCAAAAATATTACCAAAGGGATTCGAGCACCCAGGGTCAGTATGGTCATTTTTAAGAGGAATCGTTTAATATGAGAGAAATCTGTAGCGTGTAAAATTTTCTGACATGTGCTCGTGGTAACGATGGTTTCAGCCCTAGTTAAAATACGTATTGGAATTTACATTATGTGTGACAGAAATAAGCATGAATCGTACCGAACAGTGATGAGACGACCGTGTATTACATAAGTACATGAACTCGTAGCATGTCTCTTATGTAATTTGCATACGTTAATCAAATGTACTTACTTTTAAATATTCGGCTTTTCATATAGTTGTAGAGAAACAAATTGTAAAATTTAAGAGTTTTTGCCACTATGAATTAATATTTTGACTTAAATGCTGACAATACTGACTCATCAACTGTATTGTGCAGCAAGTTAAGCCTTAAGATTAGTTCATGCACATATTTATGTATATTTTTATTTATGTATGTATGTATGTATATATTTATATGTGGCGTAGATATTTATATTTACCACTAAAATAATACTATTAATCAGAGTCACGTTTTTATTTGCAAGGTTTAATTAGTTGCAAATTTCTTGGTCAAACACAGCCAGGAATGCATTTTAGGATGCTACTTGCCTGGAGAAAGGTGTTAATTAATTTCTTGAAGCACACCCATTTATCGATTAGCGCTTTATCAGAGCTTTGATTTCATCAACACCCCGCATAAATATTACCGAATCAACTAAAATAAATAGTTTTCACGTGACAATTAAATACATGTCAGATTGACTAGGTCTTGTTTTTTGATGTCACATGACAAGTGAAGTCTTAGCGATGTGGTTTAGTATTTCATGAAACTGCATATTTTATAAATACATGCGGTGTATTTTAAAGGGTGATGTAAATGATAGACTTTATTAAACGTCGAATTTAACTTCACATAAATAGTATGCTACAGTTAAAAAAATTCAAGTAACCAAACTGCATATAAGGAATGTAATGTAATGTACATACGCAGGTGATAATTCATGTTTAATTGGTCAAGGCCTTTTTTAATTATGTTAATAGTTTTTCTGGTTAAACTTACCCGAATGCTTATGGAAATTATTTAAATTAATCTTAAACATCGATAACATTGGTTAATTGAGTAACTTAATTAAATATCATAATTGATATCCTTCAAAGTTAAAGATGTATTGAATCCAGGAAAAAATGCATATCTAAATATATAAAATTGATTGTCTCATAAATGTGACAATTGCATCCAAAAAAGACAATTACGTCATTTCAAGCACAAATACTTCTCCGAGTCCTTTGGGTTTTTCATAAACTTTTCCGCTTTCATGGCAAATCTGCCCCTCGGATGCACAATTCCTGACCAAATTTCATGAGCCTCCTTAATAAAGGCAGCCGCCAGCTTCATCGTTCTCTTCCTCTGCACCCCCACTTCAAACCCAATCTCCAAAATTTGCGCTTTTTGAATCCAACTCCCCTGCACCCGCTCCCAGGTGACAAGCAAATCTCCAATAATCTCCAAGTCAATCTTGGCATCTATTTTGGTATAGCGCTTGCCCCCACCAACGATGCATGCTCTCATATTTCTGCCCCTGGCAATAAGATTGTCCACGACTGCATTCCAGCAGAAACAATCGGATGGACAAACAATGTTCCATGTCGAGCTCAACATTTCTCTCGCATCCTGAAAAGTCTCAAGAATTTTGCCTTGACCAGCCAGATAGCTCTGGGCCGTGTAAACTTCGTCGTAACAAACATAATTGACACAGATTTCCTCGCCAGGTTGGATGCACCTCTTAGCGTAGATAATCATCGTCTAAAACAACGGCACGTATATAAGCGAACGGTTATACGATACGATTTATAATGTATAAAGATTAATATGTGTCCACCTTGAAATCGGGATCAATCATCTTGGCTGCATTCGATCCACAGTCGTGATTTGCTACTCGGCTACGTCCCAGGGATTTGCATGAGGTACGGGGATCCGAGAAAATGTCGCTTGTTCGAAATCCATCCACCATAATTCGAGTCTTGGCTGGCATGAATCGCTTCGCAATGAGCCCAAGACCTTTCGCCGGCACAATGGCGACACTCCAGTCCAGATCTTCTTCCCCATAAGGAAGCCCACACCAGGATTTGTGACCTTGTCCGACTCCAGCTTCATATGCACAAATACGTAGAAATTTTAAGATGTATATCTCCAATAAATTTAACGCATTTTAATTAACTTACGCCTGCTTCCTGCCCCCTCTTCCACATTTTTGAGTTTCCAATCCTTAGCTTGACATTTAGGACTGCAATATGCTCTTTTGTGGCATTTGGAGCACATCCTGACTTTGTTGGCAGGGATAAAATTTAGGCAGAAGGCGCAATGTCTATCGATCTTCGACATTTTTTATCTCTTTATATTTGTGACAATTTGATTAACAGTTTGATTAAGTAGTTAACTCCAAAAAATCTAATATGTCTGTTCGTCAGTTGAAAAGTAAAAATTAATCTGGTCGTACAGCTTGCTCACTAAATAGTGAACTAACTAGAGCAGAAATACAATGCAACAGTCCTGACTAGTGACGACGCTAATTGAGGTTCTTGGAAAGCATAACAAGAGTATTGCATTCTGTATTTTACTGTCCGATTCAGTAATAAATATTCGGATATTTGATAACTTGGGACTCATTTCTTATCGCTGTACAATAGCGTATTTAAATATTATGAGTTATTAATGTGGTCATGTTAATATCACATTTCATGTCGTAAAATTATACCTTGCCGTCAAATAGACAAACATGTTGGGTTTCTTTCCACCTCATTGAGAAGTTAAATAAGTGCATATGTATATTATTTACCCTGTCTCGCATACACATTTACATACATAAATACATAGATACGCATGGTTGTTGAAATATGCCCGAGATTTTAATTTCCTGTTTATAAAAACCAAGTTGAAAAGTTTATACATTGGCCTGAAAGTGTGGGATATTTTGGCTACGTGATATTTTGCACTCGGGTCATGGAAGCCCATCCAAATTTCATTCATTCGCGAATTTATGAGCTTTTTAAGTGCTACTCTTGGCCAGAAATATATCTTGTAGTACGAATTTAATTAACAAATAATAAATGTATGAATTTACAATTATTGAATAATTAATGTGTATCAAATTTATGTAGCTTCTGCATTTAACATCATCCAGAGTTACGCTAATAGTGCTGACGATAATCTTAAGTCACGCTTCATCTAAATAAAAAGACGAAAAAATTGATAAACACATTTTGATGGCAAGGTCTCTTTTCTCAAATAGTCAAAATTCGTACCCGTGATCCCCCAAACCGACTTCCTACCACGGAAGCAACGTCTTTGATCTGTCCCTCAGTGAGTAGTAGCTTATCCGCCGTGATTTTTATAGTTCCAGCTTCACCGGTACTTTCACAGACTGCGAGGACATTTAACACTCCATTCGCACATATTTCCATTGTAACGTTGATCCTTTCCTTTCCTACCGGTCTGGGTGGAATGCCAGACAAGTTAAACGTGCCCAGGAACGAATTCTTCTCTGTATCTGAATTCTCTCCTTGATATGCATTAATGGTCACGGAGGTTTGATTGTGTTGGGTCGTAACATACACTTGTGTCAATTTCGTCGGGACTTTTGTATGTTTTGGTATAATTCTTGAAAATTTCTTCCCACGAGTTTCGACTCCAATCGATATCGGCGTAATGTCCTGAATTCGCGTATACATTTTCTCTCCTTGTGTCACCTGACCATTCAAAATTGCTGCATGGATGGCCGCACCATGAGCCACGGCCTCGTCAGGGTTAACATTATGGCTCAAAGTAGCCCCGTCAAAATAGGCAGACAACATTTCTCTAATCTTTGGAATTTTTGTGGATCCACCAACAAGTACAATGTCGTCAATCAAATGCTTCACAAAGTTGTGACTTTTTATGCAGTCGTCCACAATGGTTATCGTCTCATCGAATAGGGATTGATTAAGTTGGTTGAATTTTTCACGAGTGATTTCAACATTAAGATGCAGCATTTCATTTTTATCTTGTATTAGGAAGGGGACGTCAATATTCACCATGTCACACGTGAGAGCTGAAAGATGCAGTTTTTTCGTCTCACAGACTGATTGTATGCGTTGCAGCCTGCGTTTGACACTTCGTCTCTCCAAAGCACTTGTAGCATCGATCCCCTTCATCAAGTCAATGCCGCTCTTCTTCTTAAATTCTTCGACGCAATATTTCATCATGTTTTGATCAAAGTCGCGTCCACCAAGGTACGAATCACCTCCGAGGGCGAGCGTCTCAATTTCCCCGTTGGTGATTTTCAGCAGCGATACGTCAAAAGTGCCACCACCCAGGTCGTAGATGAATACGTGTCGTAAAGGCTTCTCACACTCATCAAGGCGGAATGCGACCGAAGCAGCGATGGGTTCAGGAAGTACCTACATACGTAACATGTGCATGTATAACTAGATAAGTAAATGTATTACTGGTAAAAATTTCAATGTAGTTAAAAACTATGCAAGTACATACCGCCAGGACGTCTAAACCTGCACATCTCGCAGCGTCGATCGTGGCCTGGCGTTGAGTGTCTCCAAAGTATGCAGGCACCGTGATTACGGCTTTCGTCACTTGCATTCCTAAATGCTCCTCTGCCATGCGTCTCATCTCTGACAAAACCTCGGCAGATATTTGTTCTGGCGAGATCAAATTAGAACCAATCGTAAATTTTGGGGCTCCACCTTGGTTCACGATGTTTATGTGACTTGATTTTATAGCCCTTTGGGTACGATGGTCATTAAATTTCCGCCCGAGTATTCGTTTAGCATCGAACACAGTATTTTCCACGTATTCAAACGCTGTTTCTTTTGCCTCGACTCCCACTTTTTCGGCTGATCCGTCATCCTTCATTCTCACACAGCTTGGAATAATTGAAGGTCCCACGGGGCTTGGAATGATTTTAACTTCACCACCTTGATAAACAGCGACGCAGGTGTACGTTGTGCCAAGGTCGATTCCAAGGGATAAATCAGTCGCAAAGTTTTTGTCAAACTCTTTCTTGTGCGATTTGAAGGTCAGGTCAAGGGCAAATTTTACCTCGTTAAGCTGGACGGGGAGGAGTTTCTTGCTGCTGGATGCCAACCTTCGAAGGATCAGTGTTTTAATTTTCTCATTTGCATCAATGAGATCCTCCCTTCGTTGAAATTTTAAATTGTGTGCGTATTTTTTAAGTTCTGTATCGTAAATAGCTCGCGCATCTCGAATCGCTGTCTCAGTTTCTTTTGCTCTTGTTTCCAGCAAGATTTCAAACCCATCCTTGACATCCGTAGTCATCAATTTGTAGGATTGTTCAAAATGACCAAGTCTCAAGGTCACCAGTTTTTCATTTATTCCTCCCATTCCTTGTCTCACTTTTTCTTTTCCAAGTCGCATTTGCGTTTCAATTAAACTTTCAAATTCTAACATTGTGGTACAAGTGTCCATCCTCGAGAAAAGAATGGTTTGAACATCTGCAATGATTTTATCCTCCGCGATCCCCATCGCTTTATTGAAATCTTGCAATTCTTTTCGCAAATCAGTATCCCGTTGGCAGAGAAATTTTTCAATTTTAGCTTTCAATTGGGTCATGAGTTCTTTCATGCATGGATGTCGAATGGGACCAGTTTTATTTAAAAGATGGTCAATTACGTTTCGCATACAAGTCTCATTAGCGTCTTGTAGTGCTTCCTGATTTAGAATGTAATCTTCCCGTGTCACTGCAGACTTCAGTTGGTCGACGTAAAGCTTGAAGCCAGTTTTCAACGCTGTTTTGATGAGCTTGTCTTGTTCTCCCCTAATTTTAATTGCTTCCGTCGCAGCGGAGAGAAATCTGTTCTTCAGCTCATAAATGAAATTCGTCTCGAGCTCAATTTTATCCTCGTGCGGCATTAAAGATTTTTCTTTAGAAATGTTTCGATACTCGGTTTCATACCGGGAAACCAGCTCTTCCTGGGAGGCGTAGATGTCGTTGATATTTTTAAGCGTTGCAGCAATAGTCAGGACTTCCGCGGTTGTGGCGTCGTACAGTTTCTCATTCTCTGCGCACCTCTCTTTCTGCATGGAGGAAATAAATTGTTTATAACTCGTGTGCCAGGCTGTAAAAACGTCGTACATTTCAAGTTCCAAAGCTTTGGTAACATTCTTTTTAAATTGCGGAGGTCCAGAAATGTTCATTTTTTCAAATCGGTTAATGATCTCTTTATTAATTTCTTCTATTTTTGTGTCCATATCTTCAGGAATGGACTTCTGGCCGGGCTGCCAGATGCTGCTGGTTAATCGTGTGGAGTACGCTTGCGAGGAGAACTTTACCGTTTCGTTTGATTGTGAAAGAGCAGCGTTATACAGTTTTTCGTTGTTGTCCAGGATTATTTTTTCCCTGGTGTCGAGCTCCGAGGATAATTCAGAGAGTAGAATTTGGAGCTCTTTATCGCTAAATTTTGATGCATGGGTCAGTTTAAATGTAGAAATCGTATTAGGTTTGTACATGGTACTAGCACCGAGCAGTACTTCTGGCAAAGTGAAGAGCGACGGGGAAAGTTCTTCTGTCATGTTATCCTCGTAATTGGAGCAGCTCGTCTGAATTAAACTGCTTGCTAGCGATCTCTTGATCTGATGTTGGTCGTTTCCGTCAGCGAAGCGAGTTTTTATCGTAAATATGAGTTCATCTCTGGCCGATAAAATATGAGACGGGGTTCCGACTTGGACAACATGGTTGAAAACGACGAGCAGTTCATCCATCAGAGTTTTATGACATTGTTCAACCCCACCTTTTATTATGCTGGCTTCAAATATCTGCCCAAGAAAGGCGTTATGCTGAACTGCGAGATGCGCAAGTACTTCTTTAGCAGATGATGCAGAATATATCAAGTTTTCGGGAGTAGAATTTAAGCGTGCATTCGTAAAATATGTTTTAATCGTATTAAATCGTGATTGGGAAATTTGATATTTCGTGAGAATGGGACGCACGACATTTTCGGAATTTGCAATTCTGTGGCGCAATCCGATATCTGACAACAATTTATCCGGAGGATTTGGTACTTCCAAGAATTGAACGCTGGCAAAGAAATTTTCCAATTTTTGCAATTCCTCTTCAGACAATGGGACTTCCGGGTTGGAGGATTTTACGATTTTAAGATGTGCCGGACTACACGGCTTCTCCACAATCGAGGAATAACTTGCCATGTTATCATCCTCTACTTGTAAAGCTTGCATGAATATTGATGCATGACGAGAGAGTGGGATACGCTCGGAAATTACGACATGATGTGAAATAAAGAAGCAGAACCCAAGCAGTATTGTATCCACTTCTGGGCGTCCAGTGCATAAAACCGTTAAAAGAACTACTTGTGCAACTTTTCCATCTTCTTGATCGGTAGTTGGCAGTCGTAATGCAGTTATGCTTCCAGGCGAGGTCATGGCATCTTGTGCAAGAATAAGTGAATCGGTCATCTCGACATCTTCGTTGAGAATTTCGTGGAGCATGGAGGATTCTGGATCGTCGGGAAATACGATCTCCGAGACTAGGACGATGTCGTGTCCTGAGGTGGACTGCTCCAAATCTGCAAGCGTTGCTTCACAAAGACGGAATGGGGGTAGAGCAGCAGGGTCGTTATTCGGGAGGAGTTCCACCAGTGTGGAGATGACATATTGGTTGTCACTGATGGACGACATTTTGATGGATCTATATTACAGAAGATTAATTAAAATACTTGAAAACGCGATATAAATACCCATTAATTAATTACATGACTTTTCTGACATGTTTTAGCGAAATTGTAATCGTAATAAATTGATTATTGTCGTAACATGATCTATCGAAGCCTTACCTGCTTACATTAGTCGTATTCAGCAGTATGAATTTAGAATAATTCAACTTTCTGCTGCAAATTATGTCCGCGTCTCGGAACTTTGAAGCGTTGCATGCAAATGCGCTTACGTGATGCCGGAAAGATTGTTTTTTCGGTACATGTAGGAACTGACTATACTTTATTATCTTATCGCTCATAAACACTGTGAAATCCTCAACCATGTATGTACATATCAGAGCTGATACATGCAAATCGTAGTCTTCTCAAATGCAAATGTCCAGTATTCTTGCGGTCATTAAACTTATTGTAAACACGTTGCTCTTCTACCTCAACTATGTCCTTATTTGACATTTTCGTGCTAAATATAGTAACATCAAAATAAACCATATATTCAATCCATAACTCGAAAGTATTAATATATTAAAGAGAGAGTATCTGAATCTTGCAAATTATGAATATGAACTTAATCGGTTAAGGGAGAGCATCAGAGCTAAACATAAGCAAATTAGACTGAAATTTTGGAAATATAAGATGTTACATAACAAATACTTTTAGTGAAAGTTCAACGACGAAATCAATGCGTTAAATTATTTATTAAATAAGACCAAAAGTTTCATGTGGAGATGAGATGTTTATAGTTTGTCTTTCATATATACGTTGCCTGTTTCGAGTCGAAACTTTCGACCATAATGGTGGGTAGAAATATGTATGTACATGTACATATGTAGGTAAATATATATGCACATATTTGCATTATGTCAACTACCGGTTCTGTGCATATTTACAACCATATTTAGTGCATACTTACTCCGAGTAGGATTTGTGCCCATTTTTCGGAAAACTTTATACTTAAGATGATCAGGCTCACCGTTTACCATTACGCCGTACTTTACGTTTCCATATTTTTTGGCCAATATTTACATTACTTGTTTGTATCATAAAGAAGTGAAACTGGGGATATTTTTTATTGAGTTCAAGTCAATTTCGCAGCAAACTATTTGTACTCGAACATTTCCTATTGACGAGGAAGTGACCAGCAAATATTTATTATTTATGTGACATCCCGTATTTGGTTCATACGTCCACAGTTTCAAAGAACGCCGGAGTGGAGACGGTTTGAAATTTTACAAATTAATATTATACTTCAAAAATCTACAGGATATTACGGAAAATTTGTAGCCCTACATCCTTCCAAAGTAAGTCAGTCATAAAGTCTCAATCCTCGTATTTTAATTTGCACTACAGACAATTATGAAGTATTTTAAAAAGCTAAATACAGGAAGCTGTATATGCATAGCTGTCATTTAGGAAAACCATTAAACTTCATATAGACACATGCATTACAAATAGCTTTATGCATACATAGGATCATGGAGAGGAAGAAGGGTCATAGTATTTACACGCACAATAAAGAGGAAAATAAGATATTTTCAAAGTTTCCGACTTCAGTACAAGAAAAAATTACAGTAATGATGAAGACCTTAAATTCAAAGTATGATGGAACATTTCAGAATCTACGAGATTCCGCAGGTGCATAAATTAAGATTATCATTTCACAATAGTGGACTCTTAATGCAATGAGTATAACTATGGTAAAATACATATAGATTTGCTGGAATTGAGGATGGAAATATTACACGGCGATGTTCACCAGTATCAATCGGATGCTGAGAAATATGTAGGAAAATGTTTCACAAAAGAACTCAGACGTCTTATGGAAACCAATTTGAAACTTCACAAGGAGCTTGGGAAACTGGAACTGGTTGGCAGAGAGGATTTACTGAATTTGAGAAACAAGTTGATTTTACAAAATGAGAACATTTGGCTAGCAACATGTCGCAGAGCGCATGAGAATTTTTGTGACAATTGTGAAGTAAAAATTATGTAGATAGGAATGCCACATAGGTATATATATATGCATACATTTGTGTATCGTATATATATTTAGGTAGGATCAAATTCAATTATCACACATTTTTAAATATATATTTATGTATCTTTTTTTGTACAAATCATGGTTCACTTTATTTCTAAAGAAATAAATAAACTTAGTAATGTGAATGGTTGGAATTTTGGTATTTTACTCTAAATTAGCTAAATTAAAACCAGGGACTTTATTGTCTTTAATACAATTTGACTTTAACCATAGTCTGCTTATGATTTTACCCAAGCTAAGCATTTTATGTTAAGCCATTTACAATACTTAATTAATAATCAAATAAATGTACGTAGATTCCAAGTTTGTGGCATGAATAACAATTGTTGTATCGAATACTTTGTAACCTAATTTTTTACTTCCTTAGTGCGAGATGGACGTAGTTAATATATCGGACGACTCCTTGTCTTCGGATCAAACCTGCACTCCTGCCTTGGCAGTTGAGAAGTTGAACCATGCAAATCTTGCAAATTTCGAAGGACTGAAAAAATCACATATAAAGGAGGAAGAACTTTCAGAGATGTTTTCAAATTGGAACATAGTTTATGATAAAGAATGTGGGACCTCAGTTACAATCGATGGGAATACCAGAGTCAAAATTTCAAGGAAGCCCAAAACCAACCTTACAACGACCACTAAAAAGAAACTCAAGCATAAAAACACGTCGTGCCTTAACCTCAGAATGTTCTACACAAAAGGAAAACCCAAATCGGTAAAATTTGTAAAACAAGTACTAAATGATCACTAGATTAATTGGTCTTACCTCCAATAACTTACATAGTACTCTAATCCTAAGATATGTACTCGTCTTCTAAAGGTAGCAGACCTTCCATGCGGCTCAACTTCAAGTCCTGGGAATAACTTATCGACCTCCAAAAATTCGTCTTCTCAATTCACACAACTAAAGAGTCACATAAATTCTCTTGACGATGTCGCAGCCTGCAAACTTTATGAGGATGAACTCTCAACATTTTTTGATGATAAGTCATACTTGATATCAAACGATGTGCTGGTTAATGCACATTGTGATGTGAGGAACAAAATCACTGCTCATGAATTGAGCTTCCCGATAGATTTACTCGACGAAAAATTGGCCCCAGCTAGAGACAAATTTTATAAACATGTCGTCATGCACAATGAAACAGTTTTACTCTCCAAATACGGAATCGAAAATTTCGAAAAGTTAGGATACAAAACCTTTCTGTTTGAAATATGCATATCGAGAGGAACTCAACGAAGTGAAAACTTGATTGATTTTTTCTTATCTGAAGTTCATAACTCTATCGATTCCCTAATTAATGTTTATCATGGCGAAGGTGACCTTTGGGTTTGGATACGACAAACATTAGGTTCCTTAGAGAACGACTTTTTGGAATTGCAGAAATTTTTGTACGATTGTGTCGACCGGTTTGAAGAGGATGCTAAGTTTATTCATAATACATCCGAAAATTGCAATTCTAATCCCATCCAAACTTCTGATGCTAAATTTCATGAGGCGGCTCGCAGAGGAGAAAATTTGATTAATGATTACTTTTCCATGCAATTTAACATGGTTGAAAGAATTCAGGATTTGGGAAATGAGTTGGCATTGTTGTTTGTAAAATACTTGGATTCATTTATGACTCAAACTGTGGAGACAAAGCTATTTTCTCCAGAAACACTGAACCAACTTTACAATGATGTAGAATCATTTCTTCTTACAAATTTTGCAGACAGTTTGAAAATGATTTTTGACCATGAGTTTCAAAAGATGAGTGACACGTGGGGGTACAATGGACAAATGAAGGATTGTAATAAATTACCTGCGGTAACACATTTAATGGAATTTCAACAAAAACGAGGCACAGAATTTGCATGCAGTTTGTTTAAGGACGTCTTCCGTAATATTTCAGACAGAAACAAGACAAATGTTAAAAAAACGTATGACGAGTGTTTCAAATTAGTGGAGAAAGGTAACCATGCGTTTGAATCAGCTATTATTGACGGGATAAGTGACGAGAAGTCTTTCTCGTATAGTCAAGAAGGTTATGCTAAACTGTACCTTAGAGAATTATCAAGTGCTCGAGAAAAACTGAAAGTGGGGCTGAATGGTTTGAAATATTCTGTTAAATTAGGGCACATTCTTTCCCATTTTGATAAACAATGTGAATCTGCAAGTAATGTAATTTTATCACTGATTACCCACAAGTTTAAAAATAACATTCCTTGTTCAACTGATAAAGACTTACCCGTAAAAGAACCAGAAAAGCCTGGTTTTAATCAAGTAGAAAGCAAATCGTTCGTAATTGATCTTAACTTTTGGAGGATGGAAATTGTCTCCAGTGATTTTTCTCATGAAAATACAACCAGTAAAATATTTAAATTTCTCCCTTCTTTTCTGATCACAGAATCCGGAGTCATTGTGAGTGGCGATAGTAACGTACTAAAAAAAGGCCATCAAGGTGATTTATTGTATCACTTGAAGAGCATCCTTGATCCGAACGACTTGTATAAAGCATATCCATGTTATGTAAATGGGGAACTTGCCCCGAAAACAAGAATCGATTTAATCGTATCACTTTTTCTCGCCGAGATTAAGCAGATCATTGAAAGGGAATTATGCATTAAGTGGGACACAGTGGCAATAACTGTACCTCTTCGATTTACGATGGGACAGCGATACATTATGAAGCAAGCAGCAGCTATGGCTGGATTTTTGTCTTGTATTTTAATTAACAACACAAGCGCAGCGGCAGTTGATGCCTTTCTTACTAGGAAATTGAATTCAAAGAGGCAGATGTTTGTTGCAATTAAGTCGGACGGAGTTTTTGATTCTGCAATTTATTGTTTGGATAGTGCCACAAGATCATCTCCGGCTCAGGTTGTAAGGATGATGCACTCTTATTGCAACATTCCTGAAAATTTATCCGATAGCTGGTTAATTGAACAAAAACTGAGAGGGAAAATTCAAGGAAAAAACTGGACTTTGATTAGTTGTGCAATGTCATTCAAGAAATTAACATGTTCCAAGGGCAGAAATATTTGCACCTGTGTCTTAAATATAAAACAGGATGATATTGGCTGGTCAGGGAACGTGGAATATGGCGAGACAGATGTGGGGTCGTCCATTTTATTTGGAGCCTGTTTTATTCTCTCCTCCATGGAAAATTCGGGAAGGCAACCCTATGTTTTACAAGAGTGTATTCCGTATGCAATCATTTCTGTGACAGGCTCTGAGACCAGGTGTATATTTCAAAAAAAATCGAACTTTGAAAGTCAGGTTGAGCATAAAATTTCTGCGTCCAAGTTTTGGAACGCAAAAATTATTGAAGTTTGGAACCATTGCCATCGTATAATTTGCAATATAGAAGTAGATGTGCAAAATGCTTCACAATTTTTGATAAAATATTCCTTAGATTCTGCAGGACTTTTGAATGAATCATTTTCATTGATCGGTAAAAGGACAAATGCACAGTTGCAAACACCCAGGCTATCTTATGTTTGGGAAGAACCTAAGTTAACGGAGAATCACTTAACGGCAATAATTTCGCAGGGCAATTCAAAGAGTATTGATTCAAAAGGCATTCTAACGATAATACGAGGTGTTAAAGACTTCATTACAAGTGTAGAACCACGAATAGCCAGTGTTGGAAATGTAGTTCAAAAAAAGTTCTTAAGCGATGCTTTAACTGCCTTAAAAGATGAAATTGCTAGCCGAAACTGCACTGAAAATAGCATTCAGATTCAATATGATAAACTGAATGAATTGCTCAAAAAGTTTAATGTTGTTTAGCTTTACATGAGAGTGAATGATTTTTGTAAAGTTATTCACCGTAAAATAAAAAGTTTCTGAATATTTTTAGTTCGTAAATATAATAACTTTTGATACTCCATGCATTAATCTGTATTCTACAATTCTACATACCTACATACAGATGTAAATAAACTTTACATTTATATTTATAAATTGCTATTGTTCATAATTCCGTATTTATCCTGCCCTGGACAAATTGCGCACGTATCATTAAATTATTTAACTGTTGCTTATCCTAAATACATATGCATAACTGTGTAGATGAGTAACCAGGTTGAGATCATAAAGATACATACAAGGTGTCAAAATCCTTAGTCTCAAACTCTAAGGTTGAGATTTTAAAACATTTTTTTTATTTCCGTAAAACCTTGATAGCACACCAAGTAATCAAAGCATACTTAATTATTCCTGGTACTTACTTCGATATACTAAACAGACTTTCACTTTGCCATAAATAATGCAAGACGTGTTATGTATGTAGAATATTGCTATCTCACTATTACACCCTTCTCGTGAAGGAGGCCTGGTAGGGATATGGCTTTAAAGCAAATCCGGCACTTAGCGCCATTGGAGGTTTTGGTTGACCTTGTGGCACACTGATTTTATATCTTTGCAAGAGTGAAGTAAGAAACAAAAATGATGTCACGTTTGCATACAATTCTCCCGGACAGTTCCGTTTTCCTAGCAATTAATTGGTTAATTACATTCATTGCATTAATTATCCATTCATCACTTTTGCTATTAGATGCTTTTTGCACTCACCGACTGAAAAATTTATTATTCCTGACGCATTGAAAATTTCATTATTTTCATTAATGAACCTTTCTGGGCGAAATACTTCTGGGTCGGTCCATGTCTCCTTGTCTTCATAGTAAAGTCGCGTATCCACCATAATCATTGTGTCCTTTGAAAAACTTTCCCTTTAATATTCATTATCTTTTTCTTTGTCGTAATATTTACATATTTAGTCGACCAAATCATACCTTCTTAATGATATATTTCTTGTAATAAAAATCATAAAGAGCTCTCCGGGGTACAAAATTCGGTAATGTTCGCCCATTTCGATGCGACTCTAGTAAAAACGCTTGCGTATAAATCATCCTAAGTATTTAAAGACATGATATTAATTACATAATATTATTTTATATTAACTTATAAAGGGTAGTACTAACTTTTTTCTATCCGAAAACTCAATAAATCTGTTGTCAGGAGCTACGTCTAATATTTCTTGATAAATTTTTTCCTGAATGTCGGGAAAAAGGATTAAGTAAAGAACTACAGACTCCAAGTAGCTGCTCGTTGTGTCAGTACTGCCCAAAATTAAATCTTGAAACATAATTTGAAAGTTTTCACCTGTAAAAAAATATTAGGAAGCTTTAAATTGTTTCGTAGAATAGCTTTGTTTTATGTCAAATTACAATTAAAAATAATGTCCCCATCAGATTTGCAATTTTGGACGAAGGATTCGGTAAGACTTGTCGGGACGTCTAAATCTTTCATGCGTGATTTTGCTTCGTTGAATAATTTCTGCGGCAATTATTTTTTATAGGTTAAATTTGTCTTTTGCGATATTTTTACAGTATTGAAATCACCTTTGCAATATCATTGCACGTATTGAAAAAGTCCATTGGAACATTGTACTTTAACAAACGTGGACATATGTGTCGCAAAAATGGGAACGCGTTAATAATCCCCATTCCCGTGACACCACTATTAACAAAATCATCACTCGATGCGGAAATACGGGTCAAGTCGGCAAAATCTTTGCTGGACAGTGGGCCAAACATCATTTGCCACATTATCGTCATTATGTGGGCGTTAAAAATATGATTCGTTTCAACTACACCGTGTTCCTTAGAATCTTTGTCAATTTGGGAAAATAGAGCTTCGCAAGCGTCCTAAGTTTACAAAAGTAGAATTTTGCTTATGATGGAGATCTGAAGAATATGATGCGTCGTTTACATATTTATTCTCCAACCTTAATGTGATGTTCCATCTCCATTGATTTGCCAAATCCATATTCACGTAACTTCTTAAACATCCATACTCTCGATTTTTCCCAAATTTCACCTTCACCCGTGGCAATTCCAAGATTTTTATTAAAACTTCTATCCGCAAACAGACCACTCCTGTCTCGGCCCATGGCTGCTTCGTGTTGAATAACCGTAAACATAGCTTCTTTCGATGTGAGAACAACTGTTAATTTGAATATTACAGAAATAAGTGTTTCATAAATAATGTAAGTTACATGTACCGAGCGAGCTGATGCCAACCTGTACGCTTCATCCCCACTTTGATGGAAAAAATTTCCCCATACTTTTCAGACAAGTTTCCAAAGGTCTGTGTTAAGTCGGACGAAGCGTTTGCAATGTCCAACAAATTTCCAATAATGGGCCATGGGCGTGGACCTGATATGCAATGCATGAAATTGTAATATTGTATATTGTATATTGTATATTGTATACAAATTTGCAGATAATTCCACATTAAACTCTATAAAATAAGTATTTCCATAAGTATTAGGAATATACATGCCACGAATAACTACTACCCTTTACCTGGTGGTTCCTTCGACCGATCCTCCGCAAAAATAAAGTAGTAAATAATTAACACTGCCACCACAGCGACTGCATAATAAACAAACATCTTGCACCCAATGTGTTTTAAAAAAATTGACTAAAAACCCCCTTACTCTTATTACTGCATTTCACAACTGAGATTCTAACTGGGAAAAGATCTGCACTTTATAAGCACGTTTGTGCGACATGCATAAAAATGGGAGATTGATGCATGACAAACAAACAACGGAGTTTTTTCATAACGTTGAGGTTACACGTGCAACCTTGGTTGGGATCAGTATACCATTTAAGCCAGTAATTTTGCACTTCTATCTTGCTGGACAACATTCAACTTTTGGTAACGACAACCAAAAACAGAATGCAGTATGTATTTATCTCGTATTAAAAAACACAGCAACTTTTTACTTGTGTTGATTTGAGTTGAACGGGCGCACAATGTGGTTACACAGGCAGACATGTGCATGAAGAATGATACGAATACATATTTCTAGCAAAATATCTCTAATATTTGGTCACACGCGATATGTTTTAGGTCCAGAATTATGGGGCATTTCTGGGACTACGCTTATTTATCTATATGGAAAGTAATTACAGGCAATGGCTAATATACAATGAGGAAAGTTCTTCAAAAAATAAGTATTTATCTAATCAACTGAATAGAACTTAAGTACATTGAAACTTTGGACTGACGCCTTGTTTCTGACGCGTAAGTAATTGCGTTACTGTATTTTTTGTAGGTTATTAAAATCAGTAAATGAATTTATACTTAAGTATGTACTTATCATTTATTTCTTCGCTGTCAACTATTGTCTGACTAGAATTAAATCTTAACCTGATCACCGTGTAGCTGTAAATTTTTTACCTAATAACTTCCATAATAAATTCCATAGCTGTTGAACGCACGTATTTGATGATATTTATGCAATAAGTATGCATACATAAAAAATTAATACATCGACCTAGTGCTAAATATAAAATTAAATGCTTCACTTTCATAAGGACCTGGTGGAATGGGTATCTGGCCGATAAATATATTGAATTTCTGCTACTCATGTATGGTTCAGAGACTGATATTTTATTCATTTAAGAGCCTTTTTGGTGGGTATGACAAGTTGAAAATAGGGTCATGACGTCAAATAAATTAGAAGATTTTATATATATTTAGACTGATCCTCCTGGCAATTAATATGCATTTACATACGTATGTAATAGTAGGTAATTAAAATCGAGCGAAAACTCCCATCGCATATCGCATAATTGAAACGTGTATTATCAAATTCATTATTTTTAAGTGTACATAATTTAATTCAAATTAAGAATGTAGTGCAGTTCATAATACTCATAATTTAAAACAGTATACCACATTTTCAACCAAAACAATTTATTTACATCTGATCTGATTCACTCATCAATCATGAAAGCATGTAAAAAAGAAACTAAGAAACCAAATCCGGAAAAATGTAGTAAATTCTGCATCCTTTGTACTAGAATGACACAATCCAGTGTGACCTAGGTTAATAAAAATATCTGCATAAATTACACTATTTTTGCTGGGTCACTTTACTTTATTTATCCATTTGCGGTTTGGCGAATTTGAACTTTGCATACTTACTAATATAATTTTACTACTTTTTGTAGTGTGTTGCACATTTTATCGACTGAAGTGTGACTAATAAATACGTTGCATTTATTTGCAAAAACATTTTGCATCATGGAATTTAAGAAAACCACCGAACTAATCCAACCGCAAGACAGTCTTGAATTTCATTTATTCTTGCAAATTGTATCCCCGTTTGAACCAAATAACAACTCCTGCTTTAGCCAAATAAATTCGTATTTCGTTGGTTAATTATAATAGCAAAATATGGAAAACTCTTCAGTGAAAGTGATAATATGATATTACACATTTAAAATTAGGTGTCAAATGTACTTATATTCAAGAGCATGATACCGTTTGATAACTGCACCTTAAAAAACGACGAGATTAATCAGCCAAATCGCTTAAAATGTTCAAATCCTACACCCAACACAATTCCATGGCTTCTCCCGATGGAGTGGATCGAACCCGGAAAATCTACTATTCTGGGAGGAAACAAGTTCGTCTTTTATGCCATCCACACCACCGGACTAATAATAATTCTCATCTCCATCACGGCCTCGCTCTCCGTGATGTTAAATGTCTATCAGAATTTTAATAGGAAAAAGAAGTCTGATTTCTCGGACAGATTTCCACTTTACATCTCCATTTGCGACTTGCTCTGGGGAGTATCAAACTTACTCGGGGATCATGTCGTGCTCATGATTTACCAAGTATTTCCATCCAAAGGGATCGCAACGCTGCTGGCAGTGAACCTTTTCTTCTTTTTCGGGTACAGTTCAATTCGTAAATATTTCCTTAATTGACTCATGAATGCTAAATCGTTTTCTAAAATAAAATTTATTCCCAAATCAGCTATCAGCAACTCATGAATGCTGGACTGACATTGTCGACCTATTTGAAAGTCGTCAAACACGTCACCCTTCAATTTGGTTATTTAGAGTGGCGACTTCACACGGCCGTGTTTCTCATTCTAATTTCACAAATTGGAATGTACTGTTATCTGGAAGCTTTTGGAAATGGTGGATTTTGGTATCAAATCAAATTTAATTATGAATATTTTTCTAGAAATTATGCATCAATATAAAACTCCAGGTTTCTCATCGACCTGAAAACTGGATGGGGAATTTTTTTCGGTGCTGCCGTCTGTGCGACCTGCACTGCCCACGCAACCCTGACCTTGGTAGCATATCGTGCCATTCAAAACGTGATTAGCGACCACAAGCGTCTATTTGGTACGTACGTCGAACCACTCCCACCAAAATATAGTGACGATGAGAACAAGTTCCCAAATTCGGTGCGGATAAATAGTTACATTCATCAAACGACGTACTCAACAGCGACGAATTGCTTGACCACGTTTATCTATATTTCAATTTGTCTCTACTTTCCATTGGCGTTCATTGTGTGGGCGGGGTGGACGTTTGCTTATTTCGGATATATCGAGCCATTCTGTGCCCTTGGGGTTATTATTAGTGCAAATTCAGGGGGCTGGGTCAACGCCTGGGGGTATTTTCATAATAGGAAACTTAAAGAGAGAAGAAAGACTTTGGTGAGGAATACTTTGCGACCTAATAATTCAAGTAGTTCGAATGTATAATTTGTACTGGTAGTAATTGATTATTAATATTTAATTAGAGTTGTTAAGTAATTGAAATAACTTGAAGTTTAATAAATCAAATGAACTAAAAGGTGAAAGCAAATTGTAATTGATTTAGTTACTTTTGGCATCGGCAAATGAAGGATTTTCTAATCAACGCTATCTAGATAATTACTAAAGCTAAACACACATTTCTTATTATCATGACATTCATATTCACCACCGATTGCATTTATTAATGTAATTGCTGTAAATGCTGAACTGAACAATTTGAATTTAAAACAATTTAAAAATCCAAACTTCAAGCACGCTTGTCTTATGAGAAAATAAGTTTGTGTAATTTATTCCTTTGCGACTTGTCCAAATTTGTCCAGTTCACAAGAACTTCATTCCTGAAAAACATCGCATGAGATTTTATTGTCGTCTTACCTATGTAAATTCTTAACAAAATACATAGATAACATCGAAAGCTCACCTAAACTGTAACTTATTCTTTGATTTTATCACATTTATTGAGTCCAGGCTAATCCAGTTTTGCAGAATAGCAAGTTTACCAATCCATCTCGTTTTTCGCAACATTTCCAAAACTTTTTCGGTAAAATATAGTTGCTTAATTTGATTGCATAGTCCCAAATACTTTCCTAGGCGTTTAAGTTTCTGTGAATACATATATGTATCGATATACTTATACAGAACGTATAAATATGCATACCGTAGATAGTACAGAATATCTTTCTCACCTCCACATCGCAAATTGTATACCCCAGAAAAACATCAATTAACAGAATTGCGAGAAAACAGGACAGCACTGCAAAAAGTATACGTCCACACCAGACTTTAGTTTGAGAAATATTTCCACCGAAATCAAATCGTGTCCCATTTTCATATTCAAATTCTCCTTGCAGCATTATCACTAAGCGGAACAATGTTCTCCAGAATCCAGAAAATTCAGAGTTCTACAAATTATAAAACCAAAGTACATATTTATTTATTATTTATCTCTATTTTAAATACAAAATAATTTCACGCACCTTTCCAAAAATAATTTGAAACGCTAGCACAAATGCGATCAAAAGTGGGAGGAATGTGCAAAGCACAGAAATAAATCTCTTTGCAACTTTGTAGTAAACATAAATATAGATTGATTTAACTCCATGGTTTAAGTTTGATTCCGCAATTACGCCAAGAAGTAGAAAGGCAGATAGCAGGAGGCCAACCTTCAGTCAGAAAGTGAAGTATGCATCTCATTTCTTTCAAGTTTTTCATACTCAATAAAATATTCACCAACCACAGCCAAAGGATTTCCGTAAAACTGTGCTTTCTCTTTCTCAGCACATATTGGTAGCAAAACTGTGACGAGTGACACAACTGTAAACGATACTTGTGTCACACGTCCAAACGGGGTACATCTCCAAGTTCTGTTTTCATTTGATGGACTCGCACACAATTCTTTTACAAAATGGACAAGCAGCAATCGCATCGATATGCTGGTTATGAGCAACAGGATAAAAATTGGGACAAGTCCAAACCCCAAATAGTTTGACGATGAAGTGGTCGACGCCACATTTTCTAAGGTGAATAAGATTAAACCATTTAAATGGATAATCAATAACTGAAAATTTACTAAAAATAATTGTACTTCGATAAAGTACCATTTTCTTCGTTTTCGTCCACCACGTAGAAATTGTACATCAAATAGAAATAAACCAAGTATTTGGCGAGTGGAATGTATGTCTTAATCAGATGAATCCGATGCTTGAGCATTACCCACTTAATGCCCACGAATATTTCTGTTACAGGATGTTCCACAATCGTTTTGCAATCCTTCCCCTTCAAATAGACTAACTGAGCTAGAATGTACATTTCCGGATTCATGGTGTCATTTTCTTCCACTATTTGATAGCATTTAGGAGACTGATTATTTGACCCTTCTAATTCTATGGGAATATTTAGCAGATTTGAACCTGAAGCTGTCCCACTTTTTGTGCAGGGTTTATTAGGAACTAAACTGTAATCTGTGACACGACGAACCCAATTGTTACTGTTCACTTTAAACTTTAAAACGGCATTTGTAAATAAGGACATGTCAATGTTTAGACTTAGCACAAAGGCACCCCCTCCGCTGGTCACGGAAATTGAGGTATCCAACAGAAATGTCGCGAAAGTTGGGTACAATTGGTAAATTTGTTGGAGTGGATAATGCCCAATACGATTTCTGCAGAAATTAAAATAAGACTTACACATACGTAATGAGATCATATCAAAAATCAATGTTGGACTCACTGAATAAAAATGTTTGCTCCCTCGATAATTAATTTCCTAGCTACAGATAAATATCCCTTTTTAATTGCAATGAGCAATCCAGTCTCGTCAAAAATTGTTTGTGAATCCAACATCTTTCCTTTTACTCCGACTTGGTGAGAATATTCCAGGACTTGCTCGATACATTCGATACCTGGACAAGAGGACAGTTGCAAATGTACATAAATATCTTTAATAAGTATGTATTTTTATGCTCAATTTTACAATTTCCATCCACAGCTGCATGCAAAATACACTTCCCAACTTTGTCTTGAGTCCTCAATAAAAAGTTTCCAAACTTTTGCACCATTTCCTCTTCGTCGCCTTGAGACGAGAATATTTGTAATATGCTTGCCAACATTTCGCGCATTTTGATAACATTACCATTTCGGGCTGATTTAAATAAAGCTTGCTTAACTGAAGAATTATTAAATGGCATAGACAAGTCATCGGGGCTAACAAAAAATTCATTAATGGAAGGATTATAAATCTCTTTTTCAGATTCATCACCAAAATATTTCTGCAATAACTCGAATCCGGCCGTGTTACAAGTTAACTGAAAAATTAGTTGTAACTTTTCCCACTGACTTGAATCAAACTTGTAGCGATTTTGGAGTAAGTTATCGTAAAGACGACGGAACCTTTGAAATGTAGTTCCAGCACGATTAATTTCCGCCTGGAAAATACACATTAATAAATATTTAAGTATTTAAAATATTTACACCAAACTTAAATATTTCTCTTCATTTTTCCAACTATCAAAATGTATGTATATAATTGTATTTAGGATTTACCTCACTTCCGATTTCGAATCCTTCATTTCTGAGTTGATCCCATAGTTGATACAAATATGGAGTAGCTTGTATAAGACGTAAAAATTTATCGTCTATTTCAGAACTTGTCATTATTATTATTGGCACTAAACCTTCACGTCCTGCGACCTATCCGTACATTAAGAACATATTAATCCCTAAACACAAAGGCAGATTCAATAATACCAAACAACGAGACAATGCAGATTAGATAGGCAGAATTTCATATGTTGTGATAATATTTAAGCATGCTGTGTAGTGTTACATAATACCAACAAGCATGTATATACATATGTACATAAATACATATGTGTGTAAAATCATTACAATACATCTCATCCACCTGCTTCGAAGTGAATAGCATCTCAAATTTTGATCATCTATCCTACCTCGTGTGCTACGAAAAAATCAATGCATTTTCTATGGATTGAATTATGCTAATTAGCATAAAAAATACTGGATGTCGTACTGAACAGAAGAAGAGAGACTAGAATACACAATAATATTTTGAATATGTTGAATGAAGAATGTGCGTATAATTTCTGTAATCCCCCAATCAATGTGTATGTAATACACGTACATAGATATTTGTGTACATAAATATGCATGCACATGTAACAATCCATCAAACCATTATCTACATTCCTCACGTATTTTTATATCATAGCTCACCCTCAACGCCCTTAAGTATGCATTTGTCTAAATAAACTGGTGAATGTAAATAAAATGTTTTAGACAATTTTATTTCATTTCATGAAAGATAAGAGTGGAATAAGGAAGAATGTGTTCCAGAATTCATGTCACCAACATGTCATACTCCCCATTCGATTTTTGATTAACCAAAACTATCATCAAACACAATTAAAAATTTCGACCAATCGAATTGAGAGCATGTCATGATGATGACATGAACTCTGGAACAAGATTTAGTACAGATTAATGATCAAAAGTCCAAGATTGAAATTATAAATAATAATTTTTTGAAATAATTGCCTTGATGGACTGGAGCGCATTTTCCATCAAATATCGATCATTTTTCATCTGCCGGTTTTTCCTTACCGGCACATGCACACACTTTCTCAGTTTTTCCGGTCGGCGGCCATGGTCGAAGACATCCACCTGTCAATGTGCTCCCAACTCCATGCAACCTCTCTGATATTCCGGACAGATACGTGTTGATATCCGTGTTTGGCAAGTCGTAGTAGAGGTAAATCCCATAACCATCGTTGACCGTTTGCGTCGCCAAATTTTGCGCGGTGCCACCAGAGGTCGCCCTCACATTCACAGCAGCAGGCCCCAGTTGCGCCCTTTGCGTCAAGCCGGGAACGTTTGGAACGCTGTAGGTTCCATAAATCGAATTCCAGCTGTAGTCCAGGTAGTCTCCAGCGATCAGCCCCTGATATGACAATCTAGACGTCGCCGGGCCGTAGTAATAAAAAGAGATGATCTTGTCGGGCATCAAAGTTCGAAGTTCTCGGAGGAGATAGATGAACGAGAATGCGTTCGGCTGCCCTGTCCCGTTGTTTCCATAATCCGCATACTCGTCATCGAAGTCAATCCCATCCAAGTCGAATAATCGGACCGCTTGGTTTAACTGGGTGGCAAAGTCTCTGGCTGCTGTCTCATCGGGGAAGTTGCAAACTCCGGCCCCTTGGTGGTTTCCGAGGATGGAGAGGAGAACCTTGATTCCCTTGTCTTGCAGTGGCTTCACGTACACATTAGCGTTTTGGAGGACCGTGGTGACATTTTGGTTCAAGTGAAGGACGGCTCGTTGAGCGGGAACGTCATAGTTGATGTTCGCAGCAAAAATGATCCCAATGTCGAAGAGGTTTTCTCCCACGGTGGTGGTGTAGCAGCCAGTGTTGAGGAAATTCGCCCCGTTAACTTCCACGTACATGACGCCCAGGGGACCTTCCTTCCTTCCTTCTTTTCGGATAATGACAGGCATGTTTCAGAAAATTGTAAATTTGTGGAAACAAAGTTTTTATTTTTATTTTAGAGAAATGTTCGATATATTTTTTCCAAACTACTTGATAATGTAGCTTAATCCCTTGCAGAGTGAGAAGTATATGATTATATCGGAAAAATGCAGCGCCTTTTAAACAAATTTCCAGAGTTAGTAAACTGTATGAATTTATTATTGGCACTGTATTTGACAAACGAGATCATGTCAATTGCACCATAAATAATCAAACAAGCCCTGAACTTGCATAGTGACCCATATCCTCATTTCTGGATATGATGGATTCATTCATACATAAATACGTAGTACCTTTAAACTCTTATTTAATAAAAATAAACTTTCTGCGTTGAAATAATTTATTATTATTTGCGCATTTTGAAACAACACAAACTATTGTCTCAATTTAGTATGAAATTAAACCAGTCTAAATGGTTTATGGGGTTAAACTCATTGTTACAACTGTCAACTGTGTCCATAATTAAGGGGTGAAAGCCCTTTATAAGATCGTTATGTCCGTCTGTCTGTCCGTAGCTCCGATAACTTTTGAACGAAAAGACATAGACACTTGAAATTTTGAACGTAAACTCCTAGCGTCAAGGGACAGGACGAGTTCGAAGATGGGCACTGTAGGTCACACCCATCAAGGTCAAAAGGTCATGAAATGTCATTTAAAGGTCAAATTGCATACATGCATCAATTTGAATTGAAATACGGATAACACACTTCTTTCACCCCTTGGTTACATTCGTTGTGACGGTTTATTTATTTTTAGAAGTAAATCCCAAATCCAGCTCCTCATTTTATTATTACTAATACACGATGACCCACATAAATTATATAGAAATACTTATTTATATGTTCAAAATGTGTTTATTTTCAAAATACTACATCAAACTGTGTTATCCCGAGCTTAGGTATGTGTAGCATGCAAAAATCATATGGAGGATCATCGTCTTTCAACATGCGGCCATTTAGACGGTCAATTTATTAAACATGAAAATCTGTATGCATTTTATTAGTCGAAATTTATTAGCCTTAAATTAATTTGTATAGAATACAATCCAGACAGACAATATTTTTATTATGCAGTTTTATTCCTAATCACACCCACCAATAAATGAGGAGTAATACCTACGTAAATATTGCCTTAGTTCTTGAGTACGTGTACATAAATAATTGCTGACTATTCTATATTTACTACAGACGACTATTTAAAACACTCAACTAAATAGCCTACTGTTACCAAAGTTCAATTAATAGTAGCTGTAAATAAATAGGTTAGACAAATTGGAACAATTTTACATAACAATTTTCCAGACAGTTGACACCAGCCAAAACAAACTAAGTTATGTTAACAGTTATAAATATGTACTCAACTTGCATAATTTCTGATTTCATATTTTACAACTAAATATTTTATTTCCACTTCGCATACAAAGCTTCTCCCCACATCGCCAATGTACTCACTAATACGCCAATTCCAAAGGCACAAAATCCCGTAGAAATTTTTGAACTCAGATCTAATCTCGCCTCCATACTAACTATCGGATAAGTCCAATTTACCCAATGTGGGAATATACTCACAGGCTTTATCAATCCAAACCAACGCTTCCAATGTGCATAAATTCCTGATGACATCATAACCTTGAGACGTTTCCAAACATAGCTATTTCTCACCGGGTACTCTTTCCAGCCAAGAAAAGATGTAAAAAATCCGTCATCTCCCTTCAGAAAAGTTACCTGTTTCCTATTATCGTTTAAAAATGGGAGTAAATTTATCACATTTTCTTTCAAATCCATATATGCAACTCTGTCACAGGTAGACAGATTATTAACAAACTGAATCGTTTCACTGTACTTGACCGGTTTCACAAATTCCTGTCCAAATTGGTTTGTCGATGTTGTGCTCTTATTCCCCCCGTAGTACAAGGTCCAAGCGAAATCCCTGTATTCTTTCAACACACGGGAAGTGCCCACATATTCCATTCTTTTCTTTAACTTTGATTGTATCATAGAATAAAACATGGGATGAATAGAGTCGTCAGTTAACTTCAGCTCAAAACTGTTGAGAATTGCCTCCATCGGAACAATTACGGTGAACCCAGCTAGGTCTGCGACACTTCGCCATGGCGCGGTAAACCTTGGAGGCACAATCATCTCCATCGTGAAGGAAGATTTGTACCAGTTTGTTAACACAGTCCCAAAAAGAATGGCTAGAAATGCTAGAATGATATAAGCGCTCATTATCCCACAAGTACTTCGTCTATTAACGAAACTCTTCAGGTACACGCCAAACACAGAGCACTCCAAAAGTATGCCGATGGATATAAACCAACTGAGTTGACACGTCGTACTTATTTTGTCACTGGAAGCTCCTCCTTGAATAGGTATCACCACACTCAACAAGGAAATTCCAACAAAAAGTATAATCCACAACAGGATCCAGGTCCTCCAGTCAAACGGGGAGACAAGTTCACTTAAAGGAGTAGAATTGTCCATATTCACACCATGACAAGATAGCCAACTAAATAATTCAACCCCTTCAAGAATGATGTTGGCTTCAGGATTAAATTTCAGTTCATGTTTCTGACCCAGAATATAATTCCGACCGAGTTGCTGTCCAGGATCGGTCATATTTAACTGGGGCAGGATATCGTGGAGGAGCCAGAAGCCGAGAAATTCGTCAAATGTGATGAATGTTACTATATCATCATACGAATCTACAGGACGAAGGAAAGTGTACTTATTTTGAAGATTCAATATTTTATCATTGTTTAATGATATGATCCAGGATTCAAAATCCCAGAAATATCGGTTAAGATTGGCAACAAATTGTGTGATGGAGTCCAATTTTGTATTGTCACATGTCGATATTTCGTCGCTATGACAAGGAATCGTGTACCAGGGTTTGGATATGAGTATTGTTACACTGCAATAATGTCGGTTGTGGTAATGTAGAAATAATTGACCATTTTCACCCTCCCGGTCGATATAAACAAATCCAGTATGCAAATCCAACCTGACGTGAACGACAAAGAACTCCCTTACACCAAAAAGGCCTACTTTGTGCATTGTAGATTTAGTTAACCATGTTTGAAATTCATCTGCTAATGAAGTAAACCAAATAAAATATTGAGGAAGTGTATCTTTCCCAATGAAAGAAGACGATTTCATAAGAAAATATCGTTTAAATTCGGTTATAAAGTTTTCTAAAGTGTTATTGTAAATTTCTGGGAATGATATATCGTTTTCGGGCAGAATGAGAAAAAATGCCCAACAATTTCTTCCTCTCTGATTAGAATTCTTGTGAAGACTAAATCTCTTTTGTGTGGTTTTCGCATTTGTGCCAATTGTCGGCTGTCGCTTCCCATCCAGCTCGTTAGTGAGGACGATGGGGCTGATGTCAAATCTCAGTGCGGAGATTACCGTGGAATTCGGAGTAATGAGGAAATTTGTGCAGCTGGAAAAAAATTGCTGAATTGAACTTATGGCGAACTGGTTTCCAGGGTTGCTTCGTATCGTATTGCAAATTAACAAGTTATACAAAAATGTAAAGGCAAAGAATTTTTGATTGACCATAATTTGTAAAGTTTATTGAGTTTGTATGGAAAAGATTAAATCTATAAATGTTTACTGCATGGCCAAGTGATGGATTTTCGTGTCCCTACGTGTTCAATCAGCAGAAGAATTGAAAGTTCCTTGTCTGTGTTTTCAGTCAATTTCAATTATATTTCAATACGATTGACAGTAAGTACATGTTATATGAAGCGACTTTAAGTACTATTTCAAGTTTTGAGTTCTTACGGGTTAAAACGAAGGACAAATTGTCATAATATTTCTATTTATATGGGTTAAGTTGTAAGTTGGCATATATTTCACCAAATTAACAGTAAAATACAGAAGCTTTTTACATAAAGTGTGTGGATAGAGTAGACAAATACATGGTTATTGCACCCGTATTTTTGCAAGCTGAAAATTTAAATGTTGTTTGCCATTTCTTTTTATTAATTTAAGATTTCCCTGGATTGATTGCAATAGTATAGCCTAATTTAATTTAGCGTATAAAACTAATCAGAATGTCACAGAATATATATGTAAAATACAGTTCATGTTCATATGTATGTACATAGTCTCAAAACTACTGATTAAAATCATTTGTGCCTACGTGACAACGTCTATTTACGTGACAACGTCTATTTGATAGCTTTTTCTGTATTACTCTTAAATGTCGTGACATTTATAACATTTCTTTCCTTCTTGCCAGTTCCTACTTGAGACTGTTTTATTAATCCGTCCAAAACAACTAGAATATAACTTTCTACGAGAAATAATGGTCGAGCCACACTACGAAATTCCCATCCTGATCCAACACCTCTACATTGACAGGTATCCATTCATTTACAAATTGCCCATAGAAATCTTGGATGGTCCACATGGCATAAAATTAGCCCAAGTTAAGCGTCCCTTTCACTCGGTCATATCATTATTCCCAATGCTTTCTCTCCTCACAATTTGGTCAACATCGTCCCTCGGAGTCTTGGTGCTTTTACGAGAGGAAATTGATCCATATGTGGAACCGAGAATGTGGATCTGGTCCGTGCTAGCGATTACGGCTCTCTGCGGGTCATTCGGCTATTATTATTGCATGGTGAAACACAGCAGATTCGCGATTCGTCTAATGAATGAGATATTTCGGTGTGAATCTACCCTTAAACGAGGTGAGGATTAACTGCTAAGCACATATTTTCTTAAATTTCAAAATTTCAAATTTCAAATTGTGTAATATATGTTTGTTATATTAGAAAATGGGATAAAACCAGGTAAAACTTTCACCCGACGTAACTCTTCACAAGCTAAAGTCCTCGCCTGTATCAAATTCTATATCTGGTGTACCTACTTGTTCATCCCGTTTTCATCCTGCCTCTTCGTTTTCATGGGCTTCGACCCTACTCACCGAATTTTTGACTTCATCTTCAAAACATTTCCTCCCTTTTATAAAAATGCTCTACGACTATCCTTCAACAGCAAAGTGGTTCTGACCCTGGGCCTTTTTTGCATCCGTTTATCGGGATTAACCTTCGTGCTGTATGAGGGGTTAAGGCTCGCATTTCTCGGCGTTTCTCTAGCCCATTGCGGTGGTCATGTGGGCATATCTTTGCTGAAAATGATCAATGGTTTGCTTCCCAAGTGGGGCAAGGCAATCGTGGAGGGCAAGTTCGTTCGACATTTCAGTCACTATCGGCACCTCATGATCCTTTTGAGAGCAATGGAAAATTCGGTGCAAACAACGGCGACAATTTTTCTCTTCATTACAGCCTGCGCCGTTGTTGTTTGTACCTTCGTCGCTGTGAGACTGCATCCTCTGATTACCACGCTAATTCTAATTGTCAATATTGGAATTGTCGTATTAATGGTAACCATGACAAAAATAAATTTGGACAATTTGGCCGTTTTGGAGCCAATGTCGCATAATTTGTTGCAAGCTTTTAAAGGGACAAACATGCAGTTAGGTATGACGACCGAGTTGAGAAAGTTGACCGTGAGAATTGTCAAATCGTTGAAGCCGTTACGGATTCCTTTGGGGTTGGGGTCGCTAAAGTTTGCTGAAATTAAAACTTGCACAAAATCGACAATAATGATGGGTATGGTGGATAGTTGTATGAATGCCTTGTTGGCTAACTGATCTATGCGATAAATCGAATTACGTAAATTGCTTTTTTGAATAACTTTTTAATCATTTTTTTTCTGGATTGAAAACAAAATAAATCATGATATGTACATACATATTATGTATGCACCAACCCATTTATACATACATACATTAACTGATTCGTAAATATTTTCTCCCATAATGCTGAACATCTACAACACTTAAATCTTTGATTAAACAACGAATTAATTCCTTAATTAATTAACAATTCTTTAATGCATTAATCCAATCTGCAGAAATAAATTTACACTTGCCTTGGCCAAAAAAGTATGAGTCCTTTTTTATCAGACGTTGTGGTATAACCCAATTGTAACTGACCTATACTCAATTGTAATCTGCACGAGCCACTTGTCATCAATTATGCAAAACCAGCCATATGGTTTCCGTTATCCTACAGAGAAAAAGTTTCAATTTGTGCAATATTAATGTGTTGCACCCTTACATACATATGACACAATCCATTATAAAAGTGCATGTTTGGATCATTGTTTATCTTATCTTAACCACTGGGTTGCCTATTTTCTTACCATTACGCTATTCATGGAAATGACATTTATGTATCAATTACAAATGACCACTAAATATATGGCATGCATATTTATTATTTTTTTAGAAACTAGCATAATTTGATTAATATGAACAAACCAATTTGTTCACCTTATCTACAATATTTAATACTAAATTATATGCACTACTTACGATGAGGCCGTAATTGTAGCTGTGTGTACACACACCTTCAGCAATATTTTCAATAAAAGTCCAGTTGTATTTTTACTTCACTTCTCATAAAGTTACTCATAACAATGTCGCTTCCAGAGGGGATAGAGATTTTTAAGCACATCGTCCCCAAGGAGTATCACTGGACGGAATATTTCGTTTTTTCTGCAGTTCTAGTATTTTCAACGGCAATTCCTATTTTTGACAAAATGATATATAACAAAAATCTGGTTAGTTTTAAAGAAGATTTGTGTTCACGACATAAATCTAATTCTGTAATGTTGGTATCATTCTCAATGGTGGGAAGGTGAGTCACGTGTAATTTATCTAAAAATGCAAGTCTTGTTTTTTGCTAAAGGTTAAAAATCTCGCCCATAGTTTCGTATCTGCCGTGACCCTGCTCGGAAATCCTGTCGAGGTTTACTTTTACGGTCAACAATATACAATGATCGTCTTCGCCTTTGTGCCGATGACGATTTTGTTGAGCTACTTCTATGTCCCGGTGTATTTAGATTTGCAGTTAAATTCTGCATATCAGGTGCGTCCCATGCATGTCAAACTTATTTCTCAAACTTATTTCGTAAAACTATATAGCCAATTTTTCAGTATTTTGAATGGAGATTTGGCCGCAATGTGCGTGTGATATGCTCAATGTTTGGGATTCTTCACTTGGTGCGTTCCTCAGTTAATAGCATAAAGTGCCAAATTAATGGTGCCAGTTTTATAGATAATTTATACACCAATTACCGTTCTCGGCCCCTGTTTAGCAATTGACCATGGTACGCATGTATCTAAATATTAAGAATCTTACTTTTCTATCTTCACTAAATTTATTGGTTATTGATGGATGGAATAGTTGCCGGATTCGATTATCGCATCTCATCTGCTGCAATTTTTACGGTGTGCATAGTAAACTCTGCTATGGTAGGACTCGTTTTTGGGATTATCTAAATATGCACTCAAAATAAAAGGATGTATGTATGCGCAATATAGGGTGGGCGTTTATCAGCGACTTTATGGACAAATACGCTGCAAACCACGGTCATGTTTACGGCTTTATTTGCACTTGCAATTAGCAGTATAATTGAGCTTGGTGGCCTCTCAAGTGCATGGGAACGGTCAGCGGCCAGCGGAAGGACAAAAGTGTTTGAGTAAATAAATAATCCATATTTCATGTTTGAGTATGCCCCAAGTACTTATGTGCCACATTGCTAACTCCGCTGTTCCACGCAGCATGGATTTTGACCCCAGGACTCGCCACACTTTTTGGACTGCGATAATAGGTGGGACGTTATTATGGTTGCCAATATTTGGTGCGACTCAGGCACAAATTCAGCACTACAATTATCTCACAACAATTTCACAATCACGCCAGTAAGTTAAATTGTCTAGCACAGGTTAAAGTGTCACCTAACATCTCACATTTTTTATGCAGATGCCTCTTCTCCAATATGATTGGAATGATGCTGGTTATGCTTTTCTGCTCTTTCAACGGCTTCTTGGTGTACGCAAGATATTATGAATGCGACCCCGTGACGGCTAAGGTACCGTAAATATGATATGAAATACTTTGAGTAATAATGGCATAAAGTTGTATTGTCCATGGAAGATTATAACTGCGACGGACGAATTATTGCCGTATTACGTGATGGACCTCTTCCGGAATTACCCTATCTTGCCTGGTTTGCTCGTCGCAGGAATCACTTGTGGGAGTTTGACGTATTGAATTGTGGAAATTTGAAAAAATTTCATAAAATATGTAATTCTATGTATTATTCCACATTTTCAGGACGGTCTCTAGTACAATCTCCTCCTTGGCTGTGTTGCTTACCGAGGATTTCCTCAAGCATTATCGACCATCTTTGAATTCAGCTGAACTTGAGCGTTCATCTCGAATTATTTCCATCCTCTGTGGAGTGCTCGGTTATGGATTGGTGTTTTTGATAAAACTTATTAATGAAACTATGCAGATTAGTCCGGTACGGGTATTCAGAAATTATCTGAGAATAGTTCAGAATATAGCAGATAATTATGCAAATATCTTTGGAATTTTTTCAGTTTTCCACCCTTGTTCATGGGTCTCTGCTGGGTCCCATTTTAGGTGCTTTCAGCCTGGGGATGTTTCTCCCGTGGACAAATACCCTGGTTGTGAATGTGGCTAATTTGTAGTCATCCTGTTAAGCATCTAAAGTGCAAATTCTTATCTTAGGGAACATTATTGGGGCTTTTGGCTTCTGTCGTGATAACCGGATTCATAGGCATCGGAAACATTGTGGCTGAAAAGCTGTATCTTCTCCCAGATATGAAGCTATCATTATCACTCCGTGGATGCAGTTGCACCAATTCTACCAGCATTGAGACCATTATTATGCCGTGTAGTGATTTCATCTCACCACAAAATTTGACACAGTTGGACACATTTGATAGCTTCGACTGGAAGGAAAACGATGATTCGATATTTATTAAGATTTGGTCCACCTCTTACAGTAAATGATGATCAAGAGTTGAAATATTTTATTTTCGACCCAAATTTTATAATTTTTTAATACAGTTTGGCAGCCAGGAATTGGAGTCGTGTCCACCTTGTTTTTTGGAGCAGTTTTCAGCATAATTGTAACCTCTATAAATCGCAAACACGTGAAGAAAGTACCAGCCAGACTTTTGAGCAAACCATTCATCAAACTTTGGAATAAAGTCATTGGCGATGCAAGAATGCGACAGTGGATTGAATACGACAATAAGAATGACGATTTTCCTAATTTCGGGTTCAGAAATTATCCGCCCACGAATGGTAATGCGAATCCTGCATGGATATCGACGAAATTGTGAATGTAATTTAGTTCGAATGCATTCCAACAAAATGTGTAATTTTGCCTAGATATTTATTAAAAGACGGCTGGACCGTTTCCCGTTATACAATGCGATATTTAAATAAATATGTAGATCTTACTCATTAAGAAATATACTTTCTTTAGGAAAGAGGCACTTGACTTATTTTTGTTTATTAAAAATTTAGTACAAACTTACAATACAATTACAAAAACTATACTTAACTTACACTTATTCATTAACTGGTATCATTTCGATTTTACTTTGATTTCGTTATATACATATTTGGATTTTGCGTATTAAACTAGATTTATACATAGTTTAATTTAAGCAAATTACAACTAGAAAATTAAAACTAAAATTGAGAGACTTTTGTTATTTATAAAGTCAGTCTATCAGCCGACAGGTGGACACTTGACGCAGTGGTTTCCCGTGATAAGATTGACATCAGGTGTTCCTGTTGACATAAGCAGATAATTTATTCTATCATATCTTCGAATGACACGACGTATTCAATTTGTTTAAACTCACCACAAAACGTCATTGTCGTGATCAACTCTTCCTTGAGAATTGAAAGTACCCTATCGACCCCTGCTTCACCTGCCACGCCAAGCCCCCAAAGTATTGGACGCCCCACAAACACCTACAATTATCATCAGTAAATTATAAACTTGAATACCATTTAGAATTTCTGAATGCAAAAATGATAATTACCATATCGGCTCCAAGTGCAATTGCCTTAAAAATATCGGATCCATGCATAATTCCGCCGTCCAGAAATACTGAACATCTTCCCTTCACGGCTTCAACTATCTCAGGAAGAATGTCAATCTTTATAAGAAAATATTAATTATAGAAAAAAAACTACTTGTGTATTAATTAATGAAACAACTCGTATTTGTCGTACTGTCGCTTTTCCACTGTCGAGCTGGCGTCCTCCATGATTCGATACATAAATTGCATCCGCCCCATATTCCATGGCTAGCAGGGCATCTTCCTTGGTTTGTATACCCTTCAAGATAAGAGGTAGCGACGTCTGCCTATAAAAAAAGTCCATTTTCACTACAAATTTACCAAGAGCTTAATAGATCACTTTGAATCGCATACCCTTTCAAATACTGAACATAATTCCATGTGCAGTCTCGCCTTAATAAATCAGTCGAATAGTTTGTTAAGTGCTTACTTTCTTCTTCCGATTTGCCTTGAATGTAGAGATCAAAGTTGGCAAGTCTGCAAGCCATATAGTAAATTTAATAAAAAAATCCTAAACAATATTTAAACCAAAACCAACCTAGTAGTTTGAGGTACGTCAAACTTCAACCTTTTCAATTCTAATCGGTTCCCCAATGACATTGTATCGACTGAGACAACGATTGCTTCATAACCACATTTTTCCGCTCTTTTGATCATGTCGATTGATATCGTTCTATAAATACGGTCAACATCTTGTTAATTATGAATGCACAAAGCTTCTCACATTGCATGCACAATCTACCCTTTGCACAATGTAATCTGCATCCATTTCCTGAGATGTGGTACTTCCCAGGCGAGGTCTTCGATTGACGTGCTCGAGTGAAAACTTTGGATGTAAATTCCACCAATTTTTTCTATCGCTATAATTTATGAAAAATATTAAAGTTTTAAATGCATACACTTTATAAATTAACCAGAATGTCTAAATAATCTAAAGAAGTACCTTTCGCCGTGGCCCGTTCTCCATCTCTGTGTGCCATCGTGTGCATCGCCATTGGACAAATTCCAATCGGCGTGGCAATCTTTTGTCCGAATATTGTCGTAGACAAATTAATATTTGAGACATCGACAAACATTCGTGGGCGCAGGATGTAACGATGAAATGCGTTACGATTTTCGAGCGTGGTTCTCTCCTCGTCTGCGCCGCAGTTGTAATAAGCAACTACATCTTTTGGACACGATTTTGAAAACAGATTCTCAAAATCCTTAACGCTATAAAGCTCCTCAATCTTTTCATGTTTTTTGGAAAGGAAATTACTCAAATTATTTATGAAGGTGATAACTAACTTAATAATTTCTAACAGCATTTTTGAGCAATTTTGTAGTCGACAATTGTGATTCCAACCGGAATACGTTTACACGAGGAGAAATATGATGAGCGCATGCATATAAAACTCGGTGTTTAATATACATACTTGGACTCAAGTGTCACACGTAGGGATTTCACAGGCTGATGACATGTACATAAGTATGTACAAAGTAATTACGTCAATGACCAAATTGATAATGCATGTATATATTTCTGTGGTAGAAATAAATCAAAGTCATTACGTCAGTAGCACTCGTTAATGGCATGCATTACAGTATTTAACATAATGATGAAAATGCTCAATAATGATTGAACTTAAAAAACATGTTTAACATGGGTATCGCATGTACTGGAATATACAGATAATCTCATGCAGTGTTTCGAATGGACTTTGTCCCTAAAGACTTTGTCTGTCTGTCCGCCTGTGCATCAGCAGGATAACGCGAGAACCAAGAACCTCTGCACTTGGGGGGTTGCTTTGGAGATGAATTCGATGTCATGCACTACCGCATCGAAATCGGTTTGCTGCGCCATACATATGACCCCCAGGGGAAAATCCTACCAATTTTTGGGGTCAATCGGACCACCCCTCCTCAAGGCCAGGGGGTGTGGTCACACATTTCTTGGGGAATTACTTGTTTCACCCTTATGCTACATATCGTTTGCGACGGTTTACCATGTATATCAATAACATACATGTGGCTATTATGGCTACATTTTTTTTCCTTTATATTTGTGGAGTAAATTATGACGGCATTCACGCCAACTTTATAGCTCCATTTAATTAATTTAAATTATGTAATACTAATATTAACAGAAACACTTCTCTATGAAAAATTAGGTAATTGAGATTGCTACTTGAACTTGGTATAATTGTGATACGATTCAATTGTGTAAATTATTAACCAAATGTTTATGTAATTACATCCTCAAATAAGATTATATAATCACACGAATAAGTACTTTGACATATGGTGTGATGCTACAACTTCAACTTGTATATATGTAGATTGTATGCAATTTTGAGTTATAACTTACTGTTAATCATAAAAATTATATTTGTAGACAATAAAGTTTCTGAACGCATCTGTTTTCACTTTATTTTACTCCAAATCGCCTTAAACTTTACGAAACATCATTCAAATTTAATTATTGTCTATGCTATTACAAAGTTAATTAGCGTATAATTTTACAATCCAATTGAATTCTTTATTCATTCTGAAACAAACAATTAAAGCAAATCGGGTTACCTTCATTTTCATAAAAACGTCGAATTATGTATGTCAGGTAATTTTCCCATTTAAGCAAAACCACTAATAAAGTGTTCTTGTAAGATTTGAGCCACTTTCTCAAACATTTATGCTACAAATAATACACTAGTGCATATTATAAGCAGCCCCCATCAACCAAACCATTACGATCAGGACCATACTACTTTTATCGGATGAGACGCCACTCTCGTCATCATCATCATCGTCCTCCTCACTGCTTTCTTTCGGTGGTGTGAGACAACACGTCTTCTTCCCGTAGACAAAACGTCCCTTGTAAGGGCACCCCCATTCCTCTCCCACCCCGCGATCCGCCTCTTCATACCCGTCTGGACACTCGCCACCTTCTCCAGAGGAGCAGGACGTGTTAAAACAGGGCGGTTTGTAGCCTTCGTTGCAACAGAGGAGCGTGGTCATTGGGGGCGCAGTGCTGTCACAGATGACCACGTCTCTGCTCATCTCAACCCGACCGTCTTGACATTCCACGTGATGTGGTTTGCATGGCGTGTCGATGCAGCCAGGGGTCGGGATGCAACACAGTTTCCGCTCTTTTCCATACGGACAATCTGTAATAGTAGTGATTAGATTTGTGCAATTGTCGAAGATTCCTGAAAAACATAAATTGGGTAAAAACATCGTCACTCACTGCGCTTGTCTACGAGAACCTCGCTATAACTCCACTTGCAGAGGACATAACTTTCACACGAAGTCATGTAACAACCTCCGTTTTTCATTCCAGTGAAATTCTTGAATTCGGGAATATCGTCTTTCTCCTCACTGCTTTCTGAAGTAGCAAATGTTGGGGATGCGATAAGACCAACAATTATGAGAAGGATGGTCAGGAAGTTAAGTCCAACCTGGAAAAGAGATTTATTACATAACAACTAATAAATACATACGGCAAGAATATGGTGAAAATAATATGCAACGCTATTTATTCCCAACCTTTTCCATGTTGTGTCCCGACAACCTATGCAAAATAGTTGTATTTCTTATAATCACGAGTTTACTGAATATTTGTCTAAAATTGTGGATAGCAGATTAGAATTTGACAATAACTTTAGCTATGGTACAATCAGGACAGTGAGTGTCGGTGTTCTCGCAGATTTGTGGCACAACTCCTATCAATTGCACCCATCAGTATATTCATGTACCTAAATATACTCTCTCTATTTCTTGCAAGCAAGTGAAAAGCGGAGCAAATGTATTAAGTGGTTGACGACAAATCTCAATTTGGGACAAGATGTGTTGGAAAACACACTTTCCTCCTCAGTCAAGGACAGAAAATTATGGGTTAGATAATAGGCGCGAGCCAACCTATACAGATGTGGTCCCAAAATAGTCATCTACATAGAATTACATTTTACTCAACGATTGGTATGCATGCATGAAAGCATGGCAGTCTTATGCCTACTTTTTTATTTGTTTTCGTACACAATCTTGACAGTTTGGTAGTAAATAGGCTTGACATGTTCAAATAAATATACATTTTTTCTAGTTACAAAACCAAGACTTTTATAACTTTAAAAAAAATTAAGTTCGCCGTTCTAGAATAACTTCAAATTGTGGAAATGGAATCGCAGGGACACCAAAGATGAATTTGATATCCTCCAATCTCTGTTTAGTAGTTACATTAAATTTCTTCAGAACATACATCAGGATCAATTTCGCTTCTAGTTGGGCATACTTCAGACCTACGGGTTAGAAAATATTAGAATCAGTTTGCATGATCGTGTCACAGGGAGAATATGTAAATAGCTATATGTGCTTTCACCGATGCAGTTTCTGTTTCCCATGGAAAATGGGAGGTAACTGTACGCATTTCGCTTTAAGCATTCCTCTGGAGCAAATCGGAGTGGGTCAAACTTTTTCGGATTTGGATACACCTCAGGGTCTTGGTGCATATGATGGATAAAAATTGCAACCTCGGCACCATTGGGAAGAATTGAGCCGTCGTCTTTACATTACACATGGCAGCTTACAATAATTTACACCAAATTTTTCATAGTAATTGATTCTAGTTACCAAGCGTCACGTCTCTCGTAAGCTTCCTCGCAACCATTGCAACCGGAGGTTTTACTCGCATCGCCTCCTTCCAACACATTTCCAAGTATTTGGCTTCCGAAATATCTGCCAGAGTTAATTCTCTCATTTCTGAACCTATGATGGTGTCCACTTCTTCCTGGGCTTTTTTCTGATGGTCAGAATTCAAAGCGAGGAAAAACAGAGTCTCGTAAATGGATGAAGCAGTCGTTTCGGCCCCCTAATTTTTGTTAGAAATTAGTAGAAATTTTTGGAATACTTAGAAATTACTCAATTTTTAATCATTCATGCAAGTTGTTAATTACAGCTCCAATTATTGTGACTAGATGGTCGCAATATTCTTTCTCCGTGGGCTGAGGCGTTCTATCCATTAAAATATCTAGGAATGGTTTTGTCCTCATTTTATCATCTGTGCATAAAATATGTACATATGAATTCTCAAATTTGGGTTTTTATTTTAAATATCGATCATAAGGACATTAACCCACCATCCGTTTTAGTTTCCTTAATTTCATTTTGTTTCCGCTTTCTAGCCTAAATATGAAGAAACCATTTTCATTAATAAATATCATTACTTACAGCATTAATAGCGAGATGCATGTTATTTACAATGTCGCAAATCTTGTAAATATGAGCAATTGATTTCTTCTCGAGTTGGTGTCTTCCAATAAGTCTGTACACGAATGGAATATTGTACAAGTGCGGCTTGAACAGACGTATGTGAGTCCCAGAAAGCAAACTGAAATGATAAAAGTTCACATATTCAGGTAAATTTTTCCTCAATAAAATAATAACTCACTTATTAATTGCAGTAGCGTAAATATTATCGGCTGTTTTCTCCTGAAGGTTGAGCTCAACTCCGAGACCTGCTTCTACACTCGTAAAAACATTAAATTAGACGGTGTCTTAATAATAAGATTATTATTGTTAAGTGTGTATTTCTTATGAACATACGCAAAACCATGTCCAATGTTGCCGTGAGAAAGTATGGGTACAAATTAGCCGGATTTCCACACTCATTTTCCAACTTTGACATCAAAATGTTTGTTTCATGATTGAATATTTTAATAAATCCAGTAAATAACTGATGGTTAAAGGCATGATTTAAAGATTTTCGGTCAGTTTTCCATTGCTCTCCTAATGGTCATTATTATTCAGACTATTTACACAGGCAGTTATGAAATACATATGTATGATAAACCACAAACCAGAGGAAGTTAAGAGTCCTGTACCAGCAAAGTCTCTGAGATTATCGTATGCAGATGCCTTTTCGAAAAGGTCGGGTGCACCCAGGATTTTCTGTTTAGTGTAAAACAGTATTATCCAATTCACAATTATTGTAATTAATCATAAACACATGATTTACCTGGGCAGCACTGACATCGCTGATAAGTATGTACGCCTTGTCCCCAATCCACATCCTACACACTGTTCCATATTTTCTCAAATAGCTTGAGAAGACTTCCTGAGTGTCTGACAAAAATTGTGTTAATTAGCAACTTGGTTTTATTCTTAAGTGTTACAAACTTACTCCACGCAGGACCTAGGAGAAGGTACGATTGACCAATGAACGGAATTCTGTGTGGGGATCCTGGAAGCTTCTTGATCATTTTAGCAATTCTGGTCAGGTGGGTTTTGCGATAATCGTTGATTAGGAGGAAGACTACTAGGGAAATTGTGAGACATAAAACTACTAAGGTGTCAAACGGTAATTGGACTTTAGGGCTTGGAATTAAACTTAAAACAGGCACTTGAAGATTGACAAGGGGTAGCAGAGGCTGTGATAGAAATGACGATTCAAGGAATTTCTCCATTTTTTAAATTTCATAGAAATTAAGTCAGAGATTATTCCTTGCTTGAGATTGTAACAATATTGACTTACGAATAAACTGTACGATTCGGTTTTATATTCATGCAATAGGTATACAATTGTAATGATTATGAAAATTAAAATGGTTATCGAAGTGTTTTCCATACATAAATAATCATGAATCCTTCGTACTCAAAGTCTGCTTTTTATTGAGCAGGGAAAATACTTAATTATACATTACATAAAGCTATGCTAAAGCTATATACTATATTTTGTACATCTGTAACCTATTTATTAGTAACATGTAAAAATGAATCTGAAAAATTGTCCAAAAGTTGTCCAGGCTGTTTTTCGGTATTCTTTACGATTTTTAACAAATCGTTTTTAGAAAACCCGAACTGTAACAACTGGAAATAAAATGAGATCTATTGCAAATATGTACGTACCATCAAATAGTAATATATGTACCCTGTTTCTATCTGTTGGAGGAACATTCGGTTTTTGTATAATACATCGCTATTCCTCAATGAGGAATCCTCATGAATTTCCTATTCATTATCATTTATGAGAATGGTTTATGATTGAGTTAAAAATTAATTGAAGGACGTAACCATTTATCCTAAGCTGCCAATATTCTACAACTATTGTGTAAGTCCGAATTAAGCATCAAATGAGATCCATCCCCCAAAAATTTCCGTTTCCATGCACTTGCGACATAAATATTATCAGAATAAAATTGCATTGTGGTATTTGGATTTACTATATATGTACGTATATATATAACTGACCAATAGCCCAATGAAATAATTGTTGTGCCAAAAAAATACGCCGATTACGACTAAACTACGAATTGTAAATTATTAAGTAGCTTCAGCTACTTTATGTGAAGACTTTGTCTGTCTGTCCGTCTGTCTGTCAGCAGGATATCAGGAGAACGGATCGAGATAATCGAAATCGGTTTTCGCCATCATACATAGGACCCCAGGGGGAGGATCCTATCAACTTTTGGGGGCAACCGGACCACACCCCCTTTGGCGACAGGGGGTGTGGTCGGGGCAAAATGAGATTTTTAGTGCAATTTAATCTATAGGTGAAATAGAGTAAAATTATGTGTTCCGGAGTTGTGCCACACCCCCTCGGCGCCAGGGGGTGTGGTTGGGGCAAAATGAGATTTTTAGTGCAATTTATTCTATGGGTAAAATTAAGTGAAATTGAGTGAAATTAAATGAAATTAAGTGAAATTAAGTGAAATTAAGTGCTTCCCCGATTGTGCCACACCCCCTCGGCCCCAGGGGGTGTGGTTGGGGCAAAATGAGATTTTTATAAAAAATTAATCTATAGATGAAATAGAGTGAAATTAAGTGTTCCCGAGTTGTTCCACACCCCCTCGTCGCCAGGGGGTGTGGTCGGGGCAAAATGAGATTTTTACAAAAAATTAATCTATAGGTGAAATAGAGTGAAATTAAGTGTTCCCGAGTTGTGGTGGGACCGTTTGGGGTGAAGTACGTCTGAAGCTACTTCCGTATGCGCGTTTACGACGGTTTATTTAGTATTTTTGAAGGTCAGTTATTTTAGAAGGTCTCGGAAGAGGATAAGTACATACTTATTTAAGACATTTTAATACGTCATTAAATAATTATAGATGTTAAATATAAAATTGTTTATGGGAAGAATACTAAAGGACAGCATTGCATACTATGTATTTCTTCATTTTTCACATACATACAGACATAGATGTATATAGATATCATTCTTATTGTATTTCCACGTCCTTCAATTTACTTACAAATGAAAACTGGTACTCGTAGATTCCAAACACACTAAAAAATCTGGAATCAATAATGAGCTCAACATTTTTTTTCTACTCTATCCATCCCTGGAATCACTGTCACTTCTTCTCCTCCGCCAAAGACAATGTCTCCCGTTAGGAAAAATATTGGCGAGTCGCTGGGTACACAATGAATGTTCACCAACGTCCTTTGCCGATGGGGGCAGAGACACCAGCACTTCTGACAATGAAGGAAATTGGGCCACTCCTTCTTGTGGGAGGAGTCTGTCAAATACGTCCCTCGAATAAGTCTCTACCAGGAGATCCGCTCGGACCAGGGATGGAATACAACGCTCCAAATATGTCGAGCCCATCTGAGTTATAATAAATATGGGTTTCAACAAAATTACGACCGTTTTTAATTTCACTTTTAACGACTGGTAAGTCAGTTACCCTAAATAAATCTTGGAATCGAATCCTCCCTTTTGCGTCTTCAACCGTTTGAGGGTCATCACCAGGCACTACGGAGATAAAAAATAAAATAGTTCACAAATGTGACACCTTACAGAGATCGCCTAACCTTCAATTGCACTCACCCGTGCAGTTTGACATAATGTTCAGCCTCATTAACTTTGGACAGAACGGAAGACTCAGGTTCCACACATTCCATTCTGGCAATCCCAATTGTTCAACCTATGAAACACATTTGCAAACTTATTATTACTCCCTTAAAATTGGCGTCTTGTCACATTGTTCTTGCCTCATACCGATAAGCAACTTAAAGTTTCCCTATATTTATCCAGCACCCCTTCCAAACTACTCTTGACAGATTCCCAACTCGTCGCGACGTTCTGTTGTTGACCTAAGCGTAGCGTTAATTTTTCCATGGGAAGGAACTCCATGCCTAATAGAAGCTGAATCATTTGGGAATTTGTAACCTTTAAATAAAAACTTTTATTAAATCTGATATTTATGATTATTGCCTAATTAATATTCATCTGTATGTGCACTTACCAAAAGGTCCAACTCCCTCAAATTTATGAAATGGATCTCAGATTTCGTAATATTGAACGAAATAGAAGTTTGTCGTTGGGTGGTTGGTTTCGCAATTATTTCAGGGCCAAGAAGTTTCGTTGTCTCTTCTGAATCTGGTTGGAGATTTTCCTTAATTTCTTCTACATTTTGTTCAGCCTCCAATTTCTTTTTTGCTTCCTCCTTCTTCCCAAGTGCGAGACAGCGCCCAACCCAAGTCAGATATTCCAAGTTTAGTGGAACTGTTTGCAAGTCTGGACCTAGTTTTAGCGCTGTAATTGATGGGAACATGCTCATGATTTTGCTCTGTAAATAAAAAAAAAATGCATTTCAAACCTTTCGTTTTTTAAATTAAAAATCTTCTCACCGTGAAATCTGCCTTTGGTTCCCATTCTGAGGACACGGTTGGACAAGGCCAGTGCGTTCCTGGGGGGACAGAGAGATGTAATCTTCGCAAGGATGGGAGGCGAGGCAGTGGGAGTGGTAGATCAGTCTCGGCATAGTTTTGTTTGTTAACCCCGACACAAAGGGACAAGTCTGTTATGACGGAGTGCATCTCCAAAGCTTTCATGAATGCGATGAGGAAGCGGAAATTGTCGGTGGATTTCAATTTTATGGTGATTTCCAAGTTCTAAATGTTAATAATTAAAAAGCACAATTAATTATCCGGTTTCTTTCAATGCTCCATGTCTCTATGCATTTTAGAAATTCGACAACGTAACCCAACGGACTTGTAAAGTTTAAGATAATTCGTGCTAAAATAATAACCATGCGATTTTTATTAGCTAAACGACAAGATATAAATTCCTAATTGGGCAAGTTTACCTTTATATGAGACCCGTGTCTCGTTACAAATCCGACCATTTGATCCTCGTACTTAAAATCCGCAACAGAATATGCAGCCGTCGTTATGAAAAAGTTGCTGTGACCGTATTCCCTCAAGTTTGTTTCATACTCGGCCAGTTTATTTTTCCACTTGTCCACGTCGTCACAGGCGGATGGAAGCAGAGCTACTTTTGCCAAGGATAAGAAGAATGGACGAGCTTCCCGTTTCCAGAGAGAATTTAGTGACCTGGCTGCTTTTAACGACGGCAAGGTCAGGAAACTGCAGATTTTTCTGATAATCTGAAACATTACATGAGTTACAAATATTATGTACTTGGATATAGTCATTTAATAAAATAAGCCAATTTTATACTCGATTATTTACCACTGGATCCAAAACACTTGGCACCGATTCCCCCATTATAAAATATTTTTTTTATTAAAAACGAACACAATTTAATGTAAATTCCGCTTAACAGAAATTTTGTAGATTAAGCTGTTCCTTGCTCCATGAGTCTTTCTGGTATAATTTTTTTCAATTAGATAATTAGTACAAAATTTCTGTAGCGTATCTGTAAAATTCAGTCAACAAGATGTGAGCAATTCTGGCTGAGAATCTCATATGCATGGATTTTGTTTTGGTTCCTGGTTTCGTATAGCAAATGCAAGGTCACGATCACGAACGAAATGCATCGAAAAGTATAATCCGTTGGAACGGGTTGAAGTCGGTATTTTTTGTGAGCACTACATACGTAATACTACTCACGTACACAAAGAGTCGAAAAGCATGGAAGAATCGTATGCATTATACACTAATCCAGCTAAATCTTGTAATGAAAGCATGGACAAGTTTGTTATGTAGAGACAGATAACATGGCAATAAATGGGACAGTGGTTGATTAAGTCCACTCATTTTGGAACAACAGATTAGATAAATGCTGTCATTAGCCAAGAATGAATTGTCATTCCCAATGGCGTATTTTGAAATGGTTGAATAAGCGACTATACATATTCATAGTATGGAATTGGATGAATTAATGCACGCAATTTTGTGATATATGGGTAATTTCCAATACCCAAAAATTTACCGACACTACATACTCTTAAGCTGAAAAGTTACATTTAGTCATGCTAAGCACAGCTTAGAATTATTTTTCGATAACATGAATCATGCAACTTGCTCATTTAGCGAAACAATACTAAAATGTGGCTGGGATGACAAAATAATGCTATATAATCGTAATAAATTATCTGTTCCTATCAAGAATAAAATTACATCGCACCGTTCGCATAAGGCTAGCATTAGCATATTATTAAGCATGGTCAAAAATTAAAAGCACGGCATCAGAACAATGCACAACGATATATGTAAAACGCTGATTAATCCAATTTCTTAATTAAGCTACTTTTACTTGGCAAGTAAGTGAAACAATTATAAAGGAAAGTGGTCAATCAAGAACTAAATTTCAATCCTATTATTGGAAAACTGGTTGAACCACCTAATAATTTGAAATGCATTTTCGCACTGAACTTTAAACCTGTTATAAAATCATGAACAGAATCCATCTCACACATAATTGAAACGTATTGGAACAATTCCATCTAAATTTCGATTGATACCACTTCTTACTTGGGTTAAATGCATATGCAGATTTTAATCTGAACCTTGTCACCATGACCCAGTGGCTGAATCAATAATAAAATCATTTATGACCACAACGACGACTTTCGCTTTCTCAAACTGCATCAAAGGCAAATCTCATTTTAGTTTTAGCTCATCAGTCAAAAAAATATTTCGTCCCTTGCTTGTTCTTATCGTGACGTTATTACATATTCATAGAAGAATCGTTTTGACATTCAGTTCATCAAAATAAGCTAGAAGCCATAATTTTTTCCTGTGATCTTCGTATCGGATAAGTTTTGAGACAGTTATTACTAAAATTATTATTAATTGTAAGTAGCCTAATCGGATTCCAATGTAATATTCAGTGGCATTTACTTTGTAAGAAAATTTTGGATAATTTTCAAATAAAAATGGGGCAAAGTTCGAAATCGAAATATAGTATAAATCCCATATTATTCTCCATGATATTATGCGCTGGGATAAGTGGAATTAACAGCTCGGAAGCAAATGGTAGCGGAAAAGGTAGTGTTAAATTTTCTTATGTTATATCCCTACTATTTTTTAACACAAATTTAATATGAGCAAATTCCTCCCTTAGTACTCGCCCTTCATTCCAAAACTGGAACCCAGATATTCATGGCGTTCCCACCACAGCAGCGACTAACGACCCCCACAGTTATACCTTCTCCTCTAGACGCCAGCTCCATCGCCACTCTTTTCCGCGACAATAAAACTGCAACGCATCATATGAGTGTCATAATTTCTCCTTCATCGTCAACCCCACTTGACCCCCAAGCTCTCGCTGGATCAGAGACAGCACGGAATGGTAATGCTTCAAGTTTCGTTGTTCATCGTGTCCATCATCAACCAAGAACTCCTCTTCTTTACAAATATTTACCCTTCCTACAAAAGACGCCCCCAACTAACTTCCGACACCCAGCAATCCAACACAATCCGAATAATCTTATCCAGACTTCACCCACAATGAGAACGGTAACAAGGTGGAAAATTACCAGGCCGGATGGCAGCCTCGTTGTGGAAGATCATGCCTCTGAAAAAGGTAAAGCAGTGACGGTAACGCCAGAAATTTCAAATCCTCCCGCGCAAACATCGTCGTCTTTGGTGCCTGAAGCTACTTCCTCTGTAAAAGCTCAGTCTCCGTCACCCCGTCCTCACACCCGCCGTCGACCTCCTTCTTTAATCCAACGGTATCGTCACTTGGTTCGCGAAACGCATGCAAAATTTGAAGCCGAGCAGATCCGCATGAACAATAAACTAAAAAATCCAAACTATTATAACGATCCATTCGCTCCACGTCCTGATCATCATCATAAAAATAAGAAACCATATTTTACGTTCGGCCGTCAGAATCAATTTCGACCACATAATAATTCAACATATTCCTTCCGAGAACATGACCGATCAGCGATAACAACTCCGCTACCTCGTCGCCCTTCTCCTCCTACACCTTCCATCGTACCGAAGACCATTGTAAATTACGTCAAATATCCAACATTCGAAGATTACGTGGCACAGTTTGTTCCCACAACGACGACCCCACCCCCAAAAATGCAAGTTGAGGAACAAATTCTTGACGCTGTCACGGGGGAAGGACATGACATTTCTGTGCCCACAGACAACAATGTTCATCCTTCATCTTCCATCATACATCAAAATTTTCAGTATCCACCTGCACTAGGACGGTATCGAAATTATTTTCCTCATGCGAACTCCCATAGCTACGCCCCCCAAGGTCTGATGTCTCATTCGATACTTCCATCATATCCACGTCCTGGTCATGTCGAGATACCTAACTCGAAAATGGACAGCGTAATATATAAAGAACCTCAAACAGTAATTCACCATCCTACTGTTTACATTACAAATGATGCTGGAAGTGCCATCTCAACTGGACGACGCCGCCGTCCATCGATATTTAAAACGGTTAAGAATTTTATACCGGCGCCATTTTTTAAGGGCGAAGATATCCCTTTGTTTAAAGGTTCTGATCTTCATGGACTCGTTCAGCCAGTAGTAACGGTAGTAAGTACTTTTTGTGTAAATACAAAGCTTTATGTATATATATGTTGTTCGATATGTGGACTCCAAATTGGAGTCGATCATCTATATGAATACATTGTGATCCTAATTATCATAAAATTTTGGTTATTTTTTCCAGATACTTCTTTCTTTAAATTAGAGGTGTGATTGGCATCTGTTACATCGTTTTTTTCCCTTTGCAGAATCATCCCCAACCTAAATTTTTCTCCAATGTTGAAAAATCTGTTGATACAACTTGGAGCACGAGAAAAGCCTTACAATCCGACATTGCGAAAGTTCTCACATCCAGGCTAAGATTAGGAGGAACAATTGTACGGACAGGGACCGAGATCCTATCAAATGTTATCGAGGCCACTGCAGCACTTAAAAAATAATGCATATTTATTCTCCATAATTTATTAAACATTTATTTATGGTTCATTTGTATACAAATATCTTAATAATCCTAATATCATTACTATATTAAAAATTTGACTTTTTAGGTGGTTAATATTGATTTTCCAAATTATTGTCATATTCGGATAAATAAATTCTTAAAAAAAAGCTTAGGTGAGGCTTGCTTAAAAGGGGAAAACAAGCTGTTATCATCGTGTACTAAAATAATGTGGTGCATCGGTGTTTATCCCTGGATTTATCATTTTCGGTAAATATCCCAACAACATATGCACTAGGGACCATTTGCCTCACCGCGGGCCGTGATAAATTGTTTAATCGAAATATACCCTCTTGATGATATATTGATATGAAAAATTTGCAATAATAAAACTTCGCCATTATTAGATTATAATATTATCTTCTATGACCAGCATGAATATATCTATTTCAAAAATTTATTTATGTAGGCCTAAGGTTTTAAAATTCAGTGTTCTTAAATGTTGATCATAAATAAGTTTGATCATTAATCGATTACAGATAACGATATTCCATGACTCTGACTTAATGATCAGAACAAATTACTCAAAATTAGGAACGCACAGCAATATATGAACCAAGCAACCAAATTGGATTACTCAACCCCAATCACTAGGTTTTCTTTTTCGATTGAGTAAACCTTCATCATATTGAAAATCTCAGGAACAGCTTTGTTAAAATCCTGGTGTGTAATTTTATTTAGCGTAGATTTGGCTTTATTTCTAAATATTTTTTTGCACTACATCGCTAACTTGTTAATAGCAACTCATCATTTGCATTGGTACGTATGTATAAGCTACCTATGTATCCAACTTTATAAATCTCCAAAACTTTGGAATTTCGTAAATCCAGTATCCTTTCATATTTATCGCATATTCTCACCGAGGTTAAAATTGATAAAATTTAAAATTTATTTACATTCTTTGTATCATAAAACGGCCCACGGTGAGTCAAATGGTCCCTAGTGCATATGTTGTTGGGATATTTACCGAAAATGATAAATCCAGGGATAAACACCGATGCACCACATTATTTTAGTACACGATGATAACAGCTTGTTTTCCCCTTTTAAGCAAGCCTCACCTAAGCTTTTTTTTAAGAATTTATTTATTTTTTGTTTTTAAGCCTACAAATAAGAGTCCCTCCCAAATTAACTATCCCCCTAAGGTGTAGATGCATTACATTAAATACCAAATTAATTATAACATGTGGGTCAAGTCTAAGATGCGCTGCATATTAGATTAATTCCCCTATATGTAAACTGTAGAAATCTGGTATGGTCAGGCAGGTATTGTTTGCTCAGTATTAAAGTTGCTACCGCGCGGTATTAAAATTATACCGATCCGTAAAAATTTGCTACCGATATGGCAAAACTTGTACCGAGCCATTACACTCTTTAAAACCCGGTGTTAATCGTCACCAAACGGTGTGCACAAAAATAGTCACCAAACGGTGACTACACCGTGCGGTAATAACATGTACACATGCGACGTAACCAAATGGTGGTAAAATTAACACCAGCCAGTGACAATTTGTCCCCATGCAGGCAAGATTTATCACCAAGCGGTGAAAACATTATCACCGTTTGGTTACGTCGCATATGTACACCGTTTGGTGACGATTAACACCGGGTTTTAAGGGTGTGCTACATGGTATTACTTTCCATACCAGTTTTACAGAGTGGTGTTTTTGAATACCGCTTGGTATTATTGGATTTCTAAGAGTGTACCAACTTAGTTTGTCCTGTGGGTGTGGACTCTAGATTCAGTTAAGAATTAAGTTAAGATCAGTTAAGATTCAGTTAAGACAGTTAAGAACGTGCATAAATATTAGATACAGGGTTCGGAAAAACCCAGGGTTTTAATCAAAAAGTAACGACCCAGGGGTTTTAATGGGTTTTTTGGGTTTTATGGGTTTTATTGGGTTTTATTAGGTTTTACATAAGTAATACATTGAACAACAATTTTCACTACTATTGCAATCCAATTTCAATTAATATGCAAATCCTACTTGTCCATGTTAGAATTTGTATCCGTTTCGAAATAGTCCTGTTTAACTGATCATAATTTAATACTTTATGAGAATATATATTACCTTTTTCTCGAATACTTCCTCTCATCATAATGAAATCCAAGTTTAAAAGTTTTTAAAATTTAATATTTCAATGCGATCTTAACGTGTATTATCAATTCTGGAAAAAATCGAGTACTTATGAACAATGAAAATACGTATGTATTATGATCGAGAATATAATAAGTGCTTTTTACAGACACACTTCTTTTGCTCATAATAAGGTACTTCGCTGTCCATAAGTACTCGATTTTTCCAGAGGTGATAATTAAGATCGCCTTGAAACATTTTAAAAAACTTTATAAATTAAAAAAATACTACAGTATTTTGTTTAATTTATTCGCTGAGATGAGAGGAAGTATTCGGGAAAAAAGTATTAATTATGACAGCAAAATGTAAATTAAATGTAATTAAATTATGTATGCTCACTTAAACATACCTCGTTCCGAAATTATTATTTTTAAATATTTTTGTCACTAGAAACTTGTAATGGCACTCGCTGATTTATTCCTGGTTTTTAAAACTTACAGTATTAATCAAATAAACTGCTTAGCTGCCATGAAACAACTTCGTCTAACGTACGACAGCTGTTTTCAGCTTTTAGAATATAGTTTTAAGCTGAAACACAGTTAAAACCCATTAAAACCCGAATAAAACCCATTAAAACCCAAATAAAACCCATTTAACATGGTAAAACCCAATGGGTTCTATTCGTTAACCTTTAGGATCCCAGTCCACGAATGTCATGGAATTTATTAATTTTCCACTTAAATCCCATGTACACAAGTGTCATGGAATTGTAAAAAATCCCCCAAATCCCAACTCCATGAATGTCATGGAATTTTGAAATTTGGTCGTGTGTCCCAGATACACGAATGTCATGGACACACGACAAAATCCGTTGAATCCCAGATACACAAATACGTGTATTTTCAAAAAAAAATATTTTGCGACTACGAAAAGTGATTTTGCAGGTCAATTTTGCCAATTCCAAGATGTCAGACGGTAATTTTGAACAAATTCATATATATTTAAATATCATATATGTATGTGCATATACATATATTGTATACGGTGCAGAAAGCGATTCAGAAGAGCATTTTCATGATTCGGGGTCTGAGGAGGAGGATAGCGACAGTGCAACAGAAAGCGATTCCGAGGACGATTCAGATTCGTTGGATGGCACTGCGAATCGCGACCCCACCGTAAGTCCTAATATTCCAATTTTATGATATATATCCTCATACTTACATTGTATGATCTAGTTCAGGGAAAATGAGCTGTTCGCCCCTGTCGTTGAAGATTTTGACGAGTCCGAAGACAAAATCCGCCCGGAATTTGGCGTTTCAAGAAGGACGTCCCCTCTACAAATGCTGCAGAAATTTCTCACTGACGGAATCATTGGGGATGTGGTGCGAGAGACGAACCGGTATGCAGAACAGGATTGGACAAGGCACCCTGCTTCATACACGGATTGGAAACCGGTCGATTTGGCGCAGATTTGGCAATTCTTAGCGATTACTTTCATGATGGGGCTGGTGAAGAAGCCGTCCATTCGAGAATATTGGAGTACCGATGAGTTGATTCAAACTCCGTTCTTTGCAACCGTTATGTCTCGAAATCGGTATGATAGGGTAGCATGAGATAAATAATGGTATATATGTACATACATAAAATGCATGCATAAATTCAACTTTACAGATTTCAAGGCATCCTGAGAGCTTTACATTTTTCAAACAATGAGAATTACACAGGAAGAGATCGTTTTTGCAAATTGGGCAGCTTCATGCACGATATTTTGGGCAATTTCTCCAGTGCAATATTACCAGGCAAAAATATTTGCATTGATGAGACTCTTCTTGCCTACAAAGGACGATTGTCATTCCGCCAGTATAATCCTAAGAAGCGAGGTCGGTTCGGGATCAAAATGTTCGTCTTGTGCGATTGTGCCTTCAAGTTCGTCCTGAATATCTTGCCATACCAAGGGAAATCTACTCCTCTAGCTGATCGGACCTGGGTGAAGGATCTCGGATTTGGTGGCGCAACAGTACTCACTCTACTGCAAGGTTATCTAAACAAGGCTCATCGTGTCGTTTTGGACAATTGGTTTCTGGGACCGAAATTAGCCAAAATAATGCTCGCCGAAAAGACTTATGTGCTGGGCACAGTACAGCGACGTCGGAAAGGGATGCCGAAGATGAGGGGGAAACTGGCCAAAGGACGTGTTGAAACCTATTGTGATGATGAAATTTTGATTGAACGGTACGCTACAAGTTTATGCATTACCCAAGAATAATAATACCCCAATTATAAGAATAACTATGTAAATAGCTGGAGTGACAGGAGGGAGGTATGCATGTTGAACACTTTTGTCCCCCATTCCATGCGCATTGCAGAGTCGTCCAATCCGAGGAACACCAGGGAGAAACCAGCAACGGTGCTACTTTACAACTCAATCATGGGAGCTGTCGACAATGTTGACAAGAGTATCAAGCCCTATCAGTCCGTTCGGAAATCGTACAAATGGTATAAGAAAGTGGTGTTTAATATGATCGATGTAGCTACCTACAACAGTATGATACTGTACAACCACTTGCATGCTGACCAGAGAGCTGTACCCTACAAAGATTTTGTCATGAAGATAGTCAGAGAAATTCAAGAAAAATATCCAACCCTCAAGAAACCAATTGGAAGACCTCCAACAGTACCACGAACTGAAAATCCAGCCTTTCCAGTTCGATTGAAACCTTGTCACCATATTGCTGTCAAACACTTAGATAAAAATGGAACGCCATCGTACTCTGACTGCATTTATTGCAAGCACCACGCTGAATACTCTCCGAAACGCAAGACGACCCCTTTCAGCTGTGAGATTTGCAAGGTTCGGCTTTGTATTCAAGGAGGTGACTCTTGTTTCAAGCGGTATCACACTGATATAAAGCTGAAGGTAATTTCCATAATTGTATAATGGTAATGACGATAATACCAATAATAAGTTTTGCTACATTGTAGAAAATCTCAACCACTCCACAAAATACGCAGAGTCAGCCCCACACTCAAATATCGCAACCACGACTTCCCGAAGACATTGATACTCTGGGCCCAAATGCAGTTCAATTTATTTTAAGTCCTAATCATGAAATCGTAGTATTTGATGAAGATGGAAATCCGCTCACTGGTGCTCAATTTTCGGACGAATCATCTTTGCCACCCATTTAAATTAAATATTTTTCATAATTATGTTTACTCATGAATCGTAGTAGTTTTTCTTAAATATCGTTGCATGTCATAATACGAATATATTCTGTTGGTTTTTTCTTGAAAATAAAATTCGGGTCCGTGTGGTCGGAAAAGATTCATCAGCTTGGGTGCGTGAGGACAATTTACTGACAATTATTCGGGCCTGAAGGATATTTAATTGGGAATTAATTAGGGACTTAGTGATACGATTTTTCTTGACAACATTTTATAAATGGGATCCTAAAGGTTAACAACCCATTAAAACCCATTAAAACCCAAAAAACCCAACCCAATAAAACCCTGGGTAGGAATACCCTGATTAGATATACATATATTTAGATGCACTCATTTACATATGTCAGTACAGGTCTCAATTCGCTTATGCTGGTTGCTAATAGAAACCTCATATTTATGTATGCATGATACTGTAATAGAGAACTGTGACGTAACTGGCTGTAGATGCCACCAAGAAAAGTCCTTCATTTCTTATCCGATTTCGCTCGGGTTTGCTTTAAATGACGAGTTATAGATTTCTGCACATGAAAATCAGGGTCTCGCACTATCATTGCATGGTAAAAGTGAATTTGCCAGTCGTTTGAAAGTTTAAAATCGATTTTAAATGCGTTAAAATAAGATTGTCATGTTTCTAGACCAGACGGGCATCATCTACCCAGCAAGGTCTGCACGATTGCCTTTTACACCATTTTGATACGATTAGCCGTTTTGCCACAAAATTGAGTGGAACTTTGGGAGGGGGGGTCTGTTCGCATACTAAGGCTTCGCCGTAACCATGTACTTTGTCATGTGGTCATGGTTACTATGCCTCACCTAAGAAAAACTACAAACTAATTCATACTTTACCCATTTACCATTGATGCAGAAATAAATAAATAAATAAATAAGTAAATAAATAATTATTTGCTAACTATAATCCTCACGAACCCAAACGTCGTATTAAATACATACATACTTATTTCAAGCTCCGCAAATATTTCCATGGGGATCCCTTTTTCCAAGCGTCGCAAATTAGAAACCCATTTCAATGTGGCAAAAATTATGCTACTCTGAGACAATTGCGAATTCTGAATCTAGGGTTGCCGCGGGTAGCGAAAATGCTACCCGTTACCCGACCCGCTACCCGCAGCACAACTACCCGTACCCGTGCGGGTACCCGTAACCCGTAACCCGTTACCCGTTATGAGAGTTAAGTTAAAAACTAACCGACTTTCAGAATAAATTTGATTTAATTAATTATTTGCTCATTTGGGTTGTTCAGTAGTTTGAGATAATGATATGCAAGTTACGAATGCCATAATTTGCTAGATATCATAAGATACTTCTGAAACCAGGCTTTTTGGCATACAATGGAACCTTTTTCAAGCTACACCGCAATTTCTTAGCTAATTATGTAAAAAACAATCAGGCCAAAAATTAGGAATTATCACTTATCTTTCGGTTGAATAGTCCGATTAACGAAAACTATTGGGGGCAGAGTTGAAAGTCCATCATAGTTTTCGTCCAGTGGAGGAATAAGATGCAGAACATTAACTTAAAAATTGAACTTTCCCACCAATATTTTTCTTCAAAGTAGAAATCATTCCATCAAAGTCATTTCTTCAAAGTCATTCCACGGAAAGTATCACGCGATTCCTAATGTTTGGCTTGACTTTTTGATACACTCCCTAGACAATCGTGGTGTAGCTTGGTGTGCTTGAAAAAAGGTTAATTTTTAGTATGATTTTTTGAAATTTTGATTTAAAAGAATTGTCTACAAATAAAATTTTTGCTTTCCATCTGATTCTGGTTTTCCATCTTCAAATTAAAATCTTGTCAGTCTTACATACATAAATACACACAAATACAAGTTAACATATTTATTACTGATAATTTAGATCAGGCAAATTATACTTGAGTAACAATAAGTTCTCCGAATTTTCGGGACGTGTAAGGTATTTGAGGCTGCCGTAGGTTTCTGTGGCTTCCGAAAAGACGCTCGCTATAAACGTTAATTACTGGCAAATGACAAATTTTGAAATGAATAAAGACTAAATTGACACTTGTTGGTAACTTACTGCTAACTTTCTTTGTGAACTGATTTATGTCGCAAATTAAATAAAAACTGAACTACCCGTTACCCGTGCGGGTAGTTCTCGCTACCCGCAGATAACGGGTACCCGCAAGAATCGTGCGGGTATGCGGGTAACGGGTACCCGACCCGTTACCCGCGGCAACCCTACTGAATACCCCCACTAGACAAATCATAGAACACTTACTGTAAATATTTCACAGCGTATCCCTCCTAATAAAACCATCACGCTGGTTCATGGGCATAACGCCTTTCCTGTGTCTCCACATATGAACTCGGTAGCTCCCTTTTGACATCATTCCCATTCCGCAAATAGGACACAGGATCTTTCTCCCATCCAGTAAGTGGCATTCATTAATGTGCTTTCGCAATCTTTCCCTCCTCACATATTTCCGGCAGATCGGACACGGAACCGTGCTTCCGGGAAAGTTTTCCACCCTGGCCACCATGTCATTAACTTCTTCCACGGTGTACCGGAGACATTGAGGAACATCGAGACAAAACGCAGCTTTCAATTCGGACGTCTCTCTAGGGACGCTGTGATATTGAGCCGTACTTGTTGACACTAATTCTTGGACCTCTTGATGCACTGACATGCGATGATGCCGTACCGGTTTTGGAGTATCAAGCCACTCTATCTCATCATCTTGATTATAATTACTTCCCTCGTTCGTTGATTCCGGTTCGGGACAATATGGCACTACTCCAAAAAAAATAAATATTGAAATTTTATATGTGCATATCTAATTGACAAGAATTTATCAAAGAGTAAAACTCACTTTTTTCTTGAATATCGTCGTATTGCGAGGGCCGCCCCGCGGTGAACATTTGCGCACTATAGCCACCAGTACTGGAGCTAGAACTGTGAGCCCCTTCGTAACTCGAGCGCCTCCCGTAATCGCGAGAATCTATGATTTCGATGTCGACATCATCTCGACAAAGTCCACCTCGTGAGTTCGACCTTGGTGACGAGTAGGCTTCCAATCCAGTAATTTGTAACCGATGCGCAGCCGCTAATAAGCTCTGGACTTGGTCTTCTTCCACTTGGACAGATCCGCAATATATGATTTTCCTCAGTTTCTCCCATTCTTGTGATGTGACTCCTCGAACGGCGACGACGGGTTGGGAACAGGGAAGACTGCTAATTTCCTGAAAATAAAAACTTTAATAAAAAATTGCTTTGCGAATCCCCTCACACAATTATTTTATTTAACTTCACAAGTTTGCTGAATGAGTCGCGATGCGAAATATGTAAGAAGTTGGTACGCTCTATACATACAACATCTAAAAATTTGAAAGTTCGTTGTAGGTTTTATATAGGAGAAATAGTAGGAATTGGTTGGAAAATAGGAGACGTTTCCCATACACGAGGCTAAATGAGTAAATGGTTAGGAGAATGATGACTCAAATTAATTTATTCCGTATTATCGCACACCAGCCTCGCTAAGGCATCCGGTTTCTTGAGACCGTATTTATTACATCAACACTCATACAAATAATACGCTACAAATATGAAAAACTGCACGTGTTAATCAGACAACACAATTTTCAACTCAATCTTGCTTACATATGTAAAAAAACTGAATATTTATATAAATTAAAACCCGTTTCGATATGGATTAGAAGTTAAAAATTTTGAGTATCAATATGATCACAAATACCAATGCAACTATTTTAAAATTTTCTAATGTTGCAGATTTAATGAATGTGATTTTTTTTGCATTTTATGCAGCACAGTTTCTGGACCAAGTCACTGCACCCTGTTGCAATTACGTCTGGTCCTCATGCATCATGTCACATGTGCTTAGATATTTACGTTTTGGTCTCATGCTCAGAATCAGTTCAACCTGTCCTTTATGCGTTGAATATAAAGAACCAGTTTCCCGTCTGCCTATAAAAAATCTGACCACTCTTTCAGATTCACAAGTACTTTATTTATCTATTTATTAGTACCCAAAGTCCCGAACTACATTTAAAACGACAAATCCCACTGATGATTCCTAGGGTCTTTTTCATTTTTGGAACAATCAGAATGGTCGTAGAAGGTTGTTTATTACAAAACTTGTTTGTAAGCTTCCTAAGTTTTACTGTATTTACCATGTTACAAGGAGTACGTTAATTGCCTCAATATTGTGCATGGTTTGTACGCACACCCCAATTTGAATGTCAACTCACGTGAAAAACACTCCTGAAATATTGACTCGATAACGCCAGCACGACCCGGTGAGCCTTCATCATTTTCCCCTCCACGAAAATGTTCACGTCCGTAAATTCCGACGTTAAGTAAAGATGCTCAAATGCTCTGGCAGCCCGTCCCCCTGGTCCCTCTTCTTCCACTTCTCTCAATTTCAGTGTCACCATCGCCCGGTCCGAATTTTTTGAGAAATTCGAAAGTACTTCACGTTCTTCGGATACGCTCTTTGTCCTCGAGACAGAAGATGACCCTTGGATATGGTCATGACGATACTGATACTGACGACCCCTGCCTGCTCGACTTGATGGTCTCTTCTTCGATGAGGATTTCCCCGAATGTGTCGATGAACAGTCCATTTCAAAAATGCAAAGTTTTGCTTTTTATGAAAATTTAAAAAAATGTTTTAAAAATAAATGAAAACTTTTTTCTTTCTGACTCCACTAATAAAGACCCGGGTTGTGTGTGCGGAGGTCGCAATGTAATTAATAATAGTGATCGACGAGTCATTTGAATCATCGTTTTTATTTACAAACCCACCCATCCAGCTCTCCTTGATTTCCTTCAGTTTTATTGGTCATCTTCTCGACGATTTGATATGTCTGGCATTTTTATTGAGAAATTGAGAGTCAAGAAGTTAGGATATAGCATAAAGCCAACTATGTACCGTTCTATTGCAAAAAACTAGTGTATTTTACGCTGCCTTATTATCCCCTACACAATTAGAGTTATCTTAATCCTACTACCGGCTTCATATTTATATTTATGTAAGTATGTATGCATGCTGATATTTACATAGAAAGGAGCACAGCGTAGTGTAGAATGGCAAGGAACAAGTTGTCCCAGACGGAATTCACGTCAACCCGGCATTTATAAAACCACCCCCACCCCCACCCAAATCCACCCCCACCCCCATCAAATCCACCCCCACCCCCACCCTCATCCACCCCACCCCCACCCTCGTCCACCCCCACCCCACCCCCATCCACCCCCACAATTTTTATGGGGCAACGTGAGATACCTTGGGGCAAAGTGAGATTCAATTTCATATTGGGGTATCGTTCGTAATTAGCGAGCGAAGCGAGCGGGTTAGGTTAGATCAACTAGGTACGCGGAAAGCCTGGAAGGCTGAGCTAGCAAACCTAGCTAGCTAGGCTAGATAGAACCTAGGTAGCTAGGGTAGCTAGAACCTAGGTAGCTAGGCTAGATAGAACCTAGGTAGCTAGGGTAGCTAACCTAGCTACCTAGGCTAGATAGAACCTAGGTAGCACTTCTAGCTAGCTAACCTAGGTAGCCTTGCTAGCTAGCAGAGCTACCTAGGTTAGCTAACTAGAATTTCTACCTAGGTTCTATCTAGCCTAGCTACCTAGGTTCTAGCTACCCTAGCTACCTAGGTTCTATCTAGCCTAGCTACCTAGGTTCTAGCTACCCTAGCTACCTAGGTTCTATCTAGCCTAGCTACCTAGGTTCTATCTAGCCTAGCTACCTAGGTTCTAGCTACCCTAGCTACCTAGGTTCTATCTAGCCTAGCTACCTAGGTTCTAGCTACCCTAGCTACCTAGGTTCTATCTAGCCTAGCTACCTAGGTTCTAGCTACCCTAGCTACCTAGGTTCTATCTAGCCTAGCTACCTAGGTTCTAGCTACCCTAGCTACCTAGGTTCTATCTAGCCTAGCTAGCTAGGTTCTATCTAGCCTAGCTACCTAGGTTCTAGCTACCCTAGCTACCTAGGTTCTATCTAGCCTAGCTACCTAGGTTCTAGCTACCCTAGCTACCTAGGTTCTATCTAGCCTAGCTACCTAGGTTCTATCTAGCCTAGCTAGCTAGGTTTGCTAGCTCAGCCTGCCAGGCTTTCCGCGTACCTAGTTGATCTAACCTAACCCGCTCGCTTCGCTCGCTAATTACCAACGATACCCCAATATGAAATTGAATCTCACTTTGCCCCAAGGTATCTCACGTTGCCCCATAAAAATTGTGGGGGTGGATGGGGGTGGAGGTGGGGGTGGGGGTGGGGGTGGATGGGGGTGGGGGTGGGGGTGGATGGGGGTGGGGGTGGGGGTGGATGGGGGTGGGGTGGGGGTGGATTTGATGGGGGTGGGGGTCGATTTAGGTGGGGGTGGGGGTGGTTTTATAAATGCCGCGTCAACCTGCTATACAGAATTTAATTTAAATACTTACTCTCGTTCTCATCATTCACGGGTCGCATCTCATCGTCCGAAGAAAATATTTGGCCAACAAGTACCTGAAGTTTTGCTCGACTAGTCATTCAACACGTACATAATTTCATATAAAAGTTGCTATAAAACATGTTGCGCAAACTGACTCGGGATATTTTGCAGATTCACTCTGGCAGATTCACGCCAGTTACATAAGCCTGGAGTCGGGCTACTTAATTTTACTAGCTATGTATTTGGGCAAACGTGTTTTTGCCATTTTCCCGAATCAGGCGAAAAATATGTACCCCGTGGAAAGACGGTCATCTGAAGCTGGCATAGAAAAAACGAAACGTGAAAAGCCGTTGTCCCGAAGATAAACAATTTCTCAGGTCATGGCTTTTCACGGGCTCAAAGGATTTAAGTACATGTTGGGACCCTGCCAAAACAAAACAAGGGTTGAAAAAAAATAGATTAAAAAACTGGCCACATCTCTTTTCATGAAACATGCAGCCAGTGAAGCTGGGTTTAAAAAAATAACTACATTTATGTAAATAATGGGATTAAAGCCATACAAAGGAGTAATTTGTAAAAAAAAGGTATTCTAATAAACTATTATTTACTTAAAAGAGGCTAAAGACGGCTTCTAAAAAAATGGATTTAAGACAATTAAGAATAATAATTTTTTAATCATTCAACAAAATAAGTACATTGAAAACAGCCTTAATTTCTTACATCCATAATTTTGTTTAAAATATTCAGGTTGCAAATTCGGCAAGGTTGAAGCGGATTGTTTAAGAGAGACAGAAGTTGCCCGGCTAAAAAATTTTCTCGGTTTTTCGCACTAATTGCTAAATATCTCGTTTCAGCCACAGTTTTTTTCTAAGACAAATTTTCACTCACATGAAACTACTTTTCGGTTAAACTACCTGTACTTATCTACACAAAATCCAGGTGAGACAATGGCTGATGGTATTAAACATGGTCATTTATGACATGATCAAATTCAAATATGTATGAATTTTTACAGTGTCATTATTGTCTCAATCTTCTCAAAGAGTTCATAATAATAAAGCAATACTTCCTGAAAGATCCATAATCAGATTTGAAGAACTGTGGATTTTGGTTGCTATCCAAACGGCGCGACCAGTTGAAAATCAGCCACATTACTTTTTGCAATGTTTAATTCCAATTTTGTAAAAAAACCGGTATGTTTGTATTTAAAAAAACTGGCTCAACTCAGCTCCTTCATTGCAATCAATATGCTTAATGGACATGGGAAATAAAAATGTAAAAATAATGCATGCCAAAAAAATGACATTGCAAAACCTTTAATAAAAATGCCTACGAATACCGAATAATATGAACAACGTGAGCAGTTTTAAGGCGCATTTCGTCATTATTGCTGCATCCATACATTTAATGTCAGTCTCGTTTTTTGTTTTACTAGAAACCGGTTAGAGAATCGGTTTAATGGTAAAGTGCAGATGCAAAAATTCGTCTAGACGACGTGAAGATGTTTTCAAATAAAGACTCCCATGCCATTCGCCTTATGTAATCACCTACGTACTGAATTGCACGTGTGTAATTAACTCGAAACTTACTGCCAGTAATTCATTACGATTGCCTACGAGCAAAGCGATTTAACAATGTACCGTCACAGCTCGCACCCTCGTATAAAATATTTGATATTGAGACAACATATTTTTTTCTGTTTCGTGATTCAAGGTTATTTAATATTAATTTAGAGAACAAGGGTACACCTCGTAATGCAGGCTCTGAATTATGTATTACACGTAATTGAAATAATTCACGCTTGTATGAAGCATGTAAAAATCTGCTATGAATTGCTTAATCTAATGAATTCAAGATTTACCCCAAATTTTTTAAGGTCAAAATCTGCACCGTATGGAAATTTATTTCTGGATTTGCCTAAATATAAACTCTGCTTCGAGCGTACTTTTCATCACTGTATCAACAACCACAATTACTCATAGTGTGATAAAAATCGTTAAAAATTGAAAATTACAACTTTTCTGAAATGGCAAAATTTTTCGTCTCCCTTTTCCTCCTCTATTCATTAGCTGTTGTTGGAATTAGAGTAAAATAAACCACATTAAAAAAATATATATATCATTAATATTTGTCTGGTCGTAAAAAATTGAAAAAAATTTATAGGGACAAGGCACGTGTGTTGGTGGTGTCCCATTTTGCAACAGCATTCAAATCTTGACCGGACAATGCGCCACGGAATGTGGTAAGATAATGAAAAAAACGTGCCATTTAAAAAAAATTAATACATGGTTAATGACCATTACACAGCCAGGTCATCCACCACCCCGCAAACACCTACATCTTCACGACGACCCGGCCGTACGTATAAATTGCATTCGAGGTATTTAAGTTAAAAAACTTGTTTAAAAAATGCTTCAATGGCACAGGCTCCACCACACCGTCGGCCTCCGTGTGCGAGTCTGGCGTCCAATTCTGCCCAACCATTCCCACCAACGCCACAGTAAATGCAACCGAGTGCAATAACGGAACTGCACCATTGCGTAAGATTTAGTAGAAAATGAAAAAACGGACAACTTTTCATAAAAAGATAACTTATTTTCAAATTACAGAATTGAGCTACACAACGCTCGGAACCTTGCTCCAAACCGGAAATGCGACCATGGCTGGATTAAGTGCTGGCATGGTTTCTTCCCTCGCTCAATATTTCACCACTCTTGGATCAACTTTGAGCCGTCAATAAGTTACGAGTGGCATCAAACAATTACAAATATTTATTTATTATATTTGATGCAAAGCTTGAAATGAATCTAGTAATGGAAAGTATATTATGCAGTTTATGAATATGCAGCAATTTGTTTTTTGTGCACGTTTTAGCAATGCTAAATTTAGATTTAATTAATGCATCATGTATGTAATGTACTATTGATTAATACTTTCATGCAACATATTTGATGCGGTTTCATTGTGCATACATAAGAATACACTGCATAATTAATTGTCATCTAACTATGCACCCCACAAAGCACATTTCTGTCCTTGTACGTGGGCGTGTCTCATGTCCATGTCCATACTCGAAAACCTGTCTCCTATTTACATAAACGTAAATGACATGAAAGCAATTTCACGTCCACAACGCTGCAGGTGAAAAATAGTTTTATAACTACAATAGTGTATTGCCTTGCTACTTACTTTAGGTATCTATATGCTAATCATTTAGAAGCCTACTCAACCTTGACCGCCCATTAGCCACGGGCCTAATTATCCTTCTGTTTAATATTTGTACAAGGAAAGCAAAAGAGGAAAGCCGGTCTGTCACTTTCACTCCGGCGGAAAAAATGTCACTCCAGCATGAAGGATGTTATTAAGTATGTAGGCACTTTTGACTAACTAGTCGTTTAGCCTTTACTTTCTTAATCGAGTTTCTCCGTATGATTGTTTGATTCGCTCATTATTATTTTCATGTTTTGTGATTAGGCGTCATAGGAAGAGACACGGAATGGTTTTTACCTTCCGCAAAATGCAGAAACCATGTCTATGCACTTTTTATTGGCCTCCTGCAGTCCTTTGTCTCTACACTGGAGGGATAAATGGGGTCCATTATTTCTCGCAAACAAATGCATGGCTCGTATAAATAAAATCTTCAATTCCGATCTGCATTACTTTCATTTTCTTGCTGCAAATGAGACACAAATCTACGACGACATATTTTGGAAAAATGCATATTTCAAAATTTGTGAAGTGTGTCATAATACTTTCAACAATAGGATTTTGTGCCACAGTGGATGTTGTTTCCGAGACAGAAATCTTACTCAAAGTATTTCGTACATCTCTACCTCAGTGTTTTGTCCTTATTGCGCATGATGACAATTTATTACACAACGTGTTCCCATCCTTGAGCAACATTCGTACCCTTTATTCCATCAAGTATTTAGTCTCGCAAGATAAAAACAAATCCCAATCACAAGATGTGCCAAAAATACGCCCCCACTGCAACGTGGTCTTGTTATCCAACACGAATAATGACCAAGAAACACTAATCAACTCCGTCAAAATATTGCAAATATCATTTGGAATTGCAACAGATCAAGACTATTTTATATTTCACTCATATGAAGAAGAAACAGTTGCGGATATCCTGCTAAGCACGACAGGACTGAATGAAAACTTGCAGATAAAATACAAGATCGGCATTTCAGAATCTATGCCAACCAAAATATTCAAATCCTGTCCATTCTGCGAAACAATCAGGCCAAAAATTAGGAATTATCACTTATCTTTCGGTTGAATAGTCCGATTAACGAAAACTATTGGGGGCAGAGTTGAAAGTCCATCATAGTTTTCGTCCAGTGGAGGAATAAGATGCAGAACATTAACTTAAAAATTGAACTTTCCCACCAATATTTTTCTTCAAAGTAGAAATCATTCCATCAAAGTCATTTCTTCAAAGTCATTCCACGGAAAGTATCACGCGATTCCTAATGTTTGGCTTGACTTTTTGATACACTCCCTAGACAATCGTGGTGTAGCTTGGTGTGCTTGAAAAAAGGTTAATTTTTAGTATGATTTTTTGAAATTTTGATTTAAAAGAATTGTCTACAAATAAAATTTTTGCTTTCCATCTGATTCTGGTTTTCCATCTTCAAATTAAAATCTTGTCAGTCTTACATACATAAATACACACAAATACAAGTTAACATATTTATTACTGATATTTTAGATCAGGCAAATTATACTTGAGTAACAATAAGTTCTCCGAATTTTCGGGACGTGTAAGGTATTTGAGGCTGCCGTAGGTTTCTGTGGCTTCCGAAAAGACGCTCGCTATAAACGTTAATTACTGGCAAATGACAAATTTTGAAATGAATAAAGACTAAATTGACACTTTTGTTGGTAACTTACTGCTAACTTTCTTTGTGAACTGATTTATGTCGCAAATTAAATAAAAACTGAACTACCCGTTACCCGTGCGGGTAGTTCTCGCTACCCGCAGATAACGGGTACCCGCAAGAATCGTGCGGGTATGCGAGTAACGGGTACCCGACCCGTTACCCGCGGCAACCCTACCTGCTATCACAAAGATTCAGCTTGATGTGAATATTCCTATCGAACCTGGTGTACTTTTTCCCTCTCACTTTCATAACTTCAACTTAATCCCATTATCCATTAGCCTTGCCACCGAATCAAAATTGATTAGTGAAGTTCGCTTCATAAATGGAACGTGGACCTCAGGCCGAGGTCCATTGAACCTTATAGTTCTCGAAGTTGCAAGGCGGATGAATTTTACACCAGTATTTTTTGGCACTGAAACTTCTGGATTTCGACTCCAAAACGGGACATGGATCGGAACCATGGGTGACGTCCTCTCCGGAAAAGCAGCCATTGGCGGATGTGCAGAAATTCTCGAGCGGACACGTGTCGTTGATTTCTCATCGCCTGCTGCATACGAATTCCTCACCTTCATTACTGCCACACCAAGACCACACTTTAGTTGGAGGGCAGTCTATCATCCGTTACAGGGAGAAGTATGGGCATTCTTGGGATCATGTTGTGTCATAATTGTGACGGCGTTTCTCCTAGTTTTAACAATAAAGTTCGAAAAAAGACCCAGACACCGGAAAAAGGTCGGATTTCCTGCAACGATCCGATTTGTCTACTCTGCCCTTCTTGAGCAAGGAGATGGCACCGGAATTCCATCCCTAACCCTGTCCGACGTTCGTCTACTGGCCTCTTTTTGGCTTCTTTTCGTTGTCATTATTCAGACCGGATATAAATCAAAGTTGACGACGAGCCTAGCGTTCCCCAACCTGAAAATTCCTCCATCCACGTATGAAAGTTTGGCACAAGCCGGCTATTCTATTTTCGCCCAAAAGTCGGGAGCAATCAGCGGCATCGCCAAGTCGACGACGAATCCCACATTTGTCAAACTTTTTAACTCGGTCGTATTTAAGGGGGAGTTGGAATGCTTAAAGGAAGTGATCCATACTCAAGACTCCGCCTGCATTTCATTTTCTACGCTTCCAGAGTATTTAGCTCAACGATACGTGAGTGATTCAAGTGGTAACTTGCCCTTCATCAAGGCTACTTCTGCATCCGCCTATTTCATACGGATAGGATTAATTACTAAGAAGCGAACCGTGTGGAAATCGGAGATGGATAAATATTTAGAGCAAATTATGGATTCTGGACTTTCGGGAAGACTGGTCGCGTTAGACTTACAGTTCGTCCGGAAGGAAAGAATTGCTTTGGAAGAGAAAATGAGAGGAATGAATGCCACCAACGTTAAGCGCAAGACGGATTCGACGGCAGGCAATAATCTCATCACGATGAAACATTTGATTGGGTCGTTTTACATTTTGGGCGGCGGCTGTGCTTTAGCTTTGATAATTTTTTTGATAGAATATTTTCGGGGAAGATTATGGAAAGACAAGGTTTCATTTGTAAATCACAAGGTGCGGGTATTGCAAGTTAAAAGTGTGTAAGTGTTTATAAAAATTGCAATTGGAAATTAATTATGTATATGCATGTGTCATGAAAAACTCTGACATTAGTCACTTTAGTCACAAAAAAAGACAAATATATCTTATTAACTAAAGTCTGGGATATTCAACGATTACAATTTCTGCCTATTGAAAATAATTACCCTAATTAAAGATAAGTTTGACACTTTTACACCTGAAGAAGGGGGCAGTTGAACCCTGAAAGTTCGTGAATAAATCACCTTAAAAATGTCATCCATGCGATCCGATAATTCTAACTTAAATTAAAAATAAAGATAAAGATAAGTATTTACATACCTAAACCAAGAAATGTGTATGCATGTACATATGTAGAGGTTTGCCACCTTAATTAAAATAGCTAATTTGACGATCGACCCAATAATTTTTTAAGCAACTGAAGGCATTATTTATTAGTTTAGTATTGTATACACCTTACCTTGAAGTATTATTAAAGAGACACTCAGGAAATGGACAACCCTTCATAAGTGACAGTTAAAAGTCAAGTTTTAGTGCATACGGTTTTCATATTATAAATACATAAAGGGTGGGCTTAAAGTTTCTGAAAAGAGTGAAATCAGGTGAGCTCGCCTCATAAAAATCAATATTATTCGGAAACCAGCAGTCATGTAAACAAAGCTTTTTTCCCCTTGTAGTCCAACAATATGAGGAGTCGAGAAGAGAAAAGGGTGCAGATTCAAACTCTATTGAGCGAGGGATATGGTGCCTCCCAAATTTCGAGGAAACTAGGAGTTGCTTACAATACGGTCAAACTGTGGGAAGGTCGCCGTACCGTGGTGGACAAAAAAAGGTCAGGCCGACCCACAGCACTCTCCCCTACTTCAAAATCGCAAATAACAAGAAATTTGAAGGAGAAAATTGGTGGATCCGTGAGGAAAACACTAAAGAAGCTGAACGAGTCGGCGAGGTATCAAAAGAAGGGGAAGAAAATAAGTCGTGCTGCGGTTCGAAATTACGTAAAAAAGCAAAAATGGGGCAAAACGGCTTACAAAAGACCTAAGAAACAGATTCTGACTCAAAAAAATATTCAGGACCGATTAAAATTCGGCGAAACAGTCAAGAGAACGGGATATTTGGGTGACGACAGACGGGCGCAGCAGAAACGCTCTCACATTCTTCTTACGGATGAAACCTGGCTGGAGGTGTCACCAACTGGTAACAGACAAAATCAAAGATACTATACAGCTGATCCGAAAAAAATCCCGAAAATATTGACCCCAAAACATGGTCTAAAAGTTATGGTAGCTGGTGGCTTCTGTGCTCAAGGAGTTACAAAGCTGCATATGATAAGTGGAGGTACCGTAAACGCTGCATACTACAAAGACAAGATCCTCCCACTTTACATTAAATCCATGAAGGACCCAACTTTATTCCCCCAACAACAGAAGGTCACCTTTCAGCAAGATGGAGCACCAGCACACACTGCAAAAGTGACCACCAAAGTTTTGGAGGCGCTCCCTTTGACAGTGTGGGGGAAATAGGTGTGGCCCGGAAATTCACCAGATTTGAATCCTCTGGAGAATTTATGGTCCATTGTTAAGGATTCTGCGTACAAACCGCCATATCCAACCACAACCGCTGAGCTATTCAGAAGATTTCAACATGAGTGGGAAAGCATTCCGGTTACCGTTTTGGAAAATTTGGCACAGTCATTCAATTCACGCATTGAACAAATGTTGGAAGCTGGTGGCGGACACTCTAAATATTAGTTAATAATCGTACAAAAAATTATAATATTCTATACACGCAATAAAAAGTTTTGACTACTTATGTTTTGAAGTTAATTTTTTTTCAGAAACTTTAAGCCCACCCTTTACATATGTATGCAATGCACGCATTTAATTGATAGTAAATATAAATTCGTAAACTCACTTTAACCAGCTTCATTTAGTTAAATAGTTTAGTTACTTATATATGTATCGCTACAAGGTATACATTTATGTATGTATGCTCTCGTTATGATTATTAAATAAATAGAACATCACTTAAACTAATATCACTTTTCATCACTTGTGTTCAACTAAAATCACCTTGTATTTATATAATTTGTACAATTTTATTTAAATATACATAAATGCAAATCAATTGAATTTTCAACTCTACCATTTGAATTACGTGCTTTACACTAATCTTTTTAACCTTTGCGAAATATGTTGTCATTCTTTGATAGCATCATGAAGCATCTTGTACTCATTTTGCACCTTTGCTACTAAATTTTCAGTCAAGGAATCAGAGTGAGTTATTGGTGACATTTGACGAAGCACTAATTTCTCTACAAGTTACTAATTGGGTTCCAAGAGCTTACTACACGACAAATGCCGAAAACAATTCACGCAAGTTGGTGCTTCCGCGTAAGGAGAACTTTTTTAAACAGTTTATGGTTGTGGGTGCAATGTCGGGTCGTGGTGTCCTCCCACTTATCAAAGTCCCCCAAAAAGTGAAGGAACCTGCAAGGTATGACGTGGACCGTGTATTGAAACCACTTTTAGAATGACATTTTCCTAAATTGCACGGTAAAAAAATAAATAAGGTGATTTTTCATAATGACTCAGCGTCTTCCCAGACGGAAAAGTTGACCCAAGATTATGCAAAGGACCTTGAAGCTAGATTGGGGATAAAAATCATTTCGAATAGTGAAATACCTGTATAATCCCCTGATATAAGTCAAATGGACTTGTTTGGGTTCGGATACTGGAAAAGAAAATATTTTCTGTGGAGACCGAATTTTTTAGACGGAGTTTGGAAAGAGTTGGAATGAGTGTCTCAACTTCTGGGGGCTGTGGGGGAGGCATTTTTGAATGTAGGGAGTTGAATTTTTGCACACCTCTATCTGAGAATAACATGCTCGTCGGTTCAAAATTTTGACTCGCTACGACAAACCGTTCCGGGGTTATTCAACGACAAATTCGTCACCACCAGCGAAAGCGCCCTTTGGTAAATTGGGAGCAACTCTTTGTCCTGAACCATGTCATGAAGCGGTGTTAAATTTTTATGGACGACATGAATCTACAAATAAGATGACATGCACAGTTTATGATATCTTATCAAGCTTTTTACTTGGTTAACCCACTCACTAGTTTTCTGTTCCGCGCCCGTAATGCATACTTCAAAATATTAAACAACGTTTCCACGACTGGTGGGCAGTTTATAACGACACAACCCACAAACTTAAGTGGCAGCGCATTTAGTAAACAGTTAAGTTTTTTAATCACGTCAAAAGATGCTCGTCTAACATGGGAGAATTCAATTCCATCCGCATCCATTACAAACATGCCGCCATTCCTCTGTACGTATGCGTCCTTCGACGCTTCATAAATGTACAGGATTCCCGCGGCTATCGCTTCGTCGACGCTAACCTCGTCAGGATTCCAACGGTCTGTGCATATATGTCAATTTAAATTATTGGATTTAAAGTATTATTTATTTATTTAGGTATGACTTACTGAACCTAAACACGATAATTCCTGGGGATTGAGTACATTCACCCATGTTAACCCTTTGAAACATTTTTTTTGCCAAAGTCGGTTCAAGTTTCGTCGAGTCTACCAGAGAGAAGAGGTCGGGAAATGTCTTGGTACAACAGTGCAGGAGACGTTTAGTCTGCAAATAAGTTAGTAAATAAGTATATCAGTAAATTGCATTGAATAAAATCTAACGTAAATTAAAATGCATGCCTACCACACGAAAGATCTTGTGTGGGTTCAATTTGAACGAGCGAATCATGATCAACACGAGTTCGTTTGTCCAGAATTTTATCAAGTGTTGTAAGTCCTCGTCGTCTATAAATATTTGCCTTCATATCATTTTTATGTATATCGAATATGTATCTTATTAACCATTAATTAATTTAGCACCTACCGTTCATCAATTTGTGAATGAATCGTAAACATTCTGCTTCTCCTGTAGTGAATTCTAGTAGTTTCTCGCTTTGACAAATTTCCATTTTACTTTTGATGGACTTGGTGATCGTGAACGGTTCAAGTGACGAATGATCACATTGAGAATCTCAATTTGAGATGCATAGTGCATAGGGTGCATACATATGCATGCATAGTGGTCCAGTGACAAGTTGACAATAGTTGCCATTGTATTTACAATACAGCTATGTATGCAGAATCAGACAGCCTTGAACTTGTTTACTTTTATGCATTGATCATCTTTTCCTTGTTTATTATCTCATTTGGAAGTTAGTTAACGTCACCTTGTTTTATAGATATATTTGTGCTAAAATTATAAAATGCTTTAGATATTTTATTATTATTATTGGATAGTTTGTTTATTTACTTGTATTACAGTGATTGAAGATTTGGCGATGCCATACATAAGTAACTTGTCCACGATTATATAATGCAGTTTATTATCCGACACATTGAGCAACAGCATATACCTCGGACCATTTTCTGTCCGCCCGACCAATATTTTAAAAAATGTGAAAATCAGTTTGAAAGTAAAATTATGCCCATTTCCACATAGCATGTAAAATCCACGTGTTTTTCTGTACCAATTTGAAAAACCAATGTGTTCCTTTATTACATAGCGTCGGTCTCTCGAGATATTGACTTGTTTTAGTCTTCTGCTACCATTTCTAATACTCTAACTCCGAACGCTTGGGACATACTTATCTAATTTTGCATGTGTATCAAATTTCAAATCAATCGACTACGGATAAGTTTTATAGGATTTGTCGAAATCAGGCAGACAGACAGATTATGTCTCAACCAGGACGATATTACTCAACTTGACACACTAACTTTATCAGCATGTATGGTCGTAGACAGTTAGATACGTATTGTATGTATATCTACATAAGTATGTACCTAGATGTCTGTATCTAAATATGTAGCAGGATGAAACTGAGTCGATGCAATTTACATTGAATGCAACTTAATCATAATGAACTGTGATTAAAAGTGCATTGTTTGATTTATTTACTTATTTCACAAACTTGTTTTTCACAAAGTTTGGTATGCTGGATGTATGATACCTAAATAGCCGTCACTGTGCAAATAAATTCAAAAACTCCAAAGAATTATTTCGAACTCTTTCAACAATTGATGGTATATTTTCTTTACTTAAGATGCTGATAATAGTTAACAATACATAGCTACCACTAATTTCACTATAGCGAATTGCATATTAAATTATTCATGCTTATTTATACAGATAGAACTTTCAGTATGTATCTTATCATGAAGAATATTTTCCAAGTTAAATGCTTAAAAATTTTCTTGTTAAATACATTGTGTGTTTAATACCGGCGGCTCATAATGCTATCATGCCCCTTCGGATGCAAACGATTTCCATGCATTGTTGGTCCAAAGATGGAATATTGGTTTTTGAACCATGGAACTTGACTTGCATTTGGCATCTCGGCGTAGTAATTTTTTGGGGATGGTGCATAAAATGAGCGGTCATTTCGCAATGTGGTATCAGGGCTTTGATTTTGTGGGTTAACTTTCGACTTTTTGGAAAATATTTGAGCAATCTTCCAAAACAGAAGGTTAATCGGTTCGACGGCACTGATCACAGAAAGGCCAAGAAATAGACCAAGAATTCCCCCAATGTGTGCTGTGGTCACAAGAAACAGTTATGATGATAAATATTTGCAACTTAAATCATTGAGTACACATGTAGTTCAATTTTACCGAAAAAGTCGTTGGAATCGTACATATTTTTCCTAACCCTCGAGTAGACATTATCCGACCCAAAAAATACGTGAACAATTGATGCATTCGGACGAACAAAGTTATCCGGACTGAAGTAAAAATTAGGATTTAAGGAATATTTCGAACAGCGTTATATTTTGCATATTTATTTACGTATTTCCTTCGTCCTCCTCGTCCAGCTCCACGCGTATTGTGAAATCTTCCCTCAGTCGCAGAGACGACAACTGAGCAATGTACTCAATTTTGTTGCAGGTTGGTTTACAATGTGGGCAAATTATTTCCGTTCCTACTTTGGACACATTTCCTGAAAATTCATAAACCGTCAAAAGTGCTAAGAAAACTCTCATATCGTGATTTTCAAAAATATTTAAGCCCACCCATCACTAGTTTTGCACATTTGAATGCTGGTCCCTCACAGTAAGTCACATTTTCGAACTCGACTGATGAAAACTTCACTAAAAGTGAAAAATTATTATTTGTGATGTATTTTAAGTGATTCGTGGTACATAAGTGTGCAATGTACAACATACACGCGAGGTCAAACCGGATACAATTGCAACCTTTCGCAATTTCTTCGGATAGACATTGGTCCAAACAATTTGACGCTGTGTAAAAAGTGAACGAATCCAGTCGGTGTTCGTCAGAGTAGTAACATTTCCGACGCTCCTAACAAATAGTTGATGGTACAAAAATTTAGTTATTCAGATGCCTCGTGAGACACTGTACTAAACGCTGCTTACAACGTTCATATCTCGGATTGCTTTCTCCGACTTGGTCACTTCTGCTTGAAGACTCAGGAACAATTCTGAATTAGGAGCAATTGCTACTCCAAACTCTGCGACGTGTGAGACCTCAACCAGCGAATGCGCGTGCACCTGACGACGATAAATTTTATTGGAACTCATAGAAATATGGAATACTTAACAGTGCATTTTCATTTGATACCCTGAAGCCAAAGCTGTCATGGTTTGCGCAAAAGTATTCATTCGCATCTGTGTTTACGAGAAATGAAAGCCCCGACGTTTGTCCGGCTTTCTTTTGAAACTTTACATGTTTTCGGTATCCTTTATTCGTGTGGTGATCCGTTTCCAGAAGGTTGTCCAGATTGAATGCTTCCCAAAACCGGACATCCTCCTCACTTATCGCGGAACTTAAAAAGATTGACCTACACAAATGTATCAGACATATCCTTTTATGTACTATAGCACATCAGACAATAAATAGCGACATTAGTATAGGAAAAAATTACTCATTTCTCAAAAGATATTGCCTCGGCACTGAATTAAATGTGCAACAGAAGCCCATATCAGTAATGACGGGTTTGAAAATTTCTTCACATGATCCCATGTTCAGCTTCTTGCCCTCCCAAAGACATAATGGGATCATATCCCCGCATGATTGAAATGACTGCGAAATATTTAATGAACATTATACAAATGCATTAATGAATCCTTTCTTAAAACTAATTATGAGCATTGGTTACGCAAAATTTGCTTAAGTTGCAAATATGTGCATGCGCACATATTGTCGTCCGACTTGCATATGTAAATACAGTTTCAACACAATTAAAATGCAAATTTCAGAAATATTGTTTGAGATCGATCTTTTCGAAAAACCAACTTTCCAACTTTAAAAATTGACCCGTTTTTGTGATCTATTTATGTAAGTCGGACTTACATATGTTCATAAGTAAGAATTTAAGTTGCATACCAACGCAAACTGAAGTAAAACTGGATACGGGATATTCTCTGATGCAAGCATGCCAGGGTGATTTCCACACCCGATGCCAAGTCTCTCGCAGGCGTTGACCGTGGTTTCGTTGAGGGAGTAGTTGAAGTAGGTGGAGAAAGTGTTGCTTAAGCTGCAAACGTGGTCCAGTTGACGTAAGACTGATTTTGCTATATGCGACTCTTCCGGATCCTCTGAGTTCACATCTCTAAATTACATGGTTGTTTAAAGCGTTAAATATGTGACACTTTTATAGCCTGATAAGTTTGAATTATTCATAAAAATTTAATAATTTGGCTTTCTCCAGAAATTATCAAACGCAAAAATGTGTCAAATTTATTCTAACCTAAGAAATCTATCGACGGCGGATTTCTTGAAACGATTTGAGCTGCAAACGGTTACTGCAGGAAATGGGACGTCCATTACGGACGTTTGAGAAGGCTGAAATGAAACAATGACTGGGCTGGCATTCCATTTTTCAATGATGCCATAAATCAAGTATGCGGATGCGCCCAGAGAGGTGAGCAGAGTTAGTAACCAGCATATTCTGGAAGGAAAATTTAATGATGTTTTGAATTAGTTTGTTTAGTGTGACTAAATTTGAATGTAAAAAACCTTTCGACATGTGGTCTTTTTCTCTGCGACAAATACTTGAGGCCGTGAATTGTTGAATCTCGCAAAAATCTGAGACAAAGAGAATTTTCAGTATGATTTTGAGCATTGAAATGCATTGCTCAAGTTAAGATCTCGAGTAAGATATGCTAGTTACACATGGTAATATATACATATATTCCTTGCAAGTTATGAATTGGCATGTCTCAACTCCTATTTTTGCAAAGATTAAAAGTTAGGAGTGATAAAACAGATAGGTTCTTATGATAAAACTTTTTCTGCATGTCTACTTTGAAAGTGCTGAATAATTCACGGAATATAAATATCGTAATTAAAAGTAGTTTCGGAATTGGCGATAGGGCAATAAGTTGAAACAAACACACAAGCAGCCCAAAAATAGGATATATGTAATTAGATATTGATTTCGCTATTCGAGTGGGATTCATTATTTTCATAAGTAAATATATCCGAGAAACGGAAATACTCTGAAACTTTTTCCTCGTTGGAGTGATACAGTTATGAATTATGAATTGTGGTATATACTTTAAGGTATCTGCTTTTCGTTCCTTACTCATTGACGGATTATAATTATGTATGTATGTAAACAGGCAAAGAGTTTTGGTCATTGAGCTTTAAAAATACTTATTACAATTTTTACCAACAATATGAATAGTGGTATGAATATATGTAAATCCAATTTGATCATCCCTAATGTTGCCTTGCATTTATAACCCTAACAGCAACTTTATTATTCGTCCTTGATTTTAATCCAAACTTAGCTTGCCAATTTCAATTTTTTTAAAAGTTGCCTGATAATGATGCAAGTGTAGGTACATGTCTTACGAGAAATCCACTCTTATAAATTATTTATTTAACTTTCAATCTTTCTAACATTTTAGAAAATACTTTTTTATTCAACTGATAAATACAATACCTGTTTTATCGTATTAAGTATAATTTCTAAGAATTTGTACATTTATATGTATCTCCCGAGTCTCGCAACTCTTGGAAATCTAATGATTCTTTCTTTGATCCCAAGTACTTTCGAGATAACTGATCTTTGTCGATTTCCTCCGAAAGGTGTCGTAACGAGCTTGCTTTGTCCCTCCCCAAAACGGTGATTATGTCACGCGTCTGTTTGGACAGGGCGGTTTTTAGGATGTCGTACAATGGAAGGAATACTTCGGGAGCTGCAAAATCACAACTTCCTTATCAGACAAAATTTAAATATGACTAAATAATATAAGTTCGTACTGTTAATTAGAATGATCCTATGAATTAAACCGACAAAATGCTTCTCATATGTCGTTATCAGGTAAAAGTACGCTGTAAGACCTGTTAACAATTAACGTGTTAAGCATTAATATGCACTTATATAAAATAACGCATTTAATCAATTACTGTTACATACATCGTCCGCATCCTTGTTGAATAAGGTTAAAGTTACTTAAATCAAACAGCATGGTGATTTGGGTCACATTTTGTCCTTCATTCGTCATTTTCCTCACCATCAAATCTGCTTCTTCAAATATTCGATCAATATATCGCATAAATTTTTTGGATTCGCCACTTATGACAATGCGTCGCACGTCCCAATCCACCGGCACCGATATCACTACATGAAATCGAAATTATTTGAAAATCTGGACATAATTGTTAAAATATTTTCTCGAATAAAAAAAATGACTACCTGGTTTTTTATCCCGATCACAACCCTCCACGTGAATTTTAAATTCGTAATCAAACTTCTCCCAGTCTTCTTGGAAAATGGTGTCCATTTGATTTTCTTTCCTCCAAGAGACCAACTGATGCGTTTTTAAAAATGGAAGAGTAAGCTAAAGTCTTTAGCATTACAAAATGTTGAATTGTATACTTGTCTTACATTCATGAGACGTTTTTCAGCAGTTGGGATATCAAAATCACTATCTAAATTCAGTAAAGCACAATACGTATTTAAACTTCAGAACGGATGACATTAGTTTGAATACCTCTTAACCAGCGAATAAGGTAGACATCTTTTCTCATGTAATCCTCCGGAAGTCGGGGACTGATTAGTTCTCTAAACTTTAATACGAAGGTTAATTATAACTGCTGATAAATCAGAGTTAAAAAAATGGTTAACCACTTACAGTGTCCAATTTAATTTTTTGATCTTCTGAAAGTGTAAGAAATTCATTCAAGGATAATTCCACCGAAAACCGGAAAAGAACCGAAACCAGGAAAAATGTTATAATCACAGCTTTACGCAAACAAATCATTGTCTGAACAATTTAAATATTTTGTATAATGAAATGATTAAACAATAGTGTGTGCGATAAGACTGGAGCTATGAATTTGGTGCAACTGAGAAAAACCTGTCCAAGTAGCACATTATTATAAACAATTTATTAAGATGCTTTCAGTTTGCCTTTGTTTTGTCTTAATTGCATGGCTGGAGGAAAGTATACATTGTCAGTTGCGTGGAAACAAGCCAATCAGCCAGACATCCTACGAACAAGACATGGCATTTTTATCTAAAGTTTTATCCACCTTAAAATAGTTTAAGTTTATTCTGTTTATCATAACTCCGTTTCAGAATTGTATAACTTTTCTCTCATGTCATTGTAGAAACTTGATCAACCAGTTCTTACTTTTTAAAAATGAATGCGGTTTGTGTGATGACACATTGACGCAATGAGTCATAGCGGATCAGGTTGACTTTGTTGAATTAACTTTTTTGAAACGCATTCGTAATGACCATACAATTAATATTATATTATATATAATAATCATACAAATAATACTTCGTAATTTCGAGGTGATATAAAAATGGCTCGGACTGAACCAATGCAAATCTAAATTCCATCCGAATGCAACATGTTTAAAATCCTGGATAATGATAAACATGGATTCAGCTTCGCATCGTAATCATTAATCTGTTATTATTGGTGAATTCATTATGCTGATTTCGCAGAATGAGTTTATCCCCTGTCTTCCTGTTTATCTTGTTGTCCGTACAAGTTCCAAACTCAGAATTTTTAAGCCCTTTCCTTAATACGATTTAAAGGAAAAAGTGAGTCTAATTATTTGCACGTGTAAACCAGAGCATCGTGAAATGATATTACTGCATGCAAGAAAGAGGACATTTTGGACATTCGTTCGTTAATAGAATTATTCTTGAAAGCTACGTACCTATGTAGATATGTGTGGACAAAGGTATGTGCTGTCAAGCAGTTACACATATTTATGTAAACCAGAACACCCTCAATTTCTATAATAAATGCATGTACTTTGCTAGACAATGACTTTTTTAAGCAGTCATGAAAGAATTGCACAGGTATTTGCACACTATATGCATACATACTTATTTGATATACACATTCATACACACAAATATACCTATGTATGGATCCATATAAATATAATACAGCCCTTACAATATAACCCCATTGAACTATAAAATATATAAATATGTTGTACATATGTAGACAAGTATTCCGGTCAATTTAGCTAAAATTTGATATGTGTATTGTAATGTCAATATTTTTTTCCTACGTTACTCCAAGATAAGTAAGTAGTATACGACTGTCCAGTTTCAGACTGCCTGTGACCCGTTGCAAAAAATCTCATTATGATTATTTTGCCATAGTATTCTAAATATATGTAGTTTACTTTAGCCACCGACCGTCTAAATTCAACAGTGTGAGTAATAAAATATGGTGTATAAAACCAGGTTAAACTTTTCATGATGCGTGAATTTGAATAACTCTAAACATTATTTGTACATACATTTTCATTCAGATTTGTTTCAATTTTCGTCTGTACTTATACAGTCCTCCGACATATGTACACAACACATACCTATTTACACAGATCTTACGGTACAATTTATATCATGAGTGAATTCAGGTGAACGAATTTTTCGTTCTCTGACTGCTATCTGTATATTTAGTTGCATGCGAACGCGTTAATTGCATGGAAATTTCTAAGCTGAGGCGACGATTATAATATCACTTGCAAAATGACCAATTATTTATAATAAAGGAAAATTACAACTGCAATTGCCATGCGTATTCACTTCCTCATTTATTTGCATTGTATCCAAGCTCATAGACGCTGTGTCATTGCTTCCAACCCAATTCCAATCTTAAAATCGGTATTGTTCTTTTATGGACCTCCAGCTCGGATCGGTTGCAGATCGTGCATTGAATTCATTAAACCGTGATCGTGATTTTTACATTCATTCCCCAACTTGCTCGAATCTCATTTATTTTTAAAATAATTGAGAACTCAATTATCAATTATGTTGATTTTGCTGATCGAATAATAAAATTAAAGGAGATAACATTTCAGAGACAGTTATCGTTAGGAATAGTTCTGTTAAAAATGTCGCAAGATAGAGAAGATACAATTCTTCTAAAATCATTTAGCAGTGATCGGAACGAAGGTGCCACAATTTCTAGTTCTCGAACGGGCATTTCTGATAAGGATGTTGTAACCAGCCAGCCTTATACTTCCGAAGATGTCATTCAACCTCGGAAGTCAGTAGACTATGGAAAATATCGGGACGATGGATGCGACTGGATGTGTTGCTGTTGTGTCCAATTCTTTGGTAAATAATCGCAAATTAAAACTCAAATAATCCCGGAGATGACAAGCCGAACTAGTAATAATTTTGCGATAAAGATTTGTTTTAATTGCAGATTCTTGCCCATGATATAATACACAATAAGTTATTGTCAATCATTATCACTCCATTAGAATGCTGTGCAGATCGTGATACAAATAATAAGTTGACTTTTGGACCCTCCATCAAATTATGCAGATAAATTCGGATTCCAGTTTCTGAATCATCTACCACAAGCGTGAATGGGTCAGCCACATGTGTTTTATGATTGTAATTTGAACTCCATAGTTCCATACTACCGACAATGGACAACGTACATACATACACAAATAACTGGATCGACCAAATGTCTTTGATACAAAATCACTAATATCATTAAAGCAGTAACTTAGATTTACATAGTTGATCTCAGGGCTGTGGTACTTAATTACTTTTGTACTTAATTACTTACTTAATTACCGAACTTGAAGTAATTAGTAATTGGTAATTGATTTCAATTACTCCGGTATTTGTCAAAGTAATTAAGTACTTAAGTACTTGAAGGACCTGGAGTAATTAAAATTGGAAGTACTTAATTACTTGGCCAAGTAGTAATTAGTACTTGAATACTCAATTACTTTGATCAATTACTTCATCGGACATACTTGGAATGAAATACGACAAGTCTCCCTCTCCCGAAGAACTCAAGTTATGCTAATATCTTTTGTTGTGAACGCTTTGGTCATCATTCTCATGACTCGTGACAGGGTGAGCCCAGCCATACGGAATGGCAATGTCACTGTGTACAGCCCCTAGCAGAGTCCGTTCTCTGTGGGGATGAGACAACTTGCTACGAAATTATGGCAAGAAGTCGCCATCTGAGGCTGAAAAGCAGAGAAATCTGAGTCCTGGCGATGTAAAACTGTCACATTTTAACATTTTAACATTTTTTCTCATTCAAGTCATTCAGCTTATGCACTTTGGCTTATTACAATTTTAGATTACAATTGTTTCAACTGGCTGTGTTCCATGGACTGCAAAAATTTCTCGTTAGTCAGAGTCAGGTAAAATAGAATAGATAGAAATGTACGCATTAAGAATTTTAATGTTGTAATCGTGGGAAGAAAATGGCATTATCTATTTGGAGTAAAGATATTTGTACCAAGCTATTTATAAAAGTTTTATCCTATTCGGAAATGAATTTTTTGGTCAAAAGTTAGCCTCTAAATAACGTTTAATTAATTTTAAGAATTAAGTAATTAGTAATTAAGTAGTTGACTTTCAATTACATGCTTGCAAAGTAATTGTAATTGATAATTAAGTTCAATTACTGGACAAAGAAGTATTTGTAATTAGTACTTAATTCCAATTTTCGCAGACGGAGTAATTAAGAATTAAGAATTAATTACTTCCATTGGTAATTGAACAGCCCTGGTTGATCTGATTTATCTTTTGCGATGAAGCACTTCATCTAAGACACTGAACGAGCCTGAAGGGATAACGGGAATATGAGAGTGGTGGCTGCATGTTTTTAGAAACTATGTATAAATATGCATACATATTGTCCATGCATTCCTTAAGATCTGAATAATGTTATACATTTACATATTCGCTATACTTATATGAAACTATATATCTAAGTTAAAATAGTCTTCTAATAAATTTCTAAATCAACAAATTTATAACTGTCAAATACATTTCTGTACTTATCTTAAATCATTGAAATTATTGCATAATTAAACTAATTATACATAAATATATAATGTTTCACTGTATAAAATTTAACATTTTATTTTATTTATTGCAAGTAATATAAATATTAACAAACATATACACACGAATATATACGGAGAGACATATGTATATATATCCGTATGCATTTGTCTATGATATACGGATTCATCCCGTGTGCTTCCTGTGGTATCTGTTTCTTTTCGGCCTTGATCCACAATGCTGATGATGATCTGAAGTTGCAGATCAGTGTTTAAACACAAATCATCACTTGTTTCTATTTAATAGCAAATTGCTGAAATAACTATGTAAATACGCATAAATATTTTTTCAGACTACTAATAAAACGGGTAACTGTTAGCCATGATTCCTAATTTGTGGTCACACATTGTCTTCAAAACTATACGTATAACACCATTAGCATTAAAAAACAAACTATCAAAGTCGATTATTAGTAAAAACCTGTCATGTTTAAACTACTCGACAAAAATTGCTCCCCCAAAAATTATCTACCAAAAAATTCGCGTGTTCGATTGCGACATGAACTATGTCGAAATGGAAGGAAATCCTGATCACGTCGTTTTTATTCTGCCAGGTGCATTAAGTAAGAACACTGTTATTTTGCTTAAAAAATAATATACTTACAAATTTCATACTCAATACTTTATTACTGATGCATAGGTTCGATCGAACAGGATTTTGTACCTCTGTTACAAAACTTTGACTCCAAAAAGTACAAAGTGATTGCCTATGACCCACCCGGCTATGGGGGAAGTAGACCTCCGAATCGATGGGACATAAAAGGAATCGTTGCGGAAAGTGATGCTAATTACGCGACTGAATTGCTAAAGGTGCAAATATAGTGGATCTACTAAATAGTGGATCACTTGGTAACGTTATTAGCCAAGTGGTCAAAAACAGGTTTCGAAATCTGAAATTCTTGCATAATATTCCAAGTATATCTAATTTTATGCATCCGCGGACAAAGAAGACTTTAATCTATTATCCATGTCGTATTTACCCTTTTTCCTCACCTCCGCCGTTAGTGCTTTTCCGGAAGACTTTGCAACTTCATTGCTAATTTTCTCCCACCGGAAGCAAAACTTTCTTGAATTATCGACTGTTTCGCAAAGCTAGGAGTATGCCTTCTTACACATAGTCGACATTTTTTTATTGAGCGAAGATGAGGGATGCATGTGGGGTTTCCATTTTTCGACGTCAAACTGAATTTTTTTTCGATTTCTTCCTTAATACTTGTTGAATTGTGGATTAGTCCAAGGTCGGTCCACAAAATTACATTTTATATTTTTTGATACTCATTGATGAAAGGAATCAGACGGACTATCACACATTTCTGAAAACAAACCTGTGCGTCCCCACAGCCCTTCTAAAATGAGGGGTCCAGAACATGCCCAAATTTAAAGAACGCCAGCCAAACCTGAGATTTTTTGAGAAATTTCGAAAAACATTTTAATTTCTGTTCGGTTCTCAGTTGAGAGACACATTTGCCATGAAAAATTGCCTTTCCGGAGTTTCTGTCGCGTTTTTAAGGACGTAGGACTCGTCATGAATGACCAACTTTTTTGGTAAACTTTTGTTGCAAAGCTTCAGAGTTGGTGCGGTTACCATTTTTTCTTCAGTTCACGTACATTTTGCTGGAGATTTCTTTACATACGCTTTGACCCCGCTTTGGCCTTAATATGGTACAAGTGGTTTGTATTAATCTTTGACTTCATGGCCGCATCAGGCACCGACGTGGATGGAGCATTTTCAAAAAACTGCTCAATCGTTTTTAACTTTTGAGGGGTCGATATGATGGTTTTTTCAAATGGTGGTTATTTGAAGCTTACATTTTCGGATTCTCCATACTTTTTTATGCATATCTTGATTTTTGCACGGCAATACCCAACTCCGTTGAAATGTACTCAGGTCTTCTTCGAGTCTTTGTCAATCAAATTCTGGTACTTATCCAAAACTTGTTTCCCGACTTCTTCGCTTTGAAATCGTGTACGAAATTTATTTTCCATTCAAAACTTATGAAAGTTTTGTGGCATGTGGATAGATATATTTGGCATATTGCACATCACTTTCAGATTTTGAAACCTATTTTTGACCACTTCGCTACTAAACGCACCAAGTGATCCACTATTTAGTAGATCCACCTTACATACAATACATATATGTTAAGCAACAACATGAAGATGTAATTTGAATTGGTATCTTCTATACGTATGCAGAAACTAGGACATCAAAAATATTCCCTCGCAGGATGGAGTATGGGCGCTTTCACGGCGGCTATTATGGCATTAAAAAATCCAGAACAAACCAGAAAGCTAGTCGTGTGGGGAATGGGTGGATATTTTGATGAGGTTACAAGCAATAACTTGAAAAGTATGTATGCACTAGTTTTTAATACACATTCGCATTAATATCGTAATATTTAAATTGAATCATTAACTACTTAGCAATGGCCAGTATCGGTATAAGCTGCCTTCCAAAAGCAAGATTATCACAACTTTTAAATATTTATGGAGAGGAAGACCTCAAAAAAATCTTTTACAAATGGGTGTCACAAGAAGCTGATGAAAGTGTAGCAGTAGATTTTACAAAAGATGGGCTCTTCACCAAGCAGTGTTTGAATCAATTGAGGATACCCACCTTAATTATTCAAGGAGCTAAGGACGGATTTGTGCATGTGGATCACATGGAGTACCTTCATCGAAATATTAACGGCTCAAAGTTAGTCCTTTTTTGTACTAAAGTTATTTAATCATGCAATCATCGCCTCATTTCAATTTGTCTTATTTGACAGGACCCATCTCATAAAAAATGGGAGCCATGCGACACACTGTGCACCCAGTGAAAAGGAGTTTTTAACAGTTGTAGATAAATTTCTGAGCTCTTAAGATTAATGGAGATTCAAGATGACAATATTTATGTATTTATTTTTTCAAGTGCAGTAAATCACAGGCATATTAATAATTACTGAGTGCGGATACAACCTGATTTACTAGTCAGCTCTGAAGGACAGGTAACCGGACGGAAAGTCATGGTTGGATTGTCGGCATTTTTAAACCACACAAACCTCCACTTGCACCTAAAATATTAAAATATTAAAAAATATGTTCAAACATTACTGCATTTCTTCAATTCTCAATAAGTGTGCGTGTATATGTACCCTTCTCTAATTGCGGCTGGCAGATCATTGCATCCTTCAATTGAACTGACCCCTCCATACCGATCCCCCCAGCCATTAGCTGGTGCATTCCACTGACTCTGGCACCCGTTGAAGATTCCCACACCCCCTCCAGGGATTTGAAGGTCGAAGTGATTTGCCTGCATCGTTAGAGTGATTTAGGAAATATCAACACGCTTTTCTGATTCTTTCTAATCCTATCAAACTCACGCCCAGATCTCCACCCGTGTTCGTAACTTGTACGACCATTTTCTGTCCATTGACAGGTCCAGAAGTAAAAGTTAACTCGTAACAAGCACAGCACCACCCTCGCTCATTACTTCCGGGAATATTCGCAGCCGCGAAACCGTAAGCGACATTATTGCCTCCGACGAATGGAATTTGGTTGTTGCAGGTGTACGATGCTGTCAAGGGAATTTATGATTGGAACTCTTTAAACAATGTCATAAAATTAGTGAATTTTTTGACTTACGACCACCATCACAACCACTCTTTTCATTCACGCCTAACACGTCAATTCCATTTTTAGCACAACTTTTAACTGGTCTGGTCACGGCGGCTTTGTCATTCCAGCTACAGGATGGCTAATAAATACATAATTTAAAAATCGTTAAAGTTTCTGAATTTTCAGGTAACATTTTTGAAAATTTGGTTTCGCACACACCTTACAACAATCCCAATACCGCGTAGTTTTTCCTGACTGACTGCCACCCCCACCACCACCTCCAGAAGTTTCCATGTAGCCACAAACCATGGAAGAGTCTGAAGTCTCAAACGCATCGTTTGGTGAAACATTACCGGATTTCATCCAACAAGTCCCCCCGTTGTAGTTTGTCCATGTAAAGTGAGTGCATCCGGATGTTTCAGCACATTTGCCACCGCATTTATCACTTGAAATTTTCACGTTGGATAAGTTATTACCGTTAAAGTCGCATTTCATGGCCCAATTATTCCCGTTCCAGTTGACGGCCCCATTTGCTAAGTCTGCATTAAGGTGGAAGTATTTATGCAAAAATTACTATTGAGTAATCATTAAACTTACCAAGCAGGAAAATTGCGAGGCACAAACTACTAATCTGGGTGTTAGCCATGTTTAACTTCTGCCTTATGTATATTTCTGACAGAAATTTACCACGCAGTTAAAACTCGGTAAGTCTCAATTTTGTAATCTCAAAAATGGTTTGACTTTAAAGTCCTTTATGTCACTTGTTTTATACCAGCTTTCAGGTGAAAAACAACCATTGTGTTTCAAAATAAATAACACATTTGATGTGATAAATTGTAAATCATTCAATCGACAGACATACAATTTATGACGTGTTTGTTTAGTGGTTGTTATATAAAAATTAAACAAAAACTTAGGACAAGTTAATGATTTATAGAGACCTGATGAATAATTGTACCACAAAGTCTGACTGGTTGTCATTTCATGTTGTTCAGAACCTGTCAGCTAATTTATCTTTACTTATGCACGGAGATAATTTATTCCCAAATTTGCAATTTATTTATTTGCCAAAAAGCCTGTCCACGTCGTTATCGTCAATAAGTGTCTTCAACAAAACACGCATATTTTTTAAACTTGTCATACAATTTAAAATTATGTACCACAACATCGTTAACATTATAATTTGAAGTACATTTCGTTGTCGTTGTCACGTAGACATACAGCAAAACTTACTTATAAACGAATCAGAAAAGTCAGTAAGGACTGGAACCAAGAGCATGCCTCATTAAAAATGAAACCCAAATTCCTGTTTTTTGCTACATTCGTGTTCTCCTTCTACTTTATAGGTAAATTATCAAACAAATCGATACAACTTACATTTTTAGCTTATTTTTAAGTACATGCGGGGCTAAAGTTCAAATTGTCCTTAAATATTTTACAGATGGAACACAAGCTTCGATCAGAATCAAACGATCCATCAACTGGAACGGGAATAATTGGGCCATGAAATGCGACTTTAATGGTAATAACTTATCCAATGTGAAAATATCAAGCGATAAATGCGGTGGAAAATGCGCTGAAACAACCGGATGCACTCACTTTACATGGACAAACTACAACGGGGGGACTTGTTGGATGAAATCCGGTAATGTTTCTCCAAACGACGCGTTTGAGACTTCAGACTCTTCCATGGTTTGTGGCTACATGCAAAATCCTGTAAATGGGGATGTTATTGGGACAAAATATTCCGGAGTTTTGGCAACTCGTCACGCAGCCACAAAAGTAGGGGCGTGCCAACTTCCCGAAGCTGATTATGCTTCTGGAATTCATCCCGTAGCTCTGGGCGACATATCCTCCCTTGGAAATCTAAAATTTAAACCAGGACTCTGCGGTCATATCCTAAGAGTAGACTGTGGCCATGGTTCGGTTGATATTGTGGTCAACAATGCTAATCTCGGCGGTGGTTTGGATCTCTATTCGTCTTCATGGGACTTGGCAACAGGTCACAAACCACCGGGTCAAGACTGGTGCTCAGTTCAGGCCACGACTCGTAACCTATTTTCAAACTCTGGTCCGAGATGCTATTACAACCCAAGTTCTGAAATGAACAATGATTACTATCATCAACTTGGTTTGTTTAATGTGGGTGGGAAAGTGGTTGATTCTGCTAATTTGGGGGGTCATCAAGGCTCCTGGAATTCGATCACGGGTTATTTTTCCTTTGATGGGGGACCTGTTGGTCGAGATGCTACCGTCACGTTTAAATATACCGATGGGAGTTCGTTCGCTGTATTGTTAAATGATTGTAAGAAAGTGATGGCAATGCACACGTGGAGTTAAGTACAGGTTGTAAATATTTTGATATGAATGCGGTTAAATAAGTAATTCCTTGTCTGGTTATACATATTTACACTATGCATTACATTTGTATATATTTTTCGCAATAAAATATTGACAATCCTTATAACCTTGATGATACATACATAACTTCTTAGGTCCGCACAATAAAACTCTTATTTGCCACATATCAATTTGTATATACACATGCCTTCGCGATCGTGAAGAAACGAAATCTTTGCCACTTTATTAGTTACACTTTACTGTGATTTGTCCAGTATTAAGCCGATCTGGCCTTGGTCGGATTTTCCCATGTATTACAACACAGTTTAATTTGCTTTTCGCAAATCTTACATATTTAGTTATCTATTTTGTCTGACTGCATACGTGTTGCGTCAAATGCCAGTAATTATATGCTAAGAAACAAGTCGGTATACAGGATCCAGGTAAATAAATACAAAATTACCGACACGTTGTTGAAATAAATAAAAATGCAGTCTGCATATAGTGTAAAAATTACAAACACGGTGTATTCAAATACCAGAATTTATTATCGGTCGGGAACAAGTGCATGTGAAAATTTCATAATGTTACATGTTCACTAAAGTGCGAAATATACACAAAAATATTTGTTTTCGTGCATATTTTGTCCATTGTATAATCAGTCTGTAATCAAGTGATCCTAATCATTGTCTTCAAAGTACTCCTTGCCAACCGTGTGAAAAGGTTAAAAACTAGTTTCGTACACAAGCCAAAGACATATCTGAATATATTCTCAGTTGATTCACGACTAAAATAATTTAACATCGTCGTCACCATTTCAAAATGGAAACTAAAAACACACTTCTGGACAATGCCGAATATTTTCTTGAAGATCATAATGTAACGACAGAGGATGGATACATTTTAACCCTGCAAAGATTCCTTAAACGAGATGCGCCTGAAAAAGGAACGGATAGACAAGATCTTATCCTACCAAAAAAGAAACCGGCCGTGTTATTGGTTCCTGGGCTTTTCTGTATAGGTAAAAATTGGATCATTGCCGAAATTAATTTGCGTAAGTCAAGTATTAATCTTTCATAGATATTTATGTTCGAGATCGAGAATCTTGAGTCTTAAATGTTTACATTTAAGACTTATGTATGTATTATAGCAAAGCTGCTTATCGAGCAAGGCTTTGATTGTTGGCTTCCTAGCCCGCGAGGAACACTCCCATCAAGAAAACATACTTCATTGGCATCAAGTTCTAAGAAATATTGGGATTTTTCGTACGTAACTCTAACAAAAAGCATTTAGAGAAGTACAATACCTACATATGTATATGATTTACCAAATATCTAGATTCCATGAAGTGGCGATATACGATCTGTCAGCCATAATAAACTACATTATTGACACCACGGGGAATATCACGCTTTCATATATTGGGTAATATTTTTTTACATGAGATAAATTGCACTGTTTATCCATTATTATTAATCGCAAAAAATTCTGAAAGGTTATCTGATAGGTAAACTAAATTTTGTAATTAAATTTTGTAATTTGGTTTTATTTTGCAACAGTTTCTCTTATGTTGCCAATGACGAAATTATTTAAGTAATATATAGCCAAATAACTTCTCAGAAAAATTATCGGACTTTCGCGACTAATAATAATTGACGAACAGTAGTTGTATGTGTATAATGCATTTTGTCGTTTTTTTAGTCATTCTATGGGATGTACTATTTTCCTTACACTGTTATCCTGTCGCCCAGAGTACTGCTCCAAGATAAGCGTGTGCATATTTTTAGCCCCAGCCTGTTACGGTAGGCACGTTCGTTCCATTGTCACCAAAGCATCTATCCCAATTCTAAACTGTTTGGTGAGATACATATTTACATGCCTAAGTCATTTTACCATTTGCCTTTTGTTACATAGTATGTAACATTTAATTCGGTTAATTTTGCAGGCATCTAGTAAATTCCTACGGAAACGACCAATACTAAACTGGACTGCATCGAACTATGTGCGATACACGGTGCCCATGTCCAAACGGGATATTGTGGCAGGATGGCTGCTTCGCATTTCTGCGAGAGTAGCTAGTGTAACCAGCAGTAAAGGAATTGACAAGGTTGTTCGATATCTATGTCATAATTATGCAAAAACTGGTATCGTACATATTTCATTATGTTTATACCTTATAGGAAATATATCGGAGAATGGCATACGAGATTCCTAATACTACGTCTTTGAAACTCGTTTGCCACGGTTTCCAGTGCATTGTCGCAGATAAGTTTCAAAATTATGATTACGGCAGATCTCAGAATCAAAAGATTTATGGTCAACTTAACCCACCACTTTATGAGCTTGGAAATATTTCTACCCCAATTGCGATTTTTTCGTCAAAAGGGGACCACTTGTGCAGTACTCAAGTAATTTAAATTGTAAACAGTTGCAGAAATACCACACTTACATACAAATAATTTTGATTATTCTAGGACATTGCCAGACTGTCGGAAGAACTTCCAAATTTAATTTCCCACAACTGCATTGAGGATAAAAAATTTTCACATGGTGATTTCATTTTTGGAAAGAATGCCCAAGCATCTGTCTTTGAAAATATTATCCAAATTCTTACAGAATATATATAGGAAATAAATGATATGTCAAAGATGTGCACTGAAAATTGATTTTAATGTTCATACTATACTGTACGATTGAAATGGGTGCATGCAACTCAAGCATTTATGTATGTCCCTCACTTTAGCATTTATTGTTGCTATAAAATCAAAATAATGACTTTAATTAACAAGGCTACGGGCTTCCTGAAGCCAAAATATTAGTAACAAGAAGGCAGTGACCATCACCTTCCATAAGAATTGTCTCATTAAGGACAAGTTTTTATATTTCATATCGTACTCAATCGTGTGAAAAATGCAAAATTCCATTACTGTCTTATGACTTGCCCTGGATTCTCCAATAATGCGACGACGAATCCACGTCCACCCTCCATCCATTAGTTATTTGTCTACTTTGCCGAACGGGTATACACCGTGCTCCACTTAATTGTTTTTTCCCTTCCATGCTATGTAACAACTCTTCCAATTAAATAATTGAAGGAAGGTGTACTAGTAAATACATAAAAAACAGCAAGTTTTGCAGAAAAGCTAGCTTAGTTTCTTCAAATACAATTTACATTTCACAAGTGACGGGTTTTTAGCTAAATTTTTCACTTGAATTTTTTTTGTAAAAAATATTCGAGTATATAATAATTATTGAATATATACCACCTGAATACTGAAAGCCGTGGAAAATTAGAGTTTAATTAACCAACTCATAGTTCCGATATGGAGCGAAATGAAAAGAAGAAAAATAAAACGGACAAGACAAAAAATTTTGTGGAGGACCACGGATATTTTTTTGAAAGGCACGAAGTAACAACGGAGGACGGATACATTTTACAAGTTCAGCGACTCTTGAAACGAGATAACTCCTCTCCAATCGATGCATCTGACAACGGCAAAGGCCTCGAAATAACCGACACCCTTGAACAACCACAACCACGACGACCCGCAGTACTACTTGTGCATGGATTACTGTGTCGAGGAGAAAGTTGGTGTGCAACTGAAAACAGCTTACGTAAGTTACATACGCTATGCTTATAAGACGTTCTCGAAAAATCTATTTGCATATTTAATATTTTATGAGATTTGTTCAGCCAACATACTCTTGGAGAAAGGATACGATTGTTGGCTACCAAGCTTGAGAGGAACATCAGGATCTAGGAAACATGTTGAACTTGCGTCAAATTCTAAGAAATATTGGGATTTCTCGTAATTGAAGTTAAAATAATTTACGAATATGCATATCATCCAGATTCGATTTAATTGGTATTTCTTATATAGATTCCATGAAATGGGAGTTTTTGATATGCCAGCAATCACCGATTACGTTCTGAATATTACAGGGAATACTAATCTCTCTTACATTGGGTGAGATGCTCGTTGAGATTCAATGGTTATTGGCCATATATTCATAATTATGCGTCAAATCTGTCTGTAGGCATTCAATGGGATGCAGCGTTTTCTGCATTTTCTTATCCATGCACCCAGAATATTGCTCGAAAATCAATGTATGCGTTGCACTGGCTCCGTCTTTTTATGGGAAATATATTCGTAGCTTACTTCTCAAATCTACATTTCCAGTCGGAAATTATCTGGTGACAAATATTGGAAACATAAATATGTTTTTACAAAATAAGTAAAATAAAGTATTGACTGATTTCCCTTTTAGGGAAGAAGTAAATATTTTCGGGAGCGTCCAATTTGTAAATGGACAGCATACCAGTGTTTGAGATATCTTGTTCCAAAATCGAAAAAGGACCGTGTTGCAGGTTGGTTGATTCGAATTTCAGGAGAAATTATGGATATAAATGGTGGTAAAGGAATTGAAAAGGTGCACTAAAAATACATAAAGCTTCGTAAAGTTTTCAAATATTATACCTACACAATTTTTATATAGAAAACGTATCGTACACTCTCGACAGAGTTACCAAACTCAACCTCCATGAAACTTTATTGTCACGGAGTACAATGTTTTTGGACAGATAAATTTCGAATGTACGATTACGGCAAATCTAAGAATGAAAAGATTTACGGTCAGTCGAAACCTCCTGAATATCAACGTGGAAATATTTTAGCTCCTGTTGCTACCTTCTCGTCGACTGGGGATCATTTATGCCCACCTCCCGTAATTTAAACGATATATTTATCCATGCCAGTTGAAATCGAATTGAATCAATGACCTACATAAGATTGTGGATATTTGAATTATTTCAGGACGTTAAACGCCTGTCAGATGAACTTCCAAACCTTATTGGGTACAATTGCATAGAAGATGAAAAATTTTCACATGTTGATTTCGTTGCTGGAAAAAATGCTCCTGTTCTCCTTTATGACAGTATCATCAAAACTATTGCAGAATACACATCCAAATAATTATGCAATAGTTATAATCAAGCTGTTTATGTGAAGCTTTGTAACACTCCTAACTGGCAACTCTAATAAAGGTTACCTTTTTTACAAAAATCTTAAAGCAGAAAACATACCTAGCCCAGATTACCTTGTCCTTAAAAAAATGCGGCTGAAACTTCTGTTTTATTTTAATTGCATACATCTTAATTGTAACTCTGCAAATGTATGTATATAGAAATGAAATATTGTCGTTTCATGTACATATGTACTTGCTAGACAATGTAATAATTGATCAACCAATATTCTAGCATAGATTAGATGACGACGTATGTATGTACATAAATACACTACAGACAGTTTAAATGCAAATATCTAGTTAAATAAATGCATACATATAAGCGCATGCATAAGTAATGTTCACATGTTATCCAATCTCATCTTCTCACCACTTAAAAATCATGTTGGAAAGTCATCACCTTATGTACGTTCTTTCGAAAATGGACCCCAAAAGTATATTTATTTATTTGGGTTAAATGTGTGTATAAATTTTAGAATTCGGTTTTGTCGGTTACAATTTCATGTTCAATTTTTCATTGCCTTCCCACAGATTGAATATAATCTAAAGCATTAATTCAGCCGACCATACGTATAAAGTGTACCAGTAAAATAAATCTGCCTTCGCATAATATGCATCGAATTTTCTGTGAATTTAAGTGTCTTGTTTTTCTTCACCCTGATCTTGTCTACCTTCAGTTTTTCGCATTTCTTACGTCCATCTTCTGCCCCGTGCTGTAGCCTGACCTTGCAAACAGCACAACCCCAACCTTCAAAGCGTGGGCTATTGTTTGCTTAAAAATACTCAATCGTTCCGAACTTGAATTGCATTGTGTAATGACTCATCGCTTTCACCACAAAGAAGATTTTATGCAGAAACTTGTTTCTTTCACCCTTCCCCCATTTGTTTTTCAACAGGTTATCCTTTCTTCATTGTCTTCCTATTTCCCCTTTGTCCAAGTCCAAGCTCGCAATAATCATGGATTACTCGAGTAGTTACATACGTATGTACGTTTAAAGTGGACGACAAACATTTGACATTAACTGTTTACACAGTGTCAAAGCATTAGTATTCATGGCACGATCAAAATCATCACTCAATACGGTATGAATTCGGTCCCGATTAGAATTGTATTGGGTACAAGAAGTTTAAGTCTAAAAAAGAATAATTTTACCGATTTGGTGAAGTGGTCAGCTAATACTTATCCCGATTTCATCCATGTTTGATTTACCGAAACATTTGATGCATTGGAGGAACAGTCGTCGTAGATATCTGTTCAGTAGCTCTTTTACTCCAAATCACTTTGATCACAAAAACTCATCTATCCAAATTATTACGCGTATCTCACCCCAAAAATATTAAATATTTCCACCCAAATCAATGGAGGACCTACCACTCCTACCCGAGGAGACTTCATATTTAGCCAACATTCTCACCATATTGGGTGGCGGCTTACTCGTCATTGTATCCGTGGTCGGAAACGGTCTCGTAATTTTCGTCTTCGCGATAGACTCGAATTTTCGAACACTGTCCAACTTTTACTTGGCTTCTTTGGCCTGCACGGATTTCCTGATCGGTCTTTTGGTCATCCCGTTTGGATTAATTTACCAGTACAATCAAACCTGGATTTATGGGGTCAACTACTGTCAAGTATGGCTCACGCTCAGCTACGGTCTAAGTTGCGTCAGTTCATCGCATCTCGTATTCGTGGCGATTGACAGATATCGAATAATGTTTCATGGAACGAACTATCTCCAACAAAGGAAATTAAGCAACATGTTGGAATCTGTCGGTTTCGTTTGGGTCATTGGATTTTGGACGGCCAGCCCCATAATTGCGGATTGGAGTCATGTCGCTGTGGACCCTGAAGTAATTAATCATTGTATGCCGAAGAAAACTCCAAGCTGGGTTTTGTTGATTAACATGATGGTATTCGTCATTCCTGCTTTTCTCATGATGAGATTGTACACCGTTGTGTATCTACAACTTCGGAAAAGATTGAGGAAGAAAGCTACCCAAAGTCCAGTCACCTCCAACCCATTGGCTCCATCCACGTCCAATTCCAATGCTCGAAATGAGGGAGTCGAAACGAAGCTTATCCTACCGAAATTGACTGTTGGCGCAACTAAGAATACTTCTCGAAATATCAGAAATATCGGAGAAGAGGTGAGGAAAAGGAAAATGCAAATTTGTTTACAGAAGGAAAAAAAGGCTGCGTTGACTTTAGGGTTGTTGATAGGATTGTTTTTAATCTGTTGGTCTCCATACTTAATCCTCACGACTATTCAAGCATTTTCACCAGATACCAAAATACCAAAGATTTTTAACACCACGAGCGCATTGTTTGGATGGATTAATTCTTGTGGGAATTGTTTTGTGTATGTTTATGTCAATAAAGATTTTAGGAAGTCTTTGAGTAAAATGTTTAAATGTTTGTGGAAGTAAATTTAGTATAAGTATTTAGGATTAGTATTAGATTATTTTAAATTATGATAAATTATTGTAAATAATAATTAAATACTGTATTTAATTCCTGGATATGTACTGTTAATTGTTGTTTTATGCGCATGATTAAACTTTTAACAAATATTGTAGAGTAATTTCACCTTGTATATGAGCATGGCATTAAATAAAAGCTAACGATAAGACTGAGGAGGGGAGTTTGTTTGCTATCAACTCAAGGATCTCGATGCCCTTTAGATATGTTATAGTGTCGCATGAATGAACAAGAATCCCTAAATAGTTTGATGCCATGGTCACATTAGCGCTCGCCAAACCCACTCAAATGTGCCCAAAAACGGAGAAAGTAGCACTTTCACTCATTCAAATCTACGCCAAAAATCCAATTTTACTCGGATTTTGAAATTCTGTGTACCATTATACTCCCAGATAGTTGTTTTCATCCAATTCCAAACCAAACTTTTTTTATGATTATTTCAGGCATAATTAGCGTTGTTTATTACTACAACAATGTTCATTAAGAATTTTAAATTTTTAAATACTACAAATTTCAAATAGTTGAGTTGGATATAAGAAAACAACTATCTGGGAGTAGGTATAATGACACACGGAATTTCAAAATCCCAATAAACTTTTTTGATGATTAATTCGCAGGCATAATTTGTTTTGTTGATTACTACAACAATGCTCATTCAGAATTTTAAATTTTAAAAATACTAAGAAATTCAAAAAGTTGAGTTTGATATTGGAAATAAGAAAGCAACTATCTGGGAGTATAATGGTGAAAGAAATTTGAAAATCGGAGTAAAATTGGATTTTTGAGGTGGATTTGAGTGAGTGAAAGCTGGAGTGAAAGCGATTTTTGGGCACCTTTGAGTGGGTGTGGCGGGCGCAAATGTGGCCATGGAATCAAACCACTTCAGGGTTGTTGTACATTCATGGGACACTACAACATATCCAAAGTGCATCGAGATCCGGGAGTTGATAGTACACAACCTCCCCTCCTTAGTGAAATCTCTCCATAGTTAATTTTTCTATACTTATTTTTTCCAACTCGCCAATTTCTTTATAAATTTATGTAGGTTAGGTTATGTTTCCCTTCTTCACACGTGTCACGTTCCCTTGATGCAACTCATATTTATCTGCTTGCATAATTATGTATGTGTGTACGTACAACTTATCAAACCAAACTCATTCCAAAATACAATGGACAATATTGTACAACCGTCCCATATAATTGTTCCACATTTATCGATTATACAATTTTACACCTGTGTTGAACCTTACACCTGTATAAAAGTTGTACGTAACTGATTGATGACACTGGGAAATTATGAAGCCCTAAACTCAAATGTTATTTGATAACAAAAGTCAATGTAAAACGATACCTATGTAAACTATGTTTGGCTTACTTTAAAATGTACATTCCACTGGATATTTTACAAGTATTGCGTAATGCATCTCCATAAGTAGGCTCATGCACGATTTGCTTACCCAAAGTAAATATGTATGTTACCAGTCACTCAAGAGAAGATTAATCCGTCAGACCCGAATTTGATAACGTATTTAATTGTGATCAATCACGTCATGAACTAATTTTAACTCCATGTTCTCGATAGTCTCAGGGGTACATAAAAAGGAAAATTTCTCCCACTTATACCAATCCTCGCTTATTTTCTGTACGACTGCTCAGTCCGGGTGAAATTCAATCAGAATGTCTTTCTCAAAAGCCATCATCATCCTTTCGGCATGCATTGTCGTCTGTCTTTCAGGAACGGTCCCAATCAACGATGGAAAGTACATCCTTGAGACGAGAGTTACCTTAGCCGGCGTTTTGTCGGTAAAAATTACAGCCGAAACGACGGGTTGGGTCGGATGGGGAATATCTCCAAATGGCTCGATGATCTTTTCTGACTTGATTATTGGGGGGTACGACCTGTCCAAAGGGGCTTACATAGGGGTAAATACATAACAATATTTACGAGTAATTGAAGGATTTAATGCTAACTACTCCATTTATTTTAGGATCGGTACGCAGTTCTACCAGGTCTCAGATTTCCTGAATTAGATGCCCAGCAAGATGCTACTCTCGTCTCTGCATCTGAAAATGGGACTCACACCGTGTTGGAGTTTACGAGGCTTGTAGATACTGGTGACAGGGTCGGGGATTACGTCGTGGAGAATCGAATGCAATTTATCGTCTGGGCCATGGGTGCGACGGATGATATTGTGTATCACGGACCAGATAGTCGTGGGGCTATCGAGCTTAATCTTATGGACGGTTAAGTAATTAGGAATCAAATGTAAAACTAAATAGAAAGAATAAAAAGGTCTCCGAAATTATTCGACACGTACGCAATGCATATTACCACTGGTAATTTGCCAACGTACATATACATCTCATGATCAATCTTATTGTAGTCATTCTATGCAACAAAGTTTATCTGAATTCAACTCTAACATCATCCTCTTTCACCGATGCACACTTTGGATTCCTTGTAATTATTTGTCTAATCATGTTTCATATTTATGTATTACTTTCACTCGTAATCCATGCCTTCCTGTTTATGAATTTAGCCAATGCTCCTCAAGGGAAATGTAATTGACGCCGAATTGCAAAAAATTTTATCAGGGATTTTGAGATCAATGAACAATCGCATACAGAATCCCTCCTAAAGCATTATTTTATTTATATACACGCACGCTACATACATACATACATACACAAAAAAAAGTGAGTTTAACCCTTTTATCGTCATATCCTTTTTTCCATCATCTCTCACAAAGCCCGTAACATAATAAAACTTGAGTGGGATGCACAACACACATATTTTCCTCTTTTATGTACTTGTGACATACTAATTAATCAATACATACACAAATAAATATTGCAAACTATATTTGTTTATTTTAAATAATTGGCTATGGTATTTTCTCTTTTTCAATACAAGTAATCCATGAACCAAAAATGGTTCCAAATAATTCACTCTAATATCACGTTTAATTCAAGTGTGGGCGACCCTTTTTGAACTTTACTTAAAATAAATTGTATCCATTACATTTAAATCATTGGCATGACATACGTAATGGAAGTGAAAGTCAAATCTTCCACTTAGATACTCTTAAGTCACTGTCAGATATAAAGTACAAAAATTGTGTTCAAGAAATTAACCTGCCGATTGAAATAGCCTTAAACAACATATAAATACTGAAATAATAGATAATGAACACATGGAAAACATGAATTACGAAATAGGAGATATTGTTTCGTCCAATTTCCCGATGGAAAATGATACTGATCTTACAACTCTCCTGGAGGATAAGAATGGTAAAGTGAAATACGATTTTATTTAAATATTTAAACTTTTAGTTTAGGGTTTAAGCCTTATACCCTATACGCATACAATTTGCACATGCAACGTACGTATGTACATAAATACCTATGTACAATGAATCAAATTGCTAAAAGTCTAACTTTTGCATTTATTTCCAGTTTGTGAAATGTTCAATGACTTTCTCGGAAGGCACGGATGCATTTCTCAACTGAAATTTGTCTGGGCTGTCAACGGTCTTTATGGTGTTGATGATGGAATTAGAATAAAACTTATGAAGCAAATAATATCCCAATTACTGCCAGGAACACAAGGAATTGAACAATCTATGCTAAAAAGATTACATGATGTACTAAATCAAACAAGCTTCAATTGTGGAACGGAATCGTGAGTTAAATACTTATTCATTCATTTACTCAAAGTCACTTGTCTGCAAGTTTTACTCAATACAATTTCGTAAATATTTCAATCAGAATCTACAGTCTCACCAATGTACTTGAGTCAGCCCGAGACCAAGTCTGGATTCACACCGAAACTGTCCTATTTCCTCAATTTCGTCAGGAAAATAACCCAATACTATGCGCCCTTTCTTACGCGGAGAGAAATTCTGGAGCATTTGATAACATTTGTGAAGGTCGTCCCTCGTCCACCTCCCTGGCATTCATGCAACAGATAATGATACAGAAGCAAAAGAATATGGAATTTGACAAGTTGGCCAGGGTAAAGTTATGCAACTCAACTCTTCTGTTCTCGATTGATACACTAAATTAATGTGCATGCTTTTCTTATTTTCTGTAGACAAACCCACACAATTTTGCTTACCTATTATTCCAAAAACTGGACCAGTCCCTGACGATTAAACAGCATGTCATTAATCAAATTCCTTCTGATGTCTTGGACGCAAAATATGCCCACATTACAAGAGTCAGGTCAAATTCGAGTGAAGATGAAGAAATGGATCGCATTTTGAGTAATTGATTGATTGACTGATTTATAGTATGATTTAAATCTTCAAGCTAAATTATTCTCCTCATTGTGTTATAAAGCCGACCATGTCGACAATGTGTTGGAAAATAGCCCAAGTCCTGTCCTCACTAGTGGCCCATTACTTCAAGATTCTTTGCCTTATTACCCAGAAAATCATTTACAACAACAGAATACTGGACGAAGGTCGACTGAAAATAATTATGCTCCATCTTCTTCAACATCACTTCGAGAATGGAATAAGGTGTGGCAAACGCTACTAAAATTTCCAATAATTTATGTATCACGTTATTTGATTATGGATAAATAATTTCTGTAATGTAGAGAATACATGGCTCAAAACGTTCTTTGGATTCTGCCATATCCGGAACGAGTATGGTTTCGTCATCCTCACATCAAAAATCCATAACCTCCTCTTCCAGAGCCAATCGGCATCCCAGCATGATAAGTTTAGACTCTGGTATATCTTCGCTCCAATCAAAGAAAACAATTTGGGATAAGCTTCGAGAATACAATGAAATTCATCAGGCAATCCAAGAAGGGGTGGAAGAGGGTGCCACGTTATCATCGTCATCATCACAATCGGATGGCATGGGAAATGGGTCATCGCGTAGTAGAACGTCTGAATTGGGAATTGCACCGCATAATCAACCAAGGGCTGATTTACACTCACAGAAAAGTCATAACCAGAGACAATTCAAGAAGAACAAGACTGATATTAACTCTGCTGATCAAGAGTTATCGTCTTTACATACCAAATACATTTCCACCATTGTGACTTATCAGTCAGAAAGTGGGACATCTAATGAATCCTTCCTCTTGAAGATTCCAACTAGCTCCACGATTAAGCTTGACCTGTTCAAAAAATATCTCCCAAGAAAAGTTGAGCATACCTTCAGATATTTTTTCAAATCAGAAATATCGTGTCCAGAAATGGGATGCGGAAATGAGGCTGGTAGTATTTTCGTGGTAAATGAAGAGATTACGGAGGATTATCAGGTAAACATATCTGTAATTGTACAATCACCGGGATTTGATAATATGCATCTGACTTTTGTAGGACATCCCCCTGCTAAATGGCAAAATCGTTGCAGTTGTTAAGACGGGATGATTTCTAAAAAATGTGGGAAGCTACATTATTGTAATCCAGACCAGCGAGTACCATATACTTAACACCATTACGAATTTTTTATACCTTGACTCAAACCGGATGATTCATTACGAGTTTGTATGTTCGTATCGCAAAAATAACTTTTCGAACGAAATACTAGCCTTGGAGATGCGCACATTTTTTACAAACTTGTGCTTTTGCGTTGCTAATGATGCGAACTTGCTGTGAATGTTATCCTAAGTGTTATCTTTCTTGAGCAATCAATAAATGAAGACTGATAAATACTTGTACTTGGATATTGAACGGATCAATACAAAATGATTGAAATCAGTTAAGTAGTATTTAGTCAATTTTGATAACACATTCTGAAATGAAAATTCAGTGACTGATTCTTCCAACCAAGTCACAAGTTATATCATATTTAAGACTATTATGCATTTTAATGACATTGTTAACAAATAGATATTTACTGGAAAATAAATTTTATATAATACTCATAAGTCGAAATTCTCACCTTTACTTACAACGTATTTCCATGCATTCCAAATTGCTTACCATCAATGACCCCCTCACTGAATGAACAAGAAATTATTAAATCACCAATGGATCAGAATTTTAAAAATAGATTATCTATTTTTCACATTAATTAGTGGCATTACCACGTATTAAATAATTGCCCCAATTAATTTTATGGATATTTCCCACCTCACCAATTTTCCGTTTATTTATTTACATAGTAAGCAAACACATATTGGTTTATCTACATTCCAATTTATTAGCCCGAACCAGGGCTTATGTAATTGTCATGTCCGTCTGTCCGTCTGTCTTTCGATAACTCTCGAACGAGTTGACCGATTGACTTGAAACTTTTACCATATGCATATTGGACAAAGTTAGGAAACGAGTTCGAAGATGGGCCAAATCGGTCAAGTGGTTGACCCGTGGGGGTCATCGGAGTGGGTGGGATCTTATGCACCAAAATCTCAAAATTGTCGTAGAAAGCTGAAATTTGGCACAGAGGTTGATAATGGCTCCTAATAGATAAAAATGACTTCAAATTGGAAAAATTTTCATCTTGAGTGACCCTAGGGGTTGACTCATACTGATTTTTCAAAATCGTCATATCGAGCTGAAATTTGGTGGAGAGGTTGCTTGTGGGTCCTAATGGAATAATATGACATGAAATTGGTAAAATTTTTATCTCGAGCGACCCTATGGGGTGACACCGATTTTTAGAAATTAACATAGAAAGCTGAAATTTGGACCAGAGATCCTTACTGCTTTCTCATGAAATAATATGAAGTTAAATATGAACAAAAATTAACCAGAGGGGCTATAGAGGCGACCCCCACAGGGAAGTTGTCAAGGATAAGGATAGTAAATATTTTTAGAATTTGGAGCCTAGTAGTACAAAAGATTGATGCTAGTTAATGCAAAAATTAGTGTAAAAGAATAGCACACAATTTTATAGAAAACTACAGACAAACATGGGTTTACTAATCCTGATTCGGGCTAAGCAAAGCTGTACTGATAGGTTTTATATAAGCAATCATCATGCGAAATGAAGTAAGTTATAAAGTTACATAAAATGTTCGGCGTTGTTGCCGAATACGATTAGCCCTTTTATCATCTTATCTGAGCATTCTGAACACTAAATTTCCCGTCCCCAATGGGAAGTCCGAGATTGAGTTATCCAACCGAGCGGATTTCCCTGGTAGATGATAAGCACTTCAAGGACAGAACTTCCCCGCTTTTCTGACATGGACTGTCCTCATCAGGTATAAAAGCTATCCAGAAATCTTGGAAAGTAACACAATCTTCTCCTCCATCCTTGCCAAACATACCAGCAACAAAAAAGCTTCATCCTGAAGTAACTCCTCGTCACTATAACCATAATAAATTCAAAAATGAAAATAATTCAAACATTTCCTGAGATACAATTTATGCATTTGAATGTCTCCCATCTAAATGCATGTTTACACATGTATGCTCGATAAATAGCTCCACAAATTTTCCGTCGCATTTCATAATATTCATTTCATGCTCCTAGATACACAGAGTGATTTACATACAAGCGTATGTAAATATGTACATTACGTGCATACATGCATATTGTTATAATCATCTCAATATCAGGCCTATGCTAAGTGCGTTTGACTTTGACCCCTGAACTATTGTATGTCCCTTTTGGCAATAAGAATGAGGAGCAACTTCATGGTGAAGCTTTAATTCTTTGTTGGTATGTTTGACAAGGATGGAGGAGAAGATTGTGTTAAAATTTGAGTGGGGTGTAGAGTGGAGTGTCACTCACGTTCTATGAATGCACATTCATAGAACGTGAGTTACATCCCCTACTTTACTTGACACCGACCATGAATTGGTCGGTGTCATAATGACGCCAGTTATATATTAGAATATATATATAATTGTATAATTTATACAGACAAGTTTTTATTTAGTATTCTGTGTTTGCAAGTTGATTTTCGGAAATTTAAAATTTGCTTGATATTAACTAACCAATAGCATACAAATATATATCATCGCAATATATCTATTGCGATGTTACGACTACCTACGCCTACGTATGTATCAAATGTCTCAAAATAACCAAAATAAGGCCCGGCACTCTCACCCATAAATATCTCAGCCGGCTTTATGTAATTCACATCATGGAACATTGAATATTTACCTTCTTTCCTCTACAAATAATAAATAAATAATTATCTAGTCAATAATTATTTATTTCTATTACATATACACACACTTTAATTAAACAATTAAATCATATCACAATGGCGTACGTTCTCTCCAGTGTGCAAAATACCACGACCGAACTCTGTTCCAGTCTTGTCCATCAAATCCATCATTTAAACGATTACCATTTCAAATGTTGTCTCATCAAGACGACGGCAACGGTTATAGGGGGAATTGGTGCCATAACTTTGATGGCGGCTCCTTTTACCAAGGGGGGAATCTCCATGTTGTCATGTGTTGCTGTCGGCAGTGCTGGGACACTTTTAGGCGTTGGGATCAACGTGGCGACGGATTTCGTCATAAGTAAACAAAGTTCCGTCTTCCTCTCGCAAGTCCAAGAGTACAGCAAGCTGTCGAATACATCAACCGGCGACACTACAGACTTGAAGCGAATCAAAGCCTTGTCATTTGCCGATCCAACCCTACTTCTCCAAATGGTAGGGATTGGAGGCCCCTTAAATGAATTGCGGATTCTATCCCACGCCGCCAAACTTGTCCAAGTCCACGCCCTCATGGTCAGAATGTTCTTGCTGAATATGAATCTCCTCATAAAGGTGGCTTATTACAAGACGGGGGGTCAATTTTACAAAGTTTTAAACTCGGCAACGTCACATACGGTGAATGAGACGCTGAAATGGGTCGCCGTGGGGGCAACAGTGGTCGTCGTCCTGGTTGATTTCTCCCTCATTTGTAAACAAATATTTAACATGTATTATGGTAATACTTGATTTTTAACAATAATATCTTCTGCATTAGTAAACGAGTGGCAGAGTGAAAGCACGGCCGTGTCATGTGGGGAGAAAATTGTTGAGGAGATCAAACAAGGGCCAGTTGGTCAGGTATGGGTTAGCAGGATTGTTTTTTAACTTTACTTTAAAGATTGCGTGTGCTAATTACAATTGCAATTTTTAGATTGTGCAACAAGAGCAGCAGATAATCCAAGATGCACAACCTGTCAATGAGGGAGAAGACTGAGAAGAGTCAAACTAATGATTTTGTGGGAAGAAAATGTCCAGTCCTTTGTAGTACTTTGATTACCTGATTTACCTGAAGTAGGAAAATTGACTTGTACTTGATGCGCATATTATGTAAGTCTGATGTTTCAATAAATTGTATCTGATGAAAATTTTAACGTCCGTATTTTTTTTAATTTGTATGCATGCATGATGCACGATAGATGTATGCATAAGATGGGAGTCGTAATTCGGAAAATGTTGAACATGAATCGTAAATTTAATTTAAATTCATAAGCTACAGCATACACATTTAAATGGGTAATCAAATTTTGCATTTAAGTTTATGATCTATGTATGTATGTAGTATGCCGTTTATATGTAGGATTCATGAAAAAAAACTAACGTTGAGTTACACGCAAAAAGAACATTACATTTCACATCAATTGAATTGGTGTATGATGACTTATTTAAGAAACGCCCATTAAAGTAAGTAAACTGCATCCAAAATTTCAGATCAAATGTCCAGCCTTTTCTACCAAATTAATTCTTATATCTTGAAAACTTGGTCGGTCATTTGGATTTTGATTCCAACAAGCATCAATGACAGCTTTAATGACGCAATAGGCATTCACGTCCTTATAGTAGGATGGATTTTCTCCTTGATGAAGTGAGCAAACTACCTGTGTGCATTAAACCAAAGCCCTTAATTACAAATATTACCAGCTCCTTCTCCCGTAATATGTATTTCAATTACTTCTGTGTTACCAAGCCCATTAAATGGGAGCCATCCTCTGGTCCAGATTTCAAACAAAAGAACGCCATATGACCAAACATCCCCCGCATAGTTAAACTTTGGCTTGGCCCACTTTGACAAGGGTACGTTCTCTCTTGGCATCCATCGTAACGGCATTGGCATTAGGTCCTGACTCATTCCCTGCCGTGGTACAATTGAAATGTTAAATTCACGTTCACTTAATTTCAGGAAAATAAACTATATTGTTTTATCAGTGCATACATCTGGGTACATTTGGTAGTAATCTGATTCGTAGTTGCTTTGAAATTTCCCAAAGTCTCCAATCTTTACGGTTGTGTTCAGTCCAAGGAGGCAGTTCCGAGCAGCAAGATCGCCATGGTATTGACCTGCATTGTCGTGAAGGTATTCCATACCACAAGCGACGCCAAACGCAATCTTCATCATCCAGGTCTGCAGAAAATTCAAAATTTAAGTATAATTATTGTTATGCGATGTCATTTTAACACATCCTACCAATGGCAGACCTCCTCGATGAGTTAGCAAGTAGTGTAGCAAGTCGCCACCGGGCATGTATTCCATAATCATCCAAGGAACAGTAAAACCGGCTGTAAAGAAAATGTTTTGTTTTAAAAATTATAGCCTTTATCCATACAGATCAGAAACTTATTAATTCATGATTAGTTTCTTACATGGGTTACAGATACCGTAAAGATACAGAATGTTTTGATGGTTTAGTTGGCTCATTCGGTATGCCTCCTTCCACGCGTCATCCTCTTCTACTTGATAGTTCATAATTTTAATGGCGATGTCGGTAAAGTAAGATTGTCCGTTCTTGCGTCGAATCCATTTTCCTGTAAATTTAGAGGAGTTAGTGTGCATAATTAGTCACAACAGTCTAGATTTAGTGCACACAATTACATGCATATCTAGGCTATTATGTAGTGAAGCTGTGGATGTACATATTACCATCCGGGTTGTAACTATAATATGCAAGTATTGGTGAAAGCATTATTTTCACTCACCTTTGAACACTTTTCCAAACGCCCCTTCCCCCAACTTGTGCATGCAATTTATATTTGCTGCAGAAATCTGGGTCAAACCGTTATTTTTAAGATAGTAATTATTATAGTTCGACATGATTATTGAACTGAAATGTTATTCTCAGCTTCACTGAGCAACTACGACTAAAATTGTGAAACGATTCTTTGACTTGTATGACTGTCAATCTTAAACGAACTTGTTTCGATAATTATTGTAGGATTTGTGAGACTGGCGAGATGTATGTAAATAAGATGATAGTGAAGTCAGATTTACAGGACCAGATTAGTGTTGTGTTTATGTACTGGTTTAGAGGAATGAGGAGAAATTATTAAAATTGGAAAGAATTGACAAGATTTAATCTGAATGGAATATTTCCCACATAAGTTAAAATACAAACTAATCTACATGCATATGTACTTGCATATAAATACAACTGTACACCTGTAAAACTTTATAGGGTCACCTCTATAAAACTGATCTTGTATGTACGCCCCTGGCAGCCTGTCACCATCTCAATTTGGACCTTTTTGCATGATTTGATAACTCTATACCTCTGCTATCCTGTTTGAGAATTTATATCGTTTCAAACTCTGTAGCGTACATACAAATATATGTACGTATACAGTACCTTTGACGTAGATACAAACATCCGTGCACACGTATTTGTACTGCCTAAATTCATACATACAATGAATGGAAGATGTTGCCGTGCATATGCATGTGCACAACATATTTATAAATAAGTTAGTATGCATATTATTAAATTAGTATATAAATACACGGAAATAATTTGGTCCTTAAATTAATATCCACTTCTCCTTAATATTTATTATGATTATTCTGTCTAGGTCTTCTTGCAAACCTGAAATGAATTTATCTGATGAGTTTAACGTGTGTTGCTGGAATCTAAACGTTTCACCTTTCAGACAAGCAACCCACAGATAGAAATGTGCAAGTACATAATATTCTCACGACAAGAATAAAATCGTTATTTCTTCATCAGGTATGGTATCCATCTTGGCCTTAATTTTATTCACTGGAAGCATCAATCAGAGTGCAATGAACAATTCATTCGTTTTGGTATCTTCTGTGGTAAAAAATTGACGAGGACTTATGAAAAAACTTATCAGTTTAAAAATCTTCAATTTTTATTTTTTGAATGCACATTAAGCTTAATTCACTAAATTTATCCATGTTAGAATAGCAGCAAAAGAGAAATAAAAGTTGCACCTAGTATTGAGAATTTGTATGAAGGCATAAATTTCACATTATAAACTCCTCGAATTAGATTGACTTTGTCAGATCGTTTTCGTAAATGGTATCCCAAAATGCCATTCGCTTTTGGAAAACTTCCGTATTTTTCACCATTTTAGGCATGACATCCACCTCATAAACTTTGTTGGGTTGAGTTGCATCAAAATGGAACTGCTCCCATTCCTTCCCTTCTCCCCAAGGTGTGCTTGGTTTCCTGGAAAAATGATAAAGTTAAGCTCTGGAAATTGCACATAATTAGCTTAGCAGATATAATATATTTTGCTCACCCATCTTCAAAAAATGAAGTCCACATTCGAACCATTCCTTTGGACAAGATGTACTCAACTGGTGCTGAGTCTTCATTCGTTACTGGGATCATGAACGAGTTTGACATGTTAAACAAGTATTGGAGATCATCCCAATGTCCTGGACCTATGAATTCGAGAAAAATATTATAGTCCATCTTATACACTACTGATTTAGGTAATAATCCGCTCTATAAACTCACCTTTAGGCATATTATGGTACCCAATAATGTCCACTGCCCGATTATGCGTCTCTGTGTGGTTGAATCGGTACACGTACATTGGGACAACGCCGTCCCAACTCTTCAGAATAAATTTCAAAAAGTATTCGAAATACTTGTCGGTGAACATGTCAGCGAAGCCTTCGTTGGAAAGGGTTCCATTCTTGGAGTAAAAGTCAAAAACTTGGTTTGCCATTCCAACGGAATTTTTGGCGTCTTTAAAGTCAAGAATTAGAGGGCCATACTCGGTCCAATTTTTTATCATTTTGTTATAAAAGGCCGTATCATTGAGAAACACTGCAAATAAGAATCGTGCAATTTAAATTTTATTTATTTGCTTGTTTGTTAGTATATTACGGAAACCTTACTGGCAGTTGCAGGGTCTATCCCATCCAAGGCGGTAGTACCAATAATTAATGGCACGTTGTTCGGGACCTTTCCACTTTTTATAATTTCGAACGGATGCTTTGGAAGAATTCCACCTTTTCCATCTACTGATGGACCAAACATTGCAAAATCCTCCATCGCCGAGAAATCTGTCATGTCACCGGTTGGAACTTTCATTTTTTTGAGAATCTCAAGTGGTCCCATTTCTGTAAATTTTTACAAATAATTCAGATAATTATGAGAACAGATATATGTATTTTTTTGGGAAAACTTACTTTTCAAGCATTTCACAAACTCGTCCGATTTCGAACTATTTGGACATCCAACCTGCTCGGCCATCTTTTTAGCCTGAGCTGCTGGATCTTTTACGAATGTGCATGAATTAATTGTACTGCTCATAACAACTGCGCGATGAAATAGCCCTTTGTCCTCCGGATTCATGAGGTGGAAAAGGACATCTGCTCCGCCAGAGTCTGCCCCCATTAACGTGACCCTCTCCCAGTCTCCAGAAAATTTGTGAATATTCCTCTGAACCCATTTCAAGGCGAGGCTTTGATCCCGAAGTCCCATGTTTCCAGGAGCATTTTTATCTCCAGTGTTCAAATAACCGAACAGGCCAAGGCGACTGTTTGGCGTGACCAGGATGATATCTTGGTCCATCAAGTAATGCGGATTGTATTGTTGTGACGAACCGAAAAAGTGGTTGCCCAAGTGAAGAAGGACGACGACTGGGTACAGTTTCGTTGGATGGCCAGATTGGGGTAACTGGAATTTGCAATTTTACTGATTATTAAATTTTGAAATTAGTTGTTGAGATATAAATCGTTAGAAATATAAAAAAACCTTTGGAGTGAAAACATTCAAGTTTAGACATTCCTCTTCTCCAGTGTATTTTCCATTCATGCAGTCAAATTGGGCGCAGACTGGGCCAAAAGCAGTCGCATTAAAGACATTTGACCATTTATCAGCAGGGACGGATGCCTACACGTTTAGTAATAAAAAGTTAATAAAATTTCTCTTAATTAATTTATAAATTAAGTAAATACATATGAGTTTACGCTACGCACCTGGAATCTCTCACCAATTTTTCCGAACGGAATTCCCTTGAATTGATAGAATACTCTACCACCTCTCGAATTTTCGGTAGAACCTTGAACTAATCCATCCCCTAATTCAAGCAAAGGTTCCTCAGCCAAGGTTGGAGTGACCGCTGCACCCACAACGAAAACAAGACAGATAAAAAATGTTCGAAAATTCATTTCTCTAGTTTTTAGAAGTTTATGCAACTCAATCTAAAGTCGGGTATGAACTGAGACCGGGATCAAGCGTCATGCTTTATATATCGCTGAGATTCATGGATTTGCACATCTTAATAGCATCATCATTGGAACAGGACTGAACTTGAAGTTGGACGAAAGAAAATGAGAATAAGAAAAGACTGGCATGTCAATATGCATTTTTTGCCGGTGTTGTATGACCAAGGTTATTGGGAATGCTCGTTAACACAGCGCATTTATTTCTATTTACTCGGCTAGAGTGGTTTTTGCAGCGTGCAAAATTCACGTGTACATAAATACATATTATTATTGCGTGTGCTGGTTGAACCTGTGCTGGACAAGTTCATGACAAGTTGAATCATGGTTTAATTGAACTTCGAAAGAAATTAGACAAGCATGCACTTGTTTTATTCAGTGCTTGGATGGTGCTGGATGGTCGGGGTATCTTCACCGTATCAATTTATAGTGCTATATGATGACTTGCTATGTAAAAAGCATTTTTGATAATGTTGATTTGCATGCAGATTTTTGCAAACACCAAAGTGGGGCCTCATTCTACATAAATACTCTCTATGCAAATACAGTACTTCTTCGCGACAATATAAGTAATTTTTGTATTATGGTTAGACTTAAAATTAGCTCAAGTTTATCTTTGTTTCGTTAGGGAAAATATTTATACGTAATAATTTATGTTTTTTGATTATGGAAGTATTAGATTCTCAATGCTTGAATGCATTTATACAAAACGGTCGTTAAACAATGCAGGTTTGATTGCTGAAAAATGAAAAAAATCGACAAACTATACTTTTCTTGAAAACAGTTTCCATAATAATTTACTTGGTAACAATTTGGATGCCATTTGGACATTATGTCATTATTCGTTATATCAGAACCGCGTCAGAGGAGAAGGTGAGGATACTCTTTGTCCAAGTAGAGAATAAAATCCCCCAACACTGTGTTCGCCCAGGCAAACCAATCTCTCGTGAACTCGGATGGATCGTTTACATCATAGCTTTCATGCCTGCATTAAATCAATAAATATGCAATTTTATAATTGACAATTTAAGGTTTATGTACGTAATTACAACGACGACTTACATGAAGCCGGTTCCAGCAGTCGTATTTCTTACAGTCCATAACATTCTTGACATCTCCACCTCGTCCAAACTGGTCATTCCTTGCATGCAAACGGCCATATGCCAAGTTTGTTGAAGTCCAGTGTGTGGTGAACCGACGCCACCGTAGAGGCCTCGTGCGTAATAAGGATTCCAATCAGGGGACAAAATGTATTGCCTCGTATTCAGATAAATTGGATCATCTTTCTCCACAAAACCGAATTTAGGGAGAGATAAGAGCGATGGAAAGTTGGCATCGTCCATGAACAAATGTGACCCGTAGCAGTCAACCTCATACGCGTAAACTTGTCCAAACTGTGGATGTTGGACGATTCCATGTCTGGTAATTGCGACGTGCACTTGTGTCGCTAAAAGACTCAGTTCATTCGCTAATTCTGGGAATCTGCCGACATCATTTAAAATCTGGGCGACCCCACGCAAGCCCACGACCGCCATGGCGTTGGATGGGATCAAATATTGAAATATTGTAGAATCGTCTGAAGGACGGAAGAAGGAGCGAATCAAACCGCAAGTTTTTGACGGGTTTCCTAATCCGTATAAATTTTGGGTCTCTGTTTGCGTTCGGGTTGGTCTAGTAAATTTGTATGGCTCATTATCCAACACTTCTAAAGTTCCGGCCTGTAAGTCACGAAATGTTTGAATGACGAGTTCAGTAGCATTTTTCCAAAATGGGTTATCCAAGAATTCAGTATTGCCAGTTTCCTCGTAAAAATATTTCGTCAAGTATAAAAACGAGGCTAAACTGTCTACTTCGAATTTAGCTTCGAATACTTTGGTCAGGTCGGGGGGCGGGTGTACGGTGTCGTTTTCTGCGGCACTGTGGGGGGGTAGATCTATCTCCGCCTGCCAGTGTTCGAGGGGAAAATAGGCGTTGGCGAATGGATAAGATAAAATCATCTCGGCCTGCGTGTTGATTAATCCGAGGATTAATTCGCGAAGTTCTGAATCATTTCTCGCATATGGAACGTACGGGTTGACTTGATACGTACTGTCGCGTAGCCACATACCTTGAATGTCTATTAAGTAAGGAAAAATTGTGATTTGTGACTACGTTTTATGTGTAAACTAATGTTTCCAAATACCTCCAGTGATGATGTAGGTGTATGGGATGGGAAATTCAGCGCTGCGTGATCGAGTCCATAAAACAGTCGTGTCTGAAGAAATTTTAAATAAAATTGACAAGTCTTTATTTATATTTAATATGAACTTACCCAACGTGCTTGGCAAACAATTTTGAAATATTTGTCTGATTGTGGGATCGCCAATTCTGGAAGAAACGTCGAGAATGACATTTTCTATGGTGGAACTATTGTACAACCGTTCCGATGGGGGTGGTCTGGCATCAGGAACTTCAGATTGGCCTACAACAAGATGAACAAATGCTAAAATGCAGACAAATAAGATCTTAAAGTTCGCCATTCTCTTTTCGTGGAATACTTGTTACTCTGTTTTACATAGGTGTGAATTAGATTAAGAGACATTGCGGGCTGGACAAGACTTGAGTAGGTGATAACGGTATCATTTGACAAATATCATGAAGTTTAGTTTGATAAGGATTTATTTGTGGGATAAATAATCGACAAAGTGTGAAGAAGCGATCCATCAAGTAAAGAGCACATCCAAATTGTCATGTCCAGATGATGTAAAGATGATAAAATAAGTCAGCATTATTCCAACAATCTGTGTAAATCATATGAAATACAAGCTAGCACATTAAACTCGTCATTTATTCCTTGTAATCAGGGTTCGGAAAAACCCAGGGTTTTAATCAAAAAGTAACGACCCAGGGGTTTTAATGGGGTTTAATGGGTTTTTTGGGTTTTAATGGGTTTTATGGGTTTTATTGGGTTTTATTAGGTTTTACATAAGTAATACATTGAACAACAATTTTCACTACTATTGCAATCCAATTTCAATTAATATGCAAATCCTACTTGTCCATGTTAGAATTTGTATCCGTTTCGAAATAGTCCTGTTTAACTGATCATAGTTTAATACTTTATGAGAATATATATTACCTCTTTCTCGAATACTTCCTCTCATCATAATGAAATCCAAGTTTAAAAGTTTTTAAAATTTAATATTTCAATGCGATCTTAACGTGTATTATCAATTCTGGAAAAAATCGAGTACTTATGAACAATGAAAGTACGTATGTATTATGATCGAGAATATAATAAGTGCTTTTTACAGACACACTTCTTTTGCTCACAATAAAGTACTTCGCTGTCCATAAGTACTCGATTTTTCCAGAGGTGATAATTAAGATCGCCTTGAAACATTTTAAAAAACTTTATAAATTAAAAAAATACTACAGTATTTTGTTTAATTTATTCGCTGAGATGAGAGGAAGTATTCGGGAAAAAAGTATTAATTATGACAGCAAAATGTAAATTAAATGTAATTAAATTATGTATGCTCACTTAAACATACCTCGTTCCGAAATTATTATTTTTAAATATTTTTGTCACTAGAAACTTGTAATGGCACTCGCTGATTTATTCCTGGTTTTTAAAACTTACAGTATTAATCAAATAAACTGCTTAGCTGCCATGAAACAACTTCGTCTAACGTACGACAGCTGTTTTCAGCTTTTAGAATATAGTTTTAAGCTGAAACACAGTTAAAACCCATTAAAACCCGAATAAAACCCATTAAAACCCAAATAAAACCCATTTAACATGGTAAAACCCAATGGGTTTTATTCGTTAACAACCCATTAAAACCCATTAAAACCCAAAAAACCCAACCCAATAAAACCCTGGGTCGGAATACCCTGCTTGTAATGTATGTGTGTAGGTCACAATAAAAATGGTATGATAATCCAGTGCAAACATACTTCCAGTAATCCAAAGCGAATGACTACTTGTAACCACTTCCAGCAGGAATAGAAAATCTAATTTATTCTTAAACTCGTTCTTAATCGCAACCCAATTTCGAATCGATTAATACATATACATGCATTTAGCCAGCATATTGAGGCAATTCATACCTTGATAACATTGTAAACTCTGTAAAATTAGCTTGCAAATCATTTCGATATGAAAGATGTCATTGATTTGAATACATACATAAGCATGCAAATGCTAAATATGTAGTAAACCGATTTTCCTTATGTAAAACTTTGTAAAGATTTATAAGTTTGCGAATTTCACGTTGTTTGCGAGCTTACCAAGGACAATATGAACTACCTCAATGTTTTCATTTTTCATACCTCATGTTTATGTTACTGCATCGAAATTTTTATCCAGTAGAATAAAGTCATCAATAATTTGGCTTATAAAACAAATTAGTATGTATGACACAGGCACATATATATGTATGCAAAATGTCTTATTCCTGAATTAATTAATTTTTCGTAGCATTGATTATGTCACATATTTGTGCAGGTAAAATAATTCTTTATGTAGGCATGTAATGCACGTGCATACATATATGGTGATACCACGGTGATACACAAGTTGATTATGTACACGGCAATTCTGGCCGACTAATGATAGTGCGATTTAATTGACAAGATAAAATGTGAATATTATTTAAGTCTGAAAATGAGTAATGTCACTCTTCTAAGTATCTGTAATTTTGAATTAAATACGTATTTACAATTATTGATATTTAATTTGTGAGTACTAAATACATGTCAATGTGAATCTACATAAATGTGACTACCAGGTACATATATAAGCAGTTGATGCACCTGCGCAGTAAAATGTATTTAATTGCGAATCTGATATCCTGATTACAACCATGAAACTATAAGTGTTCACGTATTTATTAACATTTTAATACATACATAGTGATACAAATGGAGAAATACTGAAAATTTTTACCGGAAGGAACCTTAGATTTTCATGATGCATGCACGGAATGAAAATAAGGAAACTATTTATACATAAATATAACTATTCATATAAATTATTTTGACAATTAAAGTTACATATTATTACATTTATTTATGGGGCATTCGCAGAAATAATGTTAACTCAGTGGCGGATAAATAGGGTATGTGGGGTAGGTGTGACATAGGCCCCCGCTGCGCGGGGGCCCCCGGGTGCGGCGTGGTGTACATATTGCTATACTTAAGTTTGGCCAACGAATTTCGAAAAATAAATTCACTGATACTTCGGATAAATCATTATTAAGTACTCGCATAAGAAATAGTTTGGGGAACCACAAGTAGTTAGTTGAGTATTTATGGATATATGTTGAAGGTAATTAGGTTACGATTATTTTTGGAATAAATTTGGAATAAATTTCTCACTGGTCAATTATAAATTGATAACCAGTCAGTGGTAGACTCAAATATATATCTTCGATTCAGGTTATAATCGTAACCGAGTCATTTCCATTGTGGATTGTTAATATGTAATCTTGGAAGGTGGTTTCTTGGGGTTCTAGCAATTTTTGCATGCCATTCTGTAAAATTTTCGCAAACTATACGTAGGTAGTAGCTTAGAAATCAATATGGGGGCCCCTTGACAGAGGTGAAACCTTTTCTACCTAAAAGCTGATTTTTTTTATTTTCTTGAAATATAACAAATAAATATGTGCCAAAAATTATATTTCAACAAAATTTGGCTAGAAAAAAGTCTCATATGTATCTGTCAAGGGGCCGCCAAATTTATTATCCAGCTACTAAAGTATGCGAAAATTCTGCGGAATCGCCTGTAGAAATTGTCAAATAAAAATTATGTTGGCCTCTTTATATTAATCGTTGTCTCAATCTAGTTCATGGTGATTCCAAAATTGACGCCTAATTCCTCACGAAATTTAGAGAAATTTCATAGCGAGTTAATATTCTCCCCCTATTTCGATCTTCGAATTGGGAATTATTGAGACGATAGTCATAAATGGTTAGGATTAAAAGTAACTGTGCAACTTCAGTCATTTCTAAAGCGATACTGTTTTTCATAATTTTATTTCTGGGAGCGGTGCAACGTAGTAAAAACTGAATATTTTCTCTAGGAAGTGAAAATAGTTCGATAACACTACCACTGACTACCAGACATTAACAAATGTCGCCAATCGGAGTTCTTTTTAAGCAAATGCATTTTCCGTATCAAGTCAGAGCGCATAATTTAATTAACTTGACAGGAATTTTTCGCCAAAAAGTTTTTGAGGCCTAAAATCACGACCACAGCGAAATTAAAAGAATTGAAACATGCAAAAGCATATAGAAAGTGCATATACCTATGCTTTTGTATATTTCAGTATATTTTATATTTCGAAATTCGCCTCGGTCGCGATTTTAGGCATCAAAAACGTTTTTTGCGAAAAATTTCTGTGGGCCTCAAAAACATCGTACACTGTCGTACGATAGCTCATTTTCTTCGTAAGACCTAGCAGTTTCCAGTAAAATAAGGAGAATCTACGAAATAATGGATCACTTTTTACTTTAGTAGCGAAATCGTCAAAACTAAGTTTCGGAATCTGAAATTTTTGCAGAATATGCTAAACATGTCTAACCACGGGCCCCCAAAATTTCAGAAGTTTTCAATGAAAAACAAATTTCGTACACCACTTCAAAGCGAAGAACTCGCGAAATGAGTTTTTCGTAAGTGCCAAAATTTGAGTGACAGAGACTCGAAGAAGACTTGGCTACATTTCATCAGAGACGGGTGTGGCCGTACAAAAATTAACACATACATACAAAAGTATGGAGAATCCGAAAATGTCAACTTCAAATAACCACGATTTGAAAAAACCATCATGTTGACCCCTCAAAAGTTAAAAACGATTGAATCATTTTTTGAAAATTATCCATCCACGTCGGTACCTTATGCGGCCACGAAGTCAAAGATTAATACAAACCACGTGTATCATATTAATGCCTATAAAATGGGGGTCAAAGCGTATGCAAAGAAATCTCCAGGAAAACATACGGGAGCTGAAGAAAAATGGTAATCGCACGACCTCCGAAGCTTTACGACAAAATTTCACCAAAAAAGTTGGTCATTCACGAGTCGTACGTCCTTAAAAACGTTACCAAAACTCCGGGAAGGCAATTTTTTCATGGGAAATATATCTCACAATTGAAAACCGAAGAGAAATTAAAATGTTTTTCGAAATTTCACAAAAAATCTCAGCTTTGGCTGGCATTGGGTCAATTTGGGCATGTTTCAGACCCCTCAGTTCACATGGGCTGTGAGGACTCACAGGTTTATTTTCGGAAATGTAAGATAGACCGTCTTATTCCTTTCATTATAGAGTATCATAAAATATAAAACCTCATTTTTTGGACCGACCTTGGACCAATCCATAATCCAACAACTATCAAGTAAGAAATCGAAAAAAAGTTCAGTTTGATGTTGAAAAATAAAAACCTCGCATATGACCCTCATCTTCGCTCAATAACAAAAATTGGGCTATATGTTAGAAGGCATACCCCCAGCTTTGTGAAACAGTCAATACTTAAAGAAAATTTTTGGTGCGGAGGGAGAAAATTAACAATCAAGTTGCAAAGTCTTCCGGGAAAGCATTAATGGCGGGCAC